GGTTCATGCTGCTGTGAGCCACGACATTCTGTATCCCCTAAGTGATAAAATCCGAGCGCGGAAGTCTTCGTTCACCAACAGATGGAAAGAGATTCCGAAAGGCACCACAAAGCAGTAAAATGAGTATGGACGCCCGTCAACCGTGAGCGAGGTCCGACAGTGGTAAAGTGCACGGATGTAGAGAATAAGATGGGGGAGGAGGGACGGGGGGATTCTCTGAGTGTGAGAGAGAGAGAGATGCCGAGAGAACCGGCGAGAGGAACTAACTAGTCGCAGTCCCTAAACTCGGGCCTAAAATCCTTGGATACGACCAGTTCGCACGTGCGAGCCTGCTCAAGTTGGGAGGGTGGAAAATACCACGTAAAAGCACAGCATCGCGTGAGGTTTGCTGTGCAATCAAAGCTGGACAGGCTGCAGGAGATTATCGAGGAGCCAGCCGCAGTCGTGGAATCATTGGCTTGCTCGCCTCCTCCAGATCAACGTCGAGTGGCCGATCCGGAGAATGGGCGACTTGCACATCCTGGCCCACCCACCAGCCCCTTCAACGTCATCGAGCAGGCTGCCCATGCCGCAAGTACCTACGGAGTACACTTACTCGTTACGCACGACTATGACTAGAGTTTCACAGTATTTACTGCCATAGGGGTATCTCTGTTGTTTGTTTAACTCCCGATGAGAGGGCGGCTGATTATTAACACACTTGATCTGCCACGAAAGTTCATCACGCTCAACGCCGCCCTTGCTCCAAAAGTATAGTGTGTACATGTCCTGAATCATGGCATAGAGCGAATGGAAACGATCGCTATTATTTCCGATCGGTCGCAACACTTCATCGCTTTGCCCGCTTCTTATCCGGCCCCTGCTCGTTCTCATCATCACTAATATCCCGGTAGATTGGCGTGGGCTGCGTCTCCTTATACGCCCTGGTGAATACCGGGTCCTTCTCAGCCTTGTCTGCATACTTGAGCAGAGCTTCCCGGGGATCTTCATCCCGCATGGAACTAAGAGGAATGTTCTCACGGATATGCTTCTCATCCGGCTGCGATTTCGCGAAAGGTGTTTGTGCTGGTAGATGAGGTCTCCGTGGATCTCTTGGCCGGCCTGACGCCGTGAGTCCGATGGTCGGGTGCCGGGCGGACCAGGTGGACGAACTGTAATGAGGCACCCCGTTGGATCCGACAACCACAGAATCGCCAGAAATCCCCTGGGTGAGATCCATGGTAAGGCTCGGGTCATCATCAATGTGTCGACGCTTCGGGGCCTTGGACATAATCAATGCGGCACCCTTGGTAGACATATTAGGGTTGTAAAGAACATGAGTTTCGGCGTTGGCCGAGCCGGTAATAATCTGGTTCATCTTCTCATGCCACAAAACACTAATAAGAGGCGATCCCGGCGTAACAGGCGTAACCAGTTCCGGTTTCAACGTAGCTGGATTCAAGATATGCAGGTGTCCAGTCTCCGAGCCCGTGAGAACATTGGCCGATGTAGGCGAGAAGATGATATTCGACGACGGGTACCGAGTGCTGGAAGGATGGGCGACCGTGGTGATGGGTTGCTTGAACTTCCTGGTATCCCACAGCTTGATTGTGTCATCTCCGCCCTTAGTAATAACAAGCCGTCCATCCGAGCTGATGTCGATTCCACTCGTCCAGGTATCCTTAGTATGTGCATCTCTAATCTCTGCGCTTGGCCGAGTGTACGGCCCGTTTCCGCTCCACATCAGCAAGCTGCCATCGAGCGCAGCAGCAACGAGAACATTGGGGCCACCCTGCTTGGGAGAACCCCATGCAACAGCGGTCATTTTACTCCGGCCAGCGGATCCCGCCATCTTTGATTTATGCACGATGACCTCCTTCTGTGACCGACCGATATTGGCATCCCAGATGCGCACAGTACTATCTGTGCCTGCGGTGGCACACAGGTTCTCGTCGGTTGGACACCACACGCCGCCAGTCACCTCAGAGATGTGACCTTTGGTGTTGTGAAGATCCCTCAAATACATATCACCCTTGACAAACTCGGTAATCGTATCACCATCGCGACTCAAAATCCTTGGCTGAGGTGTGGCCGAAACAACCATGACGTAGCTGGGGGACAAGGGATTGAAAGCTGCATAATGCACGGCATGCGCCTCCTGCGCAGCAGACTGCTTTTTGGCAGAAGGATCGACGGATTTGAATGCGCGTATTGTCGACGGAGTCATGGACGCAAAGTCGTGTAGCTTTATAGTACAATCGGTCGAGCCGGTGATCAGTCGCGAACCTGCGGGATCCACGGTCAAGGTTGTCACTGCGCGGTCGTGTGTTTTGAGAGTGAGTTCGTGAGAGACTGGGAACTCATCCTCATCGTCAGAGTCGTCATCAGAGTCGTCGCTCCCATCATCGCTTTCTGATTCGTTTTTCTGGTTATCCTCCTGGGCCGCGGGAATCGCCTCAGTCGTCGTCTCTCCTATCGAACCCGCTTTTTTGCCGTCGCCATCAGGGTTCACAGAGACTTCTGCGCGCTTGGTGCGATCAATCTGCGAGCTCACATCGGCTTTCTTCTCTTGCTTGCCAAAGCTAGTCGGGAAAAACTTCTTGAATGCTTCCTCGTCAAATCCGTCCATTATGGCAGCTGGTCATTCGTCTTGGATGAAGATTTGACGGAGATGACTTCAGATGCTATGGACGATGTCCTTATTGTTTGTAAGATTTGATGGATTTGCACAGTTTGGAATATATAGTCACGTGGTGATAAGATAAAGTACTTGATAAACAGTGGCCTCGCGACGTCACCGGGGAATGGGCGGGAGGGCGTCCAGGTCAACTAGGCCCAGGACTAGCAGCCTCTACCATGTGCACGGAAAGGTTACCTGCATGTGCAATTGCAATGGCAGCGCCCTTACAGCATTACATACGGGCCACCAAGGCGACCTGGTGCTACTATTGTAAAGATACACTGGGATAGATTCTTGACCTAATACCACCACGATACGTCGGTTCAACTAGGGAAGATCTAATACAACATCAATATCTGCACGCCTACAAGTACAGTCCCTCCACCGGGCCTCCATCCTGCTTCGTCTTCATGATCCGCTCCCTTGCTGCGCGGAAGTCATCCATCTGCACCCGCATCCGGCGCTCTCTCAGCGCCATCAAACCGGCTTCAGTACAGATAGCACGAATATCAGCACCAGAGAGATCATCCTTCTGGTTGATGAACTCGTCCAGGTCGACATCGTCTCCCAGCGACATCTTGGAAGTGTGCAGGGTAAAGATCTTCTTCTTGGTATTTTCTGTGCATAGTTAGCAATCTGGCACAAATGTATGGACTCAGTGACTTACGGTCTGGGTTTTCGAAGAGAATCTTTCGGTCGATACGTCCCGGACGAATCAAAGCAGGATCCAAGGTCTCAATCTTGTTGGTGGCCATGATGACCTTGACGTCACCCCGATCATCGAAACCATCGAGCTGGTTAAGAAGCTCAAGCATAGTACGCTGGATTTCTCGTTCACCACCTGATGTAGAATCATAACGCTTCGTACCAATCGCATCGATTTCATCAATGAAAACAATGGAGGGGGCGTGCTCAGCTGCAACCTGGAAGATTTGACGGACCAGACGAGGGCCATCTCCAAGGTACTTCTGAATCAGCTCACTACCCACGATACGGAGGAAAGTAGCACTGGTTTGGTTCGCGACCGCCTTGGCCAGCAGCGTCTTTCCGGTACCAGGGGCACCGTAGAGAATCACACCCTTGGGTGGCTTGATACCCATCTCCTCGTACAGCTCCGGATGCAGCAGGGGAAGCTCCACGGACTCTCGGACTTCCTGGATCTGGGTTTCCAGACCACCAATATCGGCATATGATTCTGTGGGAGCTTTGTCGAGCTTCATCACTGATACGAGGGGGTCGGATTCTTCGGTGAGCACACCGACAACCGAGACCGACTTGTGGTGTAGAAGAATGCTAGCACCAGGCTCGAGCAGGTCTTTGTCGACGAACGACATGATCGAAACATAGTATTCTGGTCCAGTCGCGCTCGAGACGATGGCGTGGTCATCGTCAATCAGCTCTTCCAGATTTCCGACACCCATGGGGCTGCCTCTCATGTCGTCAACCCGGCTTCTCTCATCGGCGTTCCGATCCATGATGTCGAGATCATTACGGTTCGCCGAGTCCAGCGCAGCCTGGGCCTTGGTCTTGCGCAGGCGCTCCATGTTCTCCACGTACTCTTCCTCTAGCAACAAATGGTCGTGGACTCGTTGCATTCGGAGATATCGTAATTTACATCGTGACGTTGGGAAGATGTCCGGAAGCTTGGAGGCAGTACTCGGGCCGGCAGCCTTGCGCTTCTTACGTCCGAGACGAGTCGTAGGCGGCGGAGGTGGTTCGTATCTCGGCTTGTCCTTCTGCAGAGGAGCGTATTGTAAGCCGACCGCCAACTGGCAGGATGAACATGGGAGTATAGCTTACCTTCTTGTCTTTCTCATCCCTTCCATCGCCACCGGGGCCTCCGCCGATGTTGGACTGCTGGTTACCCTGTTGCAAAGATTGGTCAGATAAGTGACATCAGGAGCCGACAAGAGCTGTCAACAAGGGCCAACGCTGGGCACCAACCATAGTCCGAAACTGTGAGAAGCAATAGGCTTAATATAGATAACCTATGCAGGTATTTGGAGAATGTAATGAAGGATTCGCGATGTGCGTGGATGGGGTGAAGAGATGAGGATGGGGGAAGGAGGATGGGGCGTGAAGCTGATGAGTTGCGCAGCTGGGAAGCTGTTGGTCGCCATCCGCTCGGGCCTTGGCGCCCGTCCAGCACATTTGGCAGCACGTGATGTGATCCGGCATCCATGACGAGCCTTGGTGCCTGAGAGACTAATGGCCGATCGCTAAGGCATCTATCGCCGCTAACCCCTCTTGGGATCCTCCGCCCAGAAGCCAAAAGTAGCCTGGCGCCGACCGAGCTGGACCCGATCTGTACAGAAAGTAAGAGGCAGCTCTACTCCGAACAGCCCAGGCAGGCCGACGGGTCATTTCCCCTAAACTGCACCTACGACTTGTCTTTTTCTTAATCGGAACTTATATTCCCGGTGTCATTTATATATAGTCCAGCCGGGTCCATCCTGCGTTGGGGCCCGACTAAGTTCCTGTGATCTGATCTGGTTCGATTGTTTAGCGCTCTTCTGTGATAGAGCGCTTACTTGCGCCCCGCCGAGAGCATTGATCCCCCTCACTTTCGCCCATACTACAACAACGATCCTCTCTAGTCCACTCCCACCAAATTAGGTGACGCTGTTACAGATCCGTCGTTGGTCTCCAGCGTCCATACTAATTAGACCTTCTCCGATATTTTCTTCTCCTCCTCGATCCTCCTGCTACAGACCATCTGCTGCACTTCCTCGCCCTCTCGGTAGTTAGCTACTGTGAGGCTGACGAAGCTTTGACTATTGCCTCATAGTTCTTGAATCCTTTCTATTCTTATCTTTCAACTGTCCAGACGATACAAACCTACTTTGCCTGCTTATTCGGAAGAGGAAAAACAACACAAATTGCCTGTTCTTCCCAGATTAATTTACCCATCACCAAACTTCTTGCACGATGTCTGCCAATCGAGCAAGGCGTATCGCCAAAGAGATCGCCGACATCCACGCCGACACACAGTCGCAAATCACGGCTGAACCACTGCACGGTGGGGAGGATCTTACACATCTTCGAGGCACGTTCCCAGGGCCTCCAGGAACACCCTATGAAGGTGGAACCTATACCATCGACATTAAAATCCCCAACGATTATCCATTTCGGCCTCCCCACATGAAGTTTGTAACCAAGGTCTGGCATCCCAACGTCAGCAGTCAAACAGTAAGTCACCTCCAGTCATGTATGATCAGGCTGTCTCTAGTTTCCTGTTAATAAAGCTGATTGCCCAGGGTGCCATCTGCCTAGACACTCTTTCCACTGCGTGGTCGCCGGTGCTCACCATCAAGTCTGCCCTTCTGTCACTGCAATCCCTGCTAAGCACACCCGAACCCAAAGATCCTCAAGATGCTGAGGTCGCCACGATGCTCCTTCGGAGACCGCAGGAGTTTGCACGAGTTGCTCAGGAGTGGGCTGTAATGTATGCAGGAGCTCCCAGAAGGCATGCAGGTGAAGGCAGCGGCGGTGTGACAGACGAAACTCTTCGACTGCAGGAGATCAAGTCGAAAGAAGAGCAGGAACAAGAGGATTTAAGCAAGTATGTACACGTGTGTAGGACAAACCTAATCTTGGCTAATCTTTCTGTGCAGATACGACGGCTACAACAAAGACTTGATCGACCGATTCTGTAACATGGGATTTGACGTCGACCGCGTTGTAGCCGCATTCAAATACTACGGCATTGATCGAATGGACGGAGAAGACTACGAGCTGGAGGAGGCGTACATGGGAGACATTACAGCGCGGCTCCTCGGCGAGCCGTAGTTGGTGTGGTGTATGACACACGGTTCGGATGGTTTAAATTTTGCAATAGCGACGGTGCTAGGCGATTCAGTCGGGTTTGCTCTCTTGAATCTGGAGACCTCTTCGCACGAACATCATAAAGACAATCTCTTTTCTCTTTTCACAAGTCACATCCCAAACAGTGATGACCTATGTTTGTTTAATATATCCAATTGCTTTCAACGTCTTTCGGCAGCATAGCTCAAGTCAGGATACTATTAACCTTGCATTTAGTCAATCAATATCTGTATGACCCAAAGGATAGTGTCTTCTAAAGTAAATAGCTATTTTGAACGATCACAGGCAGTCAGCAAATTGTAGTGGATGTCTAATGAATGGAAAGTCAAGACAGCGGGCCTATCGATAAGCACGTGGATATGCGGCAAAGTCCGATGCAGATCAGCTTTGACTTTCCGCCGTCCCCAGAATCCTCTCGCAACGAGCACTCCATCTTTAGCTACTACATCCTTTACGACACCGAGCGCATTGTGTAGCTGTTTTTCACCATGATCGAAGACGAAATATACCGGTCATCCTCCCAGTTCCGACTGTGGTCCTTCACCGAAGCATCGCTGAAGCAATTACGAGCAACCACCAACTCCGTCGCGAGTGACCGAGTGCGAGCAGCTCTACGAAGAGCACAAGAGGCTCGAAGATCAGCCACCTCCTCCACGACAGGGACACCGGCCCCCGGAAGCGATGCGGAGAACAAGGCAACGGAAGAGAAACAAATCGAGTGCTTGACACCCGAAGAAGAGCAGCAAGTCGTGGACTACTACTCCGAACAAATCATACAACTAGGGGAGAACTACAAACCACCACTCCCCACCATCGTGAGAGTACGACAGCCCTCCTATCCCATATCTGCAAACCCCCAAAGCTAACCTACCCAACCCCAAAGGCCACCGCAATCCAATACCTCCGCCGCTTCTACCTCACCAACTCCCCGATGACCTACCACCCCAAACAAATCATGCCGTGTGCCCTCTTCCTCGCCACCAAAACCGACAACTACTACCTCTCCCTGCGGCAATTCGCCGAAGGCGTCCCTGGCCAAACCTCCGCAGACGACATAATCGCCCCAGAATTTCTCGTCATGCAAAGCCTCCGCTTCACCTTCGACGTGCGCCACCCCTTCCGCGGCCTCGAAGGTGGCATCATGGAACTCCGCGCCATATCCCAAGGCCAAGGCCAACCAGCACCACACCTCCAGCAATCCCAAACCCCCGAAGACCTCCGCAGGACTCTCCTCTCCCTCTCCCCCTCCTCCGCCACCGCAAACACAATGAACGACCGCATCTCCCGCGCCCACCACTCGACCCGCGAGATCCTCAAAACCGCCGCGCAAATCACAGACGCCTACTTCCTCTACACCCCCTCCCAGATCTGGCTCTCCGCGTTCCTCCTCGCCGATCGCCCCTTGGCTGAATTCTACCTGGACACGAAACTAGGCGGTCCCATCATATCATCAACAAACCAAGACCAAAACCCCCTTTACGCCCTGCGCACGAAACTCCTTTCCACCCTCACAAACTGCTCCGCCCTCCTGCAGGCATACAAACCCTTCGCATCCGACGAAGCCCGCATGAAGACCCTCAAACGCATCGTCGGGAAGAAACTCTATCATTGCCAGAACCCAGAGAAAGCCAATATCGCAGGCCAGAAACGCATCCCTGCCGCTGCTGCGGCCGCGGCCGCTGCAGCAGCTGCAGCAGGCGAGTCGGGGACGTCAGAAAGCGAAATGGAGCGTCTAGCGAAGAAGCGGAAGCTAGAGCGGGGGAGTGAGACGAAAGATCTCTTCGGAGGGGAGTTAGTCACGCAGCGGACTAAGGAGAGGCAGATGGAGGGGTAATAGCAGCAGCTATATCAATATCCTTATCATGTCATTAATACTATACTTACCGTTTTTGGTGAAGACGTTGGTGAATCGTCATTTTGAGCGTGCAATTAGGCGCAATTAGATGGAAAAGCATATTGTTAATTACTTTAATTATTTATAAAATGGGATCTTGGTTGTGCAAATGTCTCAATTGGATCTGGTGTTGATGAAAGTTCAGAAATGATACTACTACCAGTTGACCTCGGCTTGGAAGAGTACTAGTATCCAGGCTTATACTACCTATTATAGGCACAGTAACCTAGTTGAATAACTATACAACCATTGAACCCGGGGAATTCAGTAGGTCACATATATGTACTTATCATGATAGTACGAGGGTAGACATTCTACATAGATAATAATGTCTACGTAACTCTGAAAGTAGTATAGCAAGGGAATAATATCAAATTGAAACCCTCAAACGCTCAAGTCTAGTTAGGGGGAGTGACGATGAAGGTATGAAAAGATGAAGCACAGACCATCTAAAACAAAGCACCAAAATGTGTAGTGGTAGTAATGAGCAAAGATATCTCCAGGTATTTAAAAAAAGGAAAAAATAAAAAACGGATAACCTTCCGCGCGAATGTCATTCATCAGGATGGTTCATCTCTCCTGTAACGGTAAAGAGAAACTTTTTCCTTCCCCTTACAAGCCTTTTTTATATTTGCATGTGTGTCGTCTCGAACATTCCAATCATAAACAAGAAGATTGATCACTTCTTCCTTTTTTTTTTTCAGTGGTTTGTACCTTAGACAGCACCCTCGGAAATCATCTTCTTGCGGAGGTGGTTCTTGTACTCGCCGATAGTACCGTCCCAGCGGGTGATGGTCTTGTTCTCGCAGACCATGATGTCCTTGGCAATCTTGTCGAGGAGACGGAAGTCGTGGGACACGACGACAACACCACCGCTGAAGGCGTTGATGGCATCGGCCAAACTGTCAATGGTGGGGATATCCAGACCGTTGGTAGGCTCGTCCAGCAGGATCATGTTGGGCGACTCAATGGCCAACAGGGCGAAGACGATACGAGACTTCTGACCTTCGGACAGAGTACCCATGAGGGCAGTCTGGGCCTCACCGCTGAGACCGTAACGGCCCAGCTGCTGACGCCAGTACTGGTAGTCCTGGGACTTCTCGGGGAACTTGTCACGGACGAACTCGAGGGCAGACTTGGTCAGATCCAGCTGCTCAGCAGAGTGCTGGCTGTACATGCCCAGCTTCAAGTGAGTGTGACGGGAGACACGACCGCCGATGGGGCTCAGCTTGCCGGTCATGATGCGCAGCAGAGTGGACTTTCCGACACCGTTGGGTCCGACAAGGGCTGTGCGGGAGTCCATGTCGACACCGAAGTCCAGATGCTCGTAGAGGGTGTCCTCCCACTTGCCAGAGTAAGAGAAAGAGACGTCGTCGAAGGACAGGACGGGAGGAGGAAGCTTCTCGACATCGGCGAAGCGGAAGCTGAAGACTCTGTCGGGGATGACGGGCTGGATGAAACCATCGGCCTCCATCTTGTCCAGGATCTTCTGACGGGACTTGGCCTGCCTGACCAAGTTGGCGTAGGTACCAGCGGAAGCAATGAACTTCTTGATGTGAGCAATTTCTTCCTGCTGCTTGTTGTAGGCCTTCATCTGGTTCGTCTCCTGTTCGGCGCGAGTCTTGTGGTAAGAGTCGTAGTTACCACCGTAGTAGAGGAGCTGCTTCATGCGCATATCGATCATGTTGGTGCAGACACCGTTCAGGAAGTCCATGGAGTGGGAGACGAGGATCAGGGTACGCTCCCACTTCTTGAGGTATTCTTCCAACCACACACAGGCTTCGAGATCCAAGTGAGCGGTGGGGTCGTCAAGCAGAAGCAGGGAGGGCTTGACGAAGAGGGCCTTGGCAAGGGCCACACGCATACGCCAACCACCAGACATGTCCTTGGTCTTCTTGTGAATGGTCTGCTTGTTGAAACCCAGACCGGTCAAGATCAGGGAGGCACGGGTGTGGAAGGTCGAGGGATCCATCTTGTCCATACGCTGCAAGAAAAGAGTTAGAAAACCAAACAAGAGATGAAAGAAGTGCGATAGCGGGGACAACTCACGTCGTACAGATCCTCGAGGATAGGAGAGTCAGGACCCTCAGTCTCGAGAAGTTCTTCGGCCTGCTTCTCCATGCGGTCGAGCTGGTTCTGGGCCTCGGTGACAACCCACTCAAGGGCACCGAGCTCACTGGGAGGGGCACCCTCGTTCAGAAGGTAGATATCAATGTGCTCGGGGATGGGGTATTCGCGAGTGGCGATAGACTTGAGGATGGTAGACTTTCCGCAGCCGTTCTCACCGAGGAGACCATAACGACGACCGAAGTTCAGTTCGAGAGTCGAGTCGGTAATGAGAACCTTTCCGTGGAACACCAGGGAGGCGGAAGTGACCTTGACGTCGCGAGAGGAGGGCAGAGAGGCGAGGACACCGGTGGTGACACGATCGGAGAGACCGTGCTTGTCCATCTGAGCAGTCAACTTCTCAACCTCCTTCATCTTCTCGTCGGTGGTGGCAGGCTGGTCATCGCCGGCCTCACCGTCGACGACGGGGTCGTCCTTCTTGCCCTTGGTGGCCTTCTTCTTGTCGCCATCGGCGGCACGCTTTGCCAAACGAGCGGCTTTGGAGGCAGACACCATCTTGTCGGATAAGCGAGTTGTTGATGGAGGAGAGGAGAGGAGAGGAGAGGAGGGGGAGGTGGTGGTGGGTAGGTTAAGGCGGAAAGGGAAGAGGAAGGGACGGTCAGGAAGCCTAGATAAAAGCTGTCCGATGAAGGCGAGAGAGGAAAAGGGAAAAAAAGAACCTGAGCGAAGGTGGACCAGTAATAGCGGGGGGTGGGAGGGGGGCGACCGAAAGTCTTCTTCTGAGTGGGGGGGGGTTCCTTGGATAGCCCTTATCGATAGGCTGGCCAGGCAAAGAGAGAACAGATCCAACGAGATCGCTCTCAAAAAGATGGGATTTCAAATGAGGGAAAAGATAGCCAAATTAGTGATTGATATATACGAGCAAATATACTACTCAAACTCAATACACAAGGGAGAATCCCGATGAAGTTGAAGGAGAAGAAGAAGAAAAGACAACGAAGAATCAATGAATGGATGGTTGTTTTTGCCTCGAAAATTCCTTCAGTGGGTGGCCGAGCCTCGCGGTGATTGGCTGCACGACGTCACTGCACGGGACGTGGCGCACGCTTGCCGCTTTGGGCATCCACAGTCACGTGTGTCAGAGCCTTGCGCCCAAGGCAGGCCAAGATAATGGTCAGCATTGAACTCCACCAGGCATCAAGAAGTATGTACATATCACTACAACTTACGGGAACTGCCAACGCAGCGGGGAAGTACTTCGTCCACTACAAGGCACCTTGCGTTATATATGAAATAACCAAGCAACAAGTGATAAAGAACCAAATAGAATAATCATCGTGAATCCCCGTACTCGGCTCGCTTTGTAATTGGCTGAAGAGTCTGTCGCGCATAGTAAGTACTGGCCATGTCTAGCCAACCTACTTTCAGCCTCATCTACAAGCATCTAAACCTAGTATTTTACGTTCTGTTGCACGGCATGAATGACTGTTATTAATTGGTCGAAAGCCTTCTCCTGGCTTAGAACAAAGCCAGCCAGGCAACTTCCGACCCTTCTAGTATTATGTATGTCTATAATCGTTCGCTAATTCTTTTCAGCACTACCATCTCCTGCTCCGTGACCGTGACATTGTCTGGAAGCATGACACTCCCTTTTTCGATAACAATATGGGTTGGAACGCCGGGAAAGGTATCGTTGGTTTGGACGGAAGCAACACTTCCCTCTTTGGCCTCCCTGGCGCTTTCGGTGTCGTCGGGCTTGGGGCGTTCCAGAGACTGCGGCGTCCACCAGTATATAGGGAAGCGGCGTTGAATATTGTTGATAACCAAGGCCACTGCCTGCATGAGCACACAGCCCAGCAGCATAATTAAGATTAAGTACCATCCCACATCGTAGGATTGAGTGACGGCAAGAAGGGCGGTGGCGCCGGCAGGGGGATGGACCGTGTTTGTAATCGTCATGATGGCGGTAGTGATGGCACACGCCAAAGCACCGCCGACTTGCGGCATAGAGTGGGCGTTCTCGTTCAGCGCGAAGAGCTTGCCTATCGCAACGCCGACGAAACTAGCCAGAATCTGACTCAGGACGGCATTGCGCGGTTGGGCAAAGGGTGATTCGATGGCAGAGAATTCCAAGACAGCAGCAGCACCCTATAAGCTCGTTAGTCGACATCGAGCAGTAGTACTAGTAGAGTCTGAGTATCTCAAGTGGAACTTACAAAACTGGCCACGATGATCGGGGCATGGTGGGCTTGGAATGATGGAATATGCTCAGACACCTCCGCAACCACGAGCACACCACAGAAGACTCCGATCAAAGACCAGAAGGCGATCACGAGATTCCCCAGGGGTTTCGGAGCAAGAGTCTTTCTGTACCCGAAGAATCGGGAGATGGGCCGAGGCAGATGACGCCACGGTGGAGGCGGTAGATATGGGTTGAGAAAGGCATCGATGTCCACATGTAGTCGAGAGAAGTCGATGCGCTGGAGCATGGACGCCGACTGAGGGTTCTGCGCACTCATCGCTTCAGTACTGCCGGTAACCAGCCCAGACAGTCCTAAAGCACGCAACACGGCTCGCCACCCTGATGTATATAATGGTCAGATACAGCTGTCAATCATGCAAAAGAAGGCATTGAAGACTGAAAACACCACGAATGAAGAGGCAGCCAAGCACACACATTCGAGGAGAAATGACAGGTGCAGATTTTGGCCTATGGCCTTGCATTGACACCGATCAAGCGACCAGGCATCAGTTTGATTAAATGGAGTCCCGACGGGTCCATATCAGGGGGGCCGCGAGGACAGAACCTACCTTGAACTACGTGGATTGACAGGAGGGGAGAGAGAAGCTAAATATAAACCAAAGAATCCCATTGGAGGTCTGAAACAGACGAAGAGCGAGTGGACAGGACCATTATGGGGTTCCTCGAGATTAAAATACTAGAATGGGGCCATCCGGCCAGCACTGAGAAGACGGTGGAAAAGTCGGCACGCAAAACGAGGACTCATACATTGTAACCACGAGGATCTCCGCGGAAGAGAGCGGGCAGAGGGCAGGAATGCAGCGCTGAGTTGGAGATGGCCATTGATGCCCTGGAAAGAAGGGAAACACGCCCTTTTGCTGGCTGGTCCAAGACATCTTTCTGCCACTCATGATATTCGCGTTGGGTAATGGAAACTCCGCTTCCGGTTTAGCGTCGGGGCAGCTGACGATGAGGTCACTGGCCTGTAATATTACGCCGACTGTTACCCGAACCCGGCTGTCTTTTCCCTCCAAATACCCCTGTTTCATGGGCTCCTGCTGGTATCGGGATTTCAGACCGCGTAACTAACCTCATTCCCGCCCAGACTTGAGCAATCGTCGATCAATCTGGGGTTCCCCAAAAACATGGCGCCCCCCGAACCCTCGCGCCTCTCACTCGTAAAGCCCGTCGTGAGGGGAAATGAGGGGGGATTTGGGGACGCTGTTGGGACCAGACTGTATAGGGATGTCTGTCCTTGGAGTAGCTAGACTAGAGCCTACGTACAACAGTCGAACACTCGCCTGCAGCAGGTGGAGCACACTAATATGTTAGTGGCATTGAGCATGTCTGCTGTATCTATTCCTACAAAGAGAAACAATCTAAAAACTTCACACTACCACTCGTACAATGCGAAAACAAATCTATCCATCATTAAATCATGACCCATGATAGGCACACTATTTACACGAAATTTATACATCCAGGGTCTTTCCCTGTCTCGAACTCTCCTGAGCCAACTCGATCAGCCGGATCACTTCACGAGCCTCGGCGCCGCTGGCAGGGAGGTCACCCTCTCCACCAAGAGCCCGCGCCAGCTTGCGGTAGTATTCCGTCCAGGTCGGGGGCTCTACTGTGGGCATGACTTCCTTGACGGGCTTGCCGTCCTGAATGGTCGTGAGAGTACCTAACAGAGACTGTTAGCCTGTTGCGAAAGTCCAACGGCGGCAATCCTTGACTTACCGTATCTCTCAGAAGGCTCTCGGCCATATCCGCTGTCACCTGGCTTCACACCAGCCTTGAGCTGCTCTTCCTGCACGTCGAGATGGAACTATCGAGCGTGTACGCATCAGTATTTTGTACTAACCGACATCCTAGGGTGAAAGGCCGTTGTCTCACCTTCTTGAAGCTGCCCTTCTCTCCCCGGACCCAGAAGCGCAGTTGCTCCTCTTCCGGGCTGACGACACCAGCCTTAGCCGTGACAAGCACGCCCTTCGGGTAGTGGAGCAGAACAGTGAAAGAGTCCTCGAACCCGGAAGTGTTCACCTCGCGCTGGGAGCCAATGAATCCAGTCACGCGCTCCGGCTTGCCAAGCAGGTGCACAGCCTGGTCCAAGAGGTGGGCGCCCAGGTCATAGATGGCACTACCACCCGGGATGACCTTGTTCTTCCACTTGGAAACATCGGGGGAGGGCTCCTGGGGGCGATGACGGTCGAAGTGAGTCTCGAACTCCACGACACGGCCAAGAGAGCCATTCTTCACCAGCTTCGACAGGGTCACGAAATCGGCATCCCACCGACGATCTACCAAATATCATCATTAGGTTATGTTTCTTTTCGAGTCGGCGATTGGGTAGAAAACGTACTTTGGTAGACGGCCAGGAGCTTGTTCTGCTTCTTGGCCAGAGCAACCAGCTCGTCGGCTTCCTGAGTAGTGGGGGTGAAGGGCTTCTCGCAGACAACTGTGTCGCAAATGAAGTCAGTACTCATGCAAGGTGAGAGCGCTATACCTGGATAGCAAGAGACTTACCGTGCTTTCCATTCTCCAGAGCCAGCTTGGCCAAGGCATAATGCGAATCGGGCGCGGTGGTGATGACAACTACCTGGAGACCCTCATCCTTGACCATCTCCTCGGTGGTCCGGTAGGACTTGATTCCGGGGTGGTCCTTCTCGGCATCGTCGTCCGGCTTGGGGGTGCGCTGCACAACAGCGGCGATCTTGAATTGGGGGACTTCCTGAATGAAGGGAATGTGGAAGGTCTTGGCACTAAAGCCATATCCCACAATTCCGACGTTCCAGGTCTTCGAAGCCATGATAGGTGGTGTTACTTGCGATGAGGGGGGGGGTATATCGTGGAGGGTTGGGAGGATAGTAATCCACCATGGGAAACGGAGGGAATTCTCTGCTTATATACGCTATGGATATCGTCTAAGGATTACAAATGAAGCCAACCCGCCTCATTCCCCATCGCAAGTGGCCATTTGAGTGCTGGCGCGGGGGAAGGTCCTGGCGACGGCAACCTTTGGCTCGGGCGGGGCACGCGGCAAAAGCCGATGTCTCAATGCGTCACTTTTACTTTCGGAATTCATTCTGCGCGCTCTCGCCGATGATTACTGAGGCCACTCGGTCCAGCCTTTGCGAGCCGCCATGAAGAATGAATCACTCAACTTCTATGCCTGGACCCTTTCATTCCTGGATCCCCACACATCGGCTCACCTCGATCGCGTCCTACAGAACTCGCATGTCAGTGAAATGCCCACCCCGCTCCTCGGAAATACCGGGTAAACTCACTCGTGTGGTCTCGGGTTTGACCAATTTGCTGTCATACACCAGGTTCGGGTTCCCGGTGAGTTCAAAGCTGGGCGTCGCATCCGCAGGCATGAATGACCCGACTGATCTCTGTGGCAGGTTGGTAGTGTCGTATGCTTGGACCGGTCCCTTTTTGGCCGCTTCACGCTTCTGCTCTACCGTGCTGCGGACATACTCCAAATACGGCGGGTTGCCGGGGTAGAGCACGTTGTCCGCCACCACAACCGAAACCCCGGGGACGATCTTGCCGAGCTGCTCGCAGAGCTTCAGATCGGCCGTATATGCGGGCTTATAGTGATCAATTAGCATCACTTCAACGTGTTTGACATGGCCACTCGAGAAAAGTTTGTCAAGGGACAAATCGCTTCGACCGACGAGAATTGTAACAAAGTCGCGCAAGCCCGCCAGTTCAAGCAGCATGTTCGCGATGGCCGCGAACTCGGGGTTCAACTCTAAACTATAATAGTGTCGTCCGCCAGCCCGGCGCACGGCATCTCCGAACAGAATGGCCGAATAGCCAACATAGCCACCAAGCTCGATCATAACTTCGGGCTTCTTTTCCTCGATGATGTCGATAATGAACTTGCCCTTGGCCCGACCGATGTTCATGAAGTGGTAAGTTTTACCGAACTCTTCGATCAGATCTAGGACCTTTGCTGGGTTGCCCTGGATCTCGTCACGGTTGGGTTGGTCATAGATGAAGTGAAGCAGCTTTCGCTCTCGGCCATCCTCGCGCTGGCACAGTCAATTGTCAGAGTAGGAGCGCAGCAAATCAAGAGTTACGGGGCAAGCTTACCGAACGTTCCACTGGAGGGTGAGAAGGGGCTTCGGGGGTAGCACTATCACCCATGGTCGATAACAGGCGCTGCGTGAAAGGAGAAGGAGGCTGGTAAGGTCTAGGTGTAGTAAGGGGAGAGCGTGGACACTGAAGCCACGTTCGAGGGGCAGCAGGATACTTAAGAGCTTTGAAAGACGCGCGGACTAGTCGGGTCGACACCGACTTGGACCTTTGTAGCTGATAAGGGCGGAATGTCGCCATCCGGCAGTGGGCCACACTCATAATGATCGCATCATGATTTCCATGGAAAGTCGTGAGCAAATAAGCGATGCTATTCCATCCCGAGTGGCGGAGGCCTTGGTGCACGACATCGCAAAACCCCGGGCAGTCGGAGATGGTTACCACATCGGTCCAGGTAGGTGTGGTCCCGGTTCCCGCGTCAATCCGTCACAGGACACTTCAGCTGCCATCTGATAAAGTTTCAACCCCTCATCTGGCTTGTCGAGCAAAGCAGTCGGCATCGGGAATGTGTCTCCTCATCTCGGCGACTCCGATGGCAGGGTCAGAAGGCCCATGTGGGCGCGGATCATGCATGGAGGGGTGCAGAATAGGAACAGGGAGACAATGGAACTTTCCCTCCAACAATACAGAACTGGAGGGCCTGCCCCTGGTCGAGAATAATATGATACGACCCAGTTCCGCTTAGAAGCAGTCCCGTGCTCAACCTCGAAAGCTTAATATCATTCATTCAGACATGATCCCATAGAGCGGCGTTATTGAGGGTGACGGTAACAAAGCACTCACTCCGACACTGAAACCCGAACCGGTTCAAGCGACGCCACGATCCACGTCTACGCCTCCACAGCTGGTCGGCTCGCATTGAACCTGCTTCTGACTACCTGACGTCGACCCAAATGTACCAGGCAGTTAAGCTCCACAATAGAATAAGTTCAAAGGCTTGTTTATAGGGCAGTCGCCTTGTACACGAGCATGCCATGGTAAGTGCTAAGGTGAGAGCTCCGTACCGGATCTACCCCTTCGTCCGCATCCGTCGCCGGCCATGGAATCTCCGACGGACGATCGGAAATGTCACTGTGCGATTACTGCATTGGGTATATTGCGAGCAGCTTTGAGCTGGCTTTTGCTTTTCATTGTATGCTTTCGAGCATATGGGGTACATGTTCCCTGATCCACTGAATGGTGTTTCGGAACTGATAGATTAGAACCAAGGAACACTTTCCCGGCAGTAGTAGTAGTAACCGAGTCGGTAGTATAGTTAACTAGTTAGCTACTACAGAGACTAGTCATCTGTAGATCATGCACTTCAGGTTAGTTACTACCTACTTATTTTACTTATCTCGAGTACCTCATGCGATCCAGTCCTTTTCCCAAGTGCTTACTTTCCTGCCTGCATGCATGACACATACAATGAAACGAACGAACCAATAATTCCCCGCACAACAAAACATGAAACAAAACCGAAATCGAAACCCAACGAGTAGCGGCATGCACTGCACAAGCACATCCCGCCCGGCATTAAATTGGGTATTCAACTACTGATTCTTATCCACCTACTGCGTACTAGATAGATACTTACCTGGCAGGGCTAGCTAGCAAGGCAAGGAATGCCGCAACCGTAGCCAAGCAGCTACCCTGGCTACCCTGTACTTACCTCGGCCGCACCCATCCAATCAATCCTCACTTACACTGCAACCCTACAATCGCATGCAAGTCTCAGACACCCATCCCAGCCCAGCCCAGCCCGAGGCCAAAAAAAAAAAAAGTGAAATCCGCATATTGCTTTTTTCTTTCCCATAGGCTCCGCATCCCCCACTTTGCGATGTGGAAACATAAGATAGACGGACAGCTGTTTAGCTAGCAGCCTCGCTAGCTAGCTGGCAGTCCCAGCCACCTCAGTCACTCACTAACTTTGACACTCGGCATCAGCAGCAACCCAACACATCTCCTAACTACTAGCTACTAGTCTATCTATCTATCCAGTGCCACCCGCCCTACTCCTCCCTCTCGCATCACGAATGCGCACTCTGTGCTGACGTGGTCGCCTTGCAGCATTCCACACACATTACATTTGCATTCGCGCGACACATACTACGGAGTACATAATATAGGGAATTTTCCCGCCCGTGGGCAGTCCGTAGAGGCATCTCCATTTCTCTTCTTCGTTTGGTTTTCTTTTCGGTCAATTCGGGTTATACTATACCACGAACTATTCAACCCCACCATTCACCCACCTACATACCCACTATTATACTAACCCCCAATCCATAATCATACCAACGATCACACCGAAAGAACCAACCAAAAAGGAAACAAACATGGCAGTCGGCCACCCCATCCGCCTCCGCCGGGCCCTCAGCACCGCAACGACCAAATCCCGCTCCCTTTCCACTCCCCGATTCTCCATCCTCCAACTCCAAGTCCTAGTGCACTTATTCCGAGTCGCCCTCTCCCTCGCTCTCCTACCGCTCGACAACACCATCCTTCTCGCCGCCTACGCAGCAGGATTCTTCCCCTTCTCTCTAACGGATAGCAACAAAGCCGGCGCTCGCCGCCGCGCCGCTGCTCTCCGCTCCAGCAACTTCAAGCCCCGAACTGTCCTCGTCACGGGTATCGACACACCGTATGGCCTGGCCATCGCGCGCGGATGGTATTACTCGGGCCATCGGGTAATTGGGGCCGAAGTGGTAGGTGGGGATGAATCGGGCGTGGCGTGCGGGGAGAGTATGTCGCGGGTATTGAGCGGGTATTATCGCATTAATTCTACCACTAGCGCAAGCACCGCTACGAAGGGCTACGCAGCGCAGTTGTTAGACGTTGTGATGAAAGAGAACGTGGACGTGTGGATCCCGTGCTGCGAAGAGACGGAAGGGGAAGAGGATGCCGTCGCGAAGGGAGTGATTGAGGCGCGGACGGGGTGTAAGTGCGTGACGCTTGATCGGGGAATGGCGGATATACTCTCACAATCCTCATCGAACCGGGAAGCTTTCCTGGCATTTTTGGTCGAGAAGGGATTACCTGTTGTGGAGAGACACGAGGTGCTGTCTCGGGATGCGGTGCATAAGATCCTCCATCGGTCGCCGACCAAAGTGTGGAATATGCGGAGGGCGGATGAGAGAGAGGTGATGCTGCCGAAACGGACTCTTAGTCTGACCTATTCTGAGGTCAGTGAGATTCGCATCTCCAGGGAGAGGCCGTGGATGTTGCAGCAGCAGACGAGGTTGGGAGGGTTTTATGCCGAGATGGCGGTCGTTGCCGGGAAGGTCAAGGCGACTAAGATCTACCCCGCTGAGGAGGATGGAGACGGTGGTTGGGGCCAATCACCGATGGACCGCGGGCTGGCGACGGCAATTCAGGCGCTGATGGAGCGGTTTGCCAGCCAGATGGGTGCCCGGTTGACGGGGCATTTGCGCTTGAAGGTGATGGTGGATGAGGAGGTGAGCGACAATTCTCTGCGGTATGTGATACTTATTGATAGCTGCACGCATGGCGCGTCGGCGGTCAAGTATCTCATCTTGGAGGACGATTTAAAGACCCTGGTGGACGGATATCTGGAGGCGTTGACGCCGCAGACGAATGGTGTCGCCGAGGGGGAGGCTGTGATGAATGGCACAGCGGATGCTGCGTCTGCGTCTGCGTCTGCGTCCTTGAAGGCGGATATCACTACGCCTCCTCCGCGTCAACGGTTCAGTCTGTTTCGCACGGCGAAGAAAGCCAATGTGAAGGTATTCGGATCGCTGGGGAAGCAGGTTGATCGTGCTCTTCATGAGGGGAGTAAGCTCCTGTTCTTCTGGAAGAATCAGAAGTTCTCGCAGCTGGATCCGTTGCCGTGGTGGTGGCATGCTCATGTCTATCAGCCGTTAAGGGAGTTGGAAATGATTGTGAAGCCGAAGAGAGTGAAGAGGGCGTGATTACTTATGCTCTCCGTCATCTACCCATTCATTCATTCGTTCTCTTCTCTCTTATATTCATTTATTGGTTATTTCGTTTGTTCCACTCAGCATGGAAGGACGGAAGGACGGAACCACAGGACAGGACACGATGTTACGATTACTTATACAAAGGAGCATCAGGTGGCGCCTTGGGATATTACTCGGTTTTTGCAATTTTGGTAATGATAGTAGTATAGCAATGAGTTATGATTTTACTTTGAAATAGATTAACAGTAATCAATAGTTAGAAGTAAGCTCTGAGATCTGCAGTGGAGCATGGCTGATGTGCCGCGTGCTAGGCATAGTCTAGACTATAGACGGTTTCCATGAGAACAGTGCCTTAGCGCTATCTTGAAACGGCTAATACTCCCGCTAGATGCTTAGATTGGTTGTAGTGCTGCTATATAATATGCGCTAATCAGTTGTGAAAAAGCAAATTGTATTTGCTTGTCTTGCATTGTCGTGCTGGTGTCGGTGGATTATCATCGTTGGGTATGGTTTTATCGCGGGTTGGATGTATAGGACTACCTGAGTGGGAAGTTAAATGGTTATCACAATAGTATTGTTCATCTGAGTGTTTAGATGTAAGTCTCTGTTTCAGTTGCTGGGATATCCGTGGTCTGCTAACCGCCATTGCAGTTGGTATGTTTGTCACGGAGTACCAGGTAAAGGGGCCATTGCATAGTCATTGATGCAGACATAGAGTACTGAGAATCATGAAAGATGATCTAAAAGTAAACTGTCAGATTGGGCTGCGAGCAGGTTCAGTAGGTACAGGCAAGACAAGTTCCAGGTTAAAGATTCTATAGTCTACATAGTATGCATCACTCTCGGTTTCTTTGAAGTCTGGAGTACAAAGACCTGGGTATATAATTCTGGCAGATGAACATACGTCATGTTACACTAGTGCAGCAGGAATAATGTTAGCCAATATAAGGCCGCTTTTGCTGATCTCATTTTCATACTCCTGTAGTAAGCGAAACCGTGGGTATTTATTCACATGTGGTGGTCTTCTTTCTCAAGAACCAACAAGGTATATATATATATATATATGTATCATTATTAGATTTCTCAGTGTCTATCAAGAGTCTGAAGCCATTTGAGATATGTCTTGACTCGCATGGACCCATTCGTTTGAGCTGGTTGTTCGATCATCTTTACTATTTGGGATATTGGGTGTTTCGATATCTATCTCTCGTTTGTCACTGTATTCCAACAGATTGGGCACAGATGAATACGAATTGTAGCAATACCCTTAGACATTATCTTGCAAAGTGAGTGCCACTGCCAGCACATTATATCCTCTTCTAATACAGCTGCCTGAAATGCTCCCATGACCTCCAGGTGAGCTGGTTTACTGGCATTCGTCAGCCTTGAAAGGCACCCCCGCAGGTTTTCCGATTGGTCGATACAAACTTTATATGGAGGTCTTTCGGAACAGGTACAGTACCGACGAGGAATGTGTAACCGAGGTGCTTCTTACTCTACTCATATTGAGAGGTCGACTAAACAACGGTTTTCCGTAGGGGCCGACAGCCCTTGTATGAGCCTAATGTTCTAAACATCGCTGTAGATAGTCTAGCAGTATTACCTCTTATGGAGGCGTATGTCAGGTGCTGCTATTTCTGGCGGCCACTTCAGCCTAGGCTATAATTAGTCAAGCGGTAAGATCGGCATCCAAATTTACGGTACCGTACCAAAGACTGAAGCTGAAGAGATGCTGCGCATTCGCTTCAGCCACAATCATCTCATCTCATTCACGTTCATCTGTCAACTCCTTTTCGCCCCCTTCCTCTTTCATCTCTGTTAATTCCTCATCGTTTGAACGAATTGTTTGTCTGGTCTTGGGTTCACTGCTGATACCGTTGCGCTGTCGGTTCGCCAACGCTACCATTTGAAACCGCCCACTTTAGCGTCCGCGCGGCATTGATCGGGTTGCCCCGTTCACCTGGTCTTGGGTTTTTCGATCGCTATCGGCATAAACAATCCATTTCCACCCCAGTTCTCGCCCCTCCACAACGCCCTTCGAGACGTCTGGCTCGATATACAGCGCACCATTAGTATTCTCGATTTGATTCCTCACGTAAACGTCCGATCGCTCTATCCTCTCTTTCGCTTCCGTACAAGGAAGCGCCCTTTGTCGTCAGGCACCGCTCTACCCCGTCTTCCTCCTTCCCTCCTCCCACAACATGAGAATCGCTCGGCCTTCGTTCAACCCCGGGAGGACGAAAAACCTCATCCATGGATTCCAGGGGTTCATCATCTTCCTGGCGTGGGCCTTGACCATCGCTGTGTTTACAAAGGGTGGTGGCATTGATGGGCGTTCAGCCTGGTACTTTGCTTTGGTACGTTGCGATAAACGGAACCGCCAAACTTCAGGCGCCTGAGGACCATGTACTGATTCTTGTTTGTTTAGTGCTGGTTCAGTATCCCCGGCCTGATCTACCTCGTGGCAGTGCCCATGTGGCCGCGCGCACGACGCTTCGGAAACGTTTATGCCTTCGCAACCGTCGACTGCCTGTACGCCATTTTGTGGTTCTCTGCTTGGGTTTGTGTGGCTAGCTATGTGGCGGAAGGCAAGAGTAAGGGAAAGTCGGACTCTAGCTCCGATTCCAGCTCCAGCAGCAGTAGCTCGAGCAGTTCGTCGAGCAGAAGGGACACTAGCAGCAGTGACAGCAGCAGCAAAAGCGGATGCGATAACTGGGCCTACGGAAGCGCAAGTAAATGCAAGGTCAGCACAGCGACTGTGATCCTGGGCGTTGTTGTCTTGTAAGTATACCCATACGGCGTTCCTATCATATGTGCTAATGATGTGATAGCCTGCTCTTCTGCGTAACTGCCTTCATGTCCTTCCGCAATGTCTCGCATTTCCGCCGCACCGGAACCTTGCCCGACGCTGTCTCCGATCCCACCTTTGCCGCGCAGACAAAAGCCGCCTTTTCCTCGAACCCTGCCCATGATTTCGAGGAGGAAGAAGACGACTTCCGCTCCCGCGCTGGTATCGGCTCCTCTGTCCGTGGCGACAGGGACGAGGACTACGCTCTGCTGCAGCAGAGCGAGGTGGACGAGTTTGGAAACTCACACGCTGCACGCTCGGCGCTATCAGGCACATATGACCCGACGGTCTCTGGTGGAAGCGTGCTGCACGACTACAACACCAGCTATGGCGGTGCACACGGCCAACATTATGGAGGAGCGTCCGAATTCGGATCCAGTGTAAGTGGCTATGGACGCTGAGCGTGGCTAGCTGGTGGTTTTCTGCGTTTATCTCTTCGAAACGACCATGGAGCGGTGTTTGTGGGCGCACTCGTGCTGTATTACCCTTTTGATTGACATTTTGCGTGAAGTTCTCAACTGCCCATTTCTGTCTGCTGCTTCCACTGGTGATGACTGTATGCTGTGATTGGACGGGACAAGTCCCTTACGTGTTCGCATCGGACCTTATGTCTGCATGGTTATTGATGATCTGGATGACACTGTTGGACTATGACATAGATAGCATTTGTTCTGTAAATGTATATGGCCTATGCCAATTTCTCGCCTACCTCGCCAAAGCACTGCTATAAGCAGAGTCTTCGAATCCGTGCGAGCTTGCTTTCTTTAACTGTACTGCTGACCGGTCAGATAGTAGTCGAATCTTGACAATCATGCAACAGTTCCAACGTCTGTACGAGTAGCTGCAACTATAATTCACTATGCTTAGGCCGAGACAATACACCCCCTTCTATATCCACCAGTACCCCCACCCCTTCACAGCACCTCAAACATCCATGAACCATCGAATCCCCACAAATCATGGAACTAAGCTCCCACCCAGACTCAGAATTCCACCACATCTCCTACAATGGACTCGACTACTACATGAAAATCGTCAGTAACAACCCAAACTTGCGATTCCAAATCCAACAGTTATGTGTCTGTAACGAATAGATTCAGGCACATACGACCACAGGGTGTGGAAAATAGGGCTTTCTGTCCGCTCAGCTGTACTTAAGCCAAGACCGACAGCAGTCTTAAGAGACTCAATAGCCTCACGGCTGACCCTCCGCAGAGCTTTCCAACTGTCTATGACCCATCACCAAATCACTATATCTCTCTTGAGCGGAGAGGAGGGTACCTGGTATTCCCGAGAGAGGACCGATCAATTGAAGGCTATTTTTGGCCGCCTGGAGGGAATTAATGGCCTCAATAAGTCTGGCCTCGGCTTCAAGAATAAATTTCTCGATAGTGTCTTGAAAATCAGGAGCGAATCTTTCTATGTAGGACACACGGAGCAGCATACCAGACATAAGAGTATCCGGATAGAACAAGTTCAACGGAGCAGGTATTTTTGTAAAGATCACTACAAAATATTAAAGTCAGTAATACAAAGCGCACACGGCCAATTATATATTCGCCCAGAGTTACTCAAAATTGGCAAAGCCTTGCGGGGATACGTACAGAGGACAGCCTGAGTTCAACTGAGATAAAAAATCAATATTAAAGATAAAAAGCTGAAGGTTATCGTTAGCGGATGCACAGGCGAGGAGATTAAAGAAGAGGAAATCAGATCCCGGGATTTAAAGAAATTTCCCAGACTGAAAACAGGGGGCCTGAAAGAGAAGTAAATATGAAAAATTTATCTGAGGAATTAGGCATCTCGCCTAGAAGAGAGACTCTTCCTAGACCAAATCTTTTGATGGCTCTTTATTACCATTTTCTTTAAGTATCTTCATTTGTACGGATTTCTTGTCAGAACAATCACGGCTGAGATGCGCGGCCTTTGGCAGCGGAAACATTTGCCTTCATTCATCAGACGATTGCGGGTTTCAGTGTCTATACTTTTTTCACTGGTCGCTGAAGGCGCTTCTTTAGTCTTGATCGCTGGAGAAGTGCGATTCGCTGTTGTAGGGGCATTTAGGCTCTGTCGACGGCCAGAAGAGGGAGTCTGTCCTGTGCAGTTGCAACGCTTAGGATCTCGTCGATTAGGTCAGCTGAACGGGCACATTCCTCAACATACTGGTCAAAGTCAACTTCGTTGTCATTGAAACGAGATATTGTAAGTTCCTGGAGCTTGAACGGCAATCTCTGGTACAGGTCTTCCCTCCAGTAGTCTGGAACAATACCAGCCTCCACTGCAAGATAACGGAAGTTTGATATGAACGTGTAAAACTTACCTTTAGGAGCTATCTTCAAGTTATTGTACTGCCGGCGGGAATTGCGCCCTTTGTTCGGGTCGGAAAAGATGTTCTTCAGGTGAGCCAGCATGTCCTGAGCATCGTTGTAGGGATTATGGGACTCTGGGCGAACACGGGGAACCAAGTGACGTCGCGCATCCCCTTCACAGCGACTCGTGACATACGCCTTGCGAAGGATCGCGGTGCTATAGTGGTCAGCATTGGTGTCCAGTTCCTGGTGCATAGCCAGGGTCCAATCTTCAAAGTAGGGTCCTTCCCATCACTGAGCATGGAGGGCCAGGGATCTTTGTGGACTTACGAGGCTCGTTGGCGGCTCGTGCAGCCTGGGAACCAACGCGAGCCAACTGTACAGCAAAGAGATCTCGTTCAGTGGCCATATTATCTTTTTCTTCAACCAGATTATCGACCCGTTCGAGTAATGCATCTCTCTTAGTGGTTAAGTCGTTAACAGCGATCTCGGCGCGCTCTGTTTTTGTCTCCAGATGATTTAAAACGCGAAGGATCATATCAAAGGTGCGTTCAGGGTCTTTAGCGTACATGCTGTGGAATTCCTCACGGGAGATGTCTCCTTTGTTATCTGTAGACAGACTAAAGAGAAAGCTAGAAGGCGTTGGTGTCTTTTAATTCCTAATGGACATGGATCTCATATCACAATAAAGTTTATTGACTTCTATGATATGAATAAGATCCTCTAGGCTATAAATCCTCCTTATTCTACATATTCTCTGCAGCCGCTTGATTAGTATCTTTGGTCCTTTATCTCTTGCCTATAGTAACCAGCTGGAGGCTCTTTTACATGCCAGCCAGGGCCTAAGTCATATTACCAAGAGGAATTTCTTTAGGCTATTCTGGTCGAGCTGGAATAAGGCCTTATCTACAAGCAATATTGAGAGTGCATGGAAATCGGTCGGTTTATAGCCCTAGAACCCGGAGGTTGTTTTGACACGCTTTACTAAAGAGGAGGATCAAAGACCCTCTTCTGGTAAGTCATCATCACGCTCTATTCTGTAAGCAGAAGCCTGGAGAAGAATTGAAAGGCTTCTCAAGCAGGTCGTCTCTGATGTGTATGACCAGAACCCCAAAAATTAAGCAGTACCACCATCTCTCTACAGAGAATGTTCTGCTTAAGCTTCAGAATAAAGGACTTGAAAATGCCCTGCTGAATGAACAGAAGAAGCGCCAGAGAGCCCGTTAGATTACTCGAGAGGTTGACCCTCGTTTGTTTATTGTGTGGTGTATTTTGCCCCTCCTTCCACTATGTAGTGCAGTCATACCACATAGTCTCACCGTATGTTAATTTCCCTCTCTCTTTCTTTCTTTCTTTCCTCCTTTCTTTTTCAGCGTTTTCTTCTTGTTTTGATAGCTACGATAGTCTATCGAACGTTTCAGGTCTTATCCCTTACAAGAGGCTATGAACTGCATTCAAAGACAGGACTATTGCAAGGCGATATCTCTATCGGGAACCTTATTCTTAGCAATGACCACGCTGGACATTGACCGGCTGTTCTTATCGATTTAGACCTCGCTATCCTGGAACAGAGAAAAGCATCTTCTGAAGCAAAAGGGAAAACGGGAACAAGAGCATTTATGGCTATTGGATTGCTGTTTGGCGAGAAACACACATTCATGCATGGTCTGGAGTTTCTGGATTCTTTTCTGGATTTGTATACATGGAAGCTCTGGCGAGGAGTACCGTAAATTTGAGAAGGTGGACCGGAAGAGGAAGGTAGGGGGGGGGGTGCATGATCACTTACCTTGGATAAGGGTCGACACCTCCTGCGGCGAGGTAGCATCCTGCAGCTGAATCCAGACGGGAACCTGGGCAATGGAGCGCCCATTCTCGTCGAGCGTGGAGACAGTCGAGGAGGTGGTTTGGTCGCGCACCAAGAGTCCAAACTTGGGGTTGGCGGCCCAGAAGGCGGTTTCCGCCTGCGCCATCCCGATGGGCGCCAGGCCCGTGATGAGCTCCGAGCCGGGCGCCGTCCCCGGTAGGCCGGCAACCACCGCCTCTGCGAACAGCTGATGCAAATCCGGCTCGGACATAGGGATGGTGCCGGTGCGGTTCATGAGCCGCTCCGTTTGCTCCTTGGTCAGTCGTCCTTCGCTCTTGGTCTCACGTTCCACGTAGCCGACCCCGATGACCCGGGAGATATCGATGACCGACCCGGCGAGGCCCCGGCGGCGCCGGTTGTTCACCAGCGCCTTCATGAAACAGTTGGCCGCCGAGTAGGCCGCCTGGCCCATTTTACCGGTCGTCCCGACGATCGACGAGAAGGCGATGAACCAGTCTAGCGCATGGTACGTGAAAGCGCTGTCAAGATTCACGGTGCCGTCCATCTTGGGTTTCAGGACCGTCTGGAGGTCATCGAAGAATATTATTACTATGGGAGTATGCGAAGCACAAGGGCACTATTAGCAACGCCGGCAATCCGAGGCATCTTGCTTTTGATCACGCTGAGTATCAATTGAACTAACGTATACTGGATCAGATCACTGGACAAAAACAATCACTCTGTCAGTAGGATTTCAGATAGAATATAATTAAGCAGTTCACGTACCATGTAAAGTACTCGATGTGCGCTCTACGGGCTTGACACAACTTCTGCCATTCAGGGCAGACTATTGGGTTGCGGCTACCGAGAGCGATGTGCCTCGCACTATATTGGATTATAAAATCAGCCAGGGACTGCTCTATGTCTCCCGCCAGGCCCGCCAACCAGTAGGTTTTATCACTCTAGAAGAGATTATTCCTCACGGTGATTAACTCCACTAAGACCGAAACGGGCTGATTTGGGTCCCATTGAATCAATGCTAGGCTTGACTCTGGGAGCTGCTTCGTCACGGCTTCTCCAACAGTGAAAGTGTCGAGCGGCGCTCCGTCTGGAACTCCATTCAGTTGGGATTGTGCAAATGCCGAGACTCGTTCAAGAAGTAGCCCAATGTTCTCAAGGACAAGGGTTGACATCAGCGATGCCGTGCTGTGGACAAGATTAGAAAAGCCAAGTTTCTGGCCGGCCTGAGGTCGCAATGAGGCAATTCTGGTCCCAAGTCCATACTTGGACGCAGCAGTGGAAGATAGATCGATAATCAACGCAACGTCGCGCGGAATAAGTGCATCGATAGTGCGCGCAGGAGTTCTTTCGTGTACATAGATCCAGTTTCTTCTCTTCGCATTACTTGGCTTGCATGTTGTGAACACAATCGACTGACCCTCGCCAGCCGTTCGACCAGACAGCAAAGACGCAAGGCCAGGGTCGGGCTCGTGAATGAGCAGTGTACCCGCAGCGGGCCTCAATCTCAGGATATGCTGGCGAACAAGATTAGCAACCACAAACGACTTGAATTGCGCGTCGATGAGGTCGTTGTTGTCCACGGTGACCAGCATTGACTGCAGCAGAGTGACAATGGAGGAATTATCGGTGGACAAGTACAGAACCTTCTCGCATGTACCCTGGCAGATTCCAAGGCACAGGAAGTAATAGCCATCATTGGGCTTTGATTGCGGAGAGAAGCGAATACTCGACCTGAACCGTACGGTAGTCTTTGTGAGGCTCGGGAGCATCGTGCTTCTCCCGAAGCACGTAGGCGCCCCCATCATATTCCAGCCGGAGATCATTGGTTCCCAGGGTAGTTTCTCTCATAATCGGTCGGTGGAACGAATTGTATCGGTCATTCTGCTCGGCCTGAGGTTGCACACGAACCATGTGCAGCCTGTTCTTGGCAAGGATCAATTCTGGCTCTGGAGTCCAAAGGATTTAGTAGTAGTAACTGATATATTTCTATTGTCACACAGATCAAGTACCACTGAAACGAAGCAAGGTACTGGTATAGTGCCGGAGTATGGAGCGATCTCACTGGAAATGCAGGACTGGACTGATGGAATCAATAATCCCCAGTGGCAACGAGAGTCAAAGACAGTCTGGGGAGTGGACGGCCTTTATACTATATTTTCGACATATAAGTTCAGAGTTGACGGAGCAGCACGGTAAACTGAAGTTTCGTTTATCCAAGAATTATAGCAGCGCAGAGCTTTGAAGTTGTATCACCTGGCGCAATGTTCACATGTCAAGCCAGTGTCCCAGGAAAAGAGAATTGATGGCGTTATCGCATCGATGCAGGCTACTGAATGTACACCGGTCAGCGATGGGGAAGTGAGACCGGAAAGGTTCCGTTTCGCAGGCGCGGTGATAGATATCGAACCTAGTTAATGTTTACCATAGTTCAATAAGATTAAACCAAACATAATTCAGCCAGCGTAATCCGGTGGACAGGGGTATGAAAGTCACATTGCTTTCAATGCATGTAGGCTAGATCTACAGTGGACTGCTGCTCCACCGGTAGTCCTATCCAGGTCAAATCTTGCAACATGTGTTGCCATACGGTAGCATCCCAATCTTCAACTACCGCTGCAGACTCTGTGGCTCGAGGGGGATCTTCGGGTATTGGTTGTGGTAGCATATGAGGGTTCTCAGCGTCCTGGGTGTTTAATGTATCTCCTCGAACTTGTATTGATTGGGGCTGTATCCGACTGCTCTCTAACCATGAGAGCATGGATCCAATCACTGCCCGGCAATTATCCCAAACATCGTTTCTTCGTGACATTGCCTCCATTTTCTGCATAGCAGCAAGGCCGATGTTGTGGACATCTTTGTTATAGACTTCGACTGCCTTGCCTTTTGTCGCGGCATCCGAAAGCAAGCTCAGCTTCGATAAAACAAGAAGGCCGTACCAGATGGATGTGTAACTGAACATAGGGAGATTAGGTGTGACCGAAGCCGGCGATGCAAGGAATACCGTCACAATGTTGAATGCGGAACGCGCAATGGTGAGCAGTTGCTGTTTCTCATACTGGTGATGGACATCTCTTTGTCGCCGAAGAGCATGCCCGAGAACAATGGCAGGAATTGCGTTGAGCTCCAAACGAAGGGACCCTAGTCAGATCAGTAAATGGCGAAACTAATCAGTCTCAGATAGACATACAGGTATTACACTGTGTTTCCTGTACAAGAAGATGCTCGATTTGATTCTCAAGCACATCCATAGACTGGAACAGCTCGTCCTTGCTCATTGCACGGATGGGGTCTTCGAACTCTAGCTCCGATTGCTGAGCAAGCGACTGGATCTTAATTAGTGCTTTTAGAGACTGGTCAGTGGGATACTCCGCCCTTTGCCCTAAGCTATCAGCACAATACTCGACCCAGTCTGTATGTTTCATGGTCAGCTGTCGCCGGAATATCGAGGCTCTTCTTCTGTTAGTTAATATCACTGTACTGCGATTTAGAAGCTCTCACTTGGAACATAGATAATAGCATCCTAAGAAGGCACGCTGCCCATCAGGAGTCAGATAGAGTACTTGTTCTTTGTGTAACTCCTCCGTCCCTTTTCCATTATAAGAGATAGACTGCATTTTGAAGTTGTTGTATCTGTCAAGTCCCAAATCAACAACGATGGCCATAGCCATCTGAAGAAGCATGTACACCTGGGTATGATAGATGCGCCAATGATAGTGATACCATGCGATATGAACCAGTAACCCCCGAAGTAAATCCATGTCCCTCTCCATATTCATTACTATGCGGGTAGAGACGACAGTTCGAGCTTCATATTCCAATTTCTGCTGTAGAGTGGGCTTGTGCTCGAGGCAAGCTGTTATTATACACAAGAGGAGGAATGGAGACTGCTTGCGCAATTCAACAAAGCTCACTTCAGGTATAATAACGAATGGAAACAGGGGCATCAAGTCAGTGCGGAACTTCAAGAGAAGTTCTTCACCTTCAGTGATATTGAGAAGTCCCCGGGTAATAAAATCGTCGAACGGTTCAGGTACAGGGCTTGGCTGTACCGAAGTATTACTGATGTTAGAAGGGGATGGCGTTTCTGTTATAGGTGGCAGCTCCACCCTCGGGACCTAGTTGAAACAGTTGAGATAGTCTTCTGGCGGGAAAGGGGAGGCATCAGTTTGAATAGGATACCTTATCAGTATATAATTGAGCAGCAAGTGTATCGATCTGATGCTGGATGACATCGACGCGGCTATTTCTGGAGAGAGGGAGAGAACGTTACCCGACAGCCTACCCCAACACAGGTGTATATGGTCATTGGGCTAACCTGATGCTTGTATTCCTACGCGAGCCGTCTGGAAAAGCACAGTGTCGGTCGAGTCTCGCACATCGTTGACACCGTCCATTCTTAACCGGAACACATTTCACTTTCAACTGAATGCATCGTACACATGCATGCCGCCTTGAGGGAGCTTTGGGTTGCATTGCTCTTTGTATTGGGAGATAGCTCTAGTACCAGGGTGATGAGTGACACTGTGGTAGAAGCCGGAGGCAGAGGCCAACGCGGCGCGGAGTCGGAGTCGGCCTCATAGTCGGTCACGGGGCCGGGACCGGCCCTGGCCTACTATGCCAACAGACTACCTAATCCAGTAAACTGTTAGGAGACCAGGGACAGCATAAAACCTACAGTAAATTTTCGAATAACTTCATTGCCATAGACAACTAATACAATCGTTTGAAATCTGGGCCAACCTTGTTGATAATGTCTTCAAGTCCTGACGCGATGTTCAGAGCACAGCCAGTCGGCTCTGTGAAGCTCTATAGCATCTTGGCCGGAATTATGATAGCCACTTTCCTGATATCATTGGATGTCTCTATTATTGCTACTGTGAGTTCATTGAAAGTCTCTCGGTTCTATTTGCTTGATTTTTTTTGGAACTAAAAGTTACCTCTGAAAGGCTATTCCTTCAATATCAACCCACTTCCATGCTACAACAGATATCGGCTGGTATGGAGCTACCTATCCGCTCACGATGTGCGCTCTTCAACCTATCAGTGGCAAGCTCTCGTCATTGCTGTCGCTGCGATGGACATACCTCGGGTTCTACGGCATATTCCTTCTAGGATCTCTGATTTGCGGTGTGGCAAACAGTTCCGAAATGTTCATAATTGGAAGAGCAGTCGCTGGTGCTGGAGGCTCTGGGGTAGTGTCGGGTGGTCTCTCAGTCATTGCATTGATAACAACCCCTCAGCAGCGTCCACTGTTCACTGGGCTGATAGCTTCTCTTTATGCCCTGGGAACTGTTGTCGCCCCAATTATCGGAGGTGCTTTGGCTGAATATACTTGGAGGTGGTGCTTTCTAATCAATCTTCCAGCAGGAGCAGTGACTGTGGTGACGTTGCTTTTATTTTTCCATCCGCCTCAAAACACTGGGGCCCAACGTGTGTCCTTCCTAAAACAGCTCGATTTGATCGGATTTGCTCTCTTTATCCCCTCCATCATTATGGTGATGTTGGCCTTACAGTGGGGAGGTGGCGAATATCCCTGGGACTCAGCGACCGTGATCGGACTCTTCATCGGCTTTGCAGTGATGATAGCAATCTTTATCTTCTGGGAATGTTACATGGGGGATCAAGCTATGATCCCAATCGTGCTTCTGCGGGGCAGATCGACAATGCTTAGTATTGCATTTGCCTTTTTGTTTTTGGGGTCATTCGTCATTCCGGTCTACTATCTACCGGAATGGTTTCAAATTGTTAAGTCTGCAAGCCCCATTCGCAGTGGAGTTATGCTTCTGCCTTCGGTTTGTACTCAGGTTTTTGGATCCCTTGTCTCTGGAATACTAGGTAAAGACAGGATATATTCTCACTATTTCACAAAAATTCATACTAACGCTGTATTGCTATAGCCAAACACCTCAGATATTATAATCCGTGGCTCTTAATTGGTTCTGCCTTTCTCTGCATTGCGAGCGGGCTTTACACAACTTTTACTGTATCCTCAACGTCCGCATCGTGGATTGGTTATCAGATCTTCCAGGGCCTGGGTTGTGGATTTGCAGCCCAGATTCCTTTACTTACAGTTCAGCTTGTACTGAAGGACAGACCTCACTATGTTCCAGTCGGGATAGCGACTGTTCTCTTCACGCAATACTTTGGAAGTGCGGTGATGCAAAGCATAGGAGGCGCTATCTTTCAGAACGAATTGAAAAGACAGCTACAAGATCAGGCATCGTTGGATTATAAGCAGATCGAGATGCTTCTTAATACTGGAACCCTAAGGGTGCGGGAAGTTGCTGTACAAGCATTTCCGGACCGTTTAGCCGATATTATCATTGCATACAATAAAGCCATCACAACTATCTTTGTGAGTTAATCTTCTAATCTTGTCACCTCCGTGTTAAGCTGGCGATGCTGACTCTGCTAGTATCTTCCAATAGCTGGTAGCGCTCTAGCATTCATTCTATCCAGCGGAATTCCATGGGTCAATACTCGCCCAACGCAGGAAGATGACGATATGCATTGTACAGAGCAAACTGATAAGCTTCAGTCGGACAAGCAGGCCACTGTGTGAGGAATCAACGTTGCTGCCCATGGTTCACTGGGGATGCCACTCCAAGCAGAAACATACTTTGTATCTTAGACCGTCTGGAGCCTGGATTGGCGCCTGGACTAGACCTTAGATTGCATGGCTGCAGCTGCTTAGACCAATCTCATTTTGCTTGACATCAACCTGTAATGCTCCTTGGTATATAGGTAAGCACAACCCTTCTTCGGTGAGGCCCTAATACAGAAAAACTTTCCAAGATGTCAACGTAAATAGTATTCGGAATACACTAGTAATTCTATGGCCAAAGATATTAATGCATGAGCGTCTGAATTCCTGGATAACTAGAGCAAACTAGGCGACTATATACTAATCACTGAGAATTTTGGCCACGTATATCAATAGCAAAAATAAGAAAAATTGTCATATAGATAGAATCATAAAATCGGTAAAAATTTGTATGACGTTATGGCGATGGCTGACTAATCGAATATCTAGTTACCTAACTAGTTACTAGAGCTGATTATTATGGAAAGGCCTCTCTTGTACCCAGGCAATCGGGAATGGGTTACATCTATTGAGTGTATCAACTCTACTGGATGGGCACTTCCTCCATGTATTATCTTCAAAGGAAAAGTCCATATTGAGGGCTGGTATCAAGATTCAAAGATATCGCGTGATTGGAGAATTGAAGTTAGTTCTAATGGATGGACTACTGATAAGATAGGCCTTCGCTGGCTTAAGAATCTCTTTATTCCTGCTACTATTAGCCGTACGACTGGGAAATACTGTCTACTTATTCTTGATGGCCATGGCAGCCATCTCACACCTCAATTTGATCAGATATGCAGTGAGAAAGATATTATTCCTATCTGTATGCCTGCTCATTCTTCTCATAAACTGCAGCCTTTAGATATGGGCTGTTTTAAGTCTCTGAAAGATGCTCATGGATACTTAATAGCAGAGAATATACGGGCAGGCCTTAATCATTATGACAAGCTTGACTTTCTTAAGGCCTTTCCCCAAGCTCACGCGATTGCTTTTAAAGCAGAAACTATTCAGATTAGCTTTGCAGGTGCTGGTCTAATTCCATTAGATCCAGATAGGATACTTAGTGAGTTGAATATTCACTAAAGACCCCTACACCACCAGGCAGTTGATCAACTAATTCAGCACCTAAAACACCCTATACAACTAGGCAGCTGGAAAAGCAAGCATCTACTGTGAAAAAGCTCCTTCGAGCACGTACGCAGAGCCCACCATCTTCACTAGAAGTGCGATTAGACAAGATTATTAAAGGGCATGAACTAGCTTTAAATAACTAGAGCGACCAATCTAAGCCACGGAACTTGTGGCCGAGCAGAGGGTGGAACTGATAGATATCCTGCAGCCCCCCTCCATGTATTAAGATTCTCCAAGCTTTAGTCTCGTAATGAATGGACATACAAGTTGCGCCTAAGATTCTCCCATCGCATTTCCTTGCCTAATCGACAGGTTATCTACCTTGATAAGTAGTTCCGTTACAATTATTTACTCAATGTAAAAAGTTTGCCGCATTGCTCGACGGTGCGGAGAAGGCATGGTTAGAGTCGTTGAGGGCATGTGGTGCGAGCATGGAATCTTGATACTGCCTCTGCCTAATTATATTGCTCTCCAATGCACAACAGATTCTACGCTTTTGGTATAATTATCTACCATACTATCGAGGTCTGCTGGCTGATGTTCGTTATAGACTGTTTGTATAAGAAGTAAGTATTTATTTGAATTGCTTGCTTTTCTCTTGTCCTGATTGGCTGGTGTTTGCTTTCTGGTGGGTCTATAATCGACGCTTTTCCTATAATGGCGGACATAAAGTGCATTCTATAGAAGCGCTGCTGGTGGGAGTCAGGTCCACTATATTATGAGATATAGGAACATTTGCTGTTATAGCGATGAACACATAGTCTTTCTAAGTCTTTTGTATATCAATACACTGGTGCACAGTATGGCACTATTGATCAATTCTAACAATCGTAGAAAGTATATCATAGAACTAGGTTACAGCATGTACGGATTCCAGAGGGGTTGTGCGAGAGGCCTCTATATGCCCCACTAGAGCTGGACTTGAGCGATCTTTTAATCATTCAGAGACATGTTAACACTTTACAAGACAAATGAATATGAACTTCATCAAAAGCGTAGCTGATCTGGCTGCAGTCTGCAAAATACTTAACCGGTTGCTGACCGCCACCAACCATTGTGCCGGCAATTCTGCCACCGCCCGGACTTATCGCAGGACTGGACAACTTGCGTCCAGCCTTGCTTCTTTCCTACAGTCTGTCATCTCCCATACGTCTGTTGCCAATCAATCAATCCAACAGGTCGTCCCCGCGTGTTCCTAACAATACCTATTCTCGAACGTGAGTCAAGGACCCCTTACAATATAATCGAAACCACTAACAACGCCGCACAGACCATATTCTGGGTCACACCGAAACCTGAAACTACACACAATATCTACCTAGCTAGCTAGCATCTAGCTATACAAGATCTTCACACGACCACATCCACGACCACGACCACGACAACGATACCCAACACCATCAACCCCCCAAATCAACACACATAGAAGAATTCAAAATGGCCTCCATCGACCTCTTCACCCAATACCCCCTCCACCTCGACCCAGCCAGCAAAGCCATTTCCCTCAGCAACACCACCACCACGCCCCTCCCCACGCCCACCAGCACAATAACCACCGAACTCACACACCTCAATGCGCTCCACCGCTCCCTTATCTCCCTCGACCCGCCCAACATCCCCCCACCCCCACTACCCATCAACCCCAAGCGCAGCGCCCAAATCACCAAACTCCGCGACAGCGCCAACGCCGCATACCGCAAATCGAACCACGCTGAGGCGGCCCGCCTGTACACATACGCCATTGACATGGCGTTGGGCCGCCCCGGGTGGGAACCGGTCACGCTGGCGAGGGACGAGTTGGCGGGGTTGTATGCGAATCGGGCGCAGGCGTGGATGAGCCAGCGCGCGTGGCCGGAGGGGTTGGTCGATGCGAGATGTAGTGTTGAGAGTAAGCCCGTGGCGAATGTGAAGGCTTGGTGGAGGGGTGGGAGGTGCTTGGTGGAGATGGGCAGATGGGAGGAGGCCAAGGGGTTCGTGGAGAAGGGGTTGGAAATTGAGGGGAGGGTTAGTGAGGGGGGAAAGGAGCTTTTGGGGTTGCTGGGTGAGGTGGAGGAGGGGTTGAAGAGGAGTAGTGGGAGTGCTTGAGTCGGAGTTGTAGGACAATGTGTTGGATGAAAGGATGTATGTGGATATGTGTTAGGAGAAGGATGTGAATCGAGCTGGGATTCGATTATCTGGCGTACATTATTACTTTTCATTATTATATTTCCTAATGGCGTTATGGTTATATGAATATCATCATGCATTGATTGCGTTCTATCCTCCCATTTCTACGTATCTTCATACTAATATACAAAGAAGCTGCTATGTGATCAACGCTATGACCCAAACAAATTCCCTCCAAAGCTATCCCAAAAACAGCCTAGCACCTACACAGTAACAGTAAGGCTGAAACTTGAGAAAAAAAATAAAAATAAAAAATAAAAAAAGTGAAAAACAGTGGCGATCAACCCTCCCAACTAAAAGCAAAACAGTGACGCAAAAACAAAGTATGAAAAAAGATGAATGAAAAAAGAGACTCCGATGCGGGGAATCGAACCCCGAGCTGCTGTGTGAGAGACAGCGATGTTAGCCATTACACCACATCGGACTTTGTTGGAAATGTGTGGTACAGAGCAGATTATATTGGACTGAAGGGTTTTATGGTGTGGTTCGAGTGGGGACGGTTCCAGTTGGGTGGAGTGGGGCGGGAGGTGAGGGTTTTGCGTTTGCGTCATGGTTCGTTGGGGGTTCGTTTGGCTACTGGAGGGTTGGGTTGTGGGTGCTGGTATTGTTAGTTTGGATTAGTATGAGATGGTTGCATTAAGTGTATCTTGTCTATCTACTGGTGTATAGTTGGTTATAAATTTGTGTTTTTTGGGAAGGATTCTAGTTTAGTTTGGGTAGTATGATGTTCATTGAGTTAGAGAGGTCGATGATATATATCTCCGTAGTACTAGTAGCTAATATACGGTACCTATAAGTATTAGGCCCCCATTGGAATATAGCGGAAGTGATGCAGCTCCTGGTAGTATGGAGGTGCCATACTCGGATGTGAGCTCCGTTTTCTCACGTCGGTGTTAATGGTCGATAGAGTCTCGACCTTGATTGCGTATAATTTTTGTTCGGCTGCAGGTTTGGCATCACTTCTTAGAGTTTGGGGTCAGGCGACAGAACTACTCGCCCCTGGCAGGAGTAGTTTCAATTCTTTCTACTCGAGTAGAGGCAAGCACCAGTAGTACTGGAAATACTCGGTAAACACCACTGTCATCACTGCACAGCGTGTCATAGAGTGCCAGTTGGATATCATAAACATAAATAAATAGACAAACCCCAAACTCTTCCACCATTAGTTGCTCCCCCCGAGACATTTTGAATGGAAATTGAGAGGCAGAGACACCTCAGGAAGTAGAATAGTGGCAGTCATAAGTAGACCAAACTTGGCTTTCGCTGCCACACTGTCCAAGCAGACCCGGATCCCGGTTTTCTTTCATCACGAACCATTAGTCTGGAGGAAATTAAGATCTTGTAAACGCCCAGACAATCCCAGAGCCTCTTGCGCCCGTCTCCATGACCTGAAGGTCATGAACGCCAGAGAGTGACTTGGAAGAATGGAACATCGCGTCGGCGTCGGTTGAACATTGTGTCAGGCCTTAGCATGCGGGTTTCATTCCGGCCTCGGCTTCTCAGGAGTGAGCATGATGAATATTGACTTGAACTTTAATTTCTTCAGGACATCAACCATCAACCATATATGCTTTTGTGAAAAGGAGACAGTCTCCCCAAGTTCGACAGTCAACCAACATGACGTCCAGCATGAGGCACCGCAGAAGGACCTCCACCAGCCCGTGACAGCCACCAGCTGCCAACGGAGCACTTTGCCGTCGTACACTCCTTTGGTCCTGGAATTTCAGTAAATTCCTGGTCTGGATCTTCATCATCCATTGAAACTCCATATATAGCTGCTTCATAGATGGAATGCTCATCAGCTGCATTGTGTTCACGGTATCTCGATTCCGACCTTTCCCACGCGGTCCGGCGCATCGTTCGTATATTTTATGATTCAGTCGGCGGATGGTCGTGCCCTGCTCTGCCTCGGGGAACTCAGCGAAGGCCTTGACCTTCTTGGAGAAGGTGAGTTTGGTGGAGAGCTCCTGCAGTCGTTCGATCAATTCTGCGCTGAGATGCGCGCCAATCGCCATCTATTTCCGTTCAGCTATCACGGCTGCCTTGGAATGAAACTCGCCTGCTTCCTGGTGTACTCCATCCTAAAGCTCCTGGGCATACCGGTGAGCTCTTCTATGAAGTTTGGCTTGCCGCGAAGGGCCTGTTCTGTGATGGTGCATACTTCAGCCTCCCCGGTGTTCCATCCCTTGATATCCTCCATGAACTGGATGGCCTCGACGAGGCGCGCGCCCTTGTTCGCGGCAGCCCGCATATTATATCGGAACTGTTACAGCTTCTGCATGAACTGGTCCAGCACCGCCTTTCTTGTCGCCCGTTGTGAACCAGCGTGCTCATCTCCAACAACCAGCTCAACGATGTCCTCCAGCGAGAGAGCTTTTCCCCTCCAATCGCATTCGCGGGTTGTGACCAGCCCGTCTGGGGATAGCTTCACATACCCACGGCGAAGCTCGCATGTTGGGTATTCGTCTGCACAGGGCTGTCTCTTCCATTGGATGGACACTGCGATGTTCTCATCATCGACTCGTAATGTAGCAAGTGTCAGAGTTACCCTCTAATGCTGGGTGCGTAGAAGTCAGTTTCGCTTGAGCTCACTGACAGCTACCAACTAGATCAAAGGAGATATATCTTGTTGAGCAGTGATGCTTCTGTCTACTGACATGTGCAAGGTTGGTACTGCATGTGATGGTAGCTGTTAACCCCCATAGTATAGAAGGCGTTGAATCTTTGTGTCGCAGACTTCATTCCAGCTCTCAACTGATTGACCGAATTGGGACGGGCGACGACATGCATTGACCGGCCATTATTCAGGCGTGCTTCGATTGCTGGCACTAGTTCGCGGCTTGCTTGAACCATTCGAGGTTTGAGCGTACTAGTATATCCTCTCCGGCGGAAGTCGCCGAACGATGAAGGTAGTTTTATATAAAGGATATATAATGGCGCTGCTAAATCGAGCTTCTCATAATGCTGCGTTGATGCATAGCTCTTTGCCAGAGACAGACGTTCACACAGTCTCATTCTCTTCCTTCAGGTCAACTTGATCGCGGAGGATGGGCAGCATGCCCCGCATTCTCAGTGAAGTTCTGGGCTTTTCATCTCCCAAATCGGCTTTTACTTAAGTTGTCAGTCCCAGTCACGAGAGCATTATGCCTGTAACACCCATCCGGTGACCATGAATGCCTTTTGTTCGCTCTTCCTTTATCACAGTCTTGGCTTCAAGAACTTCTTCCAACTAGGATCCAGTTGCTGAATGGTCGCTAGGGACAGAAAATATATGGCGCGATAACTTTTCTCCATGTTGATAGAGCGCAAGGGCTGAATTCAGATTGTGCCTTCTCAGCTCACCTTTGTTCCAAAGGAACAGCTTGGCTTCTACCGAAAGTGCACATAGAGTTGTTATCTCTGATCTTATTCCCCGCTTCCAGCGTCGGAGATAACCATCTCTGAGGGGAACATATGAGAGGTAACCAGGCCCATCCCTGGTCACTGAATGCTTTTGTTTTGTAGACAGTATTGACAGGCCATAGTAGTCACCGCACTTTCTATGTTTGGAGCAAATAGTAGCTTTAAACCTTCAAGAGTACCGGAGGTCATTGAAAAAAACGGCGGTGATGGTATGAAGACGTGGCATCTGCGTTGATGTTCCTGTAAATGAGGGTTTGTATGGCCGTCCCCAGTCATCCTTATAGCAGAGGGTGACATGGGGATAACTGGAACGACGAAGGATTGGAGAGTAGATGTCTAAATCGAGTAGAATGCCGGCAAAAGCAGGCAGTGCCAGTTTAATGAAGAAACAATAACGCGTTAGAGCCTTGAGGTTGGGGCGATATATCACAGAAATGTGGCACCCCGCAAGCAGTACTCGCAGATGAACAACATCCTGCTGGATGACTACCGACCACGTAGTAACAATGCTCGGACCCCTCAGATCGCTCATCTACACCGAAAAGTAATGCTGTTAGTAAGCTAGATCTGGCTGACGAGTTCCTTTGAGTCGATAGAAGAGAGCATCGCCCAGAGTGGCATATGCCCGGAAGAGTCGCTGGATGATGGCAATTGCGAGGCATGATGCAAGCGAGAGTGAAAGGGGTAAGGTCCACACATGAAGAGACCACGGGAGGAGTAAAGACGCGCAAAAAGTGATGGTTGATGAGAAGATGCAAGGCTGCACGAAGAGAGAGCAATTGCTGCTGAATCAAGTACAGTTCAGCTAAACAAGTATGTCGAACAATCATACTCCGGGGTTAGAGGCACAGCAGTAGCACTTGACAATGTCAATTCGAACATCATTGCTCGGATGCTTTGAGCATGATCGCTCCACGGGTTCTTGACGACTGGGGCAGTTCCAGTGTTACTAGGATCCAGGCAGTAAAACCACACGACACTAATAGCGGGTTTGAAGCAGGAGATATCTTGTTTCCATAGCATCTCAAGTTGCTAACCAGGTGCATACAAAAACCAGCTCTGCTGCGATTGTTTCCAAAGTATAAGTAAGTGGGCCTTTAGCCCATTGCCCCATGATTTGTGGTACGATGATGAGCAATGTGCGAGTTACCCCGTGCCCTATATCGTCATTTCGGCCGTGTTGCGATAGGTTGGCTCTGAGATGAGTTTGCACCGATAAAGCGACACAATATGTTATCGACAATATTCTTATAATATATCACTATCCATCAACCATATCATAAAATGGTATTGTCATTGTACAATAGGACCATTAGTCGCAGCTAAGCCGGTGCTCCGATCAGTCTGAAGCCAATTCCTTAGACCAAGTGCCCTTCAGAAAGACACCAAGGTTCAACCGGAGGAGTGAGTCGTGGCCATAGAATGGACGGACTGACCCACTTCTGGCCGATACGTAGTAGCTCATCTTGACACTGCTCATTTCTCCATCCCAACCGTCTTCGTCTCCCTTGAGCTCATCAAAGAAGCCAGTATACCACAATCTGCGATCAGTGCGGTCTTTGTTGCTTCATGGTCTTAAAGCTGGATTATGTTCGGATTTATAATCTGGATGAGATAGTCTGTTACTGTTCCACGGCACCAAGCATGCCGGGTGGAGACGCAACCATGCGACATCAGAGTTATCGGTATCAGAATCCATCTTCGTATCACGTCGATGCCTTTTCAATAGCGGAGAATCCAGTGCATCCATTTCCGCGCGCCAAAGAGCAGCTCTCAGTTCAGAACGTAAGGAGCATTGATAGTGCGACCTTGGCAATAGATAGAGACCGAGCTCTTCATCGTCTCAAGTGGATATAAATACAGTAGGCGCCTGAGAGAAATGACAGACGGGGAAGCTGGTAGGCAAGAATCAACATGTTGCGTGCGTTCTTCCCAGACTTCCTGCCCTTGAAAGCCGTATTGCCGGCACCGCCAAAAGTGGACCAGAGCAGCGGCTAATGCAGTTCGCTGCCTTGTTCGTGGGGTTTGCCAAATCAGCTGTACGTTTCAAGCTGTTTGAAGCATAAGCCATGATGAAGTATAATGCCATGAAGGGATCCGCCGGGAAAGACAAAGAAGTCGAAGAAGCCGATTCTTGCGAGGATACCAAGTGGCCAACGGTCTGCATTATAGAGACACGACTCCAAGAAGACCAGAGAGCCGCTTGTGAAGCTGGTCGGGGTCGAAGTCCAAGGCATCAGTGCTAAGCTTTACCTAAAATGTTCAGACGATGACATCATGCATCGACGGTTCTTCGAGAGAGCACAAGATGAGGGTAAAGTGCAGTGTATATATAGAACAACAAGGCTCTAGGTGCCTTCTAGTCATTTATGAGATGGTCCGGTTCATGGACAATAGGGTATATAACTTTTATAGGGCAGGTTGTTCGACCGGTAATTGCGCACCGTATGTGCTGTGTGGAAGAGCAAAGCAGTTGATACTATAAACAGACGGAAAATGACCGGATGGAACTGCAAGGTATTCCCAATCTGAGCTCCTTCATGTAGTGTATCTGTTGCGTTGTCTAGAAGCGACTTTGTTGATGAGAGGTCGATAAGCAGAAGCAAGAAGGTCATATTGAAATGAACAGCCCGGTGACTGAGAAAGTCTTCGTAAGCATGAAATGCAGCAGAGCGCTTGATTCAACACTGTATGAGGTCAGACACCAGCTGACGTTTATACCGTTATCCAAGCGTAGAACGCAGTGCAAATGACAATGCCAACGTCGAAAGCGGCATATTTGTATGGCGCTCTGCCCAGTTCAGGTTTGAGATTGTGATATTCGATCCAACCAACTGTATTATAAGCTCCGATTATTTTGGCAAAGTTTGTTAATCCGATGTCGTTATCCTCGGTCTGTCTTTGGGGAGTTTGGGGACTTGAGGTGTGTCGTTTCATCCCGGATTCTTCATGCACTCAGCCCAAGGAATATGGTATTCTTTCGTGACGGAGGTAAATCAGAATACACTCTCTGCTTAACACTGCTTGAAATATGGTGCGAAGATGGACGAGAGCGAGTACATTTTCAAAATATTTCCAGGAAGTAAACATCCAACTAGGAGAAATTCACTCAAGCGCTGCTCACCAGCCAGCTTACGCTGTTCTGATGGACTAGAACAGTCATATATGAAACTGCAGCTTATCCAGTTCTGAACGGAACACTGGAAATATAAGGTGCCGCATTTGCTTATAATTGCGTACTCGGGGAAGCTAAGACGCCCATAGTAGCTCGGCTTCAAACCTTACTGTTGGAGGACAATGTAAGGTCTTTTTGAGGTTTTGCCGGAATATCGCTTGGCAGTCTGTGTGGCCCGTGAAGATGATGTGGACCACCAGGGTCACGTTGAAGTCTTGAAGGAACGGAATTTCTTCATACATGATCCCTTGCGGCAATGAAGAGTGGGCAGCCTCATCGAACATCAGTATGGAAGTGTTGTGTATTGGGTTAACCGCAGATGAGATCACCCAAGTATAAGAACAAAAGCATTGTCTCACCACTGCGTTTTCGAAAACATTTGCTCGACGGGATGTCAAGATCAAGTTCCGAAACTGGTCAACGCAGAGCACTCTGAACCGCTGGATCTTCCCCAGTTCAGCCTTTGACCACATTAATAATGGTTCCAATCACGCCTTGCTCGATCAGTAGGATAAGCAATGATGTGAAGCGATGGACGTATTCGAACGGGTTCCCGAAAGAACGATATATAATAGCCAAGGCAGCACCCATAGCCTTCACCAGCTACCGCGCACCCTGAACAAAAGCGGGTCGCCGTGAAGACCAGCCGACGCAAGATTTGACACTTCCAGAGAGCCAAAAACCATCAGTGCAGGCAGAAAACCCGCTGTAGCCATAACGGACTGAGTTATCTTTGACAGTTAGCAAGGATGCCTTTGGAAAATCATAACGCGAAAATGAAATGGTAAATGTCATACAGCCTGCCTTGCGTCGACGCACCAGCTGAAGGTACGCTGGCATTCAAAGGCTGCATTTACCAGAAATAGCTTTCCTAGGCTGAATAAGTGGAGAAGAACAAGTACCATCTAAAGTATCTTGACATACTCATGACTCAGTTGGCCCGCGGCTGTGACTAGCTGGCCACAATACTTCTGGAATATTGGTGGATGTGGTGGATATAGTGACGTCTCTCAATAGAGTTGGTAGATTGATGAAGCAGGATGTGATTGTTTGTGGACCGATAGCAACATCATCAGCTTTCCAGGTCTTAGAAGAACTATCTCAGTCCCGTCGATTTCGATCGCTTATGCCTGTCGGAATCTTCTTCCGCAGGGCCAAAGGCATTCTAGCCTTTCCAGATTGTCCGATGCAAACGAAAAGACGGATCCATCCATCTCCATCTGTTTCAATCATAGGCGGTTGCATTTGGCCAGCTTCGCTTTCATCTGCGTAAAAGGATGATACTATTCTCCTTGACTCTCTCAGATTGCGCTTTGTATATGATGGTATTAACCGATACTGGACTTTTTGCGGAACGACATTGTCTGCATGTAGAATCAGCATCAGCGATATGTAGTGGTGCATTTTGGTGATCCCTTTACATTCACGAACCATTTCCAGCTATTCTCGGAGGCGGTGCTTCTTGTCTGTGGTCGAAGATGCTTTAGACATCGAATGTCCAGAACTGTGGTATCCAGAGGCATTATCTGGTCGATGTCATCAGACGCCATTTTAAGTTTAGAATGGTCACGCATTTGCTCAACAGCAATATTCCCTGGCAAGCCGAGCATGATGGAGCGCCAGCCAGAGATATACCAGTTGAGAGAAAGTAGCAACAGCGACAACATCATTGGTCGTAAACAATATGCAATTCAGAAAGCCCAGCAGTATTACCTGAAGTTCTGTTCCTCAGATAATGGGCCTCGTCGCATATGACGAGGTCAAAGCATCCACCAAGACTGTGCGGAAAGTCGGATCGGATGGACTCAGTCGGCTTATACTTCTCCGAGTATTTGTTCTTGTGCCACTCAGAGACTGCAGAGAGACCATGGCGCTTCTCAAGAGTATTGTAGGTAGTAAGTACCATTGAATATCTGCCATCGAAATCTGGCTGAAACATCGGATGCTTTTTAGTCAACTTATTCTTGACATAGAGGGAGCTTCCCGTCTGTGTCCGATTATCACCGAAATAGACAAACGTCTAGTTTATTGCTTAGCTTGCGCAATTCAGATGACCACTGGTCCAGCAGGTGTGGAGGAACCACAATCAAAGTAGGCTTGGTAGTGAATTTCTCGCCTGCTTGCAGCTTCTTGCGCTTGTCCCGGGCCACCTGCTAGGCGTTAGCTGTATTTGCCTAATACCAGGATTCCTTGCAGGGCTCACTTACTGTCAGAATGAATGCAATGAATTCGATTGTCTTCCCGAGGCCCACAGCGTCAGCGAGGATGGCGCCTTTGGTTACCTGGGCGCACCAGATCCGCCAAAGCCTCCAGACGGCCGGCCCCTGCCAAATAACGAGAAGGGTTATAAGAAGGGGACGACACAGATAAATCACTGGCAGTGGAACAGGTAGGCAGCACACTGGTTCATAACGTGTTTGTTGGGCGAATGAAAGCAGTTCCATTGAGCTGCTTGACCGAACGAGCTTCCGAGCACATATTACGCTCCATGCCCCCATTCCTTCGTTCGCCCGAAGACGTAGGCATCGAACGACGCCGTCTCAGGGAAATCATATACTCTCCGACCAGGCCGAATGCGTCGAGACCAGGCACAGTCCAGATCAAGATGCAGTACTGGAGGGGATGACGTGAACGATTTAGACGAAGGATATGGCAGGTTGAGAACGAAACCTCTATCTCATATAATGAATTTTGGCACAAGAACCAGAAATTCTGGGTTGGGTGGATTTCAGTGTTATTGGTTGGGGGTGGTTGGATGTGCTGCACAACATCTTGCCTTGACTGAACGAAGGCCTGGCCGTTCTTAAACCTAGAGCAGCTCCATTCATAGGTGAGGTAGCGAGATGTGGGTGATATGACCTCTTTCTGTTCTTTCTGGCGTCGCTTGTCTTGACTTAATATTATAATTGTCTTGGTGTTTGGTCTCGCAGAATACCTCTTAGACGTCTTATAGGGGTTAGTAGACATCATCAAGATCCAGCGGGGATGGATACAGCATCACCCGCTAGATCGTACACTGCCTTGCACATTCATACCCGCAACATGACAGTGGGTACAGACTGACGCGCGTAAGCTGAACCCGATTCTGGGACAGGCAACTCAAGTGTGGCGTTTCCAGACTCGCGGCTCCTGAATTGGAATGGAAGTCACGAGGCAGGATCGTCTTGTCTATATCGAGAGAATAAGAAACACAGTGGAACAAGACATAGAACCACCGATTAGCGCTAGTTGCAGTGTGCATAGAGAAAGTAACTAACGGAAACGCTAGTTCTACTCATCGAGCTGACGCCAGGATGTGCTCCCGGAGACATCTACCGCCAAGCCGGCGGTAGTTGATTCAGTGTTGTGAATAATAAAGCAATGTTTGTTTTATTCGAACAAACGCACTCATAGTACTCTTCTGCCCTGGAACCAGAACCAGATAATGAGCTCTTCAAAGAATGAGTTTTCTTCCCTGGCCGCAGCCAGGAACCTTTCGGCACATGCTGATGGTCTCTGCAGTCTCGGATACCCATATTTGGCTTTGATGGCTCTGGACGTTGAGTCCGGAGATAGAGCTCTCAAGTCGTAAGGTGCAACAAACATTCCGGTGGAGTGGCTAGCCACGATAATGACCTAGCTGGATTAGATGCTTTGCCAACTGAGGGAAGAATGTCACAGGATAATTCTGAAGAGGCCCATGTGGGAAACGATGTATGCTCGAAGATGTATCGAACAATGTGAACTAGAGCTTCCCAAAACCCATGGTCCCTTCGCCTTGGTATCGATTGAATGTTATGCTGTCGGGTAGCCTATCGCACTGCACAATTGGAAAGTTCGTGGGTGTAGTTGTATAGGAAGTTTGCCCATGTGTTTCACGATTTGACTGAAGTGACTAATAGGCGCTGAGGAGTGCTAAAGATGACTTAAAGACCTGAGTGGCGTAGATGGCGGCAACATAGGCTGAGCTCACTGTGCATCTCTTGGTTAATCTAGACCCATGAATATATTGAAGTTCTCTGCGAAGAACCGATAGTATGACGGTTTGTCGGAGCACCAAGGTACAATTATAACAGCAGCGGCGTTGGCTAGCAGCCCAATCATGCGTATTGAGCATAATGAAGGTACATCGGAAGAGTGGTCATATCATTTAAAAATGTAGAGAGATAGGAGCTGTGAAAATGGTCTTGTGCTAGGCTATTCGTGAGGATATTCCCTAGCGGTATAGAGGCACTGAAGTAACAAGATGCATTGTGTCTTGTCCCTGGTAAGGCTTTTGACCTCCGTAGACCGTAGAGTTTCAGATGCACAGAAGAGTAAATCCTCAGTTTCCGCAGCTCGTGTTAAGCAAACTTTCGAATGCAGTGTTCGTCTGAGACCAATATGTATGGTGACCATTCGCCTAAACTGACCGAATCGTTGCAATAGTTCGTGACTCGAGAGTACTGAGTGCTTCAGGGAGGGATGCTCAATCAAGCCAACCCTATCGTATAACCGAAGCATAAAGATACCAGCATAGCACGTTCTGCAGCACCAGGCGATCGCACCATGACCACGCCGATCGATGGGTATATATTCGTTCTCTCCATCTGGCAAGCCATAGTATTCAAGGATATCGACCGACTGAAATGCAGCATTCATCATATCGGCAGTCACTTCAACGATGTTGTCGACGAAATAGTACATTCCTTTCGACAGGGGCATCATGAAGGTGTCATTGAAGGACGTATCGACTATCACCAAGTAAATCGATGATGTGCTAACCTCGACGCTAATGGAAGTTGAGCATCGTAGTTATGCTGGTGTGAGGAAGCTAGGGAGAGTGATATGAAATGAGACGACAGACAATATCTTCAGCTCTGAGATATCGCTGATGATTTAAGAATGGATATAGGTCTCTTCACGGGATACGAGGGGATATGGTGACTCATATGGCAGTTACCAGAGCCATTCGAGGAGATGAGAAGAGGACCATTCCAGCACATAGTATAGACGTCCAACGATGAAGAGGAAAAGTAGGACGCTCATTATATCAAGAGGAAGATGGTGTTAGGATGTATCTTTTGTCGATGGTGCCATGAGATATAGATATAATAAAGAAGAGTATATACTTTGAAGATGCCAATGGGCGTCTGAGGAAGAGAGGGGTGAGGAGGAAAAGAAAGGAGAAGGGGGCGAAGCGGGCTTTTATAATAGCTGCAGACCGGGTATCAGCTGATCTAATTACCATCCACGAGTGTGAAGCGAGTTGGTGAAGAACAATATTCATACAATACGCGACACGTATGGAATCACTAAGGGTAGGGAATCGTGAATCAGAAGTCGTAGTGAGTGCTCATAATCTCATCAGGCGATGCATTTCTATGGCTGAGAGACAAGAGAAGCATGCACTGGTATCTCGCCATAGACCAATTAGCTTCTGAGGATATAGCCAAAAGGAATTCCGGGTAATTGGGGAAAGGGAACTAATGAAGAGAGTGAAGATGTCTGCGCATGCAGCAGAATATGTGATTCGGAAATTTCCATTAAATTACCCACCAGTGTGAATCAACACCCGGTATCTGTTGATTCTTATTGCGTCACTATTGCAAGGGTGTGAAGTGACTAAGGCCTCACGGGATGAGTTATTAATGAATTCACGTGCAGTGTGGTAATAAAAGGGAGTTTGGTAAAATGTGACATGGAAGCCATCATGATGTGGGCAAAGGCGATCTGTACGGATTTGGAATATGCACCGCCAGATTGTAGGATTTCCATGTTCGAAGAAACCAAGAGAAGCAGAGGGCATCAATCAAGCAGATTACTACGGCAGCAATCTACAGGTCTTCACCACAATCCCTTAGTGGCCAAATTGCAATCAAATCTTGAGAACCATATTCCAAAGCTAACTAAATGCTACTAAAACAAAAGCCATGATGGGAATCATACAAAAGAAACCTAACAAAGATAGAAAAGATACAAGATGCAACTTAAACTTGCACACTAGACCCATCACTCTTCTTGCAAGAAGAGCACGCCCCAGTGCCAGCCGCAACTTGAGACGGCGTGCGAGCAAAGCTAGGAGGGACGTCCAAGGCAGGGTTCCTCGCGAAGAAGTGTCTCGGACGAAGAAGCAGAGTCATCGGCTCAGCAGGCATGATAGGATAGTCTTCAGGGGCAGGGAAGTGTGTCAGGCCAAACGTGTGCCATAGGACGACGTCCGTGTTCTCGATAGAGGAATTCGGACCAGCGGCTTCAATCCAGGCTGGCAGGCCATGGGATGGTTCACCCGAGGTTTGGGGTACATGGCGACCGGCAGGGTGAATCTCGTCATCAGAGTCTTTATTCGGAAGTTAGTGAAACGGTTCATGTACGAAAATGCAGGGCAGTGACTTACACTTGGTGACATGCACAGCATGTCGAGCGAATCCAGCCCGCTTCCACACCAAACTACCTTCCTTAGGAAGCAAGGGAGGCACTTCACGGCTGACGAGCTTGTAGCAGACAGGCTTCTTGCTGTTGGGGTTCAGCTTGTTGGTGTTTGCAATTTCCCAGGTTCTGGATGTGTTGCCGTCATAGTCGGACATTGCTTCAAGAGGCGTAGTGAACTTTGTCTTCTTGGCGTAGAATGCGTTTCCGTACGGGTTCTCAGCACTTCCCACCTCCGCTTCACTGCGAGTTGCGTCGACTTGGAAGACGGTGTTGTTGGGTCCGTCGACATTGGCGTCCACACGCAGACAGAACAGATGCTGGTGGTTGTGTGCGTTGACTCCAGGGTAGACTTCAGTACCCCAGCCCTTGGTGTCCTCGCCGGGGTTCATGGCATAGGTGTTCAGAATACCGGTGAGCTTGATGTCGAGCTGGATAGTGCCGTCCTGGTGGAAGATCCAGTAGACGCAGTACTCGTAGTTAGCGGCAGTGAAGATGTGGGAGATGACCAGCTTCCGGCCACGAGTTACAATGACAGACTCGTCACGGAAGTCGGTGTGCTTGAAAAGGATACCGGCGTCTTCCTCATGGATACAGATGGCGTTCTTGATGATCGTGCTGGCGCCCGCACGGTTGACAAAGGCAGCATCCATGTAGTGGATGGCGCCCTTGCAGTCGCAGCCGAGGGAAAGACTGTTGGTCATGTAGCCACCGCCGTACTCTCCCAGGTCGAAAGCGTGCTTGCGCTGATGAGGGTGCTCAGGATTTCCGTAGGGGACGACCATCTCTGCGAGAGAGAGACGGTAGAACACGGGGCGGACATTTCCATTGTCATTGAAGGTAATGTTGTTCAAGACGATACCCTCACGGTAGTTGAAACCAACGTGGATGTTCCACTTTTGCCAGTCGATAGTACGTCCGTTGATACCGAAAGAAACACCCTCTGGCTGAGTGATGTGAATGGGCTTAATATCCGTCCTGTAACCACCATCTTTCTCAATCGACGCGGGGTGGTAGTTGTTGGGAGGCGCCTTGCTGATGGGCCTCCGGACCGGCGGGATATCGATGTGAATGACCTGCTTCGTTTCCGCATTGAAGATAGGGCAGAAGTCCAGAGGAAACGTGTATTGAGAATCGTCAATGTGGGGACGGTAGTACATAAGAGCCTGTTGCAGACGAACACCATTGCCGAAACGCTCGTCGTATCCGATTGTCCAAGCTGCAAACGAATTAGCAACATGCAAGTCAGAACAAGTCGTACAACAACAACTTACGATCGCAGTAAACCTTGTGCATTTCCTCCTTAGGAATGCCGATGATCGCGCACTGCTCAATGACCTTGGGATCCTGGCGGACAATCGACTCAACCTCCTGCAAATCTTCCATGGTGATCAGGGGTTGCACGCCAGGCGTGTGTTCCCATCTCAGGATCTTTTTGTTATCAAGGTCGACGATTCCATCGTAGACCTTGCCGCCAGGCGCAATGGCAACGATATCCGCAGCACGAGTGGGACGGGGAGCCTTCTGCGGGTTTTCCAGCCATGCCATCATCTCCGCCTTGCGGGGCTCATACAGAGTGACCGCATTGAAGTTGACCTTGCCATACTCCTTGCGGATAAGGGCGACAGCGGTGTCGATTTCCACTGTCGAGAGGGGATCCAGAGGATGAGGAGGAGGAGAAGTAGCTTGGACCTGGTGGGTCAGCTGTTGAAGGCGCTCAAGAACCATGATGAAGGAGCGGTGTAATGAAAGCGGAATTGCGTCTCAACGAAATCCGTGGTGTGCAGCAGAAAGTATGGGAGAGGTAAGAGTATATGTTTTCCTCACTTGGAAAATAAACCGGCGACCTGGCCGGGTTGTACGGTAGGACAAGTAACGAAGAAGTAAAGTGATGCTACCACACAGACTGTGTGAAACCATAGTCGACACAGAGGGGGACAACCCACCTTATAAGCAGCAAGCGCATGGCTGCACGAGCGCATTGCCAGAGGAGGATATGATTGTACAGCACGACCGCTGCACCACCGATAAGATATGCCTCGATAAGCACGCACGGATTCCTTGCCTCGAAGCGGTCTAGTGCCAACTGTTTCTCCGCCGCGACTCAAAGCGGCAATCGGAACCTTGTCCAAGACTACCGGTGAGATAGGCTACCCCGGATTCGCAGACTGACCCGAGCGTCGGCCTGGAAGGGTCCGATCTAGGCATCGGATGTGGTTGCCCCTATCAGGTTCACCAAGGGATGGCAGTCAGTCTTCGTTCCCCTCCTGATGCAAGATCAGCAGACCGATCGCGGACGGGGTAATACAACGCGTTCTGCATCACTGCCAGGCTGTCATTGAGCCACGAAGGGTGAAGTGGGTCTGAGCTACTAACAAGATAGTTTGATAATGCTAATTAATAACCTGTCTATCAAGGAGGCGAAGTAGATTCCAAACCAGTTCTATCTACGTGGATAGAAACGAAAGGAGTGGCAAACCCCGGACGCTTAAAGAAAATAATGCTTGACGTAGATCACATTCCAGCCGGAGACGAACACCATACACCTATTGCAAACACCCACCTCCAAGGCAATACGAAGGCACTGCAGGCGATGAACTCCTTGAAACGGACCGAAAGAAAAAAAAAGAAACAAGACTAAGAAAACAAGACAATGCACCAAGAAAACACAACCGATGCCACATGCTATGTACATCCATCACATCATATAGATTCCTTGCCATCTCTGCCGAAAGCAACATGACAAATAGGGTGAAAAAAGTAATCAGAACCGCCGGCTAAGGTTCAATGGAGAGAAGTGACCGTGGATCCGGGTGCTGTTGCCAGACCCAACCGGCCAGGAGTAGGAGCCTATACAAGCAAGAGAGCAAAGAGTCAGGGAAAATGTACCTAAACGTAGACAATATCTCGAACTCCCCGAACCTGATCTAACACCAAATATTGAAAGGAGATAATACCAAGACAGCCAGACAAACCGACGAGCCTCATGACTTGGCAAGCTGGAATTGCCCCAGGGCGCCGCCGGTTGCACCAGGTGTCAGTGTATGGGGTGTTTGACTGCCCAGGTGACCGGCGTTGGGTGTGCTTGGCGTGCCGGTAGCTGAGTAAATTGTGGCGCCGTTGAGATTGGGAGTTTGGTGTGGCTGCATGTGGTACAACAGAGCAGGCATCTGACCGTTCAAGCCCCAAATCTGTCCTGAGTATTTCGACTCGTCGATGCTGCCGTTGAAGACGAGTTGGCGCATCTTCCAGTAGATCTCACCCGTCACGAGAGAGTCCGACCCTGCCTGATGAGCGATGCCGACGCGCTTGACACCGAGCTCATCCGCAATGTCTTGCAGACCCGACTTCTGTCCGAGATTAGTGAGGATCTGAGCAGCGGCTGGCGTTAACGGAGAGTCGTTTACAGCCTGATTGCGTCCTGCATGTTTCATCAAGTATTTGATATCATACAGCGACGGGAAGAAGATCTTCAGTAGTTTGTGGAATTCCTCTTCGTTCTCCGGAAGAGGTTTACAGAGCATAATCTTCATAAGATATCCGAAATCATAGCCGGAGTGGAAAGAGACCCAATGGACATCTTCCAAGAGAACGAGCCCCGAGCTGATCAGAAGAGCACCAAACTCGAATGGATCGATGCCGTTCTTCTCATGCATCGAGAAATCGATACCCGCCTTGGCCAACATAGCCGTGGACTCTTGTGCGTACATATCTTCCTCCAAAGAAAACCGGAAGTTGAACTGCCATGTGCAGGGCGCAGGGACGAGGCTGTTTCCGAGAGGCTGGCCATTCGCATCCGTAGCGTTGGGCGGGGGTACCTCGCCTTCGGCAGAAAACAAGGTGATACCGAGCTGGATCATTTTGAGGAGATCGACGTTACACCGGAGAGTTTGATAATGGTAATCTGCTTTATTCGTGAACGCTCCCATTGGACGTGCGACGATACCGGGGAACTCGGTGTCCTGGGCCTAGGTTAGCGTCACTCATTTCCCAGTAAAAGCAGCCGAGCATTTCAGTTTCCCAGCTCCACAGCTAACTGCGTCTTACCATGCTGATGTAGGGATACTTCTCGACAAACTGCCGGAGGATAGCCATTTCCTGAGCCAGATTGTGGCTCCATACGTCACGTATCCGTGTCTTCACCGCACCGGCCTTGGCCTCGAGCGCTAGTCGGCCATCGTGAGTCTGATGTAATTGCTGCTGCTGCATCTGCGCGCCTCTTGCGAAGCCCATCTGGGCGGCATGGCTGGCGAGTCCAGTGCCGCCTCCATCCCCAGCACTCGCGAACCCTGCGACGGACATACCGTTTGCGATACCGGTGCCGGACAGTGTAAACGGATTGATATTCGTGTTCGGGTTTCCGGCGGCAAAACCGGGGTGACCACCGAGAGATGGAGGAGGGAGGGCTGAGTTGGCCGACTGGGCGTGGGCCGGGTGATGTTGGGCTTGTTGCTGTTGCTGGAGATGGGCTTGCTGTAGGTGGGTATAGGAAGCTGTTAGGCCAGTAGGCCCGTATCTGCCGACGGGAGGGGGCATATTGAAGGGCAGCGATGAAAAAGCTGATCAACCGTCACGCATCTGAGATTGGGATGAACGATGAGAGGAAGCGGAGTGGGAGGGGGGTCGGTCGGCTCTTTTCGCGCTGGGCTTTGGGACGGACGGGCTCATCCTCGCCGGCGAAGAAGGCGGACAGCTGCGGTTGCTGGATCCGGCCTAGTGCGCCAAGCCCCCAGTCCTCGCTCGAACTCCCTCGTTTCCGTACAGCTTCAACTTCCTCTGTTTCCGCCTGTCCCCATTCTCGCGCTACCACCCCCGGTTTCCCGTCCATTGTCTGTCCGGACCCTGCGGATCTCGGTCTCATTTATCTGACTATTCGATCCGCCGTCTAACTCACCACCGACTCACCCCCTCATTCATCGCCAACCCGCTCACCATGGCTCCCAACCCCACCGGATTTGACATCAACGAATTCAAGGCCGCCGCCCACCCTCGGTCGGCCTGGGCCAAGAAGGACCCCTGGGCTCGCTAGTACGATACTATCCACGACCTACTTGGCTATATCACGTTGTACTAACAGTTCGACCAGCGAGGCCTGGAGATACACCGGTCCTTTCAGCCGCTTCAACCGTTTCAAGCGAATCTTCCCTGGCTTCGGCATTGCCAGCGTTGCTTTCGCCAGCTACTGCGCCTACGAGCACTTCTTCCTGAAGGATGATCACCACCACCACGGCGAGGGCCACCACTAAATCACAATTGGGGCCAGTAAAGGTGCGGAGTTAGAAGAAAGAAGCCGACATGCGATGGAAAAAGGATGAAGGATACCCCGGATTGCTGAGATCAATGGCATCCGTACGTGATTAGAGGGTCACAATGTGTGGTGTACAAGCGGGAGAAGGGATTGTTGATTCGATTGGGATAGATTTTTTGTCTCATTATCATGAATGACCCTTAGCTCTCTACAGACGGCGCTTGGGTTGTTTCATTTGTCGGGTGTACATAGTAACTGTTATTTATCACATCAAGTGCATTATTGTTCAAACCTTATGAAATTCAGGTTGTGTAGGTATGACCATTCCTCAGCATTGCAACTCTTAACTATTAAGTCGTGAAAAGTATTACTACTATATATTATTTATGTTTGGCAGGATATTGTTCAATAACTGAGAACAGAACGTGGTCATAAATTGCATTAATATGCCGATATCTCGGAATGCCGCATCTATACAGGCTTTTTGGTCTAATCATCATAACAACACCTACTGCTCAAATACCAGAGTAATACCGTCATCACCGGCCGTAACAACCCGCTTACCATCCGAGCTCTGAACAAAGCCCATGATACCGCCAGATTGTTCACCCTCCGAGTTCTCAACAAGACCCAAGTGGCCCTTCCACTCCTTCAACAAACCCTGGGCAGCAGCCGCAGTTCCTCCACGGGCATCCCAGCGTCTGACAATACCATCCATACCCACAGAGGTGAGCAGCCACGGTTGGCCTTGGCCGGCCGTCGCGGCAGCCAGCGGGCTGGGACGAGGCAAGGGGGTGGCAGGAGCACGGCTCTGCAGGAACTCAACCTTAACCACGGCGCCCTCGTGCGCCTCCTTGATGTGACGACGGACTGCGAAGCGATGGGCAGCGTCGAACAGGGCGATCGAGCCGTCCACGGAGCCAGCCGCAAGAAGGGTCAGAGGAGGGGAAGAGAAAGAGAGAGTCTCAACACCGTCACTCTGAGCCTGGAGAGAGGCGAGGAGAGTGCCGGCAGCGGAGGCAGTCGCCTGTGAAGCAGCGCCCTTGCCCTTCGCCTTGGAAGCAGCGGCACCGCCAGCCGGCGCCAAACGGGGAAGACCGACGACCTTGATATTGCCCTCAGCACCACCAACAGCGGCGATAGCACCGCCCGGGGAGATGGCGATGGAGTACAGACCACCCTCGACGGCGAAGCGCTGGTCCTCCGCAGTCAGACCGACGACCGCGCTAGTACCCGGGGAGTAGGAGACGCCAGCAGCGGCAGCGGCGCCAAAGACATCGTAAACGTAGAAGCTACCGTCCTCGGAGACGGTCGCCAGCAGCTTTCCATCGGGGGTCCAGGCACCCGCCGTGCAAGAACCGGTGTGTTGGAAGAACGACTGAATGATGGAGATAGGAGCCGCGGCGTCCCTGGGGTCGATGCGGAACACCCAAGCGCTACCGTCGTTGGCACCCAGAGCAATGATGTTGCTCTTCTCCTCGTCGCCCTTCTCGCAAGGGCAGACAGCAACCCAGTTGATCTCCTCCACTTCTTGAACCTCCGCGAGGAACTGCCATGCGAGGCCGGTTCCCTGGGGGGTAGTGTCGCGGTAAGCACGCAGCTTACCATCCATTCCTGCTGTGACAACAAACTCGCCCTTGGGCTCTGTGAATGCGACGGCGTTCACGGTGTCGGCGTGGCCCTCAAGCTTAAGGATGGGCTTAAGAGAATCCCGCTCGCGCCTGGGTTGCGGGTCCGATTCGTAGCTGGGGGGAAGGACGGGGCGCTCATCATTAGGCGTCGAATCGAAGATGTAAGCGGTATCGTCTCCGGAGCCAGTGATTACGATGTTGTTGTGGATGGGGTGCTGGGCAATGCAGAAAACGGAGTCGTTGTGGCTATCGAAATGGGCGGAAGAGTCATTCTCCAGAGTGATTTCTTGTTCTTCGTAGGTCATAGGCTGGTCTCCATCCTCGTCTTCGCCATCGGACTCCATGGGGTGGTCCTCATCGCGGTTGATAATCTCATCGGCTTCATCGGCTTCAATGTAGGCGTCGTCGTCGGCGCGGTGAGGATCTTGCGACGACATGGTGATGTAAATGTGAAGATTGCGGGGTTGTAGAGAACGCAGGCGATGTGTTGTTTTCGGTGTAAGATGTGCTTGAGAGAAAGATTTAGGTGAGGATCAGCTTGCGACTGTCCGATCAAGAGTATTTAGGACAAATGTGCAGGAACAACAGAGAGCGCCGTCCGAAGAATGGGTATTATTTTTTTTCGTTGCTGATCAATCTTCCCGATCAACCCCCGCTTAGAAATTCGATTCTTTCCCCGCGATGGATGCAAACACAGCAAACACCTGCTCAAGGGAGGTCGCTACTAACCATAAATCATCGCATCTAGTGTTTGTATATGAAGTTCTTATCTATTATATGAAATATATATATATCCCCACTGTAGAGAAAGCGCGGGTGCAAGATTCTGTAGCGAACCGCCCTCTCAAGATGCCCAAGTATAAGCAAGCCTACAGCTTGGAACCGGCCTTCCTCCTTGCCTCCTTCTCTTGATCACGAAGCATTCGGCGAAGAATCTTTCCACTGGGGCTTTTGGGAATAACGTCGATGAAACGAACACCGCCCTTGAGCCACTTGTGCCGGGCCTTGTGGTCCTCAACATGCTTCTTGATAGACTGGATAGCCTCCTCGTCACTGCCACGGAAAGAAGGTGACTTGACCACGATGGCCTTTGGGATTTCCCCGGCCGCCTCGTCGGGGATGGCGATGACAGCACAGTCAGCAACAGCGGGGTGGGTGAGAAGGTGAGCCTCCAGTTCGGCTGGAGCCACTTGTAATCCCTGTTCAATTCGATCAGTTAATTCCCAAACTTCTAGTAAGAAGACAGATCAGTAAAACACATACCTTGACTTTGATGAGCTCCTTTATACGATCAACAATGAAGACGTGCTCTGTTTTCTTCGGGCCCACGCGGACTACGGCCTCGTCGCCCGTCCGCATCCACCCATCCTCAAAGGTCTCCCGATTTGCCTTCTCGTTATTTAGGTATCCCAGAACAACACTCGGACTGCGGACCACCAGTTCACCAGGCGTGTCGTAACTTGTGATCTCCTCACCTTCGGGGGTCACGATGCGTACTTCAACACCGGCAAGGAGGGTGCCAGATGAACCTAGGTAGACGTCGGTTGGGTGAGTCGAGCACACCACAGTTGATGTCTCAGTCAGACCTGCGCGTCCATGTCAGTATGAGACACTAGTCGTCTTGAAGGAATGCATACCGTATCCTTGCCGAATTATTACGTTCGGGTAAAGTTTCTGAAAGTCTTCGGCCGTTTCCACACCTAAGGGCGCAGCGCCAGTAAAAATACTCCTGATTGAGCTCAGGTTGTATTTCGCGCAAATTTTATGGTTGCGCAGCATGTTGATGATGATCGGAGGGACCTAATTCAGTCAACAACTGAGAAACATGTCGAAACAGAGCATTCAAGTGAGTTGAATTACTGACCAGGAACAATGACGAGATCTTGAAGTTTTGAATAGAAGCTAGATAAAGCTCCAAGTCAAACTTGGGTAAAACAAGGGCCTGATCGCCTCTGAAAGGAGCAGAATGGCAGATAACCACCAGGCAATAGATGTGACTCTGAGGAAGCAGACACAATGCCACCTCGGTGTGGTTGCCTTGAGTTCCGGGAGCTTTGAGGGAGTCGCGCCAAGTGGCCTCGAAGGCCTGTATTTGAAGCACATTTGCAATTACATTGCGATGAGAAATCATAACACCTTTCTGGATGGGCGGTCAGATGTGATTAATCACACAAGATCTTCTCCCGAAATTCTTTGACTTACTGGCAACCCGGATGTCCCACTGGAATAGCAGAGGAAGGCGGTGCGACGAGCACCCTCTCCGGCGGCCCAGTTCAGCCTCTCAACCTTCGGAAGTGACTTTCCCTCTTCAATGAATTGTGAAACTGTCTTGAATTGTGCTGGAGCCTTGACTCCGGGCGTGAGCTGTGGTGGGACTTCCAACAAGTATATGCGATCCTTGGGCAACCCAGCGAGGGAAGCGGCCTCGAGAGCGGTCTGCAGTAGAGGGAGACAGGTGAATAGTGCTTTGGCCTTAGAATCGAGCAGCTGATACTTTAGCTCGGCAGCCGAGTAGGCTGCGTTCGCTGGGGACACCAATCCCCCAAGCTGGTGGACGGCCCATGACAGTGGCAAGGTATCGATCTAGGGGTAAAATTGGTGAGCTAAGAGACATTATACCGATATGGGGCTTGGAGCTCACGGTGTTCAAGCTGAAGATTGCTAATGTCTTATCCCACTCGGTTCCTGCGTTTGGGCTCCAATTTAGTTCCTTGGACAAAGCGCGAGACAAGTAATCGACGCGGTCCACCACTTCTAGTGCAGAGAAGCTCTTTCCGGTAATGCCACAGGTGAAAGGGTCCCGTGAGTAACCCAGAGGGTTCCGCCCGTACAGATCTGTAAGCATGAATTCACTGAGCGGAATACTGTCCGGGATAGGCGGCAAAGTGCCTGCCTCTTTCGCAGGTAGGAAAACCATCGTGTCGTGGGTGTGCGTTCTCAGCTATTTGTCTGGATGGTGCTAGATTCTGAAGCGATTTTCTCAGGACAAAACGCAAGGAGAGTAACGTGTATGAGGACGGTTGAATAGAGGAAGAAGAAAGTTCAGATCGGTGTGGGGGAGCCGTATATAAGTTACCGTTGAGCTCCAAGCCACGAGCGATGTGCGGGGAAAGCTTCTTTGGTCGGGGGATGGGCCGAGGCTTCAGTACTTACATCAATCGCGGTACCCCTGAGGCTTGACGGGGATCATTCCGACTCTCCAGCAAATGGGCTTGGACTTGCTTTGGAGAATCGTTTATCCCTTTGGAAAGACACTGACCGCGACTAATAAAGCATTTGAGAGTAACTTTCGAGCGTACAACTAACACTTAACACCTTTCAGCAACAACCTCCTTGCTGGTCGGACATTTCATAACCGAGGGCCGACTGGGAGACTAACTATTAGTCTAGAGGCAGACGCCCCAGAAATTAGGCCGGCCGCCGGTTGGGGTGATCTGCAGCCCCCACACGGGTTTGTGGCTAACGGCTTTTTGCCTCTCTCACCGGGTCGCACAATGTTGCGCATACATCATCGACTAGGACATAATTTTTTTTTTCCCTCTTCAATCGACCGGGAGAATTGAGTTAACACTTTATCCGGAAGCATGACATCAATCTTGCGGCTGTGCGTTGCCGGTACCACCGTTCACTTGATGTGCAATGTCCCGGACGGTATAAACTTTCCCCACACCCAAACTCTGGTCATGGGTCCGTCGATCGGCCCTTACCCGATGCCACCATCCTGGTAGAGAGAAATCCATGTCAGTAGGGATTCTGCTGCAGCATCACCTTATTTACTTTATTTCCACTTAGGGTACTTAAGGTATTCAATCCGACTACTCCCTGTCATTTTCCTATATTATCCACTGTATCACGTAGTCATACCAAGTCAATACCTTACTGAGAAAGAACAACTTAAACAAGTAACTAAATCCCTTTTACACTGTATACAATGGATCTCATGAGTGCTCACCACAAGACTATAAGTACTCCTTTCACTTGCTCCCTTCATACCAGTATTCACAGCGACAGAACCCATCTTCTACTTACTAATTTTCACACCCGAACCATCAAGCATCCTTCATCAGAATATCATATCACATAAGACCGCCTCTCAACTCTAACTTTCATTCATCCCTGAACATACCACAATGCCAAACAAGGGAACAAACACCACTTACCCCCCAACATACTGCTCAGCATGCCGCCAGTACGGCCACTCGGTCATGCAATGCCCCGTCCCACGCTGCATGAGATGTGACTGTGTTGGACATCCTACCAGACTCTGTCCTCTACAGAGATGTGCCAAATGTGGGGCCAGAGGACATGATAAGGAGGATTGCCCGTTTTATCCAGGAAATGAAGAGTTGTAGACATGTAGTAGTTTGAGGTGAGATATTACACTTCATGTTTCTTTGTGGGTATATCGGTGCTGACTCTGCTGTAGAGGGAGGGCATGATGGCTGCATCCTGGTTGGAGAGTTGGAATTTGTGGGGAGAAGGCTATGATTTCTCTCTTTTCGTTGATTTTACTGTGAAATTTTAGGGTTAACGTCTTGGTGTTGAGGGGCCTAAATTGAATGATGGAGTAAGGGGAGACTGTTGATGGGGATTTAATATGGAGTAGGCTTGTCAGAGTATCTTGATGGAAGTTTTCGGGCTTAAAATGTCGGACACTCGTTCTCTAGTTACCTATGCCTAGGAAATCAGATGAAATAGACAATAAGGATAATGTGCCATTCTTGCTAGAACTGATTACTCAGAGATCTGCAGCTGTCAGAAAACCAATGAGCCTTTTCCAAAGAACGACAACCTATACGAAGTATAACGTTGTTTTACACTGTCATTGCTAGTGGTACCAGGCCCATAAAGTTACCAAGTATGTTTTTGACAAGGAGACACCTGGGATTCCTGTACTCTTCATCCCAGTTCTATGAGCTGTATTTCCAGCTTTTATATACCCGTAGATTAAGCACTTGTAAAGACCTTACTTTAGGTCTTATACTAATTTCAATACTGGATGTAAGGTAAAAGAAGAAGCATAGTGCAATATATAGTCTCCAATCCTCATTTAGCAGTAGTCAGTTTAACGGGATGACAACAATAACATATAGAGCTATTTTATCCTACTTGAATGCCACTACTGGACCATGACACATATCAATTAAAATTACACGCAGAAAACTTTCACCATTTGACTAAAGCAATTGAGCTGATATAGTTCGTTAGGCATATTAGCTTCATCCACCCCCCTGGACGCCTAAAACTGCAGCTAACTTAGGCTGTGGGCCATTGACCTTTAAATCTAATCTTGGCTACTAATGCCTGAACGAAACAGACCTACTAATCCTGGTAAGCCGAGGAGACTCCACTCGGCATGCAAGGTATTAGCAAGGGCACGAAAGGGATAGGGGCTGTTCGTGAAGTGGTGTCAGCGAACAGGCGGAGATCCCGAGCCGCTCCTCGGACTCCGCGGGTTCCGCACCCGTACATAGTATTTGCTATAGTATAAAGGCATTTGTATGAACTACTACTGGCTGTAGGCATCACGACGAAGTCTCGAGCAAAATGGCTAATATGACAGAGGTTATTCACGATTACTACCCTTCTACGATCTACTTGCCTCATTATGTAACTAACGAGAGTTCGACCTTTTCATTGGTCGCTCAATTTGCTGTCCTTTGGGCTTTGGCCCTGGGTATAGCGTCCATCATCATTCGTCGTCCGCGAAGACCGGTGACTCAATCAGACCAGTTTGCATTCATCTGGATGTGCTTCAGTAAGTCGTATTATATGCTCGACTTCTGCATGGAACAATCATTGACGGAGGAAAACCAGCTGGATGCATACATCTATTTTTTGAAAGCTACTTCGTGGTTTACCACAAGACCCTAGCCGGCTCGCACACTTTATTTGGCCAACTATGGAAAGAATACTCCCTTTCCGACTCACGCTATCTGACCTCGGACTCTTTCCTTGTGTCTATGGAAGCAGTTACCGCTGTAAGTCCTTATATCTAACACCCTGACATCCAATCAATTCATCATCAACTAACTTGTATAGTTTTGCTGGGGCCCACTCGCATTCCTCATTGCATACTGCATCGCCACCCAGCATCCAGCCCGACATGTTTTGCAGCTCATTGTCTCTGTAGGCCAGGTCTACGGAGATGTGCTCTATTACGCTACGAGCATGTTCGACCTGTATTACCATGGAGTGTCATTCTGTCGTCCGGAAGGCTACTATTTTTGGTTCTATTACGTTTTTATGAACTTTATCTGGCTTGCTGCTGGTTCTTGTGAGTTTATCTTTCACTTACTGGGTGGGTTCTGAGATTGCTAATCATATTGCAGATTTCGCGTACGAAAGTGCGGTGGAGATCACGCGTGCTATGAATAAGTTAGGCGCAATGGATAGGAAACTGAAGGACCGGTAGAAATTATTTGTGTACCGGGGATGAAGAGTCTTGAAGCTGTGGTTTAAGTGGAGTGAATTCAAGTTGGGATTACAGCTTGTGGTTCATGGTTAAAAGTGCATCATACTAGAACAGATAAGATAGATTAGGCGATGGTCTTGGGCAGTATAGAAATGCTAAATTCATCATCCGAAAATATCCGAACATAGGGTGTACTCTTATGTATACATCAGGATATTAATACTTAGGATTCCTCAAGTGAAATATACCAGGTACATAGCAGATCAATCTTGTACTCAAAGCGAGATAAGCACACTACAACTATAAGAAGTCATGTTAAAGACATTGATCTAATAAGCTTTCTCGTCTGCTTACAATCAGCTGTTCTAACACAGAGATGGGCACATGACTTGCAGACAGTGAGTACTAGTTACCCTACCTGATATCTGCGGAAATATACACGTAATCTGGAACTATTAGACACACTGAATGTTCCAGCAGGCGCAGATTGTACTAGTAGCTCACGCCGATCCAGGTCTAAACTCACATATGGATACCACTTGCTAACATGGCCATAGCAATAAATTAGTGAGCTGACACGGAACCATAATTCCAGCCATCCAGGTCTGAATGAACCTGACTTTCAACCCCACAACTCAGAGCCCATACCTACGACTTGTCGCTCTCCCACGACAGTAAATGACTTCAAAATCGCATCCAGCTGCTCTTTCTCCTCCACTGTCAGCGGAACTGCTGTGCAGTTCTCTTCGACGCGAGATGCGGCCGTCGCTCCGGGAATAGGGATGATAGTGCCGCAGGGGCCAGAGTTAGAGTGAGCGCGAATCCAGGCCAGTGCCAGCTGCGCAGGAGTGACGCCCCGTTTCTTGGCGAAGTCGTTGATTATATCCACCAATTCGAGATTCTTGGGGAAGTTCTTTGCAGTAGTCAGCATAATCAAACACATACCTTGCATCGAACAATAACAGAACAGACAAAAAATAAGCGTAAGTTGTGGCAAGGGGATCAACAAACCTCTGGCTGAAACCTCCCAAACAAATGCCTAATATCCCCCTCCGGAATATCCTCCAACCTTTTCACCTGCCCTGTAAGAAACCCATATCCCAGCGGCGCATACGTCAAAATGGGTACATCGAGCTTCTTACAAGTCTCTGCCACTCCGTTTTCAAGGATATCCGTACTCCACAACGAGAACTCCACTTCGACCACACTCACCGGACACACTGCATGCGCCTTGCGGATCGTATTTGCACCCACCTCGGACAACCCAACCCCACCGATCAGTCCCTCGTCCATTAACTCGCGCAATGCCCCTAGAGTCTCTTCCACTGGTACATTTCGATCCATCCGCGCCGGCCCAAAGATATCTATCTTCTTGGCATCGCCGAGGACCTGTCTGCATTCATCGAAGCTGGCTCGGACGCCTGCGCGTGTGCATGTCGGGGATAAGGTCGCTGCGTCTGAGCAGGCTCGGATGAAGAGGGTTACTTTGTCGGCATCTTCGGGGTACTTGTCGAAGTAGCGACGCAGGAGGTGGAGGCCTGCTGTCGGGGGCTGAGGGGGCATGCCGTAGACGGATGATGAGGACCAGATGGTGGCGCCGCGCGAGATGGCTGCTTTCATGGCGCCGAAAGCTTGGTCATCTGGGGTTGGGGTGGGGCGCCATGTCATGCCTAGGAGGCCGAAGCTGGTGATGGGGAGGGGTTTGGGAAGTGGCATTGTGTATGTATGGGGGAAGGAATGCGGGGTCCGAGAGAGGGGTGTATGTGTGAATTGGAGTAGAAAGGGAGTAATGTGTTAATTGTTGGGAAGGAGTCGCTGAATTGTTTCTTTAAGCTAAAGACAGATGGATGAGTGGTGGACATAGCCTCGAGAGATTCGGAGATCGAGAGCTTACTCCGCACGGAAGCCATCGGACTTAAAGGTGGGATTAACTGTACATCCGTTGAAGTTTGCGAGCCAAGCCGTTGGATTCTCCTGGGAAAGTAATTGTCCCGAAGGATGTATGCTAATGAGTAGGAGGGATGAACGTCTTATGAGGCTGAAAAGGAGGGATGATCCTAGGGGCCAGTTCCATTGGTATCTTGCGGTGCCGGAGACGCTGGCTGGCTGGAAGTGAGGTGTATTAAAGGAGGGTTATACCTTGGTCTGTGTACTTATTTAGAGCCATTGTGGTTATGTCAGAGTAGAAGTGCTTGAGCCCAAACAATCTCTGTATATTTGCAGGGCCTGGCTATCTTTCTACATTAGGTAAAAAAAGGAAGCCATGTAGGTTGGCGCCGTACTAAGGGTGAACAGAAAACCTTAGAGATGTCTTTATACTCATACCACGGACTTCTAATGCAGGCTAAGAGCCATCAGATCCATTTTTATTTTGAAATCAAGAGAGAACTTTTCAGACAACCAGCCACTAGTATATTCCGCGGACGTGGATGAATGCCGTCTTGGAGTAATCACCAATGTGAAACGGTAGCAGACGTTGAGTGCAAATGTCTTCCTCGAAATAGTCAACCATAAGTCTCAGCGGTTGAAGCGTTTATATTCATAGCTTCCTGTTTTTGCTTCCAGTCCTCCACCTGCTCCATTACAGCATTGCTTAATTTCCTTCCCCTTAATGTTGACGGTTTCTACGTCTCCACACGGAACAGGAAACATCCACCGAGCAAGAAGCGTATATTTTTCATGATCGCTTTCCTTAAGATCGTATATCTGACTCTTAGCAAAGTGGAGATCTTTCCCATCAAAATATACCTGTAAGATACGGACTTTCGATGGGAATATTGAAGTGATGAGAACCTATGACAAATTATCCATTAAATGACTGTTGCAATAAGTTAATCTCATTTGAACCACTTACCGGAAAGATAGTTTGATCTTCGTAGCGCTTGTACGTCAGTTTGTGCATCATGTATCTCAAAGCACAAAGGACCTCACTCCGCATTAGAAGTTCCTCTGGCTCCGTGAACTGCAAGATCCTGACAGTACAATGTGGCGTGTCCGTTCTTTCGTGTGTCTCAGCTTCCTTGACGGCATACCAGTGGTAGAGAGCTCTAAAGCACTCGCCAACCTGCTCGTTTTCCTTGAAGAACCTAGAACCGGACACAAAAAGGGCTCCAGTTAGGACGTATCCTCACAACTTAGAGTATATGTATCTCAATACTTACTTCCGCTCGAGCCAGATTTCCCAAGGCGGCGGAAAAGAGGCGAGGATGTTATCCAGATTTTTCTGGATGCGATATGTCTCTGCCCGTAGGCCGGGTTCGAAGTCATAAAGCCTTATTTCGTCCCACGGAATGCTCGGGAAACCGTGTCCTGGATATGGTTCAAAGTATACCTTGCCGTGAGTGCTCTGATGGTCTTCAAGATTAAGGAAAGTAAGCTTGATGTTGATATGCTTTTGAAAATCTTCACTCAAGTAACACCACGGTAAGTTTGTCACTTTCTCCTTGATTTCCCCTAGCTGTTCCATGATGGCCTGTTTCTTCTCCAGACACTTTATCAGGTCTTTGTGAGACTTGGCCTTGGTACCATCGTCCGACATAATTAGTGATGATGACGGACAGGATAGTCTGTTTGTAGGAGATAGAGTTTAGGAACTTTTGGGCTCTTTTGGGAGTAGTCTGGTGATCTCTTGATGAAGAAATCAAGGCGGCTATATTTAGAGATAAGGCTATTACAAGCCAAAGTGGTAGACCTTCTCAAAGTGAGAATGGAGCCTGATATTATATACTCATCTCCAAGACATAGGAGGAAATAAATGTAAATGTAATGATGGCTATCTGCATTAGTTGAAGACCTGAGCTTTCAACGGGGACACCCTTCTTTCCAGGAGGATGTAACCAGATGAAGCCAGAAACAAAGAAGCTTGGGCATCTATTATGGAAGGCTCAATCTGCCCCATCGTCCTGGATCGTGAACATCCGGATCCTTTAGGCGATTCTGGTTACAGTTCGCGATCTTCTCATGAGAGGCATGATATGTCAGTAATAATAGCTTCAAGACCGGGACTCGCCTTATAAGAGTGATTATCAGTCTCAAGTTGTACCGGACTCTAAGTGCTCCCGAGTTACTTCGATGTAACGTTCACGATATAGCTGTATGCAACTGGATAGAATCATATTGTCGCGAAAGGAAAGCCAAGTCAATCCTGTTTGCATATAATTCAGATGTCAATGCTGTCTTTAGGCTGTTCCCAACACAATGGCTTACGAAACATCTTTCCAGACCGGACGCACAAACTTAAAATTTGCGTTGCATTCGACTAGCCCAAATGTGATTGCATTTATTTATAATTGATGTACTATTGATATTAGTTTCAGATGCAGGTCCTGGCTTCATCTATTGCAAGATATCGGTCTTCAGAGCTCCCGTTTGGCAGCAGCAGTTCATTCCTTTTGTTTAAGCTTAGCCCTCTTTGCTTTTCAATTGCTTTCTTGTTTCACTGCCGTAGTGAGAGCTGTCACAGCAGGGCTGACACCATCATTGCCTAATGGAAAATTCTTTCCGTAGCTTCGCAAACGGCCGTGCTTAATTTCATTTTGCGCCAGAGCAAATATCTCCAGCAAGACTGTCAAACCTTCGCCTAGCTTATTTGCAAACATTCCGAGATATACTGCTGAGGATTCTCCAATCATGTTATTAGCCATGTTATACCTCGGCTTGGCCACACGCGACCCAGTGGAATTCGGAAAGTATTGCTCGCTGAACCTGCACACGCGTACTTTCCAGGTCTATATCAAATCCACAATTGCATCGTAGTTCTCTGAAACACTATGAGCAACCTTAAGGAGGCTTTCCTATACATAAAAGGTCACCGACCTGGGTGGGAATGCGATGGCAGCTCCGCTCCAAACCAAGTCTCCCACCTTCTCGAGTAGTAGCAGCGCAATTGGTAGTATAGTGCAGAGTTGCCTGTGCTTCTCCCGAAGCCTGAAATGGATAAGCTGGAATTCTCATTGCGATCAATGAGTAAACAATGCCTTTCCTTTATGTTAAGCCCAGATCGTCCAGTTTTGCTTTGCCAGTGGCCACGCAGTTCGAGTTGCCAGAGTCAATAAGGGGTAATCTTAGTCTTCTTGGCCAACAAATTTATTTACATCGACGGCTTGGAATTTAGCCTGTTTGGCAGGGTAGGAAAGAATGCTATGAAGGACATGCCCACTCAATCGCGGTTGCTCTACTGGCCAATCCTTGTTTAGGCTGGGTTATAGGGATCGAAATAAGGAATCAATGACTGTAATAACCGTGGAAGTAAAACAGGATCTCTATCATTACTAGCACTCTCATCGTATGTAGATCGGACCATTGTTTGTCCCAAAAGAATTAGCGGGGTCTAAGCTGATATCTCCCGCGAACGGATCGGGACAAATGAGGGCCAGTTTGGCATGCTTCGCGCTTTCGGCTCATCCTCTGCTCGACTCTATTCTTCTCCTCGGCCCATTCTTAATAAAATTCTTTCCTTGCCAGCACTCTGGGCTTGAAAAAGAAGGACAACCGGTAATCGAAATCCTGCACGTTACCCTTTGGAGAGCAGCCATGTGAGATATGGGATCCATCTGGACACAGGATGTTTTCAATTCGCAGCCCTTGATGATCAAACGCGTACCAAAGACCAAGGCAATATAACCGCCAATCATCCCATATTTTCAGACCAATTTCGCGCCACATTGGATTATCACTGTAGCAGTAGACGGACCCACGTTCTGATGGTGTGCCATAGTCAATCCTCACAGAGGAAATGTGGAGTCCGTTCGACGCACGTAGTCTGTTGACCATTTCGGATCCCTGGCCCCAAAAGTCGTATGAACCTCTATCATCAGAGGGAATTATAGGAAGAGCTGGAGGCGCCCAGACCGAATATTCGTCTTGCAATTGTGAAGGATCAGGGAGAGGATCCACGTATTCTGGATAGCTATTGGGGTAAATCATCGCCGCTGGGAGTTTTGTAGGGGAAAATTCTTTCTCGCAGAACATACCCCACAGCCATTCGTTTACCGAAAGAAGTTCAGACATCATTTTTCTAGACGGATTATCCCAGGCGAGGGGCTTTGTCCGCAAGAGCTCGAGGTCTTCCTGCGGAAAGTCTAGTCGCTCAGCCGCACCCAACAGGTCAGAGTAGAACTGGAAGTGCCACAACGCGCGATAGACTCGAAACTCTTCAATCCATGAGGGAGGGCCTGCTTCGCGCGGCTCGTATGGTGCATCGCCACTTGGCGTGAGGTACCGCGGTTTAATTCCCCGAATCCTGCTCAGGAATGTGGTCAAACAAGCGCATGCAAGCCGTTGGATGTTAGCTCCGACATGCACCATCTCTCGTAGCGAAGCTTGGGATATTGATGAATTGAAGGCCACAGACAACTGATCATAGTCCCCGGACCTGAACTGCTCGAGACTAGTAACTGCCAACGAGGACTGGCGCAGTGCAATACACTTGCAAAACAGGCCGTGCAGTTCGTGATGCATCATAGTATTTTCTGTCAATATGGATTTGACTATATAAATGGCTTCACAGTTTCCGGGGGTCTCGCCATCCCCAGCAAAGGGTCCTCGTACCCTCGAAGAGACTTGCAAAAGGCTTTCGAGGGCCACCCAATCCGCTGCTTCTGTGATGATGATGGATAGAATCTCACATGGAAGCTCATCAAATGGATTCATTTTTTGGCGTCAGTCGCAGTTCTTGGAAAGTGACAGATCACAATGGAAGGTTTCCTTTCTCGGTTTGCGATTGAAAAAAAGCGATATTGAATAGAACACGTGAATACCAAAGGTACATCTATTCAGCAGATGCGTGGTCCAAGTACCCTATTTAACTTGGCTCCTTCTCAGCATTTAGTCTTCTTAGACTGGAGCAACATAGTTTTTATCCCTTTGTTCCTTTGTGATGGGTAGTTCATAGTCGAAGCGGTTGGTAAACTCCGGCTGGTCCTAAGCTGGGGGGAACTATATGATCTATAAAATGCCCTTTATGCTTTCTTGTACCCATTCTTTATCTTATGTTAATAGAAGGTTGGACTTTAGAGATGCTAGTCATACTAATCATGTAGTGGGTTGTGCCATTTTTACACACTCTTCGTGCGCCTATCTCAAGAAATAGGAAAGGAGAAAAAAAAAAGAAAAAGAAAAAAATTACCTTTTGTTCAAGACGCAGATTCTTACTCCTTTAGAACGTTCTTCGACTTTGATTACTTGCTATTATTTCGGGGCTTTTCTAGATGAAAAAGCAGAATCACAAAGATTGGTTTAAAAGCAAACAAAGGCCCTTGCAATGGGCTATACAAAGACTTACGATCTCAAGAACCTGGAACCTTATATTGACGACTAACGAAGAGCATCCGACGGGTATCATGAACAACATTTAGAGGACTTTGGAGGCCATCTCCATCTCGGAAAACCTTTTCGGATAATTTCAGAATATTATGGTGATCACCTGAAACAAAAATAGTTACACGCTTTCTATTACTTCGGTAATACATTTTCGTGTATGAGATTATAGTGGTCTCTTGCTCTTCTAAATGTAGTTGAAGGCAAGTCGAGGTACTTGCATTAACAAGGTAAAATGCCAAGCCAGGTTTTTCAAAGTACTAGATGAAAAGACTATGACAGCGTAAGAATATTAAGGTTATTATGTATCTGTCTTTCTGATACAGTTATTTCACATATTTTCAACTGGCAACTATATCATTGTCTCCCTTGTTCCTAACAGTTTCTGAATGAATTGTAGTATGAAAGGAATGTTCCACACGACAGAATAACAAAGTAAAGGGGAGACACTACACATGGCAAATATTAAACGAAGTGGCTCAAACTCTACACTATATTGCATCGTCTGTCAAGTCTAGATCATCCTCATATGAGATATCCATGCGACATAATCCGTGCGACATAATCCGTGCGACATAATCCGTGCGACATAATCCGTGCGACATAATCCGTGCCACACACATGTCTGCAAATATACCCAGATCTCTACAGGCTCAGTTTATCGGTTGAAAGACCGTCATTTAGCTTCATACCGTTTGAACTTTCAAACAAACAAATCTCGAACTTCAAGCATCATCTGTAGGCTTTCGCCAGTCCAGACTTCTTGCCGAACGTGGCCCAGACTCTGGTTGGAGAGAATTCAGGTGAATCTTTCAGGTAATCTATTGACTTTCGGCTACTCGTTTATGTCTGAATAAAACCGGGTCTGGTCATTTCTTCTATTTCCATTACATAGAAATGCTGCCCGCAATATGGTCAGCCCAGCATTTCCTGTGATTCATGATAGCTTTGACGTAAATGGTGTTCACCTTGAGTATATCTCAGTTAAGTATATTTGAGAAGCCTAGACATTGAAGCTCCTCAACCATGAGAATTCGGCGTGAATAAATTATGGACGCTTAGACCAAGGTATGTTGCTGTTCCAATGGCAGCAAATCTGCCGCAAATATTGGCATCCGATATGTTGATGGAGCGCTCATGTCTTGATTAAGAGTTGTTGTCGCAATTGCGGAACGTCACAACGCAAATTGTCACCTGGCCTATTGAAAGTAGAGTTGGTCTATTCCAATTGTACCTCTCAAATCGGGGGACGAGTAGGGACACGAACTAAGGCTGTTATATACACTGCAGAGGATTAGCATTTATTAGTAATGACCACGGGACCAAGAAAGTCGAACAAAGACGAAAGCTTGTCCAGGCCTTGAATAGGCCATTTCACGAGCTTCCGTCCGTGTAGACTTTGCCGGTTTACCAATTAGAATCACTTATTTCAGAGAACTCAAGCATCGATCATTCTGAGGTCAGTGGTTGGGAGTTAAACCATCTCACAAGAACCTGCCTATATCTTCACCAATGGAGTCCTCTTTTGCTCGCTATCAAGTGTTTTATCTCCACCATCCCTCCATACCACCTGTCTCAATTAATAATATCACTCCAATAGGCCGCTAGCCAGTCAAGCATCAAAACAATGGTGTACACTGTAACCGTCCTCTATCCCAATGAACCCGATGCAAAGTACGATTTCGAGTACTATTTCTCACACCATTTGCCTCTTGTCGATCGGTACTGGAAAATATATGGATTACAGGGCTGGAATGTCGTGAAGTATGGTCCAGGTGTTACTGGACATCAAGTCCCTTACTTCTTCGGATGTGTGCTCTTTTTTGAGGACGACCACGCAGCGAAGCAGGCATTCGAAGGCCCTGAGGCTGCCGAAATCCTGGATGATATCGAGAAGTTCAGTAACAAGCAACCGTTGTTTTTGTATGGTGAGAGAATTAACACCGGAGGCTCAGTTGGCCAGGGTTAATACATTCTGTGTGGGACATGCGAAAGAAGCTATGGTGCTCCGTCTGGGATGGGAGATTTGTATGTACCCGTACTGAGGGATGTCGACATCAATGAAACAATGCTTAACGCGACAGCTTTTGTAGGTAACGGTCATAGCAGTATTAGGTGCATTGATATCCTATGTGTATCAGGGATATACCTGTACTAGATGACATTTCCCCGGCTTTGGAGCCTCCAAGACACTCACTGGAGTCACGCGGGCCGTTGGCAGGATTTCTGGTGCCCCTCACCGTCGATCACATCATCCTCCCTTTGCTTATCGGCCGCAGATCTCACCATTCACTGGCAGTCTTTCACCATCGCCGAGATCAAGCTTGATAACACCGCAAGCATCTTGTTTCCTGCAGGACAAGAGCTTCATCTTGGTTTCTGCTGCTTCTGCTGTCAGGGCATTGGGGTTATCTGCTAGATGACGCCTGTGCGACAAGCGGCAAGATATCTGACCCTTTGGAAGCCGAATTTACTCGAATCTACGTCCATCTTTGCATAAGACATAGCCATACTACTTGCAAGTGATAGTATCGATTCGCCTCAGCTAGATAAACGCTGGTCAAAATGGCCTTCACAACCAGACTTGCGACCTGGCTTTGGGGTCATGATCCGAAGGATCGGGCTCTGCTTGCCAAGCTGGACGTGACTCTGCTCCCTTATTTTTCCCTAATTTGGTTCCTTTTCGGTGTGACACGGTCTAGCTATTCCTCGGCCTACATCAGCGGCATGAAAGAGGCTCTCGGGTTCAAGGGGAAAGAGTACAATTACATGAGCACCGCGTACCTGGTCGTCTACGCCGTCTGCCAAATGCCCGGTACAAGCCTTCTCACGGTGGTGCGACCGAAATATGTCTTTGTTACTGCCAATGTTACTTGGAGTGTCTTGACCTTGATCACGTACAAGATGACACGAGCCTGGCAGGTCATTCTATTAAATGCGATCGAAGGAGGGTTCTCAGCTATCGCATAGTAATTGCCTAATCTACTTTGCACGTGAAACTGTTCTGACCGATACTAATTTTGAATAGCGTTGGCGCACAATTCATCCTAGCGTCGTGGTACAAAAAGTCGGAGCTCGGAATGCGGGCAGCGGTATTCTGCGTGTTCGGCCAATTGGGGACACTGTCCGGTGGCTGGATTCAAGCCGGTCTGTTAGAGACGCTCGCTGGTAAAGGTGGCCTACCCGCATGGAAGTGGATATTCATCATCGTCTCAGTGATGACTCTTCCGGTGGCACTCTTCGGTATGGCTTGTACTCTGTCCCAGTGAGAGAATGCTAACAATTTTGTAGGCTGGGTCTTCATTCCGGACCTTCCATCACACCGTGCAGCCTGGTATCTTACCGATGAACAGAAGGAACATGCGGCAACTCGACTGGGTACCCTGTCCAAGAAGTCCTGGGACATCACAGTCTTCAAGCGCGTCTTGCTGAGCTGGCAATTCTGGCTCCTACCGTTTGTTTTCATGTGTAGGTCGAGAGAGTTTTGTCTTCAAGTCACCGAGCTAATATCCCATCAGTGTATTCAGTTTGTGTGCAAATGCTAGGGAACAACGTCATGGCCTACTGGCTAGCCTCACGGGGGTACACGGTGGTCCAGCAAAACACCTATCCTACCGTCATCCATGCGACTGCCGTTGTGGGTATAGTTGTGTATGCCGCGATTTCAGACAAGCTACAATCGCGATGGGAGGTCTCTATCGCCATTGGTCTAACTTTTGTCATCGGCTCAGCTATCCTTGTATCGACCCCTTCCACGGACGCTGGCTACTTTGTTGCCTTCTACTTGCTCGGAACGACATACGCGCCTCAGGCTGTCTGGTATTCCTGGATGGCCGACGTTACAGGCCATGACCTCCAGCTGCGTGCCATCACAACTGGATTCATGAACTCCTTTGACTTTGCTTTTGTGACCTGGTGGCCGTTGGTCTTCTATCCAGTAACCGATTCGCCCAACTTCAGAAAAGGGTATATTGCGAGCTTAGTGACGGGGATGTTAACTCTCCCAGTTATCGGTCTTATCGCTTACCTCGAAAAAAGGGACACCGCCAGAGGAATCATTGGAAGAACTCGTACTGATAGTTTGCTCGAAGAAGAGCCGGTTCTTTCCCCAGATGATGAAACGGGAAAGCCTGGAAGCCCTCCGATAACCGTGCGCGCCACTGAGGACGGTGTGTAGCCTTTCGGCATCTATCAGACACACGGCTTAGTCTCTAATGCTGTACTTTGAGAGATAAACAAAATTTGCCTGTTTTCTTTAGTTGGCCGATAACATATTGAAGATGTTTTAGAAGGCTTTGTCAATCCTCTGCTGTGCTATCCGTCCGTTATGTCGAATAAACAATGCCAGTCCTATGGGCGCGGGGTTGACTCTGAATTCGACGGCGTTCAAGGCCATATTTTTGCTTCGAACGGTGAATCACCTGCATAGATAGCATCTGCATAGCGGGCTCGATCAGGTATAAGAATATGAATTAAATTAGTTTGGATCGCTCGGGTTTCCTCATTCGGTAGTGTACCACGTCCCTGGCTACTTCAACCCATCCTTGAGTAGTCTGCGACCGTGAGGTTTAGCTTAGAATAAATATTACGTCCTCGTGCACAGACCTGGTATTGATGCTGGTATCCCATGAATTTTCATGTGATACCTATGACTCCGTATACTTCCACGCCTCGGACAGTACACCCGCTCAGCCCCCATATTAGTAGCCCCAAACAAGTCGTCTTCTAATAAACCTCACATGAATTTATTAGTACAAAGTATTAGAAAAACGTTCCGCTTGTTCCGAGTCTCCAGACAAGGCTTTATCTAGTGATCTACATCCTAGTCGATGTTGCTCCAATCAGCCCGTGCATCTCCGCGATGACGTCAAAGTAGGCCCGGCCATGCATGCAAAGGAAGGAAACTGGAAGTTCTCAAATCAGCCCATTCTGGATGCCAGCCACGCAATCATCTTATTCGACGTCATCTAACCTCCCGCTACCTTTATAAATCTTCCTCTCTTTCTCGAAGGACTAGATCAGTATCCATTCCGATCATCATACTCGAATCCAACACAAACGAATCTACCACTTCACTTCCCGGAAATACTCTCATCCACCACCATGTCGGGTTTCATCCACAAGGCCGAAGATGCTCTACATCTTCACCACAAGGACAAGGGCGAGCACAAGCACGACAATGCACATGAGCATCCCCCTACTATCGGTCATGATGGTTTGTTACGACTTTCCCAGCTCATCTATCTAGCATCGAAAAAGATACTGGTGACTAACATTATAGGAATAGGCCACGAGCACACTCACCGCTCCCACCCCCCTCAGAACAAGCATACGCACCACCACCCCAATGAGGACCAGATCGCTCGAGACGATTTCAAAGCTGACAGGGAATACGACCGTGCGTTGAAGTCTCCGCACCATGGCCCTGGACTTGGCTTTGAGGCGTAGGAGGTGGGATCGTCAATATTCTGATGTTTACTTTTGATGTTCTAATGATCATAATGCCATCTTGTTGAGTGATATCTCTTTCAATACATTTACTACAGTATGTCATATGGTTAAGCCTTAAGAAATTTCAGTACCCCGCCTTAGGATCGAGTGGCTGCTTCTGGAGGCAGGTAGAGCGAAGCTATACCCCGTTAGGAAGATTATAGTATCCGAGGTGAGATTTCGAACGGCGACTGATTGGACTAGTTTTAAGAAAACATTAGTGTGCTGCTGGACTTCCAAACTCTATTCAGTTGTAGTTTCGCGCGTCCCTCGCTGTGTAACAGCCAAGCAAGTCCATGCGTAAGCCGATGGTCATGGAATAGGTGTAACGTTGGATTGATTTCTGACACGGGCGACCTGATCGGGTCATGTTTATTTACAGGGTTGTGTATAGGCTGTGAGTAGTACATGATGTCCTTCGCTCTAAAGTTCCGTTCACACGGCGAAGTTTGGAGAAACATATAGTATATTATGGAGTTCATGCCTACAACCGAAGATATTATCATGATGCGGCACCAATATTTGTTACCTGGCAACATTTGAGGGATATTCTAGTTTAATTAGGCACTAGAAAAGAATGCGGACCCGTCTCTAGTCTCTAAATCATCATCATGTCACTGACTGAGCCGGATATTGCCGATGGCAAAATCCTACCCGGGCGATGATCTAGTAGGATGATAGCGTACATTCATCCTTCTATATTAAATACCGGTTGTAATTGTCCCGCGACTTTGCAAGGGATTCCGGCATACCCTTCAAGGATATACGAACTGCTGGGGGGACAATGTTTATATATCCACAGGCCTATAGTAGGGACCCACCTAGCATGACACTACTGCTACAAAGGATTCTCATTGTACATGTAACATACTAGTCCTTAGCCAAAAAGATATTCAGAACACTATGAAGCAAATACAGCGATGAAGATTGTTCAGACCAGCGAAGTGATGTTGTGTTGAAGATAGGGAGAACTTGGGGGAGAGCCGAATGTTCTGTATATCTGCCCTATATGTAGCACTATTTTGCTGCACCAAATATCGAGTCGTCTCGGTGGCGCAATTGGTAAGCTTACCCTTCAACATTTCAATCCAATCATCCAGTTACTAATTCAATATAAAGGTTAGCGCGTACGACTGTTAATCGTGAGGTTGAGAGTTCGATCCTCTCCCGGGACGTTTCTTTTTTCTCTTTTTTTGCCCCCTACTATTTCATCTACCACACACAACAGCAAAAGTGGGACCGAGATCATTAATATAATTTGGTTGTCTGTTACAGAGCTTCTGCAATCAAATGTTTTATGATGCTCAATATATGGGCAAATACCAAGGTCTGCATACGGATCACACAGTTGATGACTATTTCTTGGCTACAATATCCGTGTGCACAGGCCATTTCCTTGCGGAAACTCCGCATTTCTAAGTGTAGGTGACATAATATACACGACTCTACTAAAAATGGCATAGCGTTCATCTGCGCCTGTAGAAGTTCCTGGATTGACCCCTGAGCGGCCCGAATACGAGGGCTTGGTACGCCTCATATCCAGGTACCTACCACTCATCTTCCTTGACGGTAAGATATGGAATCAGGAATGACATGTTGGCTTACGTTTATGCCTTGAAATATTTAGATGCAATTTCCGTAGACCTAGTTGAGTGGTCGGAAAATTTCCGCCAAGCACCTAGTACTATCGCTTGTCGTCAACCCCATCGGCGCAGAATGGCCGAGGACGACAACGATAGCCTCGAAACCCCTCATCTGCCCCCCCGCAGTTCTTTAACCATGCAACAACATGCACCGAATGTTGCCTGCATGATACATAATGCTAGTCTATTTCTGTTCTACTTTAACCGCGATTGCCGGCATCTTCTGCTGCGTGAGGGGTCGGTGCCATCAAGTGCCTGGTGATGTCAACCCCAACGGAGTAATTCTCCTGTGGGCGTATCGGCCTGGGTAGGGACAATGCGGTCATTTTGCATTGATGGGCCCATGCGTTGCCCACTACTATCGCTTGTGCATGCAAGGAACAGGAATAGTTCTGCAGACTGCATGATAGTACTAATTGTTGCGTAAAGTATTTAAAGAATGGCGTCTTCCGGGGAGTTGTAGCCCTCGTATGATACCGGTTAGTAGAGTCACCAAAGCTAGAAGCATTTCACCATGTTTTCCTCTACTTTGGCTTCCTTGGTCGTGACATGGCTTGCTTCTCAGGCACTGGCCATTGAGCTGACGGTGTCAAAGACTGGCGGGAATTCGTCCAGTCCACTTCTTTATGGGGTCATGTTCGAGGTAAGTCCCCCGACTTGCCCTCATCTCCTTCAGTGTAGTCGCTCATCTTCTTGAATATAGGATATCAACAACTCTGGTAATTCCGAACCATCAATATACCTAGGAAATGGCGCACTAACTAGCGCTAGGTGATGGCGGTATCCACGGCCAAGTACTCCGCAACAACGGCTTCCAGGGCGACGACCCGGGCCTCACGGCATATAGCGCGGTAGGCAATGTGACTATATCGCAAGACACGGCCAACCCCCTTAGCAGCGCCATCACTTCCACCCTCAAGGTAGCCGTTCCCTCTGGAGCAACTGGCTACGTTGGCTTCGCAAATGAAGGTTATGATGGCGTCCCTGTTCTGGGGACCGACTACGACAACTACTTCTATATGAAGGGGGATTATTCTGGCACGGTGAACCTCCGACTCGTGGGAAACTCGAGTGGGATTATCTATGCGGACCATAACATCACAGTGGCGAGCACCAGCTCCAACTTCACCTACTATGAGACTTCCTTCAGCTCTTCTGTGTCTGCGGATGCGCACAATGTGTGGCAGCTACGATTCGATGCTTCCAAAGTGGCTGGGAGCTCTCTGAATTTTGGCTTGGTGCAGCTGTTCCCTCCTACTTACAACTCACGGTAAGTGTTGTCAATCATATTATCCCGGGCGACAGTCTAACAGGGTCCAGGTACAACGGCTTGCGTGATGATGTTGCCAGTTTTCTCGCAGATATCAAACCATCTTTCTTGCGGTTTCCTGGTGGCAATAACCTGTGGGTGCCCTTGATGGAAGATGTATCTGCACCCGAAGCTGAACTAATCGTTCCTCAGGGAAGGCGCAACCCCAAGCGATCGCTGGAAGTGGAATGAGACTATTGGCCCTGTCGTTGATCGCCCAGGACGCGAAGGTAGATATTTCATGCTGTTTTTGGTTCAGACTATCACTGACCTACATCGTTTGTAGGTGATTGGACCTATCCCAACACGGACGCACTTGGTAAGCTCTAAAACATCTCTCAAAACTATCAGACTAACTCAAAGTTCAGGCCTTGATGAATACCTTCAATGGTGTGAGGACATGGACATGGAGCCCCTTCTTGCCGTGTGGAGTGGTTTGTCCCTAGGCGGAGGCATTGTGTCCGGATCAGCCTTGGACCCCTACGTCGACGACATTCTCAACGAGCTCGAAGTATGTCCCCATCCAAAAACACCCCAAGAACCCTTCTAACACCAGCAGTACGTCCTCGGCTCCGCAGACACGACCTACGGCTCCCTGCGTGCCAAGAACGGCCGCACCGAGCCTTGGGACGTTAAGTACCTTGAGGTCGGCAACGAAGACAACCTTAACAGCGGCTGCGGTACCTATGCAAACCGCTTCACCCTGATCTATGATGCAGTTCATGCCGCATACCCCAACCTCACCATTGTCGCCTCCACCACCGACACATCCTGCCTCCCGTCCACCATCCCCGACGGCGTCATCACTGACATCCACCACTACCTCACACCCGACGAGTTCATCGACCTCTTCGACGAATGGGACAACTGGTCGCGCGACTGGCCTATCCTTGTTGGCGAATACGCCAGCACGACTGGTAATGATGGCAGCACCACCTACTGGTCGTACATGCAGGGCTCCTGCAGTGAGGCCGTCTACATGATCGGCATGGAACGCAACAGCGACATTGTCAAGATGGCCAGCTTCGCCCCGTTGTTGGAGCATTTTGATATGGCCGAGTGGTCGGTAAGTGTTGAAACAACCTATCCCACACGCGCCCGGTTACTTTGCGGGAAACACTAACTCTGCAACAGCCTGACCTCTTCGGTCTCGACTCCAGTCCAGACTCCGTAACAGGATCCACATCATACTACGTCCAGAAGATGTTCTCCACGAACCGCGGCTCCACAGTCCTCCCAGTCAACACGACCGCCGACTTTGATCCGCTCTACTGGGTCGCCTCCGTGTCCGACGAGGGTACGTACTACGTCAAGCTGGCGAACTACGGATCGTCGTCACAGAACGTAACCGTGAACATCGAGGGCACGACATCCGGTCAGCTCCAGATGCTCTCCGGGGGAGAGACAGTGAGCAACTACCCGCATGATGTGTCGATTACGACACAGACTTCTACTGTGTCTGGTAGTGGAAGCTTCACAGTTGACATGCCGGCGTGGGCAGTTGCAGTGTTGGCTGTATCTTAATGTTCCTGGTGCATAGGCTGGGATGGATACAGCTGGGGAGGCGCGAAGCCTTGAATTCTATACATGTTTCCACAATTTGATGTATCTGGTCTCCGTTGGTTTATATAAAACATGACTTCGCAAAGAGATACTCATTGTACTTTGGTACTTGCTTCCAAGTATCTGCCGTATGTATAAAAGAAAGTGACCAGGTAAGGGTGTGTATATGTGAGCAGTATAATTACCAAGTTAGAGTGTAGGGGAAAAAAAAAAATAACAGGAGCTGAATTGATATCAAAGATGCGCTAACCCACGGTATACAACAGAGAAAACAAAATTAAAAAAAGGTAAAACAATCAAGAAAGGAATCCCGCTGGACATATGCGACGTGCTCAATACTCCAACCACAGCAAACTATATCCGAAAAGAAAGCCAACAAAACCCACAAACCAGTTCGCTACTTAACGCCGTGTGCAATCCGATTGTATCAATCACTTTCCTCGTCAAAAACAATGCCCGGATGTATCCTTGAGGACTGCTGCCGCGGCTGCTGCAAATGTAAGACAAGGCATGCACTGAGAGAGTTTAGAAAGAGGCAGACATGTAAATAGACAGGTGTATCTCACAAAATGGTCCGGGAGAGGTACATTAGAGCCACGACGGTTTGATCGTATCTTTGCGGTCGTTAAGGCAGGTGGGATGAAGGGTGCAACGACTGCGAAGGTGATTGCAGCGGATGCTATGACTCGTGTTGCTTGTGTGCTTGGCATTTTTCAACTAGATTTCTATTGTCTGGTAGGAGATATATGACTGCTATTATTCGCTGTGAATAGATTAAAAACTTGGTAGGTGTGGAGGTATTGGTTTTGTAACTATGGCGTTCTCTCTCTCTCTCTGTCTCTGTGTGTGTGCGGGCCTCTTTATTAGCCTTCCTCGGAGGAATAGGATTCCTCTCATAATCTACATTGCATGTCATGGCGAACTCTGTCACCTGGTCATTCACATATTAATCCGGTCCAGTTGAGCAATAGACTCGAGCTCTGCATGTATCGGGGGCATCGGGACATACTGGTGGGGGTTTACTCTCCACCCGACACCTAAGGTTTGGCCCGAGAGTTTCCCCAACTTCGGCTTCTTCACCCGAGATAAGCCGTACCCCTCTTCCGCAGCGTCGGGTTCCTTTAGAGCTCCTCGGATCAGAATACTTCAATCGTACACAAAGATAATACACGGAAAGAAGGTTAAAGCCGTGTTTGAGTGATAATCTGTAGTGTAAAAAATCAAACAATAACGGAGAGTATCATGTTTCAGGTCACTGTTGACAACAAGGATCCACATTTTTGTATCATGTTCGGGGACTTTCGGTCTTGTCACTTTAGGTAATTGTGGAGATAAGGCTCAGGTATGCTTTGAGTGACCTAGGCTTTCATTCCACCGTAACTCATGACATGCTGTAGAATCACTTTCCGAAGATACGTATAGCAATGAAAAGCACTATTAAGGAAGATGTATTTATTTGAAGAATCGAGAATCGACCTGTACTCTGCGCGCTTGTTCCTCGAGAATCTTATTGTCATGAGTATTAAAACAAAGACAATAAATCACCGTATCCTTTCGTCCGCGAAGTTCGCGGCCGGACATTTCTCATTTTAATCAAGTATCGATTCCCCGCCGATTGTAGCTAGGTACAACTTGCAAAATGAAACAAGGAATTGATGTAATAGGTCAAATCCCGCTGCAAAACCCCACTACTAGACAGGATCGGGCATTTAAAGAATTGTCAATCATTGGATATCAAAAGAGGGGAACTCAGCCTGGCGCTCGGGAGGATCGGTATTCACCCCGAGGGGCGCTCTGGTCCGAGGATCCGTGCCCAAGCTCGGATAACAATGCGCCAGCCTTATTTATATTATTCGAATCGGTGTTTCCAGTGAATGAGAGTTAGATTTGAATTTATTATAAACACAAAGGGACACACAGGTAACCTCTTCTCCTGTCGATTCTCTGTGCATTTTCATCTTCTGTTTCTGCTTCATACCCCAAACCTTTGATCTATCCATATAAAAAATAATATCGTTTGAAAATGGCACCCGCCTTCGCGTCAAGCTTGAAAGACCCCAGTCTCTTTGTCGAAAAATCATACATCGACGGCCAATGGGTCGCATCCCAATCAAACAAGACCTTCAACGTTTATAACCCCGCTACCGATGAGATTATCGGAACATGTCCTGAATCCAACACAGACGACATCAATGCCGCCATCACGGCCGCTGCCAAAGCATTCCCCTTGTGGCGGTCCCAATCAGGTCGGCAGCGCGGGCGCATTCTGCGTCGCTTGTTCGATCTGATTGTCGAGAACAAAGAGGATATCGGCAGAATCATCACAGCAGAAAACGGCAAGGCCAAAGGGGATGCTGAAGGAGAGGCACTTTTCTCCGCTGGATTCGTCGAATGGTTCTCCGAGGAAGCCCCCCGTATCTATGGCGATGTCATTCCCCACAGCAGTCCCTCGAGTCGTATACAGGTTCTCAAGGAGCCAGTCGGTGTATGTGGTTTGATCACTCCATGGAACTTCCCTATGGCCATGGGGGCACGCAAAGTGGCCGCTGCCCTGGCTGCAGGATGCACAGTTGTGCTCAAGTCCGATGGTCTGACACCTTTTTCTTCTAATGTCTTTGCTGTACTTGCCGAGCGCGCGGGCGTGCCTAAAGGTGTCTTCAACGTTGTCACGGCTCTTGAAAACACCCCCACTTTGGGCCTGACGCTATGCCAGTCGGACATTGTGAAGAAGATCTCTTTCACCGGATCGACGCGGGTCGGCAAGCTCCTCATGCAACAGTCGAGCAGCACCCTGAAGAAGCTCAGTCTTGAACTTGGTGGAAATGCTCCTTTCATTGTCTTCGACGACGCCGATATTGAGACCGCTGTTACTAGTGCCATGATAAGCAAGTTCAAGGTGACTGGCCAGACCTGCGTGTGCGCGAACCGTTTCTTCGTCCAAGAAGGAATCTATGATCGGTTCAGTCAGCGCCTCGTCGAGGAGGTGAAGAAGTGCCAGGTCGGCAACGGCCAGGATGCTGCCGTGACACACGGTCCCCTGACTAATGGTGTGTCAAAGACACAGGAACACATTCAAGATGCAGTTAGTAAGGGTGCAAATGTGCTTCTCGGTGGAAAGGCGTTGTCTTCCGTTGGAAAGAACTTCCACGAGCTCACTGTTCTCGGCAATGTCAACGACTCTATGAAGGTCTCTACTGAGGAAATTTTTGGACCGGTTGCAGCGCTCGCCAAGTTCTCAACAGAAGATGAAGTGGTTCGCCGTGCGAATAAGTGTGAGGTTGGTCTGGCATCGTATCTGATCACAAGCGACTTGGGTAAGGCGCACCGTGTGTCTGAGCAACTGGAGTTTGGTATGGTTGCCATCAACACGGGAGTGATTTCTGATTGGGCTGCTCCGTAAGTTATCCTCATCCTGATCCTGGTATAAACTTATGATCATCGTACTGACTTGCGTCAGGTTTGGTGGTGTCAAGCACTCCGGTACGGGCCGGGAGGGTAGCAAGTACGGCATTGACGACTACATCAACATCAAAGCGGTCGTGACTGGTGGAATTAACACTGTGCACTCCGCAAATCTGTAAATAACATGGGTGGTCTGTCGCAGTATTGACGTGTTGATAGAGCGAGATGATGTTTGCACATTCGAAAGGACTGGAAAGGGCAAATGATAGATGACTGAATGACAGAATGCGATCGATTTGACCTCAGCGGAAAGGTAACCGATCAACGTTAATTGATACGTTTGGGATAGAAAGGCAAATTCTGGCATTTAAATGTTTTGAGTAATGTTTCTATTGTTGGCTTCAATGCAAATTCATAGCTTTATTCATTAATTCTTGAATTCTATCATTGAAGTGATCCTCAACAAGTAGATTTACACCTTCGTTGGCCCTCAGAATCGGAGAATACTTTCCGGCCCATTTCGGAGACCCTATCCCTCGATGCAAGACTTCGAGATGCTGTGACCCCTGGCTCAGAGCTGGCTTCCGCTACAGGTGAGCTTTTGGAGCTCCGAGAGGCTGATGCTCGACGAGCATGGGGAGATTGCGCATTCCGCTTCTCTTCAACCGGCCCCGAATCAGAAGCCCACAAGGATCCCGAATAGTACTTTGAATCATTTCCATCAATATATATTTGTGGAAATATTACCATCTCTGGATTGACTGGTTCCTGTACTGCGACGGCTTTATTCGATTCCCCTCTAATTATTTTCCACGCCTGGGGGTGGATATGCCAATTGGAAGACGCCGTAACCCAATCTGATCCCTTCTTTACCTGGGTCCATATGTCGGCAGCTGATTCAAGGTAGGAAGTCAACTCTTCTTTGAACGCATTATTACCATCGGGACTCAACATTTCTTTTAGGCCTAGGACGAGATCAGACGTAACCGATTTTATTTTTTCCTTTTGTTGTCGTTCCTCTTCTGCGTGGAAGGCTTTGAAGAGAAGGGAGCGAAGAATTGCCTTCTGGCGAGGTTCACTCCCAGTCCTCTGGAGTGCGTCGCCCATGTCCATGGGACCTATTGGTGATGCAATACACATAGGCTTGAAAATATCCTTTGCAAGTCGATCTGCAATGAATGATTGGGCCATGCGCGCACATGGAACGGTATGATCGTTGGCGTAAGAGAGTAGCATCGGTTGGAAAAAGTGGGAAAAGTGGCGCAGTCCCTGCTTCTGTGTCAGGGTTTTTCGCATTTCAACTGCTTGGTACTGAACCTTTGGCTTACCTGATCAAAGGATTGCAAAGGCCCTTTGAAAAACCGTTCGGTCAGGGCATAGAGCGAGGCTTCGAGATCTTCGAACTTCATAAAGCTGCTTTCCAATAAGTTTTGTAACCCCAAATTTCGTTGAGGTACTCTTACAAATCTGGTTTAAGAGGCACGATTGGAAAATCTCCACGAAGATCTTCTAATGCCTCGTTGCTGTCTCGGAGCTGCGATTCTAAACCGACAGTTTTGTTCTTCTCCCGCTGAAGATCTTTATCCATTGCGCGGAGCTTCCTCTTGTACTCATTCAACTTCTCATCGCGTTCTTCGGCTCTGCTTCGAGAATTTTCATCACATTTTCTTTGCAGTTGTTCAATCTGGCGTTTCAGAGCATTCTCCTCTTTATTCCAGTCCAAAACTCGTTCCTCGAAGTCCTTCATCATCGCCTGCCTTGCTGCCTTCTCTTGTTTTTGCTCTTCCTGGACTTCTTCGACCTTCTTATTGGCTTCTGCTAATTGATCAGTGAGCTCTTTGACCTTCCTCAGCAAGTTTTCAGTGGTGTCCAGAGTTTCCAGGTGTTGAAGCACAGCAGCAACTGATGTCTTGAGGTCTTTAATCGCACTGGTTATGGGCTTATCGGTTTTATCGGCTTTATCGGATTTATCTTTGGATCTCGTTGTCTGGGTGCCTGGGGGCATAGTGATAGGAGAGAAACAAGGAAACACACAGAGAAACTTTCCGAGAAAGACTTGGAAATTGAGTTTCATTTTCCTGTGGAACAAAAGCCGTTATGAGTCCTGGTGGGGATATACACCGCTTATTGGGACACGATCAACTCATGCAGGCAAGGGGCAGGTGGATGTTTAACAAGAATGCTTCCTTCTCGTTCACAGTGACTGTCTGTCTCAGAGTATACATTAGTACTTTTCATTTCCCCTCTTTTCGGGTAATTGCAACAAATGCCTGTAAACGCACGATTTCGATAAGCTGCAAGGAACAGAGATGGGAAACAGAGTATATCTATCTAGCCTATCATACGGTGTTACGAAGTGTGTAGCCTACCACAGCAAGTTGAGAGAAAAGGAGGGTGAGATTCACGTTATGGCATAGCTGATTGGTCCAGACAAGGGCCCCTCGCAATACCGTACACGAATCGAAGGCCACAATTGGCCAAACGCCCAATCAGATGCGGATACGTAAGGCTTCTTTCTCCCTCATGTGTTTAACCGCAAGTGCTCCATTTGGGACAGCATCTGTCAGCTAGCAGAGAGAAACGAGTGATATGGCCTGTGTTCATAGCCTTGCCCAGCCACAGTAATATCGGAAACAAGTGTATACAGAGATTGACAATTGCCATCACATTTCAAGCCACCTGCATCATACCACAATTAACTCGCATTTGATGCAGATTTGATGCGTTGGTTATCACCTTTTCTCGCTCTTTTTCGAGAGCACCGGAGCTACCGAGCAGAAAACAGATCTGGACGAGTTCGCACCTCATACATTCTGATAAAAGTATATATGTTTCGATAATTGAATTTGTAAGAGTCTGGGATCGGCAAGGTGGAGGTCCTACAAACTTTATCAGTTTTATAAACTGAGCCATCATGTCTCGGACATGTCATTAGTAGAGGAAGTATTTATAGATACGGACTATATAGAAGAGTGAGAAAAATCTGGTTACAAAATGCTTACTGACATGCTACGCCGCTTTACCATAAGCATATGGTTCGGTGAACCCAAACCCCGAGATGATGGCCCGTAAAACAAGAGTGCATGATTTTGAAATGTTCCTTACTGAATATCAGACAGTTGACTCCATTGCAACACCCGGTGACAGTTCGAATTCATTTCATCCAGCGTAATTGCTTATTATTTGACTCCGTCGCCGACGCCCGGATGAACTTGCTCGAAAGAATCATGGTCAGCCAGGTATGATTTGCCGGGAATCAAGTCACTGTCTGCACAAATTGCCTCATTTTACTGGGCTGTACAGGAAATATTACACACACTATCAGAACTTGAGGCGTCAATTGCTAATTATTGAGTTCCTCATCTGGACATCTGCGTTCATGGGCATCAATCCTGTGGTATAATTGCTTCTGCACGGAAAGACTAGTGAAACTAATATTGATTCTGCGAGGAAAGCGGGTTCCGTTATAACATCTGTAATAGGGATTTCAATCTCCAAACCCATACTGATTTGGTATTGTGCCATCATTCCAATGTGTATAAGAAGAGTGTTGGCCCCTTCTCTTCTTGCAACCATCCACAGCTCAACAGTGCCCATCATCTATTGATTGTTCACAGAATCTCTCAAAGCACATCTACCTTTGCCAACATGAGGACATTCTCTGTCGCAGTTACCTCTCTTCTGGCGGTTACAGGTCTTGTTGCAGCAATCCCCGCGCCACAAGGTATGCAGCTCTCGAGATCTCCTGATGTAAAATATTCTAATGCCACATACCACTGAAACAGGCCCTGTTGATCTCACCAACCTCCCATCCGGAAACATTATCAATCCGCTTGGTGCAGGTGCTAACCAAGGCGTATCTGGGGCGCCGGGTATGTACTGCGGCATCGAAGATGCTCCACTTCACCCCTCCGTCCAGGGAGTCAATGATATAGTACTAATACTACATTAGCCGTTGCTCAGCAGCCAGCGGATCAACCTGGGGATGCAGGTGAGGAAGCGGCAAATGCGCTCTATGGCGTTGGCAGTTCTGGGCAGGATTCAGACCCCGCTGCTTCTCAAAATACTACTCCACAGCCTTCACAGCTCGAAAACAATGGTGAGTACTTTAGTAGAGCATGCTTGCACCGAGTCATACTAACCTCATCTAAGGGGGTCTTGTAGGAAATCTCGCAAGCCTTGTTGGATGAGAAGAGAAGCAGTTGAAAGGGGCTACTATGGAATGTCATATATGCTATATAGATGATCGATCTATTTGGACTCCATAGTTGAAATCCACTACGTATAGCTATAAAGACTTGGCTACGGCAGCGTAGCTCTAGATCTCGGGGAAAGGGACAAGGCGGAGTTGTAGCCCATCCACAGTATCGAACGGGTATTGAGCGTGCTGATGCCTTCTTGTATTAATCAGGCTTGAGTGGCTAGGGTCTACTGCCATCTTAATATAGAGTTGGGTCATATCCCAGAGGTGCCGGTGCGGTGCCTCGAGAGGAGTTCCACTTATGTTAATGACCGTTTCGATCTTCGGGTTCCTACTACGCAACCCGCGGGCCTAATATACTACTCTACGAAGCAGAGTTCGCAAAGTAAAATGCAAGTTTCCAACTTCTGAGTAGGCAAGATCTACAGATCTATCCTTTGAGGCAGATAAATATATTGATTTGAAGCGCCAATAGAGTATGCACCTGCCCCACTTCTGTTGCGCCCTAGAACGATGTCGGAGGACATGTGCTTCGTTTACTTAATGTTAGCGGAAGCAGGAATCTTAGCAATATACCTCATGATATATTTGGGTGTTAAGATTAGCTTTTTTGGTGCGGGCCAATAGACCATACTTCCCACATATTTTTAGTCAGGTGGACCCTGAGCGGCTATACGAACACGAAGGAACACTGGATGTCAATTCGGGAACGAACACGCTCCCTGATTCGATGAACCAGGGGCTTGTATGTAGCCACCAAAGACCCTTGTCGGATGCGAGATCACATAGGATTTAAGCTTGTGCAAATGCATTAAAACCACTTTCGCGGTCGAACAGGCAAAATTGCCGCCACAAACTGTGTTTTTACTTTCCTTCTCTGCGTAGGACAACTAAGCTTTAGAATATTAGCTCCTTCTATCAAACTTTCCTGGGATAATGCTGTCATGCTGAACTATTATCGCGCAGATAAAAGCCTGTGAGCTTCTAGAGATGGTTTGTGGGTTGCAAGCGTGCAGTACAGTGGCGGTAGCATGTAACCCTGGCAAAGGACGAGGCTCTGAGTGCCTTGGAGAGGGAGATCTAGTTGTTTCAACTCCGAAGGAACTGTGTGTTAAACCGTGAGTACCTTTCTATGACACTTACATAGCTTCGGGGTACTGATATACTATACTTCGGTCACTATATCTCGATATAGACTAAACGGCTCATAAAAGAAAAAAAGGGTCCCATGATGTATGAAAAAAAAAAAAAAAAAAAAAAAAAAAAAAAAAAAAAAAAAAAAAAAAAAAAAAAAAAAAAAAAAAAAAAAAAAAAAAAAAAAAAATAAAGTAAAAAAAAATAAAAAAAAAAGGATGCACGCATCCATTGAATACTTAAGAAGCCAAACTATTAAAATCTATACGTATTATAAATACAAAGTTGCGGGTAAATAAACACACCCCAAGACTGTCGGAGAGCATTTTGGTTATGGCTGAAGAGTCAAAGGATCCGGAGTGTTGAATATTCCGTAGAAACAATCTTCTTTCTAGAAATATATCAAACCTCCTTGCGCAGATTCATCCAGCTCCTCTCCAAAAGACTTAGCTGACAAGATGCTAGTCGAGCTCAATTAGGGCTTGTTGTGTTGTCGAAGCTGGTCAGGGCAGTGTGGGTAGCGTAGAATTCACCCTTGGGGTTGTAGTACTCGTCGAACATCAATGGCTTCGCGCCCTTGATCCAGGTGTAAGCGTGCTTATCGGTGAATCCCCAGAAGGTGATATCGGTAATTCCAGCGTCAAGGGCCTCGGTGAGGACGGCGTTGTAGATATCAGTTTCGAGGGTGGTATTAAGCGTATGGACATCCATTTCAGAGATGGATACCTCCAACCCAAGAGCGTTGTAGGACTTGACTATATCCGTAATCACACCTGGGATAGGAGCTACTTCGGTAACGTGCATCTGTAGAGCGACGCCGTCGATCGGGACATTGTCTGATACAAGTCCAGAGACTAGATCGTAGAGCTCTTGACGCTTACCGGGATACGTCTCGACCAGGCTCTCGCTCAGAAACAATTTGGCGTCGGGGCCCGCTGCCCGAGCGATATGAAAGGCATCTGCAATGTATTCAGGTCCGAGCACCTTGTAGAAATCATTGACCTGTAGGCCGCCACCCATCGTCTTAAGAGCTTCAGTGACAACGTCCCACCGATCCATCTTGCCGGCGTATCGGTGCATGATTGCGTCAAAGTGAGTGGCCATGGCGGCACGAAACAGTTTGGGATCGGTGATGTTGAGCAGATAGTCGGGGTTACAGCAGCTGGAAATAAGCCCATGTCCCTTCACCACCATATTGTGCTTCTCCGCGAAGCTGACGAGGCGGTCGGTCGCATTCCAATTGTAATGGCCTGGGGTCGGGTGGATGAATGTCCACTTCAACTCATTCTCGGGAGCGAGGCTTTGGAACTGATCGGCAAGAACGGTCGCAAAGAGAGAATCATTGAGATAATTTGGATTGATAGCCCCGGACCCAATGAGGATACCCTTGCTTTCCGCTACCTCTTTCAGCGGACTGGTGTTGGTCTTGGTGAAGGCATTTGCTCCTTCGCTCGCGGCGAGCAAAGCAGTGATAAGGGACGCGGCACCAAAGGTCTTCATAGTTCTGGTTGGAAACGTGTTCTTCTGTTCTCCGATGTTAAGCAATGAGCGACATGAATATGCAGTCTATTCATCAAGGTATTTATAGGTTCTTCAGATGGAACAGCGTTTATACAGTGGGTCATTCCCTATCGCCCCAGGTGTTTCAGCAGAATACGAAGGCAGAAAGCTTGGCATCTGTACGAAAACGAACGTGCCCTTTCATTCGTTGAACCATCGTTCCTTTTTGCCACGAGGGGCGTTCCCGAGACTTGTTGACCAGCAACTTAGCAAGAGATCATGGATCCATCGTATACTCGTACAAAGTACACTTGCTGGCGACCCACCTAAGATTTGTAGTGCTGGTGTCTCCTGTATTGCCTGCTAAGTTTTAAGCTAATCTGATGATCTGTCATGGTTATTCCTGGCACTAATAGTAATGGTTACGTTAGGAATACGAAATACGTCGTATAATATGACGAACTCAGTAGAGCCTTTAGTAATAGCGAGAAGTGCTACTGTTACACCAGCCAGGCTTTCTCTATACCAGCCTCCGCTCATGCCACACTCTCTGCCTATCTTCCGCCTAGATTAGTAGGTAAGGCCCGCTTTCTATTTAAATAAGACTTACTTTTTTAATGTATCAGAATACCACTGTCTTCTTATCCAGGAATAACTATTGCCTTAGATATTAGTTTACTGCCTGAGATCTGAATTTCTGCCTCAGGTGATAATAAATCTAAAGTAGTTAGTAGGCAATGGGACGCTGACAAATTGAAAAAGTAAGCCTTGGTTACCTAATAGAGAGCAGGCCTTACCTACTAAGCTAGGCGGAAGATAGGCAGAGAGTGTGGCATGAGCGGAGGCCGGTGTGGAGGAAGCCTGGCTGGTGTGGCTGTAGCGCCTCCCTACTTGCAGATACAAGAGATCTCAGTCGTGCCTACCAAGACGACGAATAGTATATATTGTCGACGCGCCTACCGCAAGTTTAAAAACGATATATCGCATCTATCGATCAGCCGACAAAGCGAGATATCCCCCTATATATACCCGCAAAAATAAGTATGCTATCTAACGAACGGAGAAGGGGCTTGGATAGGTAAAGAAACTGAGATCTATCCAATTGACCATGGATAGGAACCGACCCAGACCGCTGGTTATATGTAAGCTCCAAAATATCGAATTACTGAGGTGACCTAGCTGCAGCCGTCAAGCCTATCCCAGTCCAAGAGCTAGCGTTGGAAACCAAACATGCACTATCTAAACAGCCCTATAGGGGACTTCATGATATAATTTGGCGGAACATAGCGTGCCACTACTGGTTGCGATATTGCTACTACTGCTGGTTGTAGGCAGTCATCAGAACCAGGTGAACGAACACATACCCGAGCACGGGTCCAAGTCATCGTTATCCGAGACCCGATATGGAGAGATCGCCCTGAAGCCCTCGGAGCATGGTCACAAATGCTGTTGAGATAGAGTTTTGATACAATACCATATCAGGTGACAGGTATCTGTAACCGAAGGATCGGGAGTAACCCGATGTTATATTTCGGTCGGCTTCGATATCCGATGTATCTATCTATCTCGTATCTATCTATATCAGTGCCCTTGCATATGTGGCTCAGCTCTGGCCCTCTTCTTTATCTAATCCCATGATACCGATGAATCTAGAAAAATGATATCAGTGGATGGCAAAAATTAGAAGTTTGGGATCGGAAGGACATGCTTACAGAGGTAGTTGGATCCTTGTGTATTGAGCGGTTTTTTGGTCATTTGATAATCGATTGCGAGCCTGGTGATACGAGCAATGTTTGTGTAACCCTCACCTCCGAGCTTAGCCGGTGGGTTTTCGTAGCTTATGAACGGTTCGGAGTGACCGACTACAGGGGTACTTCCACAATTGCGGTTCGCGTTGGCGAAGGGGTATAATCGGATCGACAGGCGAGGGATATAGGGCCTATGGCTTATTCAAGTATTGGTTGGTCATCTGAAGCCTTCTCTCAATCAGATTTTACGGGCCATATGTATCTTGGCAAACAACGAATAGGCACATACGACCACAGGGTGTGGAAAATAGGGCTTCCCGTCCGCTCAGCCGTACTCAAGCCACACGCCGGGAGGTTAGTAGTTGGGTGGGTGACCACCAGCGAATCCCTTCTGTTGTATGTATTTTGCAATTTATTTTTTCTATTCCTGTTTAGCATGGTTTCTTCACTTCCAATGAGAAGAGTTTACACCTGGTGCATACAGAGAATAAGTACATTTCTAGTGTCTGCATCTTGATCTATGGTCCATGGTATTTATTCTGTACATATCTCGTCTCCCGAAGACAAACTCTATCTCCTTCATGACGCCAATCCACTCAAACAGAATTCGAATTATCAGCACACGAAAAAGCAGCCGAGCCCCCATCCTCAGCATAAGACGCCATGATGTACTCAACAGACCCGTAAGTTCCCGCAACCATCATGAATGACCCAATGAGTATTATTAGCACACTCCACACTACCATAAACATCCACCGTTTCGACTTATGCGCCGCATCTTTCCCCTTCCGCCAGTTATCGTACAGCCACATCGCACCCATCGGCTGAATGCAGATAAGCGGACCAAGTAAAGCCCCGATGAGAGAAACCAAGGCATCAAAGATGGGTATTGTGCTGGCAATGATCCAAGCAATTAGAATGATTCCGAACGTACAGCTCAACCAGGTGATCCAGTGCGTGGGTGAGTTGCTGGTGAGATGGCGCGAGCCGCGGAGGATATTGACGAATATGAATTTTGCGGGGATCTTTGGTAGGTTTACAAGAGGTATTTGTTAGCATATTGAGGTGTATGCCGCAATGGGTCTTCCTTTCTTCTGATTCTTTGGGTTTCTCTTACATGTGCGACGATGGTGAGTGTGGCTAAGAGGCCGGGCAGTGCAAATGCGTAGCTGATGATCTTTACAACACCACCGGCTGAACCAAGGGCTGGTGATGAAACGTAGGTACCGCAGTAATAGTACACCACTCCGCCGATTATGGTATATACGGCGAAGACTCCGGTCTGACTTGCGACCACGGCTTTGGTGTATTGGTGGGGGTCACGCATCTCGGAAACGATGGAAAAGAATGCTGGAGGTGATGGATATTAGCCGTGTGATAGGATGCCGAAAAGAGCCAGGAAAACGACAATTAACTCACCCGGGATTCCTGTAAAGGAAAATAGCAGATTAGATACAGCTGCAATTCCATCAGCAAAACTGGGGTTGCCGACGGCTACCCAGTCGGAAACCCAAGGACCGTCCGTTTTGGGCGCGTCAGCGGGGCGGTCCTCTATACCGACTCCGACAGTAACAATAATGACTAGGTACCGTCAGTGCATCATGCAGGAGATGTGTCGCTGGGGAAAGTACCGGCTGTAAGGATACATGGTAGGCCCACCCATGCAACCGCAGTGATGCGACCTAATGTTCGGATACTACAGAAGCACAACCCGGCAATGGCTGCAACGGCAGTGAAGACTGCCGTACATGTTGCATGGGTAGACACGGCGTTCAAGCCAATGGAAAGTCCAAGAATAGCCGAACCGCTGGTGAAAACGTAATCTGTATGGTGTCAGTTCCTACCATTAGCATTATATTGCTTCGACTAGTTGATTAGGGCCACGTACAAAGGCAGAATGCGGCTGAAAGGGTCCACCGGCCCAAAGGACCAAACATGAGTCCACCGGCATCGTCAATGCTGTAGACATCGCGGTGGTTGATCTTGAAAATGCCAATGACATAGGCAGACCAAGTAGTGATACAGTAGACTGCAAACAGACAAATAATGCCCGGGACCATGCCCAAAACTTCCAGAGCAGATGGGATGGCAAGGACGCCCAAACCAATCTGCGTCTTCATCATGAGGATGACGGTTCCTATGAACCCGACCTAGTTTAATCAATTAGCTTCTGTGTCTGTTTCCAATGAGAACTGCTTGTATAGACATTGCGAAAGTTAGGACCATGCTCCGAGATCTCTCCGAATACATCATCATGAACGTATTCGGGTTGCTGCGGCACTATGTCTTCAATGTCTTTCTTGTCGGTGGCCATGTTGAGTGATTGTTGCTGAATTCTTCTTCCTGGAGAGGGGAAGGAAGACAGCAGCACAATGAGAAGGCCATGGTGACCCTTTATAACAGGTGTTGGGAAACAGAGTAGCCAATGACGTCGGGGACAATGCAGAGGCACAGAACACGACGATTAGTGTTTCTCGGATCCCCCGCATTTTCAGTCAAAGTGCGGCAGCTGAATGCGGTCTTGATCAACAAGCTTCGCTTAGCCCAAAACCGCATATTGTGGGGCATTTTCCCCCGCAGATAAGCCGACGTTGGCAGCGGCAGAACACAAACCTCGCAAAGGCCCCCTAGATCCGTGTGATCGGGTGCCAACCCGAGACTTGCCGAGTGTCTTCTTCCTACGTCGCTTATCGGTTAAGATAAACTGCAGGGGAAAAAGAGAAGAATCGAAGAAGATTAAGAGTTTACCCGACTTTGGTCAAATATACTAGGATAGATAGAGCTAGCAAGTTGCCTTGCCAATTCGCGCAGTGGTTGGAGAACCATGGTAACCAATACGAGACTACCGGAAGGAATAGGGCATGCACGGGAAGAAATACAATTGAAACATTAAATAGCCAGCTAACTAAACAAGGCAACCATAATACGTTATGCGAATGCTGTAGGCACCTATTCAACCTCCTGGATTTCCGTCAACATCGACTCAATGAACAACTTCTGGTTCGTAAGGAAGCGTTTCATCTCGGGAATGTTGAATGGCCTCTTGGCTACGACTCGCTCCCGCTCTTTCTTCTGTTGATGACGAATACGCTCCTCCAGGATTTCCAGACGGTACTCAGTGTACTGAGTATAAAGCTCATTGATGTCACTGATACCGCGCACTCCGACGAGGACAGTCTCGTCTTTAACCAGAGGCGACTTTGGTCGGAAGCAAGTGACCATACTGATGCGCTCGCGGCCACCAAGCGCCTTGAGAGCCTGGTGTTCAATGTATCTTCCTTGCATGACCACGGCAGTTCCCTATAGAGACAGCGAACCAAGTTATTACTGAAAACTGCATACCCGAGGGTGATCAACATACCATAGCCGGTCCACGAACTTTCATAATCTCCCCACTAGGCATCCTAAGCGCCGTCTCTCCACCGACCATGTCAGTGCAATCGGAAAGCATCGTCACACACACAAATGGGAAACTGTCATAATGCCAGGCGACAGCCGGGAGTTCATTGTCCGAGGAAATAAGATCGACAGTGCGTTCCGTGTTCGCGTTCTCGTCCCGAATAGAAATGTTGATGTTGGCAATTTCAAAGTCAATTGACGGAACGAGGTCTATGCCAGCTACCTCGGAGATTCTTGCCAGGACTTCTGGGGATTTCCAGGCGTCGTATGTGAAAGGGGCACGACTACAATTTTTAGACAAGCAACTTTCACCATTCAGGGTTTTCGCCGACTTACGCTGGGCCCATTCCCCGAACCATATGCTTGTTGAAGGTTGAGGAGTATTGACACTCAGCAAGCACCTTCTCGTCGAAGATCTCTGCCCTCATTTGGGCGATGGCTTCTTCGGTAAACAGCGGGAATGGCTCTGTGGCCGCGTGGGGTGAGATGCCGTGTCCCTTCAACCCAATTTGCTCCATAGTATAGATGGACCTTGGGGGTTGGTAGTTCAAGTGTTTCGCAGGATCAAACGACTCCCTCTTGGCGATCTTTGCTCCCTGGATCAGGGATTGCGGCAGGTCGGAAGAAGGCCTTGTGGCCTTCTTGGTTGCCGGACCAATAACAGTAGGTGGTTCAACGTCGATGAAGGTAGCCGAAGGAGCCATCTTGAATAATAGTCTGGTAGATAGTGTGAATGTAGATGTTCTTTTGGATATTAGGAGGTGAAGTTGTCTCTCTGGACTTCTCTGGATATTTTGATAATTTATATAATAAGGTTCCGTAGTCCAGACCTCCAAGACTGCGCGTGATCTCTCATGATGGTCAATTGCTTGTAGAACGGCTTTTCCGATACCGAAGACAGTCTATCGTAGAGAGAAGTTGAGCCCATTCGGCAAGATAGGTAGAATGAAGAAACACCATTTGGTCTCAGGCGAACCCGATCCCTGACATCTGTGGTGACCCCTCTCGGCTGCACCCGCGGCTGCCTCCAAGCACCCTCGGAAGTAGGTGGGGTCTCGGCTTCTACCCGATGCTTATCACCAAATCATAGGGCATTGATCGCCTCGGAAGCGGATGTGAGTATGATCATAGTAGCAAGAGACACGGCGTAAGGGAAGATCACACTCCTCTCTCCCGAGAATTTTCAAGGTATGTCGGCTGGAAAATGATGTGTGAATCACAAATGAGTTTAAATGGCCTCGATGCCCTGCCAAGCTGAGACTTTATCCATAATACAATCCTCATCATCCCTCTATCTCCAGAATACCCCTCAACATGTCTTCCCTCGACCTAAATGATGTTGCATCTGCCCTTCGCACAGCCCTAGCTGAAGCAAAGCCAATTGATCCTCCAACCAAGACATGGCCCAGCCTCACCCCAGACGATGGCTTCAGAATCCAAGAAATCAACTCCAAACACAACGTCGCCAACGGCGACCGTCTAGTCGGATATAAGCTCGGCAACATCGCGAAAGTGATGCAAGCCGCTTTTGGTCTGGACCACCCTGACTATGGATTCCTGCATGCAAAGTCCTTCATCTACGAAGGCACTCCTATCCACCTGAATAAGTTCATCAAGCCATTCGTCGAACTGGAGCCTGCCTTCGTTCTGAAAGGCCCCCTGAAAGGTCCCAATATCACCGTAGCGGATGTCATCAATGCCATTGACTATGCTATTCCCGCTATTGAAATCATCGATTCTCGCGTGAAGAACTGGGCTATTGATCTGCCCGATACGCTTGCGGATAATGGGTCAACTGGAGCTATTATACTCGGTGGAACGCCGCGCAAGCTCACTGAGCTTACGCTTAATGATACCCGTGGTGTCTTGAAACATAATGGCAAGGAGTTGATGACTGGGAATACGAAGAATGTCCTTGGGAACCCGATATCGGCTGTGGCGTGGCTGGTGAACCGGTTGGCGGAATACGATATTGAATTTCTGGCAGGGCAGGTTATTATGCCGGGAAGTTGTCTGGAGGCTATTCCTATGGAGCTTGGTCAGTGGACTTGTACGTTTGAGGGGTGGGGGACTATTGAGTTCGATGTTGTGTAAATCAGGAACTACGCATAATAGACATGCCGCATTTTAGTTGCTTATAGAATGACGACTTCTCCCACTTAATGAGAATAAAGCATGATTCTCAGCCGTAACAGATCTGCAAAATAGAATCCCCTGAGAATTGGAGTGCCCCAATATATCCTTAGTATCTGCTATTCATTAGACTGCATCATCATCGAATCATATATACTACCTAGTAACAACCTTACGACCAATACGTCGCATACTCACTCTCCCCACTCACGACCTTAATGAACTCCTCAGCAATAATCTCATCCGTCCTTTGTGACGGATGCAACTGGTCATACCACAGGAACGAATCCGGACTCGACAGCGTCTCACACTCAGACCCGGCGACATTACAATGGTGGATATAACCCGTGACATTCGCCGGCGCCGACCCATTGAGATACTGCTTCGGATGGTAATAGATATCCGAGATCTGCCCATATTAGCAACCACCACACCCCAACATACCGGGAAGGGCCGTAACTCACCAACGAATACATATCCATAACCGCGACCTTCGCCCCAGGATACCTCTTCCCAACCACCCACTCAAACGGCGTCCGATACTCGTAAACCTGATTAACCGTACTCACCTGCTCCCACATGCGATAACTTATCTCGGTAAAATTTCCCGTTTTATCAGGCCAGTAGTTGTTCGCCCCAATGCCTCCATTCTCCGGCGTCGCGTACAAGGGCGCTAACTGCAACGGTACCATGTTCATAATAACGAAGTACTTCCCCTTGCCAGCTTTATACACCCCATCGAGTGCATTGAATACGCAATCAATGTAGTCCGGAATAGTCTTATTGGCGACCTGCGAGTCGGTTAAAAACGCGTAGTTGCCGAGATCGTTGGTTCCGATCCAGATGGAGTAGATGGTGCTGTCAGGGTCGTTTTGGAGGAATTTGTCCCCTGTGCTGGGAACGTGGTAGGCATTGTCGGCTGTGAACGCCGGGACTTGGTATTCCAGGACGGAAGGGTACAGGCCGAAGGAGGTCGTTCGGGGAGTTATTTTGTTCGAGCAGGAGGCGCCACTGACGGCGTAGTTGTAGCGGTGGGATAAATGAGCGTATTGATGCACGAAGTGGCCCCAGATGTAGCCTCCAGAGGCGGAATCGTTGGTCTATTGGTATCTGTTAGTTGTGTAAACTATATGTGGGCGTTTCTGTGCATGATAGGGAGGGGATGGAGTGCATGATGTCCGGGGAACGTACAATAGGCTCGACCCATCCCACTGGCGGTGCAGACCCATTATGATTAATGAAGTAGCTAATTCGCGTATCGTCCGTATAGCTATCACCGAAGGTAACCAAGGTTTTGAAATCCTTGAGGTCCCATTTCTGGTTGGACTGAGCGAGCACCGCTTCCAGCCCTACGAGGATGACGCCGATACAGTGTAGCAGGCCCATTGTGCACCGTCGGTATGGGGTATGTGGAGTGCAAATACCCCGGGGTAAGCACCCCTCTTTATTTCAAGCATTGAGCACGGATTCGGGGCGACGATCGATCGCATTGATGTGCCCTGGTTTTATCCGGATGCGGAGGTGCGGGTAAACTCCGCTCACCGCAACACGCCGCTATTCGCGGAAGATCTGCGTCGGGGTTGCTCATGCAGGTGTTTATCCGGGTTGTTTGCTGCGGCATGGGGTAGTTGCGTGGTTGGGCAGAGCTGAGGGTGTCGCAAGGGGTTTCTTGGATTTATTTGCTTGTTGGATGCCCATGATGATCTTTGTTGTGGTGGTGTGGTCTTTGAGGGAATGTCCCTAGATACAGGCTGTCGGAGACCTACGAGCTGTTATATGGATGTCAATGCTGGTAATGCCTTCTAGAGTATTACTACACCATTACTGGACCTGTTTAGGGACTTCAGAATTAAAGTTTCTCATAGCGACGCTAGTAAGCAAGGACGACCATTCTCCTGAACCCACCGCAGTTGTAGTGGCAGTGTACAACCTTTACTCAAAATAATTGGCCTGGACCTCCCCGACCGATTGGCCATTGAACTCCAGCTCGAATTTGATTGAGGCGGACTGCGGGGTCATGATTAAAACATGTTCAACGTTGTAGTACACCTTGCCTTTGCTGTTTGTGTGTTTCTTGAAGAGATGAGTTGGTATATTTCTTAGATCGCCTGCAAAGGTACACAACTCGTAAACACCTGAATATCAGTTAGCAGATACACGTCTGTGGTACATAAGTAGGTTAGTTGCTTACCACTGTCGCAACGTTTGGGAGCTTCGCCGCGAAGGCAAATCTTTAGTTTGCTGATAATACCGGCCGTTCCGTCAACAGCGAAGTTCGTATTAAAAATCATCCGAACAGGTTCTCCTTGTTGAATAACGTCTCCCTACCAGATAATGAGCAACAGTGGCAAGGCTCGCTGCATAGAGTCGGTAGAGTACTTGCCTTGTGGATATACCACGTCATCAGGTCGGTGATATACCAACTCTCAGCCAAGTTATCCCAATATCTCTTGGCATCTGGATATTTAGCCATGGTATCGGGATCATGTGTTATATGGCAAACTCCATAGTGGCATCTGGCAATGCGCTTCTTGACCTGGTTGCCCTTCAAGCCATATTGAACCGCTCCACTAGGTCAAGGTAAGCAGATTGTGCAAATCCTTTTTGAGCCATAGGGGACTCACAGCATCACAGCAGACCAACTAGTCCTTGTTAGCCTGAGTACTATAACCGGTGTTGTCTGAGTACTTACGAGTTGGGTGGCTGCATCACAATAATGTCACTGAATGTTTCCTGAATACAGCGATAGAGGTACTCGGATGAACCAAATCCTCCCACCAGAAGAATAGCCTGCCGGTAATGGTCAGCGACGCTCAGAGTATCATTGTTGCACTCACCTTTACTGGTTTCTTCTCGGCTCTGGCAGCATTAACCTGGTGGATGATCTGCACCTTAACTCGGTCAACGACTGGATCGAAGATCCTTCTAATCTGAGCTCTATTATCATTAAATTTAGCTCCCAGGCTGGCATAAGTGCACCGCTAATTTACTCACCCATCCAGCTGAAGAAAACCATCTTGTAGACCTATCTTAGGCTTGTCCTTCAACCCAGGGAGAGGGACAAAATGTGTCTCCTCTTCAAAGTCCGGATCGCTCGCAAAGTTGGGTTTTATATGGTCTTGCCAGTATCTCAAGGCCACTTCGCAGGACTTGACACTTAAATGCTTGTCATTGACGAGGACCTTGAGGAAGTTCTTGAATCCGGCATCAAGCATGACCGATCCACAGATATCGCCTGTGTTTGTGAGCCAAATGTGGATAGCCCCTCGGCTGAAACATACCAGTGCCTTCAGCTACCTCTTCCAAGCACAATGGAGACACCGTCGTCACGCGATACGAGATGAGGTCCTATCGTGTTCAGCCATAAAGATTGCAAGATAGTCATCTATATGCAGCCAGGGCTACTTACCACAGTACCGCCACCGGCATCGCATACTACGACAACATCGTTGTTCTGCATTCGAAATCAAAAAGACGCTCTTGTTATACCGGACGGCAACATACCTCGATGGAGTTTGGCTGAATTGCATTAAGGCAGTACAAAGCTGCCGCTTCTGGCTCAGATACCAAAGTAATGTCTTTCTGGGGAATTTTGGCCCTCGAAGCGGCTTTCAAGGTCGCGTCTTTTGCCTTATCAGACCAGATGGCTGGTACCGTCAGGACATACTGCATCTCCATCTGTTCGGCTGCTCGGCCAAAGCGCCTCTGAAGAATTTTCTTGGTGTGGTCAACCAGACCTGTCAGATACATGCCAGTCAGAGTAACTGCAGGTATGCGTGACCTTTTGAGCAGTCCCGCATCTATCAAGGATGCGACGTATCCTGGGTTCTGAGGCTCATCCAGTAGGAGCTTCATACCCCGGATATTGTCTCCAACAAGGTAGTTGGTCTGGTAACCCCAATGAACGCGCGCACCGCATTTAATGATCATGGTGCTAGGGACTTTGGGTGTTGTGCCTGTTGCCACTCGTCAGCAGACTGTTTTCTGAACGTACCAAAAGATGCCACAGACGGTTCCCCTCTCCAGGCCACGACATTATCACTTCGGGTTTATCTGGACAATCGCTCAAAGCCCAGGCGACACTGACATATATCAGTTTCTCATTCAATGGCCAGTTTAATCATTATGTCTTACCCACTATAGGTGGTGCCGAAGTCAAGCCCAATGACAATACGAGGATTCGCCATCTTTGAAACAGACTGTTAGCTTATCGTACGAAGACCAGACAGCGAAAAGAAAAGGGTAGAAATGTTTGAGGGGGAAGGGGGAAGGAGGGGTGGCAGGGCGGATTTAAGGAGCCAAAGCGTAATACTATATTCTGTCATTCCCATCCATCAATTCCGTCTCCTCAGTCATAATGACGACTAGCCAGGAATGATGAAGTCAACCTTGACAAAGACCTCGAAGCTGGATTCATGTTTCTTGCACAACGATAGCTACCACTATGGAGCAGTTTATCGACATTGTCTACCAGTACTTCCCCATATTGGATACCCTTCGCAACATGGATAGGCCCCAAGGAGCTGCTGCGAACAGTGATATTCCACCTTCAAATTTGTCACCTGTCGAAAATTTCCTTCGGGTGAGTCGATCTGTCAGTTGAGGTTTTGGTAATAATATCTAACTATTCAAATTTGCAGAACAACCCCGAACTATACCGAGGGCTGGAAAAGGCTGCACTAGCACCTCTTCGTGTAGAAGAGGATCTTCGGCGTCGACTACAACGCCTGAAGCGGTCTGAGGAGTTAATGGGCTTAGAGCTGGCTAGGAAGAAATCAGATATTCGATCACTCACACAGCAGATACAGGCACTGAATTTTCAGCCAAACATTATCTGTGATGACGATATCGCACAGAATATGGGCCGTCTCCTTCAGCGACTTAGAAACTGGATCAATGTTCACTTTCGGAACCCAGATAATCTGGACAAATTGGCTCAAGATCTTGAGCACAATGGATCAACGTTTATTCCTAAAGGCCCCCATGAGATTCGAGCGTTTATCGCCTCTACAGTCAGTCAAACTCTGTTTGAGCGCATATTCAGTTCATACCTACTAGGGATACCCAATGAAGAATCGGGAAGATTCGCGTCTATTGCAGCGACATTGCGGGAGAACTGTGAGACCTCCAATCCATCGTGGGTTAAAGTGAAGCTGATCTGACCCTCCAGGCCCCGAGCATGTTGAGCATCGCTGGCGCACGGCAACAAGCATAGCCGTAGAGAGACTTTCAGATGAGCCAAGCGATATCAACACTGTGGTCGCTCAAGTCGAGATGAATTTTACGCAATACTTCTCTGTTGAACCGCCCATTGCGGGCATGCGCTTGTGTCCCCTTGTTCGTGAGTGTATGCAGTTCAAGCGAAAATTAGATCGTTAACAGGGCCGTTATCATTTCTTTCACAGTTCCCCCGGAACCATCTTCAACCGAAACCATATGCGGCAAGCTATACCTTTCCAGGAGCTTGCAGGTCGCGTCCAATGCACGCTGTGGCCTGGCGTGTACAAAGAATTGACGAGCGGGGCCCTGGTTGTAATTCCAGAGACAGTCCTGGCTGAGAAAGACGCAGGACATGAGAGCTCAACTGATATAGAGGTGCCAGAAACTCTAGTGCCAGATTTACAGGATGCGTTAGATGAACTATCGGACAGTGTGGAGAGGGTTGATGATGATGTTTCCTCCAGGGACTTGGCCCTGGACGCTGAACTTGGAGGAGATCCTGAGTGAATGCAGGCTTCATTCCCTAATGGCTAAAATTAGGCTATGCTCAATCATTGATGATCATCGTTAGATAGGTACCGAACCCTAGAGACCCTATCCATCAATTCTAGGCACAATTAGTAGATACTCCTTAGTGGATTGTTGATGCCTTACTGCCTTGCTGCCTGGCCAGGACTTGCCCCACCAGCAAAACATCATCAATTTCTCCTGCAAGGTGCTTCTCCCTGCAGTCAACACAGACCCTAGGATAGAACCCCACCAATAATGACTTGCTGATATTTATGTTAAGAAACCTACTCCATGCAGAGCTCGAAGATCATGGGAAGCGGTGTATATCATCGTCATCTCTTTAAGTTACTCCGTACTCCGTGCTGAATGATTAATAAGTAACCCCGGCTTCGGTTTCGGAATTGCCAGCCGCGGACTCCGATTGGGGTGTCAGCTAAAGGCTGACTCCCCTCTCTCAATCCTTATCAGCAGCGCTCCATCGCAATGTCTTCTTCTCTGCCTCATTCCCAACTGGCCTGCGGTTGTACGACGGCACCATGAACTTCTCCAATTCCAAGGGAGGCGCATGGGGCCAGCAATGGCGGTCCTCGCCCCTTTTCATTGTCAGCGCCATGGCCATGGCCCTGTTCACTGGTAACACCCCGATTGATCGCTCTTGTCCTACCGTATCGGATTCCGCTCACAATATCTGTCACCTTATCTAGACACCTTTCTCTACGCCTTCCTTGTCCCCATCCTCCCCTACGTTCTCGAAAACCGCCTCGGATTAGACGTATCCCTCACCCAGCGCGTGAGTTTCTCCTTGCTGTCGGAAACCGCCATCGCTGCTCTCGTTACAAGCCCATTCATTGGCCACTATGCCGATCGGATGTCCTCCAAGCGAATCTTGCTGGTCGGATCGCTACTAGCTGCTTTGTTCGGCTCCATAGTTCTAGCATTGGCGACATCAAGTAGGCCTCCATGCCGCCAATCTTTGGAATGTTGGCTTACTGACTGTCGTGCACAGCATTTACTCTCTTTGCGGGGCGTCTTATTCAGGCAATTGCTAGCTCCTTCATCTGGGTGGTCGGATACGCCACAATCGCGGACAATGTACAACCCGAACATCTGGGCAAGACATACGGTGTTATTTCTCTGGTCGTAGCAGCAGGCACCTCAGGAGGCCCGATGGTCGCGGGTATTCTGTTCGAACTGGGCGGGTACTGGGTAGCGTGGTCTAGTGCCTTCCTCATACTTATCCTCGACATTATCCTTCGTCTGCTCATGCTGGAAAAGCCAGACATCCAAGGCGACGCGGAGTATTCTAGCAATGCGAGTGTCGCATCGGATCCTGAACGTGCTCCTCTCCTGAGCAGTAACCCCGCCCTCGAGGCCGACCTGGCAGGCTGGAAGTTTTATGTATACATCTTGCGGTATCGCCGCTTCCTCTGCGGCGTGATCAGCTATCTCTCCTTTGCTGTTCTAGTCTCCAGCTTCGACACCACACTTCCTCTTCATGTCCGGGATGTGTTCAGCTGGGGTAGCTTCCCTGCTGGTATGATGTTCTTCGCTTTGCAAGGCCCCGGGATCCTTCTGAGTCCCATCTGTGGCTGGTTGAAAGACCGGGTCGGGACCCGGTGGCCTACCACGGTCGGCTTTTTGCTTCTTGCGCCTGTGATGTGGGTGATCGGCATGCCCGGTGACGAGCGATTCCCGTGGGCCAATGAGGGTGACCGAGGCAAAGTCATCTACGCTGTCGGTGTTACATTGGTAGGATCCGTGTCCTGTCTGCTGAACGGGGCCGGAACAATCGAAGCTACAGGTATGTACTCCTATAACAGTTCAAGGAATCAAACCCCATAGTCGAAATCTAACGCAAAAACAGTCACAATCGACGAAGTCGAAGCCAAACACCCCGGCATCTTTGGCCCCAACGGAGGCTACTCTCGTGCCCTCTCAGTAGCCAGTATGGGATGGACGCTCGGGGCATTCATTGGGCCCATCATCTCCGGCTACATCGCCGAACAAGTCGGATACTACGAGATGAGCTGCGTTATCGGTTTGTTCCCCTACCAATCCCATTTTTGTGGCAACGCTAATGAAAATAGCGATTGTTTGTCTTCTCTCCGGCGTCAACACCTTCTTCAACCTAGACTCCAAAGTCCATTTCGACCGAGTGGCGGAATCCACCTAGACCACTAGACTTATTCTCCGACGCGACCGTCGTGCATACTCGTATATACCCGGGCGAGAGAGAAACTCCCCGATTGACATACACACTGACGATACATCCAAAAGTTTTACTCCTTGCATATACGAAAAGTTCATGCATCCTGCATTTAGCGTTTCAGTGTTAGCACATGAGAGATTCGGACTCAGGGACATATCATATTAGACGCCAAGCTGTGCATCCGTGCATCGACGTTGTATCTACTATCTAGCGTTGTCTAATTCTTGATTGAAGTTGTCTAGACCGTACACATTAGCACGCCGGATACGAGACCGGTCATCCGTGCGCGGAGACCTATCCTCCACTCAAAGTTCTCTATATACCTTAGATACTATGCATAGACCCCTCCCACCGGTATAGATGAAACCCTTATCTGTGCAAGATAGATAGTACAGGTCCAACGTGATTAGTCGTGACTCAGTCATAGGTCAAGTCAAGTAAGGGACCGAACACTCGGACTCAAAATTCAGTTAGTAGCTCGCCTTATCTCCAAGTGTTGCGGGAGCATACACCTCACCTTTAATATATTTGACGTGATGGGGATACGTCAACTGCCGGAAGTAGAGGACGGGGTCTAGGTTGGTCTATTGGGTTATTATGTGCGGGGTTGGATTCAATTTGTGACCAAGTATGTAGATTGGGGTACGTTATGTTTGGGTTGACTCGACCCTGTTTAGCATTCGGTGACAGGCGTAATGGTTGCAACATAAGGAATGTTACGTGTCATGCTAGTCTTCGAAGAGCGAGTTGCACTGCAGTTTGTTGTTTGTACGGAGACCTTGCTGTCATGGTGATAGACTTCATACTTGTAGTAACTCGAAGATATGTATCTAGGCCTATCTACCTACGCAGTAGTAGTATGAAGCAGACTAACCAGCGATGACCACACACACGAACAATAGTAATAACCACGCATATAGAATACCCTCAGCCATGCGGCATTTACTATAGATCGAGATCCCCATTGAACTATGATGATGATGAGTACACCCAGGTCATATTGAATAATAACAATAATAGCATCATACATGGGTGTCTCAAGCCACGTCCTCAGGATGAACTAGGCCTGCCGATCTGGCGATAGAGTTTGATGACAGTTACCGGGGTGGAGATGCCTCTGTTGTCGCTATTCCACCGGATAGCTTTGGGGGGGCAGCTTTCCTACCCAGTAAAAGGCACTAAACCCCATCACGAGACGGATATATACGTACGTGTGACAACGACGTTTCCCCGCCCGCCAAGAGTGGCAGGGGTTTTGCAGTTGCAGATCGTCAGTGTCGGATATCGGGTGTGAGGTGTCTCTCTACCGGTGCGGATGCGATTTCCGGGTACGATCATGGAGTCTTCTTTCTCGCTTTTAAGCATTCGGATGCTTGATGCGGTGCGTTATCATAGTTGCCTGGTATCTATTTGGTAGCTGTGATTGACGGACCTGTATTCCGTGGTAGGTGATTGATTGTGTCGTAGTCGACGTATTCTCGTATAATGTCTCTGTTCCATGTCGAGTTATGTTTCTATTTCCAGGGGAGATGGGGACGCCGGAAAGCGGAAGGGGGAGGGGGTCAAGAGGGGCCTCGCGTGGCTGTTCCGGCAATTCCTCCGGAACGGCTGCAGCAGAAAAGAGTTGACATACCCCGCTGCGAGCCATGATTCGAGGATGCGGTTCTTCGCATAAGGCTGAGGAGTCGTCATGGACGGAGTTGCTTCTCGGTCTGTACTAGTGATGGGATAGCTGAAATTCAGAAACAACGGCAGTTCGTGGTATCGAAAAAAAGAAAAGTGGTGACTAGGGAGAAAATAGATATGGATCGTCAGGAACACACACCGTTCTCGGAGGGCAATGCTGGTCGACCCTGACTGGTGGAAACGTAGGTTGGCGCTAGAAAATTCAGATCTGACAGGTCAAGCGAAACCGGTTTTGAGTCACGCATGATTTCTGCTCTCTGTGCATGACAGGTGCATGAACTTTGACATCCATGAGGGCAGGGAATGAATATGTGGTTACTGTTACCCCCACTGACTGGCGACTACTATACGAGGCAACGGGCTGCCTTCGTTTAGCTGAGCAGAATTGCCATCCCCTTCTCAGTCTGTTTCCTTACCAAGTAGTCAATCCGAGACCATTGAGGCTACGTCACGCAGCTCACGGACAAGCCCGAACGAAGTGGGGACAATAGCGCGAAGACTGCACTGAATTTGGTTGGATGGAGAAGTACCGTCGATGGAACCCCGGCGGTCGGAGCAAGGACTCCCATAGTTCTCCGTATTATCCCCTATCGAAGATTCCAAGTCGTGGGAAGAGGGGACAACCAAGGGCAGCTGCAAGCGGAGTCTAGACTGTCCTGATCATTTCGGAGGGTCGGGATCGCGACCGAAGGGCACTTGGACCAGCTGTGTGCGGTTCCTGAATTATTAGTGCCTGGCTTTTGGATCGTTTGCAAGCCGAAAAGCGGACTGTTAGGCGCACAACTCCTATAGTGGAACTGAGATGAGAATTGGGATATCTGGATAAGCGCAGATGGCGCTGACAGAGATTGATCCTCATAGTCTGAGTTAATATACTTGATTGGCGATCGTAACATGTGATTGAACCGGCTTTCAATCAACCGAACTCAGTTATGCGGGTGTAGTAAATTGAATGACAACACTCTTCCGATGGTGATCTCTACATTATCGTCAACTTCGCCTGTAGTTAGTTAGCCTGAAAATATTGACTGAAGATGCCAGGATGTATGCAGAAGCAGGTGAACCCCCCTGCCCTCTTCATGCCTTAGTGTCTTGGCCACGCACAAACACACCCCAAGCAAGTAGAAAATTTTCAGCAGAAGATCTCAGCTCATCCACATCTTCGTTTCTGCATCTCCATGCACAGCTTCCTACCATTCCCGGTCTTTGCGCCGGGATCTCTCGCGACACGAACATGAACATGAACCCCTTCCGGCCGAGGAGATCACTCCTCCATCCTGGCTCATCTCAGTCTCAGTCTTAGCTACCACACGGACTGACCCACACCTTCCTGTCTCAACCTCGGTAAGCTCTTCCTTCCTTCTCATCCAGTCCCTTTGATCTATCCGTCCCCTCAATATAGTGTTCACCACTCCCTAATGGATCTAATGGACTAACTTGCCTCTAAGAGTGCCGAGCCGGACCGCAACGGTTGTGATGAGATGATCCAGCGTGCCCACCGCGGGCCAGGATACCGTTCAGTCAGTGACAGCTTCGTTCCACTAGCCTATAACATCCCGAATCGGCCGTGGTCTCGGAGGTCGGGTGGAGCAGCAGACGCTGGCCTGGCGCCGTTGATGCTCGGTCTCTGCCTCAACAGTCGCCAGACGAGGTTTAGTCCTGTAAGTGGAGAGACTTGCAGCAAATCTCTTTTCGTGATTTTTTATTTATTTATTTATTTATTTTTTATTTTTATTTTTATTTTTAAATTTTCTTCTAATTCTTTTTCTCTCTAGAGGGAAAGAAAAAACTTTTTTTGGGTCTTGGTTCCTGCCAACTTTTTTCGCCGCGGCGAGTCTCCATACCACCATGGCATACTTACCTCCGAACAGTCTCCATATCCGGCCGAACATGTCCTCCTGCTGGCCTCTACAAACTACGGAGCCTGGCCGGTGCACCGGGGTGATTGGTGTATATATACAAACCCCCATTCCCCTAATCTTGCCCCCTCTTGGATTTTAGTAGTCAAGATTCGCCTCCGAAGGATTTTTTTCATTAGAGTGTTCTTATATTTTTCTTATTTTATTTTTATTCTAAGCGAATTCCCTCTGGTTTGGGTAGCTACGCACACGACACGCACTCTCTTTATGGCAGCACCCCTCCACGACCTTCGATCATATCTCATGAATAGAAGCCTTCCTCGCTGTCATACCGGTTGAAACACCCCCCTCAAAAGCTGCAACCATGATGGACCTTGGATATGAGGCGACTCCGCCACCTTCCGCCGGGAAGGATTGGGTCAGCTTCTGGAATTTTGTGGACCGAGCTCCCCCTCTCGAAACCGAATCGGTCCCCCGCGATATTTTGGTCGTGGGTGCCGGCATTGCAGGCATTGCCGTTGCCCTGGCCCTCTCAAAGGAATTGACGCCCTTTGTCCCCGATCTCCGGATCACCGTCTATGAGCGACACGATATCCTGTCCACATCCGGCGGTGCCATCAACCTCACTCCCGTTGCTCAGCGCCATCTTGATCGCTTGGGTGTCCTTGACGAGCTGGACAAGCTGGGACCGGAATCTGGCACCGATGTAGATGCTATCGAGCTGTTCTCCAGTCGCTCGGGACGCTCCCTCGGCGCCATAAACTTTACAGATGACAAGGGAAACGGATTTGGTGGGTACAAGGGCCGCCGTGTGATGCGTATCATCTTGTCCCTGGCCATGTTGAAGGTAGTCGAGCGCACTAAGAATGTCAATGTGGTGTTTGGCAAGAAGCTGGTCCGCGGCAAGGAGACAAAAGACAAGGCTGTCCTGTACTTCCAGGATGGCACAACAGCCACCGGAGACCTGGTTCTCGGCTGCGATGGGGTCCACTCCAACGTCCGCACCCACTGGGTCTCTCCCGAGCACCCGTCCGAGTACACGGGCATCTCATTCGTCCAGACCATGATCGATAGCAAAGACATCAAGGCCCCCGTTCATTTCCGCTCCACCTCGATGAACATTTCCCGTCATGGCTCTTTGCTCGCCAGTTATTGTGATCGAGATCATACTCAAATCTTTGTCGCTGCTATCGTGCAGTTCCGGGAGGAGCTCCTGTCGCATTACAAGATTGAGCCGGGTCAGGATTGGCGGCGCACCGCGGCTATTAAAGATGCGCTCTGCCAAGAGATGCGCGACCGCTTCGGCCGGTCGGGCCTCCCGGCCATCCGCGACATGGTCAACAAGGCCGACGACTGGATGCTCTATCCTGTGTGGCAGGTTCGCCCTGGTGCCCGCTGGTTTCGCAACCGGGTCATCCTCCTCGGTGACGCGGCACATGCAGTAAGTGTTTATCCTTCTGATGCTTTCGATTCGATTACTGACAGTAATAGATGCCGCCGCGTGATGAATCTGCCGCGTACGCGCTAGACGACGCCATTCTCTTCTCGCGCATCCTAGCGAAGCACCGCTACGATCCTCTCCCTGTTGCGTTCAAGGCTTACGAGGATCTGCGGCGGGGAACGGTAAACGCTGCCTTCCAGGTATCGCGGCGGATGTGGGAGAAGAACCGTGACCTAGGCTTTTTGGAGGGCCGCCTCAAGGAGTGGACCATGCCCATGCAAGTCCGCAACGGCAAGGAAGCTCGCGAACAGGCGTGGGGTTTCGATGCGACCAAGGTGCAACTCCCCGGACTGGGAGATTCAACCTCGTCGCTGTATTCATCTGAAAAGGAGTTCCTATAGAGGGTTTGCATGGGTGGTGTTCCGGTTGGCGGGCTTGGGTAATTGGGTTCTCACGAGCTATGATATCATCTATACAGTTTTACTACACAGCAGGCATAAAGCCGCGGCTGTCTGATTCTTGGCATTATGGTTCTTGGTTCGGCATCATATACATCAGACATATTGTCGTTGAAATTCATCATCCTTATTTCGGTTGCGCGGCGTACCGAGTTTTGATCCGAGGTACGACGGGGGAGTCTATGCCGAGAAGGGAAGTCTTCCGGATTAATCAATTTCAATAAATGAATTAGTTAATGTCAGTTAATATCTCTACTCGTCATCCCTGTCCAACTCAGATACTATAGAGACTTTATGATTTGAACAAACCTGTTCTGACTGCCTCGTTAAGAAATAATACGAATGGAAAGTCCCCGAAGATTCCCCAAATATTCTCCTCTATCCCCCAGAACAAACAACTAGTCCAGCCCAGCCCAGCTGAACCGTTATGAACCAAACACAACAATTATCCACTTCCACCCGGTTAATAGTAACCAGCCCACCCCACCCCACTAACATCCAGAAAAGCGGCTGGCTTAGACTATTTACCCCTTCCCTTCCCTTTTCCTTCCCTTCCCCTTCTTCCATCCACGGTTCAGTTCCATTCCATGGAACAATTCAAATGTCATGCCATGTGCCTGGAAAACCCAGAACCACACAAGTAAGAAAAGATAAGCAGTAGTGGAAAAAAATTTTTTTTTTATAAATCTTACCCTAATACTGCAGGGTTATGATCAATGATTTCTTGGCTATGGTCTGATCCCTGCATGTCCATCCCATGTCCAAGTCGCATGGCCCTTGGATTCCTTTTAGTTTAGTCGATAGTTTCTGCACTAAATTGCCTAGATGAGTTAACTAGTTGGCCTGATGCATAGCGGATGAGTAAGTAGTTGCTTAGTGTTGATGGAATTTTCCGGGATCGGAAGCCGGGATATGCTACTTGTAGTTGGCCAATAGGGTGGGTGGACTCCGTAAGTACCCCGGGTATTATTTGGCTGTGTTAATTGGATGCTGGTCTAGGGTAGTTCTTATGGATGGGATGATGGTTCGATTCCGATTTCGATCTCGCCCCCATTTTCTGGTAGATGGGGATGGATCGGATGGATACGTATCGGATCTGGGCGGCATTTTGGTTAGGTGTTGGGGTCGGATCGTGGCGGATCTGGATCTACGGAGTAAGTACGTACTTGTGGTTGCTTGTTTGTTGGTATGGGATGGGAGCGGAATCTGTACAGTCGTTGTAGGTGTAGGTATATATTGCGTGTTAATAAACTGGAAAAGGATTGTCAGTGGTAATAGGTATTTCCGGGATTGAAGGGTTTCCGGGGAAAGAAAGAAAAGAAAGAAGGTCGCTTCCTCTTCCCCATGTCGGTCCGTAGGGTTGTGGTTGTGTCTGTGTCGCGTGTCGCGTGTCCTGGGCGAAGGGGGTAGTGGGGTTCTACGTCACTCGATGCGATGGTAGCAAATGCCGGTTAGATTTTCTGTTCTTTAGTCTGGAGTAGTCGAGACGCGATGCAGTATCTAGTAGACTTGACGGGCTGGAGTGGGGGTGTTGTGGTAAGTAGTCCGGGTGTATGGGGTGATAAGTATTTAGACGACGGGCGATGGAAAGATTTTCCCGGAATTGTCGGAGGTGGGAGGTTGCTGGTGGGTATACTATAGGTATAATATACTATTGGGGAGTTTATCGGTAGTTAGAGTGGGTTGATTCAGCTCATTAGTGGGTTGATTTCGTGTGACCTGTGCTCTGCTTATCTATTTTATAGAGTTGTGTAAGTAGTGTACTACTACTGACTTTTGTATGAGCGTTAACAGCATCACCAGCTATGCAGACATCCATTTATTAATTAACCATAACCATAATAGTACCATCACATATTCAGAAAAAATAAAAACAACAACATATACTAGCCCTCTTCCACTCTCTCCGTCACCTACGAACTATCCACCAATAGATCAATCATACTGCCACGCCGCAGCCGAACTCCCATCCGACACCCACGGGTAAGCCAGAGCTTCAAACTCCAAGCAATCACTCACATTCCCCGACGGCACCGTCGCATTCGTCATGGCAGCAAAAACCTGATATCCACCCCCATTCACCTCTTCATCCTCATCCAGCGGGCAAGCCATGAACCCCGTGGCCCCGAGGCCCGTATACGTCCACTGTCCGAAGCTCGTACCCGGCGTGTAGCAGAACGTGCTTGTCGATGCACCGGGATCCATGTATGTTGTGTGGGCTTCAACAAACTTCAGCGCGCCGGTGGGGTCGACGTAGATTTCTTGGATGTACTCGGAGCTCTGTAGGGGTTAGTATTTAGTGTTATAGTGTGAGAGGGGAATAGGCATACCAGGTAGTTGCTGTAGCCGATTACGGTTTGGTTTCCGGGCGGGCAAGCATCGTACTCCGCTACGTCCTCTGGACAAGCGGTGGAGGTCGTGCCCCCTAGGTAGAAGTTGGTGCCGGCGGCGGTTAGAGGGAGGTTTTGGATGAAAGTGCCGGAGCGGACGGACATCACGGTGAAGGAGCCGGTGCTGCAGTTGGTGGTGGTGGTGAGGGCGGGGGTAAGGAGGGCGAGGAGGGGGATGAGGGTGGTGAGGAAGGTCATTGTTGTGGTGTTGAGGGTGGAGCTTGGTTAGATTTGGGTTGATGTGATGGGTTGTGGTTCTGATGTTGGACGAAATGGTCGATGGCATATTTATATTTATTCAATGATCGAAGCTGAATGCCAATTCAGCCTCATTAACATTCTGCAATCATGAATCAGGCGTACAATGATCATCTGAGCTTAGCTATTTTAACTGAGACCTGCATCCGCATTTCTCCGTGTTGGGCACATCCTGATAGGATGGGAAATCTGACAAGCATGAGGCTATACGCGTCGTTGAATTTTTCTCACCTGTGACTACTTTCCATCGAATCACCAAACCAGCGATACGGGTTGCTGCTTACATGAAGAATGATTGGGCTGGGCGGGACCAGCCGGGATAATACTACTGGGATGTTGATAGGACATTGTCAGAAGAATGCATCATCGTGCAGCAGCCTAGGTTTATTTATAGGTCCGTGTCCGTCTAGTGGGACGCCGAGGAAGCTTACATCCAGTGACTATTTCAGACGGCAGGGGCTGTGTATAAGCGCAATGTTTACTGAACATACGGTTCGTCCTGATCCTTCTGCAGTCTTAACAGCATCGATCATTGTACTCCTTTTTGCCATATGCGCACGAGTCATGACTTCCGTATGCTTGTTTGGGCACGGTCCCCTTAAGACTACTAGTAGTACACTAAGTATGGTAAGTGCGAAAATAAATCTGCCCAACTCACACTGCCTTCTCAATCCCTCCCAAGGCCAGTGCCATCTCCAGCTGCCGTGCCGCCTTCACGCCCTCCAAATCACGATGCAGCAATGACCCTTTCTGACAAGCCTCCCAGTCCTAACAAACCAGCTTACACCGGTTCGGCGTGAACAACAGATCAAGCTCCTCAAGCGACCGCTACGCAGTCTCTGGATGAAACAAAACAATAACAATAGAAGTTGCAATGCAAACACCCCCAAAAGCAAAATATTATCTTCCAAGCAGTCTTATTCAGCGCTTCAGGCATGAACAACCGGAGCCAAACATTCACAACCCAATCAATGCATACCGAAAGGGCAGTCCCTCTCCCCCTCGCTAAGATAGGAACCACCGCAATTTTATAAGTCCAGGGTAAAGCAGTGCATGTTGCGCCGAATGAAATCATGTATTTCATTTCACTATAGAGGCCACCATTACACGCCCAAATCATATCTAGCTCCATCTAGAAATGCACTCGTCTGTACAAGCTAACAGCTTAAAGCACATTCGACATATCGTCCCCGGCACCCAGCGCCCGAAAATACTGCTCAAACGCCTCCATACTCCACTCGCACACAGTCCCATCACCTGGCAGTTCCACAGTTCCAGTACCTTCAGCAAGCTCCTCCACCGGCACTTGGTAGTCCGTGTACGGTACCGGCTCAGATCCATTCGGCACATCATTCATAGAGACCTCGCCCTCGTTATCCTGAACATACAACGCTCGAGTCCTTAGATCCTCAATAATGTTCCACTTAATAGGCTCCCGTGTAGATTCATCTCCCTTCCAATACCCATATGCCTGCTCCACAACCCTCCACGCCTCGTCTCTTCCCTCATTCATCCCTTCTGCACACAGATCGTTTAGCAACAACTCCAACATCCCCCACTCGATGTCTCTTTGAACCAACCAAAGCCACTTTTGTCCCAGCTCATGCTCCCTCAGAGCTAATGCTCGCTGAAGAACCTCTACACAGATAGGCCGAAAATTGTGTCCGGGTTTACACACGGACAATTTCATTTTCACAAGGAAGAGTTGAACAGTTGCCGCTGTTATGAATTCTAGGGCGTTGATGGAACTACAGTGAGAGAAATATCGGCTTTCAAGGGATTGGCGGAAGGCGTTGATGGCTTGGTGCTTCTGTATCGGGGACAAAGTTGGGTAATCGTTTGCTTGGTTGAAGGTTTCCGAGAATATGATACGTCGAGTGAAGGAGCTGAGTTCGAAATGAAGCAGTTGGAAAAACGTGCTGGATGTAGTGGCAATGGATGTGCTTGGGGATGGGAGGTCTGCGTCAACGACGATGGAGGGAAGCTGTGTGGTGAAGGATGGTTCGAGGATATAGGGGGTTGTGTTGTGGTCTTCCGCGGTTCGGAGGTCAAGGGTGACGAGCTGCCACCAGAGGTGACGACGTATTTCTGTCTCCAATACTGAACTGTTCTGCAGCGTGCCATCACGGTGGAGGTTTAGCCGGTATGCCATGTTGATGGCTGTAGGGAGGTAGGCTTTGATTGAGGGGCCGTGGCTGTCCAATCGCGTGCAGGTCTAGAAAGGGTGTTAGATGGAGTTGAAGTAGAGGGACTAGTTTGCTTACAAGATATAAGGTAAGGGCTTGTAAAAGGGTTATATCTGAAGAGTCCGAAAGGTCCACTCGTGCCAATGCGCGCTCGACATTGTTGCGGTATCTGTATTGTTAGCCAGAGTTGAGTTTGAGGGAAGGCTTTCTAACCGTTCCAATAGCGTTGGCTTGTCTTCACCGAGCTTGTCCAGGCAGGTAGTAGAAGGCATACTGATTATTGAAGCGTAGAAGATCGCGAAGAGCAAACATTGTTTTGCCACGTCCCCAAAGGTGTCTTCTTTGATAACTCGCATAACGTCTTTCTGAACACTAGGCGTATGGGATACCTTCAGTACGGGATCGACGGTATCCAAGTACCAACGCCACAGTATGGATACCATGACAGGTGATGGATGCTGCTGTTCGGCTGGCCATTTTGCATCATCAGAAGTGTTAACTGCACGACGCGGTCGCTCTCTTTCGCTTTCCAATGAATGGCCAATATCAACGCGTTTTCTATGATCCAACTGTTCATCGGCCTCCCTCGATGGGAGAACTTCGCCATTACTCGGGGTTCTAATTGTGGCCGAAGGCTTAACAATCTGTAGTAAATCTCGGATCTGACCCAAATCCTCGCCTAGCACTCGTAGCGCTTCCTCGATTCTATCAAGCCGATTCGTGACCTCGGCATTCGCTGAATCCGGGCTTCGAGAGCGCCTTCTCATCGGCGGATAAACACATGCCGCTTTGACTTTTACACAATAGGAACAAGGCAGTGACCTATCACATTTGATCTTTCGGCGACTGCATTCGAGGCAGGATCTCCCGGATGCGATTGTCCGGCGTAGCATTCTGGTTTATTGACTGCACAATCAAGATTAACAGAAATACCGCAACGTAGGCCGTATTGAGCAGGACAGAAGTGAGTGAGAAGGGTGCAAGAATGAAGAACAAGAACTGATTGGGTAGGGCGGACAGCGGAGCGCGGTCCGTATTTCTAATCATGATGAATCATCCGCTTACAAGGTGGTTGATGAGATGTAAGCACTAAGCATTGAGCCGTAGGGGCTAGTCTCAAGTTAGGGTTCAGGATAGTGTATAGGTGTGTATACACTGATCATCAAGTAGATTCAGTGCCTCAAAGGCAAGTATAAATAGAGGCCAACCTCCCTTGATTCTAGCAGCAAGATTCACAAGAGCTTTGAGTAAACGATCGATACATACCACATCTTCCACATTTACTCACCGAAATGGCCATCCCAACTAAAGTCACTATCATCGGGGTATGTTGCTCCTGTCTACTTTCCTTTCGAACAACCAATTAACCAACGCAGGCGACCGGATTGATCGGTCAAATCATCCTCAAAGCATTGAGCTCGGATGCAAGCATCACCGTTACCGTCCTGTCCCGCGAGGAATCATCGAACACCATTGAATTTCCAGCAGGCGTTACTGTCCATAAGACCAACTTTTCATCCTCCAGCCTTGAGTCACTTCTTCGCGGTCAACATGTGCTCATCTCCGCAGTTGGTGGGACGGCCTTTACTGAGCAAAAGAAGTTCATCGACGCTGCTATCGAGGCAGGTGTGAAGCGATTCATTCCGTCCGAGTTCTCGACCAGCAGTGAAGACGATGCCGTCATTCAGCTTCTCCCTCTTTTCCAGCAAAAGAGAGATATCATCGACTATCTGAAAGAGAAGGAGGAAGCGGGGTTGACTTGGACTGGGATTGCTACGTCCGGGTTGTTTGACTGGGTGAGTTGCCTTTTCTTAGTACACACCTGGGATGTCATGGCTGATTGTGCTGTTAGGGTCTCGAATCTGGGTTCCTTGGCTTTGACATCAAGACCAAGTCTGCAGTGATCTGGGACGGCGGTGCCACATCGTTTACCTTGACGAATGAGAAACAGCTCGGCAAGGCGGTTGTATCGGTCGTCTTGCGGCCGGAAGAGACGAAGAATCGCTTTCTATATATTGCGTCTGTTGAGACTACCCAGAACGAAGTCTTGAAAACGCTTGAAGATGTTACAGGCTCACAGTGGACAGTGACAGAGACTACGACCGAGGAGCAGGTTGCTGAAGGGCGTGAGAAGCTGGGGGCGGGTGATTTCAGTGGTGCGTTTGCGCTGGTTCGAGCAACAGCTTTTGGGAATATCACTGGCTTGAAGACGAATTATGTCAAGGATCAGAAACTTGCCAATGGATTGTTGGGACTGGTGATGGAGAGTATAAGGGAAACAATTGAGCGAGTTGCTGGGGTCTAGGTCACCCATGTGACGACTTGCCTGCGGTGTGGAATAGAATTTGGTATATAGTACATTTAAGGGGTAGTAGTTTTTGGATCCTCCAATGGATCATAGTATACCGGGACGAAATAGTACAAAGTACAAGTTTGATATCTACGATAGCTCTAACTAATCTGGAACGTGGTTTAATTCAAGCATAAGCACCTTGAATGAACAACAGTTGGAGATCTTCCAACAATTATTCTGTGATACATGTAAACAGGTCAAGTGTCCGAGCATGATTGACACGCTGCAGGTTACCGTCTTTCAAAGTTGGGTAGAATCAGGCTCGGTCATATCATTGATCCTGTCTACACTCATCTCCCACGAATGTCTCATCGCATTATCTTCTATATATATCAAAATCAACTGCTCACACCACTCTGCAATCTTCATTCCTGGGGACTTTAGGCCCCCAGCGCTGAAAGACAAGAAAAACGATCAATGTCAAAAATTTCCGGCGACAGACTAACTCAAGCCTTCAGCAGAGTTAAGGAAGCCTTGCAGCTTAGCAAGCTCCTCTGGTGTGACACCAACAGTGGAATTCACAATCCACTGTGTCATGTTGACCAGGATATCGGTTGTGGTAACAAAAGGTCGCTTAGTCCATCCAAGCTCTTGGGGCAGGCGCTCGTTTTCTACACGATTGACATGTTAGCGGCGCTATCGAGTCGTAATTGATCAAGTCTGCCTACCAAAAAAGTATTCGACCCAAGATCTGTTGGCATATCCGAAACCATCTTCTTCAAATGCGAGCATGTAGGCGGCAGACTCTCCGAAACTGAATGCTATCCCAGTGTCCGAGAGGCTGAAGTCAGGGTTGGTGGCCTTCGAAGTGTTCAGCCGGGCTTCGTGTGCCTCGGCTGCTTCATAAATATCGATCAGAGGCGTTGTCCAGTACGACTTTGTCTGGTCGAATATTGTCTGGTTGAACTCATGGTTATTTCCGAAGTAGGTGTCCTGGCGACTGAGCGGGTCAGCTTGAATTTCTGGTATTCCTGGTGTTGCAAAGTACCTCAGACTGGCATCATGCTCTAGGATATTATGGCGATTAAGGTCGCTCAGAGAGAAGGTAGTTGCGTTGGGGTCTTCAACTGTTGTCATGGCCTCTTCAAACAGAAAAACGGAGAGGCTGTCTGCAACATTCAACGTGCTGTTCAGTACCTCGATGATGACTTCTTCAGAAATATCTTTGCCGTTGTGTGGTAAAAGTCCGTGGTTTGCAAGGGTATTCAGCATTGGGCAAGGACCTCGCACTGTCTCTCTTTAGCTTTCGTCACTAACTGGAGAAGTCAGACATACCATCGCCGTGCCCCGGTGGTGACCATGGAAGCAGCTTGGTTGAACCCGTGGCCAAAGCCAGGGTAAAAGAAGAGACGGCAGAAAGTAGACTGGCTTTCATTGTGCTGGCTTGTTTCCAGGGATCTGTTTTGTGCCTTTTGCTAAACGGACGGATATCGGTCTCGAGAGGATTTAAATACGTGCCAGCGAGGGCTGAAGACCGCCGGCAACAAATACCTTTCACATTATTGGTTCACGCGCACAAATAATGGATGCAGAATGGATGCAGTGTAACTTTGGTCTGCGGCCTTGTGAGGTTCGATGAGCGGGGAGGCATGCTTTGCTTGCATTCCAGTGGCACCCTGTTGTGGGTCTAGTGTTCACTTTTTCTACATGGATATGCAACAGCGCAACCCTGGTTGGTAACTGTGGCATAGAAATTGCAGACTCCTCCGAAGTTGAATATATAGAGCATATGCTTTGCATATGACCTCGGGGGGTCATTCCATTAATTTGCGCAGATCGTATTGCTTTTCACTCACAACTGACCATATCACATGTATCGGTACGCCGAGACCGGGACAACGCTCGAGATATCTACATTCTCTACCACTTGGAGATATTCTACACAGATTTTATCAATACTGCATTGAAGTTACTTGTGCGCATACTCAATGCCAAGAAATTAGGTTCTCCTTTACGAGCTACATGGCAAGATAAGTGATGTACTCAATCGTGATATGCTAACTTGCCGCAAGAGAACTGCATCCCACAACACAGGGAAGTCTGCTAGTCATGTCCAGCATGAATATGTCAAAGAGGCCCTGTACCTATTGCACTAAAAAACCTTACATCCTACTAAGGTTATATAGCGGCCGAGAGGCCTCGTTCCAGAGCTCCTCAGTCCACGGTCGCAAGCATGTCCATCGTCAAGATATGATATGTGACAGATCAATCAATTCCGAATTCGGTTGCATGCTTTACTACTCTAGTTGTATCTCACCGCTGCTGTCCACCTGCACAATGTTGGCGAAATTGATCGCATTATACACCGGGGTGCTATTTAGGTATTCCGCAGGGTAGTCGGTCTATACGATCATCCCTCATATTTTCGCCATGTTTCTTCGACTCCCTAATTCCGTCATGGGTGTCTTTGTTTTCGAAGAGGCGTCTGCTTGGGTTTCGGACAAAAGAAGTGACTACTATTTAGTTATGTGCTGCGGACATGACTCGTTCAATATCACAGTGTACATCTGAGTCGCTTTATGTAGCTGGCCAAATAAATGACTTTGATGTATCCCTTGCATAGAGGGGCACTATGAAAATGTCGGGGCTTGAGCAGTCACTTTGCCCAAAAAGTTTCCCGCCATGGCGGCGGCAAAAAAGACAAAAATGCTCACACTCGGATTCGAACCGAGGATCTCATGATTACTAGTCATGCGCTTTACCAACTAAGCCATGCGAGCTGATTGGTCGATTTGGTTTACAATTAGGTCTTACAATGCAACAAGTTCTTTGATCGCGGGATTGGAGAGCGATTGCATATTTTTGCCTTCAAATTAAGGCATAAAATTATGATGAGTTCGCCGATCCGGTTTCTATCTTTCGATGGCACGTCTTAAGGTGCATCAATAATGGGATAACAGTGACTACAATATGTCAGCTACAACATATATTATTGACTTCATTCAGCCAGACCGACATAATTCCCAATAGGATCTCATATGATCGATCTCCAAGTTCATTGTGGATTAAGGTTTTCATGGAGATCGATCTCGATGTGTATTATGACAAATCCAACTCTTCAGGCAGATCGACTGTGCTATGTCTTCTCTAGCTTAAGCAGCTGCAGCATAACAATGATCATAGTCCTTACAGCTATTACACCACGTGACTGACAATACTACGTAGAAATCATGACCTACAATAACAAAGTCGACGCCTTTACAGCCTTCATCGCATTCGGCAGCACACTTGATAGTATATTCCGACCGCTAACTGACTGCTTAAATGGCTTCGTTCTCTGGTTCTCGGCAAGTCGGTAGGGTGACGTTGTACGCGTTTGGCATCTTCTATGTATATATCTGATATATATATCGCAGGTATGATTTGGTGCTGCATAAAATATGCTATATGCCAATATATTGGAATGGTACAAGCAGTGGTCATGAGCCCTTAGTAGCTGATAACCTGAAACAGTATATATAATTAAAAGGCCTCATGTCTAAGTACTGGCATCATTGCGAACTACAAGCTGGCATACGCAACCATTCATATCCCGGGAGATATGACGATATTTATTTCAAATAATTACTGGGATGATATAAAGCTTTCAGTGATGCTGCTGGTATGAATGTATTGTCCACCGCATATTGTCCGTTCTTCGGACAAGCAATGACGCAGCAGAAACTCGGTTCTGGAAGATATAATAGGCTACATAGTCGTAGATATTAGGTGCAATAATCACAAACTGCACAGTATAATCCCATCCTCTGCCTTAACTGCATCTTAAGCGGAGCGAAAAGGAGTACAAACACATCTCCGCGGAACAGTTTTCAAGTTTCTGGATGTTCTAGATGGAATATGACAAATTAGGGCCCATGGAGCCCACGATAACCCTTTGACGTTAGGGGTATACACCAATTCACCTTGCAATATAGAATGACAAGCCCCGTGGCTCCACAGCTATGCGACGAATAGAATCATCGTAGCCCACCATGTTCTCCAACATAATTGTGCTGCCTGAAAGTATTATGTCTGGAATGGTTCGAGCAAGTGAGGCTTTTATCCGCTCAGCACAAATAATATTGCAGTACCCTTTACGAGACGAATATCGTTGATAGATGCGTTCACTCAAAATCCGCCATTCAAGATACAATAAACCGTGGATGTTGACGGAATATATATTGAGTTTCACTAATGATTCTTAACATTGTTGCTTTGCATGATGTAAAGGTACCACAACCACTTTAGTTACTTTAATTTTCTGCAATCACGTCAGAAGGGAACGACATGGCTAAAGCTCCCCATGTTATGGACGCCTTGAATATATAAAGTCTAAGGCAAGGTGGGTCATCCCCATGGCATAGAAGCCTAGCCTTCACATCACACCCGTCAACTGAAAGCCAATCGTATTTGGTATATTAATCTTCCGTAAACTTTACCCGAAATGGATGCCAAAGTTCCCATGACTCGCACCGAATTCTCCTACGACAACCTCGTGGGTGGTGGTTGTTGAGTATGACTAAGGATCTTCAATGAGACACGGAGTCCGTACCTTACTGGATATGGTAGTAGTAAGAAGGGGCCATAAAGTCCTATTGGCGGAGGATTAACCAGTCTAATACTACTGAAACAAGGTCTGTCCGTTGAAGCCGAAAACGGAGGACCCCTGCATAGGGGCTGTTCCAGACTTCCAGGGTTTCCTGTAGGGCGCCAAGAGCAGGGCCCATAAGTGGAGAACGGCTATATGGGCATCGGGGAGAGTCCATCGTTGCACTTGTCTGTAGCAAACCAGAATAGCCGTCTGGCCTTAGGATGTTGACTGCGGTTATTAAGTTTGAATAACTCCTATGGTAAGCTCTTGGGCTAATTTTAAGCTACCGGGTCATTATGGAAAGCTTATGGCGACATTTTCCACCAAATTCAGTCAGTATCTAAACCTTCGGATACTCGTGCATTCATGCGTTAAATACCGGAGGAAGAATGGCAACTTCGAAAGCCATTTGGTGGATTAGTCCAGCGCCAGGGAACTACTCATTCTGCCTAGGACTGTTTGCTAGGTGTAACTGACCTTGAGAGCTTTCTCTGAAATGTGTCGGGAATCGGCATTGGATACCCACCAAGTGGGTCAGGACGGGAAGTTGAGGTAGGAGTCTGCGGCAGTAGCCTTGTCAGAAGGATCCATGTAGATTGACTCCGTACTTGGCTTCTGGATACTAGGAGAGTGTCGTATCCGTGTCTGCACACCTCATTCGTGCAATGAAGCGCGCAAGAGCCAAACTTTCTCAACTAGGGCATTTCTCCCGGAGACCGAAACCCCACTGGTGGATATTTCCCCAAAACATCAGACAATGAACTCTTATACCTGATGAGGGGATTAAAGCTGCAGGAAAGTTGCTTCCTCATTGTGTAGAACTTATAAAAGGTACCTCGTCCTCGCGGTCCGTCTACAAAAACAACAACACCACACGAACTCTCGCATTCCCTCGCAACTACCACACACAAACCCATCAAAATGTACACCCGCAACCAGATTCTCGCAGCTCTTGCTGCTCTCGGCGCCACCGGCGTGAACGCTGCCATGGGTCCTGCCTTCAGCACTGGTCCTGTCTCCGACAACTCCTTCATCCGTGAAGCTACCTCGACTCTTGTCCTCCCCAACGGCCCCAGCGGCGGCTCCTCCGATGCCATCACCTCCCTGTGGGTTGGTATGGGCACTTCCAATGGTGACCTGATCCAGTCTATCGCCGACAACTGGCAGCAGAGCGACTGGACCATGTACGCCTACACTCTTAAGGAGACTAGCGGTTAGTGATCACGAGATCTAACAACCAACAAAACAATATACTGATCCGGTCATTCCACAGCCAATTCCCAGGAACCCATCTACGGTGATGGCCAGGCGGATGGCACTAAGGGCGACAAGGTCACCATGCACTGTACGTAACATTTACATCCCATCTTTGCTGCCTCACAGCTAAATATCTCAATCTACAGACAAATTCGATGATTCGACCGGCAACTACACCCAGACCGTTTTGATCAACGGCAAGACTGTCTCCACCCTCTCCACTAGCGATGGCAAGGCCCAGGGCTGGGGAAGCGCTGTCGAGTGTGCTGAGGACAACTGCGGCACTGTCGGTGCTCACTGTAAGTTGAACAAGGATATTACCGAAGTATGTTCGCCCGGCTAATGAAATCGCTATTTAGCTTGGACCGACACCAAGATTATCCTTGATGTGGCTGACCCTGACTACATCAACACCCTCGCCAAGGGTAGCGGTGTCACTGGCGACATGTCCACCAGCGACGGTGGCAAGACCTGGACTGTTACCACCATTAACATTCCCGAGTTCTCTTTCTCTAGCTAAATATACCATAAGTAGTTTACTGTGGAACCCAGCTGGATATGGGGGCTTGTTAGGATAGTGCAGTGACTATTACCTTCGTCTATGTATTATTATATTCTGATAGCATTGAATGCTGATTTTATTTTTGTGTTTTGGTGCTACATGTCTGAATTTAGAGCAGAAAACCCACATTATAATATTTGGGAGAGACCAAAAGCTCCTCTTGTGAAAGCCTGCCGGTGTGTATGCTACTGGGGCCTGAGCTCCCGAGGACAATGGGAAACCGATACAACATTATTTACGAGGGACCTGGTCACCCCAAGATTTTCAATTTTACTCCATAATAAGCAGCCAAGAAATACAACAGGCAAATTGATTGGTTTTGTACACCCTATATCTCTTCCTAATTTGTGTTCAGAATTATCACTTCGATACCTTAAACTTAACGAGATGGCCACGTCAAGCGGGGTTGCTGCATGACGCCAACCGACCTTTGCGAGCATCGCCACGTTTCCATCTCGAGGATAAATGTCAACGGGGCTGATATTGTCCGCATCCGATGAAAGGGCCGAGCAAATGATCGAAACATCGAATTAATGAGATGTTAGATCAACCCGAGATTATCACCTTTTAGACAATATGTTATCTCTGTTCAGGTACGGTTCAATCAGTATGCTGTCGCTGGTTACAGAAATGGGGACCTCTCAACGGAGTGTTATCCACCCCACCAATAACACATCAAATCGAACTAAACCACTACTTTAGCGTGAGGCGATGCACTGGTGCTGCTGGCTTAGCTGCGCAGCCTTGCGGCTCGATCTGTCGTGTACATCCATTGATCCATCCCTATAACTCACCTCGAGACCCAGTATCAGCACACTTTTTTTTTTTTTTTACCACCATTGGATACCATAGAAAATGGGCAAAAAGGAGAGCCGGAAAAGCAAGAATCGCTCTACGAAGCTTGCAAGGGTGCTAAGTGTCTCACCTAGATATTCCGACGACGAGAAAATCTGGCCACCCAATGAACCAAAACACATAAGAGAGATTTTCTACAAACTATGCGAACGCTTTGGCCGAGATCGAGACTTTAGCCGGGCCCCAAAAGACGAGAACGACCGTACGCCGCTACACCATGCAGCACTATCATTGACATCAGATGACGATTTTATGTATAGCTGGGGATGGAGATGGGAGTGGCTGCTCAAGGGATTCGAAAATGATGAGCTGAATGCGAAGGATAAAGATGGTCGTACCCCCATTTCTTATGCAGCTGAGATCGGAAACATGACGGGTGTGGATAAATTGTTGAAAATTGGTGCTATCCCTTGGGACTGTGACAATAATGGACGGTCGCCCTTATCCTGGGCAGCTCAAAACGGCCGAACAGAAGTAATTCAGCGACTAGCTCGGAGAGTTCGTTCCCTTGATGACAAGGATAGCAAAGGTTGGACACCTGCCCACTATTTCCTACAGTGGCTCGGAACTTGTCCAGTTGAACCTTATTCGACCCAGCCCAAGGACTATAGCGTCGTTTCACTTAATTGGGATGGTACGCATAGCGCTGTGGTGAATTCCCCGGAGCGGCAAAGACCTCTACAGAATGAGAGCGCATGGAAAGAAATGCTATTCGGCTATACGAGCGCAGCCGTATTAAACGAGTGTGACGATTTTGGTTACACCTTATTATCTCGTGCTGTCCAGCTCAATAGGTATGTATACGTCAAATTACTCCTGAAAGTCAAGGGTATTATTATAGACTCGGCAGACACCGATGGAAAAACGCCGCTTTGGAGAGCCATAGAGGCTGGAAATCGCGGTATTGCTTATCTGTTGTGGGGCGGCGACGAGGTTACTCTGAGGCTACTTGCTACGAATGCTCACGAACCATCTGACCATTTGGAGTGGCTTATCACGAACGGCTACTCGATGGTCAGGGGCCACGGACAAAATCAGGAGACAGCGATTCGAATAATGTTTGATATCCCCAACCTTGCTGTTATGGAGCATCACCTCAAACAAGCTCTAGATACCGAGGTAGCTGAAAAGCTCAAAGCGGCAGAGTCGCCGGCGAAAACCATTGAGGCCCTACCAAATGATATGCAGCTATCCTGTTTAACGCAAACAGACAAGCGTGGCTATACACCTCTCGCTTTGGCAAGAAAAAGACGGCTACTCCCTATTGTACAGCTGTTTCTTCGATACCGTGCCGAAGTCTATCTTTTCAAAGATAAAGCGGATTGGTTCAGTCTCTTGCAAGACAGTCAAGATAAGCGAGACTTCCGCTATCCAGAAGAAGCGTACCCAAATGTGTCATTGGAGCTTGTACGGAAGAAGAGCAATGTCCACCTGTTTGACTTCTACGACGCGAGGGACGTAACACCAAAAGGCCGTCTCGTCGAACGGTGCGATACTCTACAACATCTCTGGTAAGCCGTATTCACCGTCACATCTCGAGAGCTACTAACAAGAAGAATTGGCAGGGTACATAACAGCAAGCAGAACTGGATAGCTTCTCTGAAATATGGCCTGTACCATGAGAATGAGTCTTACGCATATAGCTCCGTACATCTTGACACCGACCTGTCCGAGGTAACTTGCGTATTCTCTGCCGAATTCCCTGACACGAAAGAAAACTTTTTCAAAAGACATACGCCATTCCAGTCTGAGTATATTACGAGCTACAAATGCTGGTGCGTATCGTGGACAAGACCACAATACCCAGACGCAGAAGGCTACGAGCTACCAGCATACTACAGCAGTACCCTTTCTTGTGGCCAGATGCCCGAAGGTGACGACAAATTCCTCCAACAATATATCATTGAGTTATTCCAAGAATGGTCTCGCATATGCGATGAGATCGAGACTCATGTGATTGGTCATGTATATCGGATCCCTACCTCGGCTTTTGTGTGCTATGCTGACACTTTCTGGTCACTAGTGCCATGGTGATGAGATCAACGCCACTGTTCTCATTACTGATCTATCTGATGATTCACGTTACTTGGCAACCATCCAGAAGGCTCTGCAGGATCAGGTGAAGGAAATACAGGATGTGATTGATGAGCATCGCAGGGTGGATGAACGCCACCTTTCGTATTTGGGGGATTCAGAAGAGGATCTTAAATACTTCAAGGCAACTATCAATGACCGACTGGATAAGCAGCACGAGCGTGTGCGGGATCTCCGTCAGATGGTAAGCTAGCTATACCATCGACATAGTTTAATCCTTCTTACAAGATCAGGAATTTGCTAGGCTTTCCGTTGAAGAAACGGTCTTCATGAGACGCATCAGTCTCATCACTGTGAGTAGCGGCTCGTCTCCATTCATCTAATTTGCGCTTGCTTTTTGGCTGACAGAGGTAGTTTATCTTCTTACCATTGATGTTTGCATCGGTACGTACCAACTATTTCGGATTCTATATTCCCTTTCCTTCCTTCTTAGCCCGGCTAATTAGCAACAGAGCCTATTCGGCATGAACGTCAACACGCTGCAAAGCAACCCGGACTGGCGCTGGTATATTGTTTTCGGTGCCGCATCGCTTCTTTTGACCTATGCCTTGTGGAAGGTTTCCGATCAAGTTAGTTACTAGTTATCTTGGAACTCTACTTCGTTTCCCCAGTCCACAATTGCTCTCTCTCTCTCTCTCTCTCTTTTTTTTTTTTTTTTTTTTTTTTTTTTTTTTTTTTTTTTTTTTTTTTTTTTTTTTTTTTTTTTTTTTTTACCGTGCTAATGCGTTATCAGAACATCCGATTATCCCAGATATGGTCTGAAATGCGTGCGAGGAGGGCTATGAAGAACAAGAAGAAGGATTGCGAGGGCTAGAGGTATTATCGTGGGCCACGCTGCTGATATTTGCTGTTGTCGGTTGGTGGGGGTAGATGTGGACAATACTTGTTTTGTCTTCCTTATTACCGATGATTGTCGAGATTGCGTGGTTTTTTTTTTTTTTTTTTTTTTTTTTTTAGGAATATCGTCTTTGTGCTCACAGCGGAAAGACATATGCTAGAATGGCTGTAGCAGAATTTTTGGAAGCGTTGATATGCGATAAGACAATTTAGTTTTAGATTGCAGTGAGAGTTATACACAGTCAAGTAATATTGTGGACTCAGTAAGCTGGTCAAAGTCTTCTTCGCACTTATACAAATTAAAGAAGACACAAAGTAGAAGAAGTACAACGACTATCGAAGCGAAGATACTACATACAGACGGATAGAAGTCCTATCAAAGGACCTTTCAAAACACCAACTTGCTCAATCAACCCATTTAGAAAACGGGCATCTTGAAAGCATCAAAAGTGTAGTCCCAAGTAGCAAGGGACTTGGAGTCATGAACACAAGAGAAGCTGGAGTTGCTGGTCCAGAGGGGACGAGAAGGCCACTGGCAAAGCATCTGGGTCTCACCAGCATAGTAGCCGGAGGAGACGGTGGCGTTGAGGCGGGAAGGCTTGTTGCCGTTCTCAACCCAGTCGATCATGATCTCCATGTTGTCCTCAGGGTAAGGACCCGGCTGGAGGTCGTTGGTACCGCAGTGGGCAGCGCCAGGGACGAGGTAAAGCTGGTACCAGTCGGACATCTCCTTCAGGGACTGGGTGTAGGTAGTGTTGGGGTACATGGCCTGACGGACGGCCTGCCAGTAGTGGACGGACGAGGCGGTGGGGATACTGGGGTCGGATTCACCGTGGTAGTGGATCATCTTACCACCGGACTTCTGGAAGGTGGTGAGGTCGGGGATGGTGGTCTGGAGACTGTCGATGTAGCGGATCATACCGATGTTCATCCACTCGACCAGGGTGTCGTAGGTGACATTATCGAGGTTCTCCAGGTTGTCGATGTTAAGAAGCTGCACGAACTTGGTCACGTACTCGCCGCCAGTGGAGGGGATGCTCAAAGTCCAGGAGTCAGTGGTGGAGTCATACTCGGTGTCACCGTCAGACAGCTCGGCGGCGATCTGCCACGAGAGGTAGGCGCGCTTGCCGTTGGAGTCGTGGAGACCGTCGTAGATGGCCTGGGCGAGGGCGACACCTTCGGCAGTGACGGAGCCATTCTGGGCGGGCTGGTAGCTAGTAGTGCTGCCTTCGGCGCGCTTGCTGAAGCCGAAGCCCAGGGAGGTGTAGTTCTCTGCAGCACAGTAGTAGGACTGGCCGATGATGGAGGTGAGATTGAAGTTCAGCATGCAGAGGTCAGTACGGGAGACAACGCCATCGGTACGGCCGTCGAGAGGGTCACAGGCTTCGATGGTAGCGTTGACGATCTTGTCAAGCTCGCAAGGGGGAGGGTAGTAATCCATGGTATGTTCGATAGTGGCAGGGAAGACGTGGTGGACCTGCTGCTGAGCAAAGCGGAAGGCAGGGGCACCAGCGATAACACCGTCATATTCATCTCCCCAGCGCTGAACCTGACTCATACCCTCACGACCACCATCGGAACAGCCCTCGTAGTAGGTGTAGATCTTCTTGTCGCTGGAGAGGCCGTAGAAGCCACGGGTCAAGGGCTTGGCGATCTTGGTCATTTCACCCAGAGCCTGGTAGCCAAACATGTAAGTGGCATCCCAGTTGATCGAGCCGTTGCCATAGAGGACGACTTCGTCGTAGCTGTAGGAGAAGGCGTCGTAGCCGGCATCGGTGGCACCCGAGGCAGCACCGTACTCGAGACCGCCAGTAGCATCGCTGGAGAGCGAGAAACCACCACCACCGGCGACGTAGAAACGGTTCTTGAAATCAGAAGGAGCAGGCAGGGCGTACTTTACGACAACCTTGTCACCCTTGCCGGTGTGGGTGTAGGTGACAGTGACGTTGCAGTAGTCGTAGGAGCCGGAGCTGCCCATGCCAGAACTGGCATCGGTGACAGTGTTGGCAGTGACGGCAGAGGGGATCAGGTTGATGCCCAGGAGAGTGCCGTTGGAAGGAAGGGCGGACTGGACATTGGAAACAGTGCAGAGATCGGACAGGGAAGTAGCCTGGGTAGTGGCTGCTGCCAGAGCAGCGACGACTGCGCGAGTGGACTTGCGCATGTTGAGGGGCACTAAAGAGTGTAGAGGTGAATTGAATGAGCGGTGCAGACTGTAAAGACTGACTGAAGCGTCTGAGCAGAAAAAGTCAATCGGGGTGGCTGTTGGACTTCTTATATACTACAACCAGCTACCCAATATTGGGGACGTACCGTGATAGCCGTCTCCTGCGGTCCGAGTGGAGTGAGAAGGCTATTCATCGGCTGGGTCCACCGGGCTTGACATTCTGCAGCAGAAATTAACTCAGATCGTAACACTCGTCACCCGATTGCGCGGCCCGGAGCAGAACCATCCAGATGATGGGTTTGGGTGACATCAGTAGATCACTGTCACAGATGGCTCTCACATCTCAAAGCCCAGTTTGATAGAATGCGCCTGGGAGCGCTGGGATCAGATGAAAACATTTCCCCAGTCTGCAACACAGCGAGACGTGACTGACCACGTCCATTGTCTGCCATTGCTGCTTGCATGCTGCCAAAATTGGTCAAACGGCACCTGAAACCCCGAGACGAATAGCAGGGACAATAGCAGGGGATGCATCTAATCTGCATCTAATCAGGGCCTGCGCCAAGAGGGTTCCCTATGGTAGGGCGGTAATAACCTTATCCGGGTGGAGTCAGTAAATCTCCGCTCGAGCAGTCGGGCACCTTGGCAGGCCACGGGAGGGCTAACTAGGGTCTCGGCTTCTAGGACCCTTTTCGGCATCCGCATTTGCCTGGCTGACGATGCCACCAAGATGTGAACAATATTCGACGCATATACAGGATATAATATTAACGATTGAAGCTGAATGATTTACTCATCTCCCACAAGAGCAGTTCGCAAAGGCTAAGCTTTCGGCTCCTGCGCGAACTCGTGCGCCAAGCTAACTAGGGTATGGCTAGTTAGTGCCAAGTCGAGGCTTCGTCAGCTCAGTATCATGTTAAGGTGGCAGGTACAAGACCCCCCGTCTACTTGGTAGCCTAGCGAGAGCCGGGTTGAGCATTATAGATTAGTCGACAAATTCGTCATACAACACACACCCTATAGTCGGGGTGTACTAAACTCTTCAGCGAACTCCGCAGGGAACCCGCAAACCCCGTGGTCAAGAATACGTACTTGGTCCGCGCCGCGGGTGGCAGATGAATCCTAGTCGACCCTGCTCGGCCCTGCGGTGAAGAAGATGATATCGATACTCAAATGTGCTGATCACAATATTGTTTCTAACTTTTCTCACAAAGGACTTGTTGTAGATTTTTACCTAGAACGGGGTTGTCTATCGATCACGCCCTACAGGCTTGTCATAGGCATGAACACAGGGAACCATGAGACCATTCAACTTCTGCCTGCTGTCTTGGTCCAGAACCTGGTTGATTCAACAGTCATTAAGACGGCATACAGGAAGTGGAATGCATACGTATGCCCATCATCAGTGTTTGGCTCCTGAGACTCTGGAGAGCCGATAACGGCTGTTCCACAATTTAACCCAATCTAAATTGGTTGCCCAGATGATCGGCGCTTCCGCTTAGTCATGACAAAGCCCCACTATTCAGGGCAAAGCCCGTCATGTAGACGTTACCATTGGCCAATATTTTAACCAGCCCAAAGCAACCTTTCCAGAACAGCTCCAGTCGAGACTGCCAAGATTTTGGTATCTTTCCGGTGGCACCAGAAAATAGTCTACTAACCTTGTAGGAGTACCTTGCACGACGTCCTCGACCCTACAGAGTACACTTGGAAACGTGAACCCCATTGTTCCCAGTACACTATTTGGCAGTGTTTCCGTTTACGCTCAGCGATCGGCCGCTTATGAACCTAGAAGTATCATATTTTTAGCATCGCCGCTCCATCTTTCCCTATGTCGAGTCGACTTGGCACACAGTGTGCTCCATATTTACCCCAAGCAAATATGATACGATTGAATCGGTGTCTAAAGCTACTCCTGACTAGCTTCTCGGAGATATCTAGCCTTCAGTCGGACTAGGTAACCTAAAGAGTCTCCTGGTCCAGCTTGTGCCGGCGGACAACCGTACTACCTCATTTGTGCGAGGACGCCGGCAAGTTTGCAGCTGCAGAAAATCACCGCAATTCCATGAGGTTTGAGAGAGGAAGGTATGCTCGGTGGCTTCGAAGTCGGTCACTACTGACTTACTTCTCAATTCAAACTTAGCCGTATAATTGAGTAACACGTCGAGCCGCCCAAACTGCGTCGTGAGGCCCTTCAGATTCTTGGCGTGGAACAACCCCGAAACTTCATTTGCTTTATTACCTCACCCGTATGCCTTCAACTACCATAGGAAAAACTGTGTGCCTCAGGTTCCCCTCCTCTTCTATCTACCCCTTGTCTTCATGATCAGACAACACTGGAAAGAGGAATGATAATAGCGCGGGGCCCGATGAGTTACGCGTCACAGCGATGTTTAGTTGTTTGTACCATTTAAGTTTACAAAAATCACATGTGTGGTCTACCCTATCCAGCTCTATGCAGGCGAGCGAGCGAAGGCACCAGTCAAAAGAGCCCACGGTACCTAACCATGAGATATGAATCCTGACATCAAGAGAGCTATGCGTGAGCAATTATTGTTGCCTATATAGATATGAACGTAATCTCCCAGGCCCAGGCTCTATATGTGCGGACTTCGGCAATCTGCACCCAGAAAATCGCTCATGTTCGAGAACGATCCATGTGTCAGCTTGATTGCACATGTGTCTCGATACTACCAGAGAATATTTAAATTACTTCCATTCTCGGACCCACTCTGATAGATAAATACAGACGCCTTATCGCCGTGATCCTTCTTGCGCCCCGGTCGCTGCCCTATCACTTTATATACCTCGAAGTCAAATGAGGCCTCGCTAATATACGCAAACAGATGAACCTCAAAGAAAGACATAACAACGCCCTAGCTTCATCCTAGCCATACTGTCTGTGAGTATGCATATAACGGTGAGATGGTGAAAAGCTTGACCTTAGTTAAAATGCCTCACGTGCAAACAAGTTTCACTTAACATAGGAACAAATACCTGCCAGATAAGTCAGTCAATGTACACTACATTCACTCCCTACTATAGTAACTCATCCCGATTTACTGGGCTTTGAGGTCCGACTCACCCTAGATACACCTATCTGAGCGCCCTCGTGTATGAGATTTTTCGATTCAGGAAGCAGGCAATGACTGTATTTTCACAGATGGGAGTCTAGCTCCAGCACTATTCTTTCACTGCGGGGGTGTAATGTTTCCTTCTTGGTGACGAGGCACAAGTCGAATCCAATTTGTCGGTGGTAGAAGAGGATACCGGCTTTCTATAATAGCAGCACACTTTCAGTCAGCCCGAAAATACTAATCGAATTGTAGTAGCTACCGCATTTAGACTTGTGATCATGGTCAGAAAACCACGGAGTGTAACTCAAATTAGTATGTATAATTCATTTTAAACAGTCGACTTAGAATTCTCTTCTCGAGCGTGGCATTGTAGCGCATTTTAAGCCACTCTTTGTTGGTAGAAGAGCGTATCTGCACCCCGAACTGTCGGACGAGTAGACGGGCACACCACGCTCTTGGGTGCGCGTTAGCCATTTGGGGAGCTAGGAAGAGCCCGAAGGACTTCTTCGACAGGCTCAGGAGTGAAAGACACTTCGTTAGCGACGTCAACCACCATTACGCTGATTGAAGGGAGCTTCATGATCCTAGATGTCGACGAGCGTAGGACTGTACTATATATAACGAGCGACAAAAGACTAATGAGAGGATATATAAACGAGGGGACCCGAATAGTGCTCTGATGTCTAGTATCCGTCGCTTCGTTATAGGCACATGCGAGCTTCAAGACTCCCTCAAAAGCAATGTGTTAGGGGTAGGATCATCCTTTGGATGGGAGATGGGTGGGTTTACCCCGACATTCGAGCGGAAATATATTTTCCATTCTTGCACTAGTCACGCTTGCTGCTGGTGCCGCTGCTCCTGTAAATACCGGCTCAAGGACAGCGAGAATGTGTGGGTGCTGTGCTCTACTGCAGTAAAAGACTGATGTAAGGAATTAATTAACACCACCCCTAAGAATGCTTATAGTAGACAATCCCCTATATTAAAATGTATGTAGAAAAGCCCCAAATTAACCAGTTGGTCAATAATACTGACCAGTTAGCTAAAGTCACGTGTATTAATGTTGAACTATTGCTATACCATACTATGGCTATATTCAACTTCCAAGCTTTCTAATTAGTTACTTTATAGTATAATAAGTTATATAAACCTAAATTTTCTAATTAAAAGCAAATTTGTATGAGAGAAGCTCAGAAGACCCAAACTTAGCAACTGCTCAGTATTGGAGTCCAAAATAATTGAGCATATAACATTTATTCAGACCAGTGATTGAGTTGTTCCAAGTGAGGACTCCCTATATTAGTGTTTTACGATATCGAGAAAACCATAAAGTCCAAGATACGCTTCACATAGCAATCCCCGGCAAAAGGTTTGAACTTACAAAAAAGTTCACCTTAGCTCGTCAGTTAGATGAACCATTTTAAGATCCGTGAGCCCCCTCTTTATGAATCTCTTTTTCCAAGTGTCCCCTGCTCTAGATGTTACCTAAAAGCTACATATATATCCACTGCCAAACGGTCGTAATGCTACTGCTGTCGGAATACCAATTTCCTCAGAGTTATGTATTGTATCATCTTAGCAGCATTCGGATGTCCCTATCCAGTAATGCGAATACGAGCTGCCCAAATTAGGTAGAAGTGGGGAAGAAGCTAGTCAAAATAAATGTCTTAGAAAGGGACAAAGATCTAGTACTAGTTCAGAAGTTAGTCAACATGAGGACATGAATATAGTGAAGCGTGTGATTTGGTCTCATAACTACCTTGCCCAGAGGTTATTACCTCCATTGAAACCCCAAACTGACCACCGAGTTAAACCAAAAGTCGCCTCTGGGGGCTGAGTAGTAGGCTATGTTATGGTTACTATCCGCCATAAAACTGTCGGTGCAACAGTTCGAAGGCCAAAGGAGGAGAAACCATTCAAACGTCTTGATGACCTAGTATTTTTTTTTTTTTTTTTTTTTTTTTTTTTTTTTTTTTTTTTTTTTTTTTTGTTCAGGACCTGGACCAGACAGCCCTCTACGGTGGAAATCTCCAGTCTCTTGGATATGCGATATTCAGCGATTAGAATAAAGTGTCGGCCGTTCAGACTATGAAGAAATTTCGTTCTGTGAATCATGACACAGGATTCGACCCTGTGCTCGGTTTCATTTCGATCAGGAACCAAAACCTATATTCTATGCCACCCTTGCGAGGAGTAACCAACATGATGTTGTGCATCAACATCTACCACAAGTCACCAGGCCCCGTCCATCGAACATCATTATGTACAGTTCTGCCACTTGCAATACGAGGATATTCTATCTTCGAGCAGCAACTATAGGTATGGTTGCTATTCTTCACCCCCACAACAACATTCGAAACACATGAGTCCACAGCATCTAAAGAGTCATTATACCATCCAGAGCTGGACAAAGAGACACAACGGTCACAAAGGTCAAACTTACACTCCACAGCAAACCTCTCCAGCCTCGCCACCTCCTCGCATGCTCACTTCTGTCGATCCCGGCGCCGCAGTCTTCGATTGTGTCAGTACACATCGACTTCAATGTCACGATGGTCGATAAGGGGCGAATCATACGGGAACTTTTGTGCTAGGAGCTTCAGGGGCAGTCGGTTGCTGCATGGTCACCGTCTCCGGATCCCAGATATGGTTTTGCGACTCTGGTGTAGGGGAGCTGCCGAAGGGTGTGAGGATCCAATCGAAGAAGTTCATCATCTTGTTCGCTTGAGGGTCCGATGGTAAGATGATGGTAGAGCGTGGAGTTCGAAGGCGATGAGAATCTCTTATATAGTGTCGAGTAAGGATAGTTTCATATGTCTAGTACCCCTGAGTTTTCAGGAACCATGATAGTCATATTACTGTCATTTTAAAGAGCGTTCTCTATCATCTGCTAGGCGCTGCTGTCTCCACAGCAGATCCACTATAAAACATATGGTGAGGATATGGTCGCAACTAGCGATCTCCTACGAGATTGAAGGTCGGTCAGGCTGAGAATCGTGATTATGGAACAACCCGGAGTAGAATCCCGTCTAAGGCCGAGTCATAACACAACATTGACTTGTTAAGCCTTATGAAACTCTCTCGTGCTTCAATGCAATAAGCCACAAAGAAATGTAGAGCCTGCAAATCCGAGGTGAAAAGTGCATGTTACCTACAGGTAACACCAAGAGAAACATACGCGCCTTGGCTGAGGGTGTGGACACAAGCACAACCTCAGTTGAGCCGAGTACCTGAAGCGAAAAATACCCCAAGCCGGGGTCCAGTGATGAATTTGCACCGCATCTTAGGAGATGTTGAACCATCCAGAACACGTCCTAGGAGCTGGTTCCAATAACTTGGTCGACAAGGTGGGTCCACCCGGTGAGCAGACCCACAGACTTTCTAAAACCAGCCTTACTGATTGGCTTGTTACTGAATGCGAATGCGAATAGCCTTTTCAAGATTAGTGGTCTTACTTTTTGCACCAACTTTGAAGCTGCTACTACGTAATGAGTAATGTCTGTGCAAAAATTGATTCGTATTCCGTAGACCCTGAACATCAGCCCAGTAAATCTAGGGTCATCGGGGTCCATCAGGGCTAGCATAAAATCTCATTACTTTCACCACGTGCTACTATCCCACTGGCTTGTTTGACCTTGGTTTGGAAAACACAAGCTAGCCATTTAACATTACAGCCAATCAAGGGACTAGTAACCCAAGAGGAACTTCTATTCGTAGTATTCTTCTGACCTACCATGGAACAGTGTAGCGATGTACGAGCAGGCTGTGAAGGAACAATATTCACAAGAATGTTTGGTTTTTTGAAGCTCGTCTTGAGCCCCAAGACCCACTATTGGTGTCGACCTCCTGTCTGCACTAGCTCACAGAGTGAAATCCCCTGGACACGGTGCTGATCCAAGCTGTCGTGGTACCTTCACCGGCTTGCTTACGTGGGGATCTAGACTATGTCTCCCTCAACCTTCGGAGCGAGACACAGGAGATCCTCGTTAATATTAGCTCCTGGTGCCGTCCCATAGCTGGAATGTAGGGCTGTGCGAAATTTCGATTCCACTATTTGGTTCCTTTATCATAGCTGTCTCTCTAAATTCGGACATTGGCTTGCAAAGGGCAAGGTTTAATATAATACATAAATCTACTTATAATGGGACACAGGTTAGGACACTGTGCATGAAGTAATTATTTATACAGATAAAGAAATGCAAAAATTCCATAAAGGCCAATCAGAGCCACGAGAGCCTCGTTGCTCGTATCATTCTCCGCACTGCTCAAGTGCAACGGAAGCTCTCAGCCAAAGAGATATTACCACCAATGTATTCAATCTGGGAAGGATAGGGGCACAGGTTTCGGTGGAGACCAGTTCCGAGCGACGGGTATTCCACAGGCAAGGTGTCCGGGGCGGTGCCATTTTCGACCCAACGCTGAAGAGCCTTCATGACGGTGGTCGGCTGGCCGCCGAGGCCGCCGGCGCAGTGACCCAGACCGGGGGACTCGAAGAAGCGCCAGAAGTCCTGAACGTCCGGGAAGAATGCCCGCGCCTTGTTGTAAAGATATTCGGTGCCCTTCGTGGGGATGCTGGGATCAGCCTGTTTGGTAAACGCACGGTGGGTTAGTTACTGTCATCAGGGGTTTGGTAACATATCGTTGGGAAGGGGCAGAGGATAGGGAGAGACACGTACCATGCCATGGTATGTCAGCAGCTTGCCTCCATTCTTCTTGAAAGCCTGCAAGTTCGCATCATCTGCGTTCCAGGCGCTACCATACTCTGAAGTGATGAGGTTGAAAAACTCCTGGTACTCCTCGTGCCTCAAGCCCATGGTGTTGAAGCTGATATTCTTAGCGACAAAGAGATTAAACCATTCATCCTTGGTGGTGGCGAGCGATGAGATGTTGGTTCCCGGTTGAGCACCAAAGGTACTACCGATGTCGGACCCCGGGTTGTATCCAAACCAGAGCTGGTCGCCGTCAGTGGTATGCGCGCCCGACCAGGCAGCCTCAGCGATGAGCGCGGCGCCCTGACTGAGTGCAATAGTACGGTTCAAGGAGTCACAGGTGAAAGTCTTGTTCACGGCAGTATAGGGGTTGTAGTCACAGGCGGTCATGTTGGAGATGAGTCCATCTACCACACCATCGAGGGGGTCACAGTACTTGACGGCCTCGCTTGTAAGGAAGTCCAGTTCGCAGACTAGCGGGTTCACGTTATGCCAGATGCGCATGAGAAGAGGATAATAGAGCGAAGAAGTGAATTTGGTGAAGGATTGAGCGGGGGCTGAGGCAGCAATGCCATCGTATGCAGTGGGATAGCGCTCGGCGATCATCATTCCCTGCCGGCCTCCCTGAGAGCAACCGCTCCAGTAAGAATACTCGGGGGCACGACCGTAGAAGCTATTTATAAGGCTCTTGCCAATGATGGCTTGGTCACTGAATGCACGGGATCCGAAGTTTTCCACTGCAACCCAATCAACATTGCCCGGGCTGGTGAGCGCCCATTCACGGGGTCCTGTAGTATCCTTGCCCAGTCCTGCATCGGTTGTGGTTGTAGCAAATCCTTCCCCAATTGCACCCCCCATGAAGAACTCGGACAGCACAAACCGGCCAGCAGCCCAACCACCACCTCCTGTTGCCTGCAGGCGGCCGTTCCAGTTGGCCGGTTCGGGAAGCCAGGTCTCAACAGTAATGTTATCCTCGTAGCCGGGATGAGTGTATTTCACGGTGATGTTGCAGAATTTGGCATTTTCAAGGTCCACAGTTCCTCCGTTGTAGTTGAACGTGGACGAAATGTAATCGGTATAATTTGTGACCCAAGCGGCTGAAAGAGAAAGGATCTCAGCCCCGTACACGACCGGGGTCTGAAAGGCCGCAGGGGAACAAATGGAAACAGTTGACATGGCCGCTAAAGAAGGAAGGCCAGGAACATACGAAAAGGAGTGTTAGAAATGAAATGAGTGTTGCAGATGCACACAATTTCTTGGATGAAATAGTCCTTTTATACCTCAGCGTCTGACGTAGATGGGGTACAATCCATAGTCAATCTTGAAAAAAGAGTAGGGGGATAGTGGAGCTCCAGGACCGAGTGGCTCTTCCCGAAATGGATGTTCGTACTCGGGCTGAACAGCAACATGCCGGCTCCACTTTAGATACCAAACTATGTTGCCCTGTGGTTGCGCCACCGGGTCTTCGAGGGATTTAAGCTTCCAGCCACAGTGAAACCGCTGGTCATATGCATTGACACCTGAAGTCGTCATATTTTGACCAACTACCCATCAGTGTCCACAAACCTCTGAAGTCTCCGGCCTCCCTAATCTGCTTCGAAAGACGCACTTATTGCTACGTTTCGTCTACCAGCCATGCACCTCTTCCAGTGTACATCTGCACCCTCACACTCGTATCCTGTAAGTCCTTATCCTATTTGTCCACCAAAGCCGATACTAATGAATACTAAGTGCTCGGAACCCGAAATCTTGCCATGTTTATTGTCATCCTTGAGCAATCGTGATATACTAGATGCTCATACGATACATCTCATATGCGCACATATGGAAGGAGAAATTCATGCTCTTCAGATGGAAATACAAAGACAGTGGCAGCTTCTCGATACAGCGCGTCTGGAGTCATGGGAATACTTTGCACTGGAGCAAAGATGCTTGGAGATACAGTTGGACTTGAACAGATGCCGAAGGCGGTGCGAGGAGCTGAAAAGGCTACATCTGGATTTGGTACAGGAGGAAGCGATATCTGTATCTAGCAAGAGGTTACACAGTATAGTGTAAACAATTCTTTTCTGAGAAAGCAAGTTTCAATGTTTTTGTTCGGTGCTTCAAATTTGGAAATATCATATAATATAAAAATTCAGTCTTTCTCCGATACTGTCTGCAATCGTGCATTCGCCATATTCTATGTGACCGCCACTACTGTGGAAGACGATGCTGCTTTCCTCGCTATTCCCTCTTGTTTGCAATATATACATCGACTTCGGTATCCAGATACTATACTAGAAGGAACGTGTGCTGCTTCATGACTGATCAATTCCAGGGCAAACCCCACTTCCATATATAATCGCTAGGAATCCTTCCAGACTAACAGATAAGCATCATCGTACATGCACCCCAACCTCAGCATAAAAACCCCATATCAAGGCCGAATACTTCAGAATTTTCAAATTTTCAAGAGCGATCCCCTTACCCAATGGCCAAGCTGTGCAGACAACAGTTTATTCTCGTTCATAATAAACATTTGCCCATTGCGGCCAAATGAAAAATTAGCCACGCCGCTCTTGATGGAAATCTTCCCTAGCAAGACACCACCGGGCGACCAGACATTAACACCGTCCCCGCAGCCAGCGTACACATTGCCTTCCATATCGGTCTTGATCCCATCCGGGATACCGTTAGCCGCCATCGCGAAAACGCGACGGTTCGTCAGGAATGGCTGGCCGTGGTAGTTGGTGATGTCGAATGCATAGCTGGATGGTTCCATATCAGCCAAACTATAAACGTAAAATAGTATACCATGCTTTCGAGTATTTGGAAGAGTGGAGAAAGAACTATCAGGAAAGGAAAGAAAAGAACATACATAGTGGAAGGCTTAGTCGGATCCGTCGTTCCATCACCAACCGTATACGCCGTATCAGTAATATACACTACTTTCTCATCCGGAGAAAAAGCGATGCCATTCGGGCGACCAAACCCATCCGCGATGACACGCACATCCCCGGTAGTCGGGTCATAGCGATAGACTTGGTTCGGCAATTGCGGCGCAGGCCGGATGCCCTGCTCGTATCCGTACGTAGGATCAGTGAACCAGATGGAGCCGTCGCTGTGAACGACCACATCGTTCAGGGAATTGAATTCCCGACCGTAAAATCCACTGATCAGGAGCTCGGATTGATATGGCGGGTCAATGGACATTTGGAATAGACCTCCAGACTGGTTGAGTGTACCCTGACCGCAGAAGAGAATGCCAGAGTCGTGATTGACGCCTCCATTGGGCAGAGGAATGGTGGTGTTGATTATTTCTGATGTAACTGGGTTGGTGCTAAGGGACACTTTAGAGATCTTGATTGTTGACTGATTGGTGAGGGGATCGGTGAAGATGTTGCTGGTCATGAAAAGTTCGTCTGTGGATGGGATGAAGACACTTGCTTCGTGAGCGAATGGGAAGTCATTGTTCTCTAGAAGAACTTCAAGTTTTGGGGCATTGCCCGTGATGTTGAGAAATCGACTGTCGTAGTATTCGAATCCTGCGGTGGCCTGGGAGAGCTCAAGCTGCACGCCAGCGATGGACAGATTATGGGCCATGGGGATGTTGGCCACGGACAAAGGTGATGTATGCTATTTTTCCAGGTGAACAGTCGGGGATATAGAGTGTTATATGTTCAGTGGTTGGTTATATCGGAGGTTTCTCGGCTGATCTGAAGCCATGGACTACGCCAAGATTGGGGATGAGCAGCCAGCAATTTCCGCTTCAAGGGATGAAGCGGGAACATTGTGGGCGATCGTCGCCGTAATCGGCCCGACACGGATCCTTCCAGCGACACATCTAGATCGTTGTTCCTAGGCGGCTTTGGAAGACTTGCCTCTTGGTAGATTGTAGTTCTATGGTTTGGCACACAACATCTTTTATGGGTTGTGGGAAACTTGAGCAGCAGAGTTATTTCGTAGGTATCTGGCCAGAGCCCGTATAGTTAACTATACTAGCAACTAACAAGACTAAGTAGTTTAAGGATTACACCCACCCATCATTCTTTTTAAACCATATCTTTACGCATTCTGTGCTGATGTATCAAGTCCGCCGCTCTTGAATAGCCCGGCTGTCTGTCTATCCACAGCGCTGGCAGCCAGTCACTACCCTTCAAATCCGTATCGATGCCTTCTGCGGCAAGAAGTGTTTTCACAATCTCTAGGTGTTCGTGAAACGCTGCTTTTGTTAGGGGTGTTCCAGAGTTTGGGTCTGCCCCCGCTGCAAGTAACTTCTTTACCGCCTCCAGATTACCGCAGTTAGCTGCTAGCGCCAATGGCGTCCATCCATCCTCGGTTTTGACATTAACATTCACACCCGCAGCAAGAAGTAATTTGAAAAGTTGGACATTGTCCTGACGAAATCGTAATAGGTATGCCAACGGAGTCCATCCTTCACGATCGGCAATATGTGGATTTGCTCCTGCTTCTAATAGAAGCCTAAATATCTTCGCATGTCCCTCCACGGCTGCCCTCGCAAGGGGGGTCTGTCCTCGGCTATTCCCGATATCAGGCATGGCGCCTGCAGAAAGCAGAGCTTCAACCACTACTTCCGCCTTACAATTAACCGCATTCAGAAGGGGTGTGCCTCCATATTCATCACTGCTGTTGACTCTGATGTCCAGTCCTGCTCCTGCAGCAATAAGCGCTTTAACTATTTTCACATCATATCCATAACTCGAAGCCTGAGTGAGTGCTGTCTCCCCATCAGTAGTTTGGATGTCAATCTCTGCACCTTTAGCAATAAGGAAGCTAAGAACCTCCCAGCTTCTATGCAGTACAGAGTAAAAAAGTGGTGTTTGTCTCCAGTTATCTCCCATATTGATTTCTGCGCCTGCAGCAACAAGCGCTTCAACCACTTTCACATTTCCGGATCCAACAGCGTGTATGAGTGTTGTCGCTCCAACGTTATCTGCAATGTGAACATCTGCACCTACAGCCAGAAGTGTTTCAACAATTTTGAGCTTTCCGTATTCCGCAGCATATATGAGGGCAGTCGCACCGTCATTATTTCGGACGTGAATGTCTGCACCTGCAGCAAGAAGCGCTTCGACGAGTTCCAGATTTCCGGATTTCGCGCCATACATGAGTGCCGTCGCTCCCATGTCGTCTCGAGTATGGATGTTTGCACCTGCGGTAATAAGCATCTTGACGATTGCCGCATAGCCATAGTTTGCGGAGATGGACAGCGGTGTCTCTCGGCAATTGGCTAGAGAATTGGGGTTCACCTTTCCCGTGCCGAGCAGTAGTGAGACTACTTGCTTTCTTCCAGCCCCTGCTGCTCTGGACAATGGAGTAAATCCTTCAGAGTCTCTAAGATCTGGGTCAATTCCCGGGGTAGCAAGCAGGAATTCGACTACCTGTTGCAGACCACGTACTATCGCCCATGACAGGATGGTCCAGCCATGATTATTCTGGGAATGAGGATCGACACCTTCAGTATTGAGTAGTAACATCACTATTTTCTCATACCTTCCTGCTGCTGCTTTGATGGCCGGGGTCTCTCCCAAGCTGTCTCGATGACCTGGATTCACCCGCTTGGTGGCAAGCAACAACTTGACTACCTCTAGATGCCCGTATTGTGCTGCAATGCATAATGGTGTTCCACTCCAATGGTCCTGCTCGTCGGGGTTGACCTCCTTCATGTTGAGTAGCATTTTCACAATCCCTTCATGTCCTTCTGCCGCTGCGTGCCAAAGCGGGGTCCTCCCATCCACACTAAAGTTAAGGTTGACTCCCTTCGTAGAAAGTATGATTCTGATCACAGCCTCATGTCTCAACTTAGTTGCTATCAATAGAGCGAATCCCGCAATATCCAACGATTTTGGCGTGTGAGCTATTGCTAGTGACAATCGGGCTGTTGTCTCTCGTTCATTCTCCGCAGCCCATAAGAATGCGTTACCCATACGATAATACATATCCCACTGGTAAAGCAAGGTGTTGGTGCATCGATAGAGCCGCCGACTTGTTTTTGCAAGGTTGTTCCGATCTTTTGCGGTATTTAGGCAGTCTGCGACGCACTGCAGGACCTCACCAGGTACTTCGCCTAGCATTATGAATGAATTCGTTTGTTGAGCTGATGTCGGGTTGGGAATAGTAAGACGTGATATGATATTAGATATTGTGAGGGAAATGAGATACCTGAAGTCATATAAATAGACAGCAGTTACTTACGATACTATCACCTGGTATACACTAGGTAAACTCTGACTGCCATGTCGCCAAAGAAACCCACTAGTGGTAAGCCAACTGGCTTCTCGATATGTGGACCATTCCACTTCTCTGGTTGCTGTCATTAGCAAAAAAGACAGATCTTGCATGGCATTCTCCGATGTGTACATGACCCTCTGGGAAGTACGTATCCAAATGAATGTGAAAATACTGAAGATAAGGTTCATTAAAGCGTACAAACAAAGAGGGCGGGTAGGAGTGACCTTTCATTGAAGTGGAGAGCGAACCCGAATCAAGTGGCAAGTGCCTTCCTTGACAAACCCTTTGGACTCGAATTTCCGAAAACTATTGCTGTCATGACAGTCCCACCTTGGATAAGATACAAAAGGTTTCATCCATATAGGCATCTTCCCCGCCATAGCGATGGTATCTACCATAGAGACTCGTAAAGAGTATTTTGTTTGAGCTACTCCATTGTTTTCACACGGCCTTTATAACGATGATCTGAGGAATCCTTGAAAGACTTTTGGAAAAAGGGTCTTGTTAAGAGCCCCACAAAGCATTATCATGAAGAGACTCACAACTGTATTATCGCTCATATTCTTGGACTATGAAATGTCTCCCTGGCGGTCGTTTATTAATTCTAAATTTTTAGTACTTCGTTGTCCTCCTACAAAACCCTCAATCGTCTCCATTGATGCTTTTTTTGTGGACTACCGCTAGATAGGCTGGATAGGAAGATGATATTGCGGGGCTGTGGATGTGGACAGTGATAAATGGAGCCTACCATAGAACAAATGACAATATCCATCGTCTCTCATGAAATCATTAATGTTAGGTGTAATCGCACTTAGATCCTCATCGTATAGGCCGTTCACATTGGGAAGACCGTAAGACGAACCGAAGAGAACGTTCTCCTACATGACTAAAACTATAAACATGATTTCGCTACTTACATCACTACTAGAACGTAATAGACCTTGCTAAGCATTTAGGTGTGCAGATGCTGCCTGATCGGATGACGCGTCGCGACCTTTTTAAGGCTCTAAGCACTGCGGATGTGGGTACTGGGACACTCCATCGTGGCCTTATCTAGCTAGTACCATAAATGCCCGGCGATAGCGCTTGTTGATATTAGTGCATAATGAGCGAGAAGCACGCACACTGCGCGCGAGCAATATTTCGTAATTCAATATCCAGCGCGATGAAAATTGACCAGAGTTGCCAGTCACTGGATTGGTTAAACCAATCGGTGTTGCTCGCTTTGCCGTAGAGGTTCGTTCTAAGCTCTTCTTTTCTTCTACATCAGTATTCCGCGTAAGCATGCGCCTACTTGGATGAGCCTCCAGTGAGTCATCCAGATATGACAGATGGCGGATTTAGTACTGATTACGGGTGGGGCCATGAATATCATGCCTCTCTGAAATGAGAAAAGCATGTCATCGCTACGAGCCTCGAGACCTATTAAAGGATTATTGGGGAAAATGGTCAAATATTTATATCTTTACATGGCCATATCTTTGTATTATGTTATGTTGTAGGAGAGTTTGTCATGTTCCGTTCCGCTGAAGCACTCTTTCCAAGGTCATCGAAGGACACCAAAACCTCCCCAATCCTTGACTGATTTCTTCGTTCGTTCGCGCACCACTAACAATTCTTTACCGCCGCCAACCATGCGATTCCAAACCTGGCCCTTCCTCATTGCTGAACTGGTGCAATTTACTGCAGCCGCCAACATCACCATTCTCGGGCAAGGGGACCTGCACCAAGATACCGCAGATTCCTTTCTATCCTGCCTCAACGCAACCGGCGTTCGCTACCGGCTATATATCGACGCAGGTAGTACGGTCGTCCTTCCGCCCGGAAATCGCACACTTGATACAGGCGGAGTCGATGAGTTCCTGTTGCACTGCATGATGATGGCATGTGGGACAATGGATATTGCGGCGGAGGACACAGACGAGGATAACGAGGAGCATATGGCCAGTGTTTACGCGTCCATTGTGACTTACGACTGGCTCGTCGATCAAGGTGCTCGGGGCTTACGTGCGATTGGTACCAGGCCAGCTAAGACCCTGGAGGATGTTTTCGTTCGCGATGAGGAGACCGATGTAAGTTCGGGACAAGAAACGAGTTTATTCAGTTGCGTTTACACTGACTGAGAAACACAGGAGTAATATGCACCATTCGGCTTCTACTCCGGCGCGATACATGGATCTTTCGAGTTCAGGGAGAAATTCAAATCGCAGTCTAGCGGCGCCATGATATCCAGTTTCAGCCCAAAACAGCCATGTCGAACTGTGAGGGCTCAAAAAATCCAGTGCAAAGCATCTGTTGTGAATGTCAGGTTACCAAGGCCTTCCAATGATAGAAAAATGCCTAGATGTATATACATTGTCTCCTAATGGCTGCCGAATTAGCTGGCTCGAAAAGACTACTATCCATATTGAAACCATTTTTGATATGCCTGCTGTTTGTATACCCTGCACTAGGAATCAAAAAACCGGTAGCTTTTATCAAATTCGAAAGTCACGTATGTGTCGCGCAGGTTAGTATTGCATTGTTCAATCCATCTGCATGTTTGGCGGGCAAATTTGAACATTAAAGTAGTATCGGAGAATTCGACCATAGACCAGAAACGAGTCAGTCAACCCTATTTTGTAGGCGACTCCCGGCAAAGGGCTTTGCCACTCCAGGAACTGGAACGCCAAGGTTCCCCGATCTCGACTCCAACCCCAACTCCACATTTGCCGTTGCGGGGAACCGAAAGTTGGGGTAGAAACCATCGTCTACCAGCTAACCGAGCTTACGCCCGACATTTTGGTCGTTCAAGACTTCCCACCAGTATTCATTTCACGTTTCTTTTCCTCCTTATAGACTCCATGTACGGCTTATAATAGACCTAGATTAGAGCGGACATGGGAATACAGAATGAGGGGCTAGAAGCTCCAAACGAGCTGTCCAACGAGCATGACGAACACCTCCAGCCACCAACCGAGGCTAGTTCAGAGACACAGCCGATGCCCAACGGAGGACTGGAAGGTTGGCTCAGTGTACTGGCGGGCTTCTGCGTCTTTGTCAACTCCTGGTACCTACACCCATCACCAATCCCCAAACACAGTCCTAACATCCAGCAGGGGCCTTATCAGCTGCTATGGCGCTTTCCAGGAATTCTACCAAACCGTCCTCCTCCCGGACGAATCACCTTCCACGATCTCCTGGATCGGTAGTATCCAGGCCACCCTGATCGTGATGGTCGGTATGGTGACCGGCCCCCTAGTGGACTCAGGCTACCTCCGACCCTTGATCGTCAGCGGATCCTTCCTAGTCGTATTCGGGATGATGATGCTCAGCCTAGCAACAGAATACTACCAGGTTCTTCTGGCACAGGGCTTCTGCGTCGGAATAGGTGGTGGCATCACCTATATCCCAGCAATGGTAGTCATCTCCTCGCATTTCACCACCAAGCGTCCCATAGCCATTGGCTGCGCTTCTATCGGATCCAGCGTCGGTAGCGTCATCTTCCCCATTCTCTTTCGCCAAGTCCAACCCATCATCAATTTTGCCTGGAGCGTCCGCTGCATCGCTTTCATCAACCTCTTCCTCGCCCTCATTACCTGCGCTATCCTTTGCCGTCGACCAGGCAAGAAAACCCGCACGAGAAGCCTCATCGAACTCAAAGCCTTGACTCACCTCCCCTTCATGCTTCTCTCACTCTCCATGACCTGCGTCATGCTCGCTTACTACGTCCCTATCTTCTACATCGCCACCTACGCCCGCTCCGCCCTCAACACCCCCACCAGCCTCTCCTTCTACCTCGTCTCCATCACGAACGGCGCCTCCGCCTTCGGCCGCACAGTACCTTACTTCCTCGCCTCGGGAGGCACCCGCATCAAACCCATCTTCATCCTGATCGCCTTCGTCGCGGCAGCCGCAGTAGTCATGTTCACCTGGATCGCGACGACAAACACGGCGGGGTTCATCGTCTGGGCTTGTTACTGGGGTTTCGTGAGCGGGGTGCTGGTCACAGCTCCGACTTCCATTGTCGCCCATAAAGCATTCTGTCCTGATAGTGACTTCCTCGGGACGAGGATGGGCATGATGTGGGGGATTAGTTCGTTTGGGTCGTTGGTGGGCACGCCTGTTGCAGGGGCGTTGGTGAACTTGGAAACGGCGGACTTTGTTCGTGCGCAGGTGTTTGCGGGTTGTTTGATGGTTGGGGCGGTCGTGTTGCAGGTTTGGCCGGTTGTTTGTGTGGTTAGAGTGGATAGAGGGGCGGGGAAGGTGCAATAGTATAGATGCATTGGTTGAAAACTAGATGCTATGGTAGTTTACTAGTGATAATCAATATATTGAGCCTAGAGCATGATATCCCTGTCATCTATTAACTCGATGCCTCGGAGTTCGCTGGTCGTGGGTTTATCCTTATCCGTCGCTATCTAACCTACATTTGTATCCTTGTCCATGCAGATGCAATTAATCTAAGCAACTGCATGGATGTCCAACATCACAATCACAGTGTAACACTAATCCAGGGTATAGCATCACTGCCATGGCATTACGCTTCACATTCCTCATCAGGATATACCGATCTGGATCTTGATTCCTACCAAACCAATCCGGTTCCAGTAGCACCTACAGATCCATATGTAAATGCAGGTATCAAGACCAACCCACCCCGAAAACAATACCCCGATACATCAACAATACCCAATCGATGAGTTTTCCGAAGAGCGCAAAATCAAGCTTTCAGGAAAGGGGTTTCCGAATTGCCCTACCCGTCACTGCCTACTATATTATTGCTTCTATTGCAGTTGTAGTAAGGATGTAGGCAGGGAAGAACATGGTGCTCCACGAAATGATTCCCCGTGAGGATTGGGAATCCGGTGGTGTCCGGATGAGCTATGGTTGTGTTTGTCTGTTGTGTGATGTGTGGATATTTCATGAACCGGTTAGTGGGTGGGTAAGTTGTGCCTACCGCGGACTTAATCAGGAATACTCTACGGATTAAGCTGGTTGAATAGGTGGGTCTGGACAGGCGGGTTGTGTGGGATGTGGAGTACTAGTCTGGATGGAGTTGGGCCGAGGATTTGCCGATGTGCTCACTCGCTTGCTTTATGCTGTGCATGCACGTTATGCGAGTTATGAAATATATGCAGTCATCTACGCTAATTGTAATCATGTTGCCTCAATTAAATGCAATTCGAGCAATAACTAAATAACGACCCTAGGATAGTTCACAAGCTAGGGCTCAAATAGCTGTCCTGCAGATACCAAGATAAAAAGAATGATAAAGGCATAGTCAACCTCAGCCTACTAAACTAATATCCCAAGCACATCACAGTACGCTTAGAAAGTAAGAGTCTGACCGGCAGTGCCGACGACAGCAGCCTTAACGTTGGCGGAGCCAAGAAGGGTGTAGTCATAAGGCATGGAAGTCAGGGTACCCTCCTCGGCAGTGTTCTCAGAATCACCGAAGTCGTTGTCGTTGGAGACGGCGTAGCCATCGTCGGTGGAGTAGAGAGCCTTCTTGGAGTCGACGAACTGGTTGGACTCGACGAGCAGCTGGGCGCCGTCACGGGTGTTGATGCCGTCGCTGACGTCCAGGTAGTAGCTGTTGTAGACGTGGCCGGTACCGAAGCGGAAAGAGGGAGCGCGGGAGTTGACGTTGTACCAGTAGTTGTTGGCGTAGGTGACGGTGAGGTGGCCGCTGTCCTCGTCTTCGTTGCTATCGGAGTGGCCGACCAGGGAAGCCTTCCAGTGGTCGTGGATGAAGGTGTTGGAGACGGTCACGTAGTCGGAGCCGTGGGTAATCTAGTAGTTGTTAGTGAGTGAGGACCCTTTTGGTATGATGGTGGTGGTGGGTGGCATACGTCAATCAGACCGTCGTAGTAGTCCTTGTCGTGGTCACGGTCGGAGGAGACATCGCAGTGGTCGATCCAGACGTTGTTGGAGTACTCTGCTTGAATTAGCATCTGGTAGGGTGTGCAGGATGAGTGGGTGTCACGTACGGACACCAATGGCATCGCCGTTGTCAGCAAGGACCTTGGAGACTCCGAGGTTACGGATGATAACGTTCTCCTTCTCCTTGACGAGACTGTTGCATGTAAGCTTAATTCAGCTCCCTCTTGTTGGGACGTGCTTACACTCCGAATCCCTCGAGGATGGCGTTGGCGTCCTTGCCGATGATGGAGGTGTTGCTGCCAATCTTGACCTGGTCGGCGGTCTGCTTGATGGTGCCGTCGACGTAGACGACCTTGGCGTCATCGCCGGAGACAGCGGAGGTGAAGGCAGCGTAGGACGAGACGGTAGTGGTAGTACCGCCGGCACCACCGGTGGTGCCGCCGTTCAGGCTAGCATAGCCGAACGCAGCCTGCCAATGTCAATATCTGTGGGGTTCTTCACAGGGAGGGTGCTTACGTCGCTGACGGTTGCGCGCTTGGCATGGGTAGAAGTGGCAGTAGGAGCAGCCAGGACCTGTCCAGACAGGAGACCGGCGGCGGCAACGATCCACTTGAAGTTGGTCATTGTAACTAGGAGAGAGAAAGAATGGAAAGGTAGTTGGGGATGAGAGAAAGGAAAGACGATGTGAGAGGCTTGTTCTGGGATATGGTTCAGGTCTCTACCTGCTCCCTTTATATAGACGGGTCGGCAGCATCGTGAGCTTCAAGACAAGTCTTAAATCACTTTAAGCACCAGGACTGTCTCCAGGCTTGGCTGGTACCTTCATAGGTGGACTTTCAATCAACATAGCAACCGTGACGAGGTGAAGCCGCAGGTTCTTTGGATGCGACTGCCAAGATGCCGGTCAAGCCCCGTACGGATGAAGCTGGATCGCACCACTCGCATAACAGGGAGGGAGCATCGTGAGGAAAGACGTTGTCCAGAGGTGGATATTATGCTGGGAGATGAATTCCACCAACGGCACTTGGCGTTTCAGCGATGCTGCCAAGAGAGCTAAAGTCTGGGTCCATCGTGGCTGTGCGGTGGAACTGTCCGTGCCATTCACGACTAGTGTCCGCTCAGGAACACCGGCTGCGATGCTTGGCGCGTCTGGACATGGCCCCCGGAAGATTCTGAGTGGTGTACGAGTCATTTTGCGGGAGCCGAAGGAGCAAAATAACTTGGCAAGAATAATCAATCAGGGGTTAATCCTCCACAGTGGCACGGTTCCGTGGAGTGCGGGATAGGTTATGTCCAGCACTGATCGGGGTTCCTTCTGAGACAGCAATGCTGTCAATGTTGAGAACATCATGATTGTACCTGTATCGGGATAGGAAGAAGTCATTCTATCCATTTTAGAGTTCCGTTTGAGACGGTTCAGGGAGGTATTGCTGCTACCAGAGTATGATCACGTTTGTAGTCATCAGCTCACCATGGAAGCGTAAGAGCCACGGTTCAGCAGAAACAAGAAGGCCAAGCACCGGTCGTTCTCGGCAATGGAGTGCCTCCATTTCTACCTTCGGATGGCTCCGTTTCATCCGTTCCTTTGCTGCCCATTTTTGTCACGATTTAAGCGCCGTCTTCAGATGATTGATGGCAAGGGAGCTCCAGTTGCTTGGCTGTTCTTGAGTGACTCTGATTCTCCACCTATGGTAGATATGTGAAGCAGCTAATATATCATGTGCGCGGTCTAGGTGTGTCGATTGGGCTTTTCTTCATTAGTGACAGGTCGTCGGCAATGCAGGAGGCGACGATGATGTGCAGGTCTATGACCCCATCTTTTTGGATAGTTGACATCACGGCGGTTGAGAACACTTGCTGAATTCTTCCACCACTGGACTAGACGTACTATATTCGATGCGGTCATTTCGCATAACAGCTGAAGTGGTGAAGACTAGCGATGCTTCTGATAGATTGTGGACCTGGAGAGCACACCGCTAGAATAATAAGGGGTGTTGGGATGATAGCATTACCGAGACTAAGCAGCCGTATCCATGATGGTACATCCTCACCAGCTGCATTTTCCGAACCCTTAGCTTTCTTCTTAGATTGTCTAGTGAGTAGAAACTAGCCCTGTTTGCTATGTCTAGGCCGTTTACTATCTTGGCCAGTAAGAAATTTCTCACACAATCCCACTCACCTGCGCACTTGACCAAAATTCCTCCCTTCAGAAGGCCGTTAGAAAATACAAACACTTCAACATCAAGTTCCTTCATCCTCTTCCCAGTGTATGTGACTTAACCATGTATACAACCAGCACGATCACGCCATCTGCACCCGCAGTAAACCATCAGCTTATTACTCAGCGCCAACAATGGCATCCGTCCAATTCCCCTCACTTCCCCTCACCACATCAACATCACCAACTTCGCCATTGCCATCACAATGTCCGACTTCACCTCCGTCCCCATCATCGACTTCCAGCGTCTCCAAGACCCAGAAACAAAAGCTGAAACCCTCGCTAAACTCCGCGACGCCATCTTCCTCGTAGGATTCTTATATCTCACGAACCATGGACTGGAAGTAAGCAGCCGACCACCACCAGCACCCAATCACATACTAAAAGAACAACCACTGCAGTCCCTCACCAAACGCGCCCACGCCGCACTCCCAGACCTCTTCTCCCTCCCATCCGAAACCAAAGAACAAATCAATATGATCAACTCGCCCTCCTTCCTAGGCTACACACGTCTCGGGGCCGAAACCACCGCCCTTAAAACCGACATGCGAGAAGTATTTCCCCTTCCCATTTCCTTGCCTACTCACACACGACATATAGCCTAACATACCATCACCCAACCCAGCAATTCGACTTCGGCACCCCTAACCTCCCACCCTACTCCTCAAACCCAACAACACCAGTCTGGTCCCGCCTCGAAGGCCAAAACCAGTACCCTACACCAGCCACCCAATCCCTCGTAGAAGAATACATAACAGCCTTCATCCCCCTAAGCAACACCTTCCTCCAGTACGTCGCCGAGTCCCTCTCCCTCCCGCCGACAACCTTCGACACGTACAGAGGCGCAATGGACAGACTGAAGTTCATCAAGTACCCGCCTCAACCTTCCTCCTCCTCTGGGGAAGAGAAATCCCAAGGCGTAGGCCCACATAAAGACTCAACGGGCTTATTCACCTTCCTCTCTCAGGATACAACAGGTGGGTTACAAGTCCTTAATAAACGCGGTGACTGGATTGATGTCCCCCCGCTGGAGGATGAGGGGGCGTTGGTGGTGAATATTCAGCAGGGGTTTGAGGCGATTACCGGGGGTGTTTGCAGTGCGACGGTGCATAGGGTTGTTGTATGTCTTCTCTTTTCCCTTGTTTTCTTGTTTACGTACTCCGGGTAAAGGTGGGATGTTAATGGAGGTGCAGGCACCGAAGAATACAACGCGATATAGTATCCCCTTCTTCATGGGGATACGGATGGACTTGACGTTGTCGAATCTGCGCGAGTCGGCGAGACATATCGTTGAGAAGGTCCCTGTGGGAGAGTGGTCGAGTGAGGATGAGATGAAGCGCAGGGCGGAGGATGTGCCGAGTGAGTTTCTTTCGGAAAAGTTTGCGTGTGTATGTCCCCCTCAACCCATCCCTTTGACATTGCAGCATGGGGATACCTGCTAATATACCTTGGGTGTAGTTCGGCGAAGCCTACCTCCGCAACCGAATCATCAGCCACCCTGACGTCGGGAAGAAATGGTATCCGGAGCTGTATGAGCGGTACTCTAATGATCCTTTTTATTTGCATTAACCCACTTCCTCCTTCTTATCATGTCCTTATCATCACATGTGAACACCCCTACTATGTAACTTACAGCTTCGCCGTCGCCGGAGGCAGAATATTATACTTAACCACCTTAACCGTCGTCCATCCCTCCAACGCCTCTTCTCCCATATCCCGTCCGAACCCACTCTCTTTCACTCCCCCGAACGGCGCATTCGCCGCTAGCATTGACCATGCGTTGACAGTAACCTGACCGGACTCGATCCCCGCAGTGACGCGATGCGCGCGGTTCACATCGTTAGTGAAGATAGCTGAGCTGAGTCCGTGCGCGGAATCATTGGCCAACGCAATGGCTTCCTCCTCGGTGTCGAAGGGAGCGATGCACTGTTCTTGTTAGTACCCCCATCCACAATGGTTATGTATAATAGGGAATGGAAGAAAAACATACAGCAACCGGCCCAAAAATTTCCTCCCTCATCATCTTCTCTCCCTGCCCCACATCCGCAAACGCCGTATTCTGCACGAAATACCCCTTCTCCCCGATCCTCTCTCCCCCGAACAACACCCTCACTCCCCTCTTCTTCCCCTCCTCCACATACCCCAATATCTTCTGCAGCTGCGCCGCACTAGACACCGGTCCCTTCGTCGTCGTCTCGTCCAACGCATCCCCGATCACGGGCTTCTCCTCCCGAGATAACCGCGCATACTCTGCTAGGAACTTATCGTAAATGCCCCGCTGGACATAGATCCTCGACCCTGCCGCGCAGATTTGTCCGTTATTTGCTGTGATTCCAATGCGCGTCCACAGTAGCGCGTTGGCTAGATCGCAGTCTGAGAATACGATTGAGGGGCCTTTCCCGCCCAGCTCAAGGGAGATCTGCTTCAAGTTACTAGATGCCGAGGCGTGCAGGATGGCACGGCCGGCGACAGTGGAGCCCGTGAATGAGAGTTTGCGGATATCTGGATGCGAGGAGAGAGCGTTGCCAGCTTTAGGCCCGTCGCCGGGGAGGATGGCTACTGTGCCGGCGGGAAAGCCTGCTTCGCGGATTAAGAGGGCGAGCTTTAGTGCTGAGAGGGGGGTCAGTTCGGAGGGTTTGATGATCAGGCAGTTTCCTGTTGCGAGGGCCGGGGCGAGTTTCCAGATTGTTATCATTCTGTGGAATGGGGCTGTGAGTCGGGTTGATGGTCTGAGTATGGGGGGGTAGGGGGAGTGCATACAAAGGCGCATTCCAGGGGACAATGGCGGCACAGACACCCAATGGCTCGCGGAAGGTGTACCCCACTCCGCCGTCGGGGAGATGCAGCGTCTTGCCGTCGATCTTGTCGGCCCAGCCGGCATAGTAGCGGAGGGTGGAGATGGATTGGGGCATGCTCATGTTCATGCTGTCGGTGTAGAGGAGCCCGCCCTCCAGGGCTTCAAGGGATGCCAAGTCCTCTGCGTCGCGCTCGATCAGATCGGCGAGTTTGTGCAGGAGGGCGCCGCGGATGGCGCCCGGGGTGGCTTTCCATGCGGGGAGGGCTTGTGTGGCGCAGTGCACGGCGCGGTCGACGTCCGCTGGGCTGGCGGAGGAGACGGTTGCGAGTGGGGTGCCATTGGAGGGGTTCTCGATGGTCAGGGTCTCGGTGGTGGAGGCCGGGGTGAATTCATTGTTGATGAAGAGGGTGGTGGGGACTGTTTTGTTAGGAGAGGGGTATTTTGAAATGAAGGTGGGGGGTAGGGTATAGTACCTTGGATCTGGCGGCCTTTGACGCCGGTGAGAGTGACGGTAGCCATTTCTATGTTGGTTTGCTTTTTGTATACTCTTGTCTGGGAAAAGCAATGCATCCCACTCTGACTATAAGTATAACCGAACTGACTTCCGATGATTCCGTCCGCCGGAACCATTCCGAGAAGTGATGCGGGGAATTCACGAGAATGGCAAGTGACAGGTTGATCGCAATTGATAAGTTAGTGTTCAGTAGTCATCGTGTTCGGTAAAAGTTAGGGTCCCGATTGCCGCGGAATCACAGAGACGTCGTGAAGTCTGTCTGCCGTGTGGCTGAAGCCGTGGCACCCACGCAGTAGCTTACCCCATAAGGCTTATCGGTGCGGATATGGGGGTGTCGCAGGATGACTCGTATTGCAGGCCATTATTGGTGGGTCAGCTCGTGAGCCAGCTTCCATCAGCCTGACTCCCCGTGCAGATATATCAGCCATGGCTTGAATCTTGCACATGTGACAGTCCGTCTGTCCTTCCCATCGTTTGGGTCTTTATGTAACATGCTTCGTCCGACACAGAGGAGAATAAGCTTATTGCAACTACTGCTGCAAGAACAGGGATTTATTCTGATGCCTAGATGCTGCATGAAGAATGGGTGCCCTGTGCCGTCCGATATATATAGTTCATGCTTGATGCCCACTACACTGCCACGATGACAGGCTGCAATTATTCCCACTCGGTAGACGTACCAGTAGATGTCACTGTCTATATAGTTAGACGATATCCAATTGAAGTCACCATCATGTACTACTACCTACTACTCCTGCACATTCTTATCTCCTTGACCTCTAGCTACACCGTCGACCAACTCTGGTCCCTTACCACCCACTTCTGGGACAACTTCCTCTACCCAGCCAACACCGCACATATCAACCCCAACGACACCTCCATTTTCTCCGACAATGTACCATCTCCCCTTCCCCTATATATCAACCATCATCCACCCTTTTACATAAATCATCTAAGTAGTGATAGGTCCAAGGTCGCGTCGACGTCACCCGCACCTTCACCAACCGGGACCTCAACAACGAATACATCTTCGGTCTCTTCTCTCAACCCACTCACCCCAGCATCTTCGGCGTCCCCATCGCCTACAACATCACCCAACTCGCAGCAACACAAAACACCGTCGCCTCGACCGTCGTCCTCACCTTCAACATCAGCACCTTCGACCTGATCATCCCGGGGGTAATCACCGCCTGGTTCGAATTCAATTCCGTTGGCCAGATCACCCAGTACGACGCCGTCTTCCGATGGCTAGACTGGCTATTTGTGCAGATTCTCCAAGCCGCAGGGCGCAAGTTCCACACGAGTAATGAAGCGGAGACTCGTGCTAAGGTGGCGGATATGTTTGCCCGGACGATATGTCACACCGAAGAGGAGTATTGTCTAGGTAGGAATCGGCAGTATGCTTCGGCGCAGGACTGCTATGTGTTTCTGACACAGAAAATCCGCTTTGGGCAGCCGTATGAGATGGGAAGGAATACGCTGCTGTGTCGGGAGGTGCATGATAATATGGTTAGATTGAATCCCGATGTGCATTGTGCGCATATTGGTCCGTCCGGAGGGGATTATTGTGTCGACGATCAGAGCTACGAGGAGGTCGTGTCGGAGAGGTATTTTCGGGCTTCGTGGGTGGCGGATAACTTGGCCCCGATGAATGTGTGGGTGTGGCAGAATGGAAGTGGAAGTGGGAGCGAAAGCAGAACGGTCTAATTTATAAGGATGGCTAACGAAGCAGAACCAGAAGGGAAAATGCCAAGTGGGAGAAGAACAAAAAAGAAGGAAGCTAACTATTTATTTATATGACGTGCCAGAAGGACAACGCAACGGCCATGAAGAACTTGAGACCTCCGATGATCCACAGAGCTGCCCAGATGTTGCCCGTGGCTTTGCTGATGCCTCCACCGGCAATGGCGCCCAACAGGGTAAGGATGAAGGCGATGACACGACGGTCGCGCTTCTCATTGCGCAGCAGGAACAGCTTGGGATCCATCATCAGATCGCACAGCAAACTGGTGATCACCACGGTCGGCACTTCGTTGTAGCCCAGCACACGACTGGCGACGGTCTGGCCCGCGGACTGCATACTGAGCAGGACGATGACGGCCTCTTGGCTCCAGTGGGTGATGTAGGTGGAGGAGTGGGCGTCGGCTAGGTCACCGGCGATGACATGGCTTTGAGAGAGGGCAGCTGCGATGATGACAAGCACGACCTGCAGCAGAAAACAGGCGACCAGAGTGCCGCGCCGTTTGGGACCGAGAAAGTTGTTGATGCGGGAGAAGATGAAGCTGCCGATCGCATAACAGCCGATGGCCGTCAAGGATCGCGCCCAGTCGTACGGTCGGCTATCCTGCTTCGAGGCACCCAAACCCACGAAAATGGTGTTTCCCGTTTGCATGGAAACGAAAGTGTTGTAGGCTGTGGGGAAAGTGTAAGTAAGCTTCTATTATGAATTATGGGGATTGTTTTGGAGATTGTGATGGGGTAAGAGAAAGGAAAGGTGTGGAGGAAAGGGTAGAGTGGAGAGAGTGAGAGTGACTCACCATTGTACATGGTGCTGTCCAGCAACCCCGAACAGAAACAACAGGCGAGCAATAAGATATCGGCATATTTGACATTGATCTCAGCCCTAACATAGCTAACCATCGGGCTAGCACCTTTACCGTCCTCCATGGTTTCAACGTTGGAACTTAGGCTGCTGCACTTTGGGGGTGTGGTATGGAAGAAACAGAGAAAGAATGGCCCCAAGCAGATGCAGGGATGCAACAGCAGCAGAAAAAAAGAAAAATCAGAAAGTTTCTATCTTTCTCTCTCTGACCTTTTTTTTTCTCTGACTTTTTTTTCTCTTTCAAACAGCGCGATCGGAGCAGGAAAAGAAGCGGGAAAAGGCAGGCTGACAGACGCGTGGAAATGAAGAGCTCGCCAGCTTTAAGACAACCGCGGCCGTGGGCCCGCGTGGGCCGCAGACCCTCTTCTTCTCCTCCAGAGCAAAAACCTTCACAAACCTTTTTTCTTTTTCATTCCAAGATACCAAGGCCAGGCCGCAATCCCTTTTCTCCTAAAAACCCCCAAACTTCTACCGATCGCCCAGAGGGGCCAAGCCGGGCGAATCCGGAGCCGCTGTCGGGCTTGGGCTGATTCCCTACAGCACTAGACTGAGTCTAGTGCTATCGGAGTGACTCGAAGTGACAAGCTAGCCTCTCTATCCGCCGTCTCTTTCGTCTCTAGCCAAGTCAGCCACGACTATCATTGCCTGTCTTTTCTTTTCCCTCTCGGACTCTGCTGGTCGTCTTCCCCTCTCCCTGTCCCATTCCTCCAATCTAACTAGCTAACTAGACTGCTTACTACCTTAAACTCCCCCCCAAACTGGGTCTCCGCCCCGCCAATCGGCTGACTTGCGCCTCACCACGCACGCACTCTCTCTCTCTCCCTACCCTCACGCCCTTCCTCACCCATTCCCTTCTCACTCCCCTCCCTTTCCCCCCCCCCTATACTCCTCCCGGTCTAGTCCGATCCTACCTATCTATCGATCAACCCTCTGCCAATCTGCACCTCCAATAGTCGTGGCGGTTTATTTTTCCTCTCTGCATCCGATCTGCTAGGCAGAGGACTGTCGGACTGCTTGCTGTCGGACCCGCGTCGTCCGTTTCACCATGCGGCACCACCCAGCCGGGTCCGAAATGTTCCTCAGCTCTCCTCTTCCCCTGCCTTTGCTGTATTCCTCATGGGTTACACACCGGGGCCTGATCACCGCACTGACCGGAGAGTAATTCATTCTAGTCCATGAGCACATTTCTAGGCGACATGCGGAGTGACAAGACCAAGAAAACTACCTAAGAAATCACTAGACGTGCGCAAGAGCCAACCGCGCAGCCTGAAGCAGTCACCAGCAAACTGGGGCTGGACTCGAGACTATCGCCTCCAGTATTAAATTTTCTATCCCCCCCAGGTTGCCAAGATACTTGGCTCTGCAGCATGCAGCAACAGAGACGCACTTAATGTCGGCGATGAGAGTCCGCACTGCAGCTGCTGCCCTGGTCCGTCTGGGCCATCTGGGTCTTGTCTCTCCATCGGCTTCTCCGTCGGCTGGTCAGCCATGCACTATTGCCTATCTCATCATCACTGACCATCATCACCCCCTCTCTCACCTCATCCGCGATAAGTCCCGGAAGCCAATGCACTCCGGTTTCTCCGCCATTCAGCAGGCGTGCTAGAACCCGCCCTGCCGCCGGCAGCAACAGCTAACAGTGACTCCGTGGATGGGATGCCGTTTAACTTCCGGCGCATCAGCCGAGCCCTGGCAGTCTATCGGTGCAGATCTGCTCCCTCGGCCAAGCGCCAATCACGTCCGATTCATCCCATTCCTCGTCCAGCTGGCGTACTCCGGAGGTTGATTGCTCGCTCGCTCTCAGTTGGCCACCAAACTTACTCGTCCCCCTCCTTCACCCTCCCTCCTCTGCCAATGCTACAGAGTACTTGGCTAGGCTACTATCTTCTCAGCTGGGTGAAGAACAACGGGCCCCGTGCGTGATGAGCAAAAGCGTCTGACATGCAGCAACTGCAGTATACTGGAGCCCGCGGCTACCGAGGAACTCGTGCTCGTGTGCCACCACATCGAAGTGAGTTGATGCGTCTTGTCCATGCAGTGTCGGCGTGGCCTAAAGTACGGGCCAAACCTGTCTGACTTCATCCCACACTCTTACCCCCTCCCTCATTCTCCCCTGGTTTAGCCCAATAAGGAAATCACTTAGTCAATCAATCCTGCCATTACCGGCGCGTAATCTGAAACTACGCGCGGACTGTCTCTTACTCCCCTCGCGGTGGGCGGCCCAGCCAGCCCCATCCTTACTAGGTTTAGCTAATTACTGGTCATTAGCCCTGTACGGGGGAGGGGCGGGAAAACAAAAATGCGAATAATAGAATAAATTTAATAAAGAAAAAGAGGGGGGGGAGCTTATCTAGGCCCCTGCTGCATTGCATTCGGACATTTTTCGACTTGTCACAGGCACAAATCATAGTCCGCCGATGGCGTCGATTGACCATTTTCTTTTCTTTTCTCGGCGCTGGGATGGTGGCCAAGAAAATTGAATGGCAATGGTTCGTTCACCGGAGTAGGGTGTACGTGCATTGTGTGGATTGACGATGATTCTCGGCCAAGGGCTTGCGTTGCAATCCCACCAGGAGGGGAATGTTGCAGACAGTCAGAAAGCAAAAGAAGTATTGGAGGGAAAAAAACAATTCTTGAAAAATGATCTTCTCAGGTAATGAATATTGGTTGCTGGCGGGCTGATCTTCTCCCGACACGTCTATATAAACTGGTCACCTTCTGGCCCTTCCTTTCTATCTCTTCCTTCTCATCATCAGTCTCAAACAAGCCTCTTTCTCTCCTACCTTCACTCTCCACTTTCTCCTTTCGAAAGGGATAAAACTCTCCTCCTCATTCTCACCTATATATACCTTGTGCTTTTCTCGCAATGAAAGTTGATACCCCCGATTCTGCTTCCACCATCAGCATGACCAACACTATCACCATCACCGTAGAGCAGGACGGTATCTATGAGATCAACGGTGCCCGTCAAGAGCCCGTGGTCAACCTGAACATGGTCACCGGTGCGAGCAAACTGCGCAAGCAGCTTCGCGAGACCAATGAGTTGCTCGTGTGTCCTGGTGTGTACGACGGTCTGTCCGCCCGTATTGCCATCAACCTGGGCTTCAAGGGCATGTACATGGTATGTTGGATTCCTTACACTACCTTTCCCCACAGTCAACACTTCTCCGCTTCCGCGATGGAGAAAAAAGATTATACTAACGGAAGGGTCAGACCGGCGCCGGTACTACCGCGTCTAGACTGGGCATGGCCGATCTGGGTCTAGCCCACATCTACGACATGAAGACCAACGCAGAGATGATCGCGAACCTGGACCCCTACGGTCCTCCCCTGATCGCAGACATGGACACTGGCTACGGAGGTGAGAATCCCCCATCTCCACTGTCTGCCAAGACATAATGATCTACCCGCGCCAAAAAGCAAAACGGCAATATAGACCCAGTTCCCCACTAACACCAAAAAAACAAAAATAGGCCCCCTGATGGTCGCCCGTTCCGTTCAACAATACATCCAAGCCGGAGTCGCGGGATTCCACATCGAAGATCAGATCCAAAACAAGCGATGCGGACACCTGGCAGGCAAGCGCGTCGTCACCATGGACGAATACTTGACTCGCATCCGCGCCGCCAAGCTCACCAAGGACCGCCTCCGCAGCGACATCGTGCTGATTGCCCGCACCGACGCCCTCCAGCAGCACGGCTACGACGAGTGCATTCGCCGCCTTAAGGCCGCCCGCGATCTTGGCGCCGATGTTGGTCTCCTCGAGGGCTTCACCAGTAAGGAGATGGCGAGGCGGTGTGTCCAGGACCTTGCGCCTTGGCCGCTTCTGCTCAACATGGTGGAGAACGGTGCTGGGCCGGTTATTTCCGTCGATGAGGCTAGGGAAATGGGCTTCCGCATTATGATCTTCTCGTTCGCTTGCATTACTCCTGCCTATATGGGGATTACCGCTGCTCTGGAGAGGCTCAAGAAGGATGGTGTGGTTGGGTTGCCCGAGGGGATGGGGCCGAAGAAGCTGTTTGAGGTTTGCGGATTGATGGACTCGGTGAGGGTTGATACCGAGGCTGGTGGAGATGGGTTTGCTAATGGTGTTTAATTCTTTTCTTTTTTTGATTCTTAATTCCCTGGTTGTTTTGTTGTGAAAGTTTCTTATTTTTCTGGTTTGTTTTATTTCCCCTTCTGGTAACTAATTTTGTGTGAGAAAGAGTTGTTGAGTTGGGTTGAACTGCATTGGATGGGATTGATTTATTTTCGGGATCAAAGTGAAAGGAAGGGAAGGGGGCTGTGTTATTGGTTTTCGAGTGGGGACCGATATATTCCTACTATACATATCGAAGCTTGCGTGGTACATATACTAGTATCTACTACATTACCAAGAATGGAAATGAAAACTGGGTGTTAGATTTCAGTTGACAGGTCTTATGTTCGTTTACCGATAGAGTAATTCCTGCTTCTCACTCCATGTGAGCCCAATCACAATGGAATTGTAATCTGGTTGCCTTATAAGTACTTAGTACTCTGTACTCTGTACTACTTCTCGCATCACATCAGATCTTAATACTTAGTACGTAGTTTGTTTCACCCAGCAAAACCTTATTGCCTTAACAATCATATTCTCAGTAAGCACGAGACACAGAAACGAGAGAAGTATTCTAGACCCTGACAGAACACCCTGATCGACAGTCACTTACCCAACAAAGTAAGTGGTCTCTACCCTCTGATTACAGTTAAGGCAGGCAGTAGTAAGCAAGAAGAAGAAAGAAAGAATAATTAACTACTAAGTTGCTCACTACTGCATGCACGACCACGGAGTCGCCGTGCAAAAAAGATTGGTGCGTGCTCAGCTAGCTGCACTCTGCACACTGCCACCCTCGCCCTACAAAAGAAACCATGCTGTTCTCCACTGTACTGTTCCCGCGATGAAACTAGGGCCAATAACCATGCAGTTACTATTGGTCCCACTGGGGTGGGTTGGGTAGCCTTATGGTATTAAAAGGAGTAGGGGTCTTTGTCGATCGTTTTTTGATTATTATTTTTGTATTTATATTTTTGTTGGTTTCTGTTTGTGTTGTGTTGGGCCGTTTTTGTTTTTCTTTGGGTAACGAGGGATGGGAATATATTCATATGAAAACGGAAATGGATTATGCTATTGATTGATGATGAATGGTGATCTGCGTGGAAATTAATGTCAGAGTCTTGTCTGATTCAAACTCCGTCGTCCGTCTGATGTCAGCCAGCCACAATCACACATCCACGCAAGCACATTCAACCCCCTGAATGGAAAAGCAGGGTCCAAAGAAAAAAAAGAAAAAATAAAATAAAAATGTAACAAGAAATAGAATATTCATCAGCGAACTGCATCAAAACAAATCATGATTCGTTCATTCTCTCCATCCCCTACTGTCACTCCCTTCCCCCTCTCATTGTCCCTCCCCCCTGCATCTGATTCTCAGGATCTCACATTAATGTCTCCTGATGCACCACAATCCGCCACTCTCCATCACTTGCCTGACTCCATGTCGTCGACCCGGTGCCCCGGTAGGTCTCCTCGCCGCGCCGCGCATTGATCTTGTATGTTACTGATCCGGCCATCAGGTCGATGACGATCACGCGCACTTCCTGCAGTTCGTACTCGTCGAAGTGATGGAAGGGTGGCTTCAGCGCCTCGCTGATTGACGGCTTCGAATGCAGGTGCAGAATCTCGCGCTGCGGGAAAAGTAGGTTGGCTTCTTCGTTACACATCTTCTTGATTTCGGGCCCTGGATCGGCGGAGGTGAGCGCCGTCCAGAGACGACGCTCCTTGCCGATGAGGTCTTCGCGAATGCGTTCGTGGATGGCGCCGACCATTTTCGGTGATTCCGGGATGAGCTGGGTTCTGTTTCTTTGGATCTGACTTTGTGGTTCCTGATTAGACTTTCGTTGGTGGGCTACTTGAATGATTAATTTAAGGGTAGCTTATAGCGGTTGTCACGTAAGCTCACCTGAGGGAGCCGGTTGGGGGTATTTCGTCTATGGGGTATCCTAACGGCTGGCAGAACAAATCTTCGAGATGCAGGATGCGACGCGATGCGATGCAATGCTAGCAGAGGAAAGGGGAGGATGGAAGGGAAAAGGAACGAGTATAACAAGTTGGAAGGAGACGGGCGGGTGACGTCACGGCCCAACCCCACGTGGATGACGTCGTTTCCCGATGACATCGGCCTGTTGACTCTCTTCTTCGCTTTCCCCCCCGCCCCTCCCAAAATGCTTTGTCCTACGTCTGGCCTGATTGTCCTCGATAGGATTGATGGTATGGACACAGCAGATGCGGACTCATTTCCCGCGATCGGCAGGCGCACGGGAGCATCTCGCAGCTGACGATGACGCGGCTTTCTTCGCTGCATCTGACTCCTCTGGTGCAGCTGCTGCCCATCACTGCATTTCCCATTTAGAGAGGACCCTTGGTCCACTTGCGGCGATACTACAGTCGGGCCTCGCGTCCAGCATAATCTTCAGCTGTGAAGTGTGATCGCATGGAGCGGCTCTATCATGCCATCCTCTCGCGGACAAGAACGGTCGGTGTGACGAAGTCATCAAAGCTGACATTGACACGTTACACGGATTCCTTCACAATTCACACAAGGTGACATGCCTCAGCTGGGGTATATAACTCTTGTGTCTTAGACCTGGTCAAGAATGAATTCAATTGTCCGAATAGGAGGACAGCTGCGGCTCTGCCTGATGACCATAGCATCCCATCTCACACCCGGGAGCTTCATCACTCAATAACGTTCCGATCCTCTCTCGGCAGCCCGACAGCATCCCAGCTGCTCCATGGATCGACCCGTGACCTGCCACTCCGCTCCGAGGTTGTACGAGGCCGTTGAGGTCTGCTGCCGCCAAGCATCTGACATTGTGTTGGATCGGCCAAGGCAGCCACGGCAAGGGAGGTCAATGTATTTGTAGCAGGAGTGCAGCAATCTCCACCAGGGCCGTTGCTGGTGGATGGGATCGTCGGAGATCTGACCGCGCAATGTGAGATCCCCTACCGGTCCACGTCAGCGCTTCGCATTGGACCTGTATGGAGGAAGGGGGATGGAGTCCGGTCAGGAATAACCTCCACTCGACCGAAACTGTCTAAGACAACACTCGTTATACCTCTGCCATGTGGAGAGTGCTCGGCGAGTCAGCGACGCGAACTGAGTTTAGGAGCCATCTTTAACTTCAATAAACTCGCAGCGATCGGTGGGATCCCTAGAAGATCCTCCGTCTTCTAGAAACAGTGACCTTCGGGTGGAGCTCTCCCTATCGGGCTGATGGATCAGTCAATGGACCCTGAGATGACCAAATTGGCAAGACGGTCGCAAGTTAGCAAGGGATAATGCATTCCTGCTCGAGTCCGTTGTGGTCGGGGTGTTGGAATCACGTGACCATATACCAAGTGTTTTTAGACTGCGTGACAGACGCCAACTGGCTGACAGTTGAATTCCAGAATGCTCGGCTGGATTGCTTAATCCAAATGGTGGTGATCGACATATGTCCGGAATATTCCCCCGGTGGTATGATAAAAAAGAATGGAATGACAACCGACCAACGAGAAGCTCCGTCTGGGGAAGCCATCAGGTGGTTCCATGAGGCCAGGAAAGCCCAAGCCCGGGGAATTCAATGTTAGTACTTATTAATAGGTAGGCCATAGAGACTGACATTCCTCATGCAGTTGGAGTATTATAAGGGTTGAATACAATGTCAAGGGATATGGCTGTTCTTTATTTACCACCGAAGGTGTTTGATGTCTATGCCCCGTGATCCAGCTATATTCTGGTATGGGAGACCTTACATAAGAGTCTGAGCGGGAATTTAGTGGGAAAGGAGTCCGCGGACATGACATTGCTCCGAGGACGAGGAAAAGACGACATGTTTATATATCCGCGGGCACGAAGCCATTGCCAGAACGCGGGATGGCAAACAGTACGTAGCGGGTTGGCATGTCATCTCTTATCATAGTACTCTACAATGTCATTTTAGTGACGGGTGGCAGTCATGATAATCTGCCCCAATAGTGTCTTTCGCCATACTAACAACTGTAGGGACGATTAGCGTTTTGTGGCTGCTAATTGCCAGGCACCGAGTAGTATATCGCATAGAATTGAACGGATACTTCACTGGATCGATGGAGCTGCTACTAACTAAGCGACAGAATAACGAGGCCCCTTTGCAGTATAGGTAGGCGTGTACTAGATTAGTAGCTGAGCTGAATACCAGTAGTAGTCCCTGGTTTTCCTGGTGAATGATGATGTTGCGACCCGCCCGGAGATCTCCTATCATTGTACTATACGTACTACCGTTGAGAACATATATTTCTGCTGATAGCACACTAGCAACTACTAAGTATGGCGATAGTACTGCCAAGCAGTAAGATAACGTGCACATATTGTGAATTGAGACTCGGCTATAATATCTTCCTCTATTACTAACTCATCCATCTAATCAGTACGCCCTACGGGGTTTGATTGCAATGAGGTGGAGAGTGCAGTGGTGGTGATCGGGAAATTCTTCAGCTGGGCGCAGCCCCGCACGTGCCCTGCCTCGTGCCCTCATCTTCCGCCATTGCAGCCCTGAACGCCTCACAATTCTGACCACCGGGGTCTGAACTTCAGCTTCTTATATAAATATGATCTCAGCTACGGCTGAAAACACGCGCGATGTCACCATATCTGCATAGGGATTTGAATCCAACTCCCTAGTTGCAGCAATGGAAGCATCGGGAAGCATGATGGAGAGGAGAAATTCGGTGGAATCCCTCCACTCCGGCACTAGTGGCACCGTTGATAGGCCGGTGAGCGATAAGGCAATCTAAGTTAATTAATTGCGCGATATTGGTGGTGCGATGGTTATCGGCCGGCTCCCCGCTTATCTCTTTGCTATCTTTCACATTTTGCCTTTCGTTGCTCTTGGTTCCTGCGTTAGTTCTTGGCTCCGTCCCGTGGTGCCACGGGGAATATCTCCTCTATGTGGGAACAAACATTCAGGAACCAGCAATGATGGCATCCATCTGCTGTATGCCATACTTTAGTGTAGTGATGATCTTTCTGATCATAGACAGCTAGGAAAAAATTATTCGCAAACGTCCACGGCAATTCAGCTCCTCAGCTACCAACAATCGCGTCCCATTCTTCAGCTTAGTGGAGAAAGCACTAGCTATTCCAACTAACGCACCGCAGCAACCGGCTCGGTTCGTACGGAATGGATCGCCGATCATTGGCTTTCTGGCAGGCACCAATGCTACCCTCTCCGCTCTCTTCTGCAAATCCTTCCTAATCAGCCCGTCTCCCTGGCAGAGTTTTTCAACAATGTGGGCATTTAGCACGCGACGGTGGGTCAACCACCACCCAATAGTCAAATCCCGATAGCTACGCCGTTGATACGGAAAACAGAAAGATCTCAATCGCAAGCTATAAAGCCGGCCTTCCCGACAGCTATTTCGCTATCCAGCCATTGCAGCCAAACTGTGCACACGACCTCCATCGCACACCATGCAGCTCCTTCAATCCGTTTCCACGGGCCTGCTGCTCGCCAGCAGCTGCCTGTCCTCCCTTGCTGCGGCTCGCTCCGTTCCCGCGGCCAAGAGCATCGCCGCCCGCCAGTCCACCGACAAGATCGCTCCCAAGGTCTTCATTGTCTCGATGGTAGGTTCCCCTCCCCCGCCCCCGCCATGTATTATATGCTGTCCAGCCCTAACAAATAACCCAGTTCGAACCCGAAGCCGCCATCTGGTGGGGTATCCCCGAGTTCAACGTGCTCGAGCACAACATCACCATCCCCGGAGCCTCTCCGCTGTTCCCGGATGTGCACTGCACCGCAGACCACAACATCTGCCAGCTGGTCACCGGTGAAGCCGAGATCAACGCCGCCGTCACCGTCTCCTCCATCATCTTCAACCCCACCTTCGACCTGACCAACACCTACTTCCTCATCGCCGGTATCGCCGGTGTCAACCCCGAGCTGACCACCATCTGCAGTGTGACCCTGGCTCGCTACGCCGTCCAGGTCGCCCTGCAGTACGAGATCGACATCCGCGAAATGCCCGCCAACGCCACCACCGGCTACTTCCCCCAGGGTTCCTACTACCCCTGGCAATACCCCGGCAGCATCTACGGCACCGAGGTCTTCGAGGTCAACGACAACCTGCGTCAGCTGGCCGCTGCTTTCGCCAGCAAGGCCACCCTCGCTGACTCCGACGACGCCAAGGCCTACCGCGCCAAGTACAACACCTCCGACGGCATCTACGCCGCCGGCGCTGCTGCCCCCTCCGTTGTCCAGTGCGATGTCGCCACCAGCGACGTCTACTACTCCGGTAACATCCTCGGTGACACCTTCGCCAACACTACTAAGGTCCTCACCAACGGTACCGGTAACTACTGCGCCTCTGCCCAGGAGGACAACGCTACCCTCGAGGCTATGGTCCGTGCCGCTAAGGCCAAGCTCGTTGATTTCTCCCGTATCATTGTCATGCGTACCGCCTCTGACTTCGACCGCCCTTACCCTGGCGAGTCGGCCCGCGAGAACCTCCTCTACGCTACCACTGGTGCTTATGAGCCTTCGGTTCAGAACATCTACAACGCTGGTGTCAAGATCGTCGAGGGTATCATCAGCCAGTGGAACTCTACTTTCGCCGCTGGTATCACCCCTAGCAACTACATCGGTGATATCTTCGGTACCCTCGGTGGTTCTCCGGACTTCGGTCCCTATGCCAATGCCGCCGAGGCGGGTGTCACCCTCAAGCGCAGTGTGCCCCGTCGTCGCAGCCTGCGGGGATACTAGACTTCTTTCTGTGTAGAAGAGATGTTCCAAGATGTATGAGTATGATGCAGCATGAGCATGAGTATGTGAACGAATCTTAATTAATATCTAGCTAGCTAGCGAGTTACTAGTAGCTAGCTGAGACAGTCAAATGACATAATATTCCATCTATCACCCTACTTCTCTACGATCAATCTAGTAAATAAACAGGAAAACTCCTAGCAAGCGCCTCATACCCCCTCGGATTCAAATGCAAATGATCCCCACTATCAAACTCCGCCTTCAACAAATCCTTCCCAGCCCCATCATCCCTCCTAGCCACCTTATCAAAATCAGCCACCCCATCAAACACCCCCGACTCCCGTATCCACTTATTCACCCTCTGTCTCGTCCTCTCCCGCTCAGGATCTGAGTACGGCTGCACGACGGACGAATTGCTCGGCGTCCCGAAAGGTGTGATGGTCGCTCCGATGACCTTAATCCCGGCGGCGTGGAGCCGCGTGATTATTTGTCTGTAGGACATTATGATTCTATCGCCGACTATTTGCTGTGCTGTAGGGGAGGTGGATGCTGTGCCGATGTCGTTGACGCCTTCGAAGACGATCGCGTGGGTTATGCGTGAGTGCGAGAGCACGTCGCGGTCGATGCGCGAGAGGGTGTTGGGGCCGAGACCGTCGTGGAGGAGGCGATTGCCGCCGGCGGCTTGGTTAAGGAGGGAAAGGGTGTTGGTTTGGGGGTTGTTGTGAAGGTAGGGGAGGAGGAGGTCGGGCCAGCTGTATATAGTAGATCCTGTGTCAATTCTTGTATACATTGATGGGGTTACAAGGGGAGGAGGGGATACCGATTATTCTCATTCGTATCACTCCCCCGTCCATCTGTTATACTATCGCCGATGATTGCGCACCCGTGGTATGTCTCCGGGAGGAGGGCTTCGATGGTGGAGATGAAGTACCTTTCTCTTTCTGTTAGTATACTTGTCTTCGACATGCCACAAGCAGCCGACAAACAGAAAGAAAAGGGGGATATACCAATGCTCCACACCCACTACATCCCCTCCAACTATACTATCTTCGCCAACTAAATCCCCGAACCCCATCCAGGACGTCGTCCGACTCCCCGGATGCGACGTAATATCCGTCCCGTTCTGTCCACTCTCCAGATACAGGTCCACTGTTAGTGTCGTGCTCGCTTGTTTCGGGAGAGTTATCGGGTCCGAGACGATGAGACTCCCTGCTGGGACGAGGATCGAGGTGTCTCCATCGAAGGAAATTGGGGTTGTAGTATCCGGGATGATGGATGCGCTGCCGAGGGTGTTGTTGGGTGGGAGGGAGATGGCTACGGAGGTGATCGGGAGGTCGGTACTGCCGAAGGCGTTGGAGAATCGGAGGCGGATGGTGCTGGCGGGTTGAGTGAGGCGCAGGGTTTGGCGGAGGGTCGTGTTGGGGAAGATGGAGGGGGTGGAGTTCTGTTCTTGATTAGTGGTGTATACGATATGGGGAAGGGAGAGGGGGGCCTACGAATGGGGCTGGAGGTAGGTTGGCTGGTTCGGTCAGTTGGGGCATCGCGGTCCAGATGTCGACCCAGTGGGATTGGGATCGGGATTCAGACTGGGAGGAGGGGAGGGGGGTGGACAGAATGGGTAGGGTTAGGGAGAGGAGAAAAAGGAGATAGTGGGGGAGATTATAAACATTGTTACGGGCCATTGTGTGCGAATGATCTTCATGAACAGGATATTCTAAACCGATCACCTTCGACTCATGGATGGTCGGTTTGAGTAGACGGAGACTGTTGTTGATATACGATGGGCTACCGGCTAAATGGCTAATCTACGATGATCGACCGGCTCCACGAATGCGGGGAAGCATATCAGGCAATTTACCCTTGTTTGCTATCATACAGACGATGTACATCAAGCGTGGCTAATTACAGACGGCTATGTACAAGCGGATGTTCATGCGCCCTTAGTAAGTCTTCAGTGTTTCGAACCACTCCTCGAACAGCTTCACTTTGGCATCAGATGCGGTCGGAATCTCTCCCCATCCATCACCCACATGCTGCACCTTCGCGTTCTCTCCCGTGGCAGGCCACTGGGTCAGGGATCCTCCATTGGGATTGCCGGTCTTGATGAAGTTGGCCCAGTATCCGTTCATCTTCCGTGCGATGGAGTAGTCTGCCGCCGTCCATGGCAGGTCCGTGCCGTACAGGTTGTTCAGAACATAGTTAATCTCGGATTCGTGGTACGCGCCCTGGTCCTGGCCTGGGGGAGCGTGGTCCCAGAAGTAGGTATACACAGGACTGGTCCTCGCAGTCGCCCAGAGCTGTGCCCACAGCCAAGTGCCCACCTTGGACCGGTCGGTCCACTGGGAGTTGTAGGCTCCCGGGGCGGTTCGTGTGGTATTTCCGGGATACAGCTCCAGAAAGCGAGAGAGCCATGGCTCGCTGAACGTCTCGTTCATGTCTGCCAGGTACTCGGACACGGTGAGGTTCAGGCCGTAGCTGGCCCCACTTTCGTCCTTGGTGTTGCCCGTAATGACAGGAACGTCCTGCGCCAGACCCTTGATGAGAGTGTTGTAGTAGGTGTCCGGCATTGCGTAGTAGTCCAAAGTGGCCCCGAAGCTCCATTCGCTGGTGCTGCCGAATGTTCCGCCCGACACGACGAGATCCTCCATGGGCAGTTCGCGCATCTCGGCGATGGAGCTGCAGTTCAAGCTGGCCATGAAGCGTTCTCCCTGGGCCAGCTGGTCCTCCAATGTGCTGTAGCCTTCCGCCAGACTGGTGCAGAGGGGATCGTGCGGATCCCGAACTCCACTTTCGATGATGGCGCCGACAATCAGGCCCTTGGTCAATGGGCTGTTGAGGATGTGCTGGGTGGCAGCCGACCCAGCAGACTGGCCCATAACCGTGATGTGGTCGGGATCACCGCCAAACGCGGCGATGTTCTCATGGATCCACTTGAGCGCTGCAAATTGGTCGAGCATGCCCCAGTTGCCGGAGCTGTTGGATCCCGTCACCTTGTAGAACTCCTCCGACAACTCCGGGTGCGCCATCCAGCCGAATGAGCCTGTGCGGTAGTTGTAGTTCACAAAAACGATACCCTGGTCAGCCATGCCGCCACCATCGAAGAGGGCATCCGCAGCCGTCGACAGAGCGGGATAGCTCCACATGACAACCGGGAGCTTTGCGTCTGTCGAGTTGGCGGGACTCCATATGTTGAGGTTCAAGCAGTCTTCGTCGATGGTATATTCGGAGCTGCCCTGGGTGGCCGAGGGGCATACGTTTCCGAAAGACTTCGCATCAAGGGTGTCGTTCCAAGCGCTGACGGGCTGGGGTGCCTTCCAGCGGTTTTGACCCCCGGTGGTGGCGGCAAAGGGGATGTTCTTCCAGACGGTAATGTCTTTCCAATGCGTTAGGTTACCGGCCGGCTCGCTGGTGAAGGCTGGGTAGCCTTGAATACCACCATACTGCGTGTCGATGACAGTGTCATAGAGCGCTGCATTGGCCCCGGTCAGGAGAGGAATAAGCGTGGCGAGAGCGAGTCTCGCACGGCGTGACTGATCCATCGTGTGGTTGAACGCTAATGTGGGATCAATGGGATGGTCACGATGGTAAGGTAATGATTCGAGATGCTTGGGGAGAGACAGCACTTAAATAGATGCCGCAATGCGTCGGAGAATGGACCCCCTAACGGTGCTCCCACGGGTGCCATGCATCTTCACGGATATTTGCGCCGAGGGATACGCGGCCTGCGATCCCATTAGTATGAGGATCATTGCCTTACCCGGTTCCCTGACGATCCCCTCGGACGAGATGACGCAAAATAGATTGACTTGGAACCGTGGTACAACGCCTGCCCTGCGGAAATAAGGTAGGGGACACTCGATCCGTGGCTTGTGATTGGCCTCGCTTAAAGCTCCGCAGGTCGGGGGTCGGGAGTCGGAGCCAAAAATATGAGGCTATTTCCGAGGGTTATGACTTTGGGTTTCTTTCAGCTTATTCGCAGCTATTAGACCGGAAATGGCATGTTCTTGGCATACCTTTTCTTGATATCACGTCGGGGCGACACGTAATCCCTCACTTTACTTGGATATCGGCCGGTTGCTTCCCAGATTACGAAGGACTTTTCACGACCGTCCGTTCCAACCACTCTTAGTGCTCCATAGATTGGTTTCATCAGAAGTTTCGTTGGATTGATCGTCGGAACGATTCTACGAGATATCCCTCTCTAAAGATCCACGATACCATGTTGTGAATTCAAGAAGTAAGACTCGGCGCTTCCAAGTGTCCATGCTAACCTTCATGCCCAATCCTGGAGACTCCACTGGCAGTATGTACTCCAATCCCCCTCTGATAACAGCAAGATCTGACTTGCGTGTAATCAAGACATCTCGCCTAGCCAAGATCGAGATTATGTGCCTCGATCCCGAAAACCAGTTATATGGTGCGAAGAAATGGCGGACGTACAACTCTTTACTGACTTCCAATTTATTCAGATCAGCAGTACACACTAAGGAGTGAGTATCCAGAAAGACAACCTTGCCGGCCACACCGATGCAATGAGTGGTGTAGCGGCTCAGGGTGGCTAATTGGTTTATAAGGCATTGGTTCGATGGCCGATTAATGTGAGTTAGTTTGTTCTCCGCCAGGACCGTATCTTCCTGCTGGCTTGCACATACTGCCTTTGGACTAGCAGGCAGAGCTGGCATGCCTAAGCTGAGCCATTTACTTCCGATAACTTGAGCACTGTGCGTTGTCTGGTTCCGAACGGGCAAGGAAAAGCATTATTGATCTCTAGACCACCCAAATCAAGGTTGATATCGATTATTGCTCCTTCTGTCCAGTCGCTCCAGGAACAGATACGAGCGGCCGCACCTTCAAAGCGGATAACTTGTTATTCCGAACAATCATGCCGCAGCCACTTGCAGATGCCAGGTTTGGATGAATATTCTCGCGCATCCTGTTCGTGGGCGCTAAAATTCCATAAATGATCCGTTTCCCGAGTGGACAAAATAAAGTTGCCTGCGACATCACTAGCCAGTACCTGAGTTATCGCATGCCAGCAGTCTAGACGTGGTTGGAAGAGCACTTCGCCTGGAAGCCAACTTTCGTCTGTATCTTCTTGAGATTTCAGCCGAATCTTACATTTGACTCGTCAACACTCAGAAGGAGCCTAATTTCGGGCAGCCAGTTGATTGTGTGAACACTGATCTTATGGCAATGGAGTGTGCGTATCTTGTTGTCCGTTCCTAGATTGTAGAAGCATACTGACCCATCGTCCTTACTGCAAAATACAGCATCTTATTGGGGGTCCACATGCCCTGATAGCGGAAAACTCACGTGCAGCGGTGATGCCTTCTCACTCTCGGAAGGAATAGGCCGAGCTACAACCAGAGAGGGGTGTAAGCCTATCGACAACTTGAAAGACAACATCTACCATCAAGCCGCACTCATCAAAACAGCAAAGCCGAGTTACAGTATATGAAACATGGTCAGGATATCCAGCATGGCCAGGATTAGAAGTTTCATGATTACGTGCACACCTCAAGCTCCTCCCACATGCGACGCCGACCAGAACATGTGCTACAAAGACAGCTGGCGATAATTCCGCTTACACACAATAGAAGAGAAGTCCAAACTGGCCAGAGAGGCTCTCTAACTTAAATATCGTCTCCACCAACGGACCGACCAATGAATGAACGGGTAGCCGTGGGGGGGCTGTGAAAATGGAAAACACGACCCCAACACGCATTGGGCAAGGTAGCTAGCCAAGAGCGGTTTATCGATTTTGGTCTAGCGGTTAGTGCTTCGACAGTAAATGTGCGGGGTTACGAGGCCGTAAGGCAGCTGTTGGGCAGTGACAATACCTTAGACACTCAGATTGTCATCTCACCATAGATAGCTTCACCTTCTGTCTCCCTACCCTTCCTTCTACCACCACCGTCAGACACATTGGACACTCCAATTGGTTCAAGACACTTCTTCATCTTTCACCTTATTAAGTGTAAGCCCTATCACAGTTGCACAAACGCACTTTATATACGGAACTTCCTGGGCCGGCCTTTTCTGTGTCACCGTGATAGTAACTTTATAGTTGTCTATATCGTGCTGCGATCTAGGAACGATGTCAAGCCCCATGTTATGTGATTGGTGTCAGACAACGGTCTTTGACAAGCATCTTCTGGCCGTGATTGATCCCGGCAGGGATCCGATGTCCATGGATCAGAGCCCTTTTAGTGTGATGATTGACCCACTGGCATATTTCGGTAATCGGAATGCGCTTGATGGGTTCCAGCGGTCCTTTCGTCGAAACAATGAATTGCTATTGCAGAATGCGGCCCGGTGGTGTATCTTCTGTATGCTTCTTAGAAATTTACGAGGTGGACTACGCGATGATTTCGAGTTCACAATTATCGTCAACGATCCCTGGCAGTGGTCCACAGTGACTGTTGCCGCGCACGATGACGAGAATACGAATCGCACTGGTTACTTTAGAGTCTATAAGACAATTAGCCCTACCAAAGTCGCATTGTCTGGCTCGACCTTCAGTGACGCGCGGCTAACAGAACAGGGTGTCGATATCTGTCCAGGAAATAACGATCTTCCCCAGCATGACAGCTCACTACCTCGGCAACTAGTTCGAGATTGCCGGGCTCTCCGCGCCCTGATTGACGATTGTTCGGCTAACCACTCTAATTGCAAGCCACGGGAGGGCTTAGGCTCTCCTTCCTTGCTGCTTGAGCTTTCTGGAACCTCAGAATCACCGGCAGTACGTCTCATCAAGACATCAGACATCAAGGTCGTGCCAATTCACTACGTCTGCCTGAGCTACTGCTGGGGCGGATTACAGCCAAACATGACGACGACCAGCCGTTTGGACTCATACTTAGCCGGAATTGATACAACAGAGATTTCTGAAACAATCCTGGACGCCATCCGTGTCTGTCTTGCGATGGGCTACCAGTACTTATGGGTGGATGCGCTGTGTATTGTGCAAGACTGCGAGCCAGACAAGATTGTCGAGCTAGGTAAGATGGCTTCTATTTACTCGGGAGCCATCCTCACAATATGTGTCATGTCGGCCAAAAGTGCGACGGAAGGCTTCTTACGACAGGCCTATCCTAACTGCAGTGACCACCAGTCAATACGCACATGGCACGCAGATATACGCGACGAACTAAGCCAACTTGTGACGGGTTTCCTAGAAATACGGAGTGATTTCTCCGACGATGACATTTTTGACAGTCCAATTCTGAAACGAGGCTGGACCTTCCAAGAGGCGCTTCTTAGTCCACGCCTTGTTATGTTCTCTGCTCATGGTCAGAGGCCTGCATTGCGATGCTCCACGCATACTGTCCAATCGGACGGTGGTCGGATCACAGCGCACCCCAAAACTTTGGTGAACCTTGGGGAAGTGGAGCAAGTAGTTGAAAGGGCAAAGTCAGAAGATAAATATTGGACAGAATACTCTATTCAATCGGCCAAAGCCGAAGAATGGGTCAAGGTTGTTCAACAATATTCTCGGAGATCATTGACATTTTCGGAGGACAAGATGCCCGCCCTCATGGGCATTGTGTCAGAGTGGGAGTCACTGTTTATGCCGGGTAAGTATTGGGCCGGTCTTTGGTCCACGACCTTGGCCAAGGACCTCATCTGGAAAGTTAATAGAAGATCCTCTCCCCGGTCAGCCTACGAGTCGTACGTTGCACCGTCATGGTCCTGGGCGTCTCGTGCCCATCCCGTCTATTATCAGAGCTTGGGAGAGATAAATACTTTTGAAGGCGAGCATTCATTTGAGGTCGTCTCGTGTGAGGTGATTCCCGTTCACAAGGACCTGCCAAACGGCGCGATCAAATCGGCACAGTTGACTGTGAAGTGTATCGCGGAGTTGGTTGACATTGAGGGCATCGATTCAGAAAATGTTTTCTGTAGAGCGTCAAGTGGGGAAGTGGACCTTGCAATTGACGACAGTCCTAGGCCGCAGCATCTCACAAAAGCCTGGCTTCTATACATTAACGATGCGGAGCCGTATAATAACTCGCATGGAATTGGGATAGCAGTTGTTGAAGCCGACATCACTGATGCTGATGGCACTAAGTTATACAAGCGAGTAGGTAGCTTTGTTTGCAGGGGGCCTGGGCTCACAGGCCCACAAAGGACTTTCACACTTATGTAAATGCAAGATAGTGTCTAGATCATGGATCAAAAGTATAGCCTAGGGAAATGTTGGTTTGGGCTCATCCAGACTCGGGACGAAAGTAGCGCTCCCAGGCCCCAGTGCAGCATCAAGGTGCATATCATCAAGCACTCTAAGCGGGTCCAGTATGGTAAATCAGTCATCTGCTCACAGAGAAAATACTCCCGCGGCCGGATATCCTATGGAGTTGCTCGGAGACCGCCCCGGAGATCCAGGCATCACTCATGCAGAACACTGCTGTTTCATCATAGTTGCCGAACAACATATTAATCCCGAGGATCAGAATGGGAGGGTGTTGATAGAGTACAAACAGGAAACTCTAGCGCATTGCCAGATGGTTAACAGAGACAGGTGACGCCATTTACAATAGCGCGCTCCCAGGGGAAGTTGCCTCCGGTGGCTAGTTTGTGGATCGTTGAAATGCCGGCCTTTCAGTACTGATTCTTCTATGTAGGGATCCCTGGCATATCAAAATCTTTCACACATACGATTGAGAACCATATTCTTGGCTATGGGGTTTCGGCAGTATCCGGAAAAGGCCAATTATTGCCCACCTATTCCCGAATACTTATTGATCTAGGCAGCTTGCCCTAGCAACACCGTTCTAAACACCAGTTCAGAGTATCATTTTCATCAATTTGGGCTCCCCACACCTCGGCCTCAATATGCTTGAGAGACAAAAAAGGGGGAAATGCGTCACTCGCTTACAGACCACTTTACTTTCGCACTAGGGGAGTTCGGGAAGGTCGAGTTTCGGCTGTGCTCATTCTCCGGGGAATTTCAGACAACAGAAGTCCTTTATCAGGCTCGAAATCCAATTATGGAGCTTATTATATGACTGATAGGTCAAGTTTACATAAGTACAGATAGCAAAGCCGTTGGAAATAAACACCGATAAGTTAAATGCGGCAAAGCTGCACGTAGTGTTTCCAAATCCCGAGTCAATAGGGTAAATCCCGATCGAATCAGCGTTTCGGCAAACCGTGCGAAGATAAGGGCCTGCATCCATAAAAAGCGTCGCTCTAGTCTATATCATCTGCCTACCAGATCATTATTCTACCCCGCGCATTTTGTCATTTTACCTACAACAATCATGAAGACTCATCGTATATCAGACCTTTCCATTGGGATCATTTCCCTTTTCTCCGGGGCGGCTAACAGCCTTGCCCCTCGTTGGCCGAGTATTGATTACAACAACTTGACTGTCGCTTTAGTTCGAGCACCTCCCGTCAATTGGCCCCTGCCCTTGATGAACAAGGATTGGACTGATGTTGAATTCGACTTGGACGGCTCCGTCGAGAAAGGCGTCGGTTTGATCAAGCAGGCCGCTGACAATGGTGCCAATCTTATTGTTTTTCCTGAGCTATGGTTTCCTGGGTAAGTACCTCCCTTCGAATGATGATAAAGGGGATATATATTGATGTGCATGATGCAAATCCTAGTTACCCTAAAGGAATTGCAGATAATGTCTCAATCGCAAACCACCTCAAAAACTACTACGATAACTCTCTAGTTGAAGGAAGTTCACAGTGGAATAAGCTTCTTTCAGCTGCGAAAGAGAATCATATTTACGTTGTTCCCGCGTTCTCTCACCGTCAGGGTGATTACATCTACATGGCACAGGCGTTGATTTCTCCTGCTGGTGAGACAATTTTACTTCGTCATAAGCTTAGGCCATCTGGCGGGGAGCGAGAGATCTGGTCTGACGGCACCATTGAGGAACTGAAGGTGGTCGCAACCCCTTACGGTCGTTGGGGGTTGCTAGAATGCTGGGAGCATTTCCATCCTGCCATGACATATAATGTTCAGTCGCAAGTTGAGAATTTGCATATCGCCTCATTCCCATGTTAGTTTTCAACCCGATTTAAAAATTACCCGGGACTAATTATGGTTAGACATGCCGGACAGTGGGAACTCTGAAGCAGCATATTGGGAGTCTCTTGATGTCAACGTGGCAGCTACCCGAACTTACGCTGTCAACTCACAAGCTCCAGTAGCTATGGCTGCGGTGGGAAACGTGCGTTTCATTGATGGGTTTGGTATTGACTTAGAGGTAATAGAAGCCTCTGCGTCGTTTGATAAAGTCCCATTGGCGTACACATCTTTTAATACTACGGGACTCGGAAGTACCGTTCCGTATGACACTGATGGAGAGCAGTCGTGGGGAATCCTGCAGCAGATCAATGCTGGTTTCCCCAGCTACATTCCCCAAGTGATTGGAAGCTATGTACAGCATCATATAGTGTCTATCTCCGCTCTTCTTGCGAGTTCCAAGCAATAAGCGCAAATTCATTAAGATAGATGAATCATCTCTAATGAGATTTTCACGAATTGATTGATTTCCCCTGCTTCTTTTGGCAACTAATTTCGATCAAATTATCACATAGATCGATATTCCTACAAGTAGCCTTGTAAATACAGAATTGCATGACGCAATTATTTATCCCTAGAGTAATCGTTTGGTCTCTTCCGGCTGTGCCCATCCTTAATGTTTCTGAAGCATTTGAATATAAGGGTTTTCATTTTCCACGCTCAAAGTGACAAAGGACGTCGCACAATATATAATCGCAATTAAGTCGTCACTCAGTGAAAAGCGCTCAAAGCATGCGCATGCATTGTTAGTATATTCTTATCACATGACGGATTAGACGCCAAAATTTATCTTATTAAATATAAAATTTCAAACAGCAATGGAGGTGGAAGTTAAGAACTCGGATGACCTTTGCGAGGCGTGTGTATTCGGCTTCCATCGATATAGGTGAGAACGTGACCCCAGAGATGTTGTCACCCTTCCATAAGAGGAGAAATGTTAATAGATATGAGAAGGAACTTGCAGATGCCTTGCTATGAGAACAAAGTAAAGGAGGTTCCTTCGACTTGTACTTGAACCTAGGTCGAGGACATCGGCGTAATCTTGAATGGCCGATATTCGGAGTGTCAGAACAGAGTCCTGGAATACTTGGCTCTAAGCACCGAGCCAGAATGCGATGTTACTAGTCGACCGGGATTTGCTCATCCCTTAAATTGATACCGGGCTATGCCCCCCGTAACTGTTTTGCCGTACACGGCGACGTTGAATTTGGTATACCGCCCGAAAACTTCTTATCCCAACGGCTTGTCCCAGAAAGAAACTAGCCCATTCCATGGCATCAGGTGCACCAAATCCGTGGACCTTTGTAGATACGCCGAACCCGATTCACCGTTGTATAAGCCTATTGATTCATCACTATTAAGGGAACTGTTATATAACTTTGTCCCCTTTGCCATTCCTTACTCAATTGGCGAACACTATACCACCTGGCGTAACAGCCTGGATCCCTACCCCATGGGAAGGTCAGTAAGGTATAGTAACTACTCTCTTGGTAGCTTACCCCTTCCCCTGTCTCCAGTTGTTACGAGCGCGGTTGGGCATGCTGTCAGGTGTATCATCGATTTCGCCTGCAGCTATCGGCGCAGGTTTCTGAGTGCAAGCGAACCTATGACGCGTAAATGGCAATTGAGCGATGTGGGTTCGAATGCCATAGATCCATTAGTGTGAGCAAAGACCGGCGGAAAAGGTGTTGCTCCAGGCTTGACCCACCAGACAAGCTCCGAGAGGACTTTGGGAAAAGTGAGCTAGCCGCCTGTGACTGAAGAATACGAAGAGCGACTCTGGATTCTAGGTTCACCTCAAAATAAGTCGGCTGACTACCGCTCACATTCGAGCCGGCCACGCGGGCAGGTCGACCGCCCTGTATTCTCGTATGAAAGGTGTCTTTATTGGTTCAATATATCCCTCAAACTACTTCAGTGGGACACTAGTTGATTTATAACTAGTATAAAGTTAATATATTTTATTATCAGAGTATTCTACCACCTTACTGACGGTTATTCAAATTGGTATTATCTTAAACTACTTTAATGATATAAGTGTTTTATGTTATCTCTAAATTTGGGTTACCTAAAAATATGAAAACTTTATCAGCATCTTATCTTATATCCTTACAGTCTATATAAGGTATTGCAAAATTACAATCTTATTGAGATATGCTTTTTCTGAATATGCCGACCCCGCCCGTGTGTCTGACTTGATTGTGAATTACACTAACTGGTTGATTTAGTTACTCAAGGTAACAAACTGACCAATGTTACTCATTGGATAGTCTCGTGGCGCAAGAAAGAGAATTGGCACCTGTCGTTATCGGTTCGGGCGAATTTACCTCAAGCGAATATGCCGGTTGGTGGTGACATGGCCACACAGCCAGATGGGATGTATTCACGGATTCCTTGTTGAGGACTGCGCCACTGATCACTGGTTCATGCGTTCCTCCAAACAACTGTTTCACTGTGCGAGATTTACGGATCCGCGCAGTATCTATATCTTCACTGCCAGTTTGGATACAATAATGTAAATACCCCGCAACAGACGAATGTCCAGAACGTATGTGACCTTGTATCCAACAAGCCAGACTGTGTTGGTGCTTGTGTTGATAGTGTACAGCAGATAATTGCCGGGAGCAATAACAATAAAAGCTTGTTCATCCCCAGTTCCAGCAGACAATTCTCCAGCAGACAATTCTCCAGGTGAAGTTGGAGCCATTGGTTGATTGCATGACCCCAGGGACCGTACGAAGGCCAGCGCGAAGGAATTAGATCTGATTTACACTGGGCAATTATAAACACTGACCTGAATAATATCAAACGTAATTTAGATTCTAATTATATTACTACTAGTAGGTTATCATTTCAAAAGATCTGTGAAATTATAAGTAATTTATAGTTACCAATTTATCTGCCATATTTAATTTTCTTGGATTACAATGAAAAATAGTTGAAAATTATTGAAATAATTTCTATATTTTCAATCCAATCCCAACTGTACAGATAAAAGAATTTTCTTATCTTAAACTGACTACCAGTTAACAATCAGGTTATAGTTAAGGTACAAGGTCAGGTATAGTCACTCTATTTATACCCAATGGCTGCTATTAACAGCTGTAGAAAGCCGGGCACTAAGATAATGATTGGTCTGATGGCAGCACACACATGATCTTGTGATGGTCCAAGCTGGCAGACTAAGGCCTCGCCGAGCTTGAATTTACTGCTATGACATCTTGAATGAGCAATCTATAGATGTGAAAAATCCCCTATTTTTTTACCACCCTTAACCAATTCTTGGCGGGATGGATGATAGGCGTCCTTGACGGGAAAGCCAAGATAGCATTGGAAGAGACACCATGCCCCTCCCAACATTCCAGCTTATGTGACCCAATTAGATGGTCACCGCAGCCCTCGAACCAATTACGCGATATCTTAGGTCACCAAGAGAAGTGGGCGCTTACCACACGCACCACCCACCTCCAAAGCCCTATCCAACGCTGTAGGTGCACTAAAATGTGCTACTCCACTTCGACGGCGCTTAGCACTGACCTGCCACGATGGACGCTGTTAGACGCCGGGTGGGATGGCATATCAAAATGTCCCTTCTTGTTTAGCTCAGCCTTGCTCTTGAAGACCGAACAGTGTGTATATAAACAAATATAGCCTTGCAGACTTCATGCGAGACACCTACTGCGACTTGAGCTCACCTGGGAAGTTCGTCGTTTGCTGCCCTCCATATTTGCTGCAACAACCCTGCAGCACATAATATTGGTGAGCTGGGGTCCCCAATTACATATCGCAAAACTGCTAGATCAGTCAATATGAACGACATCGATAGTCCAGTTGTAGACTTCAGCAGAGAGGATCCCGTCGATCCGAGTGTGCTGGCAGGTAAGCCGTGATGCCTCCATGCGAAAGGCTACCACTGACAAATAGTGCCCAGAACTACCCAAGGGCAGCCGTGTCATATCCACCGAGGAGCATGGCATAAGCTTCTGGGGCACTACTGGCCGGATCAACGTTGAATTGGCTGATGGAACACCCGTTTCATTCTTCATCAAGGCCGTGACGAAGGAAAGGGGCAAGAACATGGTTTACGGGGAGTATGAGTCTATGAAAGCCATATACAACGTTGCTCCGAACTTTGCCCCAAAGCCGATCGCGTGGGGGTCCTACCAGGGATTGCCCAGATACACACTTCTTCCTCTGCGGATATCGTGATATGGCTGCTGACATGCCTGACCCGGATAAATCCGCTGCTCGGTTGGCTGCTCTTCATAACAACAGCGCATCTCCGACGGGGAAATTTGGCTTCCATGTGGTCACCCACAATGGCAATTTGCCACAAATGACTGACTGGGAGGATAGTTGGGAGATATTCTTTGCTAAGAGCATGAGGCACGCTCTTGATCTTGAGACTGCAGTCAAAGGCTGGGACCCAGAATTGGATTTCTTAGTTCCAGCGTTGTTTGAAAGGGTCATACCGCGCCTACTCCGGCCACTTGAGAGCGAAGGATGGTCAGTGAAGCCTTCGCTGATCCATGGTGACCTGTGGTACGCCAATTCGGGCATCGACACGGAGACAGGAGAGTCGCTTGTGTTTGATGCATGCTGCTTCTACGCCTACAATGAATGTGAGTTAGCAGGTTTCTATGGTGAAGGCACTGAAGCTGACCGACGGGACACCAATGAAGACGAATTTGGGCAATGGCGGCCGATCTGTAACCGATTCGGTGACGAATACCTGGAGGCCTATCGTTCCTATGCTCAGATTTTGCCACCGGAGGAGGATTACGACGGGCGTTTGGATCTTTACAAATTCTGAGAGTCTGACTGAGTGACGAGATGATACAGAAAACACTGACAAGTAGTAGACGGTTCAATACCCACGTATCTGCCCTGTTTGCGGATAATGCATCACTAAGAGAGCAGTATGAATTCCATCCTGTGTCTTCGTGCCCAGCATCTAACTGAACATTATTTTAGGATACTCAACGATATCCGAGATTTGGTGGCCAGGTACGGGTCTGGAGTAGAATATGAGGCTTCAGAAGCGTCTGAAGGGCGATCTCAGTGAGGTGCCTTAAACGGTTCTGAGAAAGAATAGCTGCCATGATAAGAGTGGCAATAATGCGACCTTGAAGCATTTACGGATATGCGCATTCCTTGAATTACCTTGCACTGAACATTCCCAGGAGGGGCCGGGGTTGGGAGGCTTTGCACAATCTAGCGTAGTTCCAATCCGGACCGGCCACCCATTTCGTACCATACAATAGGCTTGTTCTCAGGTCAATAAACCTTGGCTTCTGAATTAGCCATCAATCATAATTTAATGAGCGGATTTATGAGATATCGATATACACATCTAAGAATTTTTTCAGAATTTCCTAATTATTATCAATACTGTTATGATAGCTTGAAAACTAGTATTCTTATTTTATTATACTCAGCGCCCTTGAGAAATCTATAAGAATATTTATAATACTAATTATAACTTATTTAGCTTTCACAAATACTACTAGTAAAGAAGTTTCAGTCACAAAAAGATGTCTGTTAAATAGTATTACATGAGTGGCCGGTCCGGATGGGAACCAACATTGGAGGATAAATTAACCTTAGAAACTTATCGGTTTCTAGAAACTTGACATCTCAGTGTGCAGAGAGATATACTTGTACGTGAATATATATTGGTATAAGTAAAAAACAAAGATAATAAACGGTTGTACATTGAAGATAGTTAAGAGAGTAGTCAGAAAATGTACATTAATATACTATTTATCTGTGAAGGAAAAAAGTTCTCTGCTGATAGTTGATTGGGAAGATAGCTTAACCCCAAAATTTTGAGCCAAAGGTCTCCTCAAGCTAGAACAGGCAAAATCAAATATATTAGATAATAGTAGTAATGTAACCCAGCTTTCCTAGGAGTTATTAGCGGTTCTGACCAGGCCCTGGAAATATTCGTCACCTGGCGACCGGGAGGGGCGGGAGTCTGTGCACAATCCATAAGTACTGCCAGTCTATAGCCTCAATGTATAATCCACTTGCGATCAATCTCTCAAACTGCCCTCGACTCTCATCTAGTCATTCCACCTCTGTCTTCTGAGCTTCTGATCAATCCTTCAACCATTCAAGCCTCCGTTGAATCAGTCTTCTCCTCTTCCTCTTGTTTCTTAGCCAATTGTCGTCTTCTCTGGTCTTTGAGGAGGAAGACAAGAGCGAGAACAGTGCCGAAGGCTGTCAGCCCGACGGAAAACCAGAGCGTACCCCTGTAACCATGAAGCAACTCTGCCTTCGTGTGTCCGCCATCATTTATCTGAAGCTCAATGGTACCCGCGAAACCAAGACCTAGCGAGATACTGTAGACAACGATGGTCATGATCACACTGGATCCCATACCCTGGTACTGACGAGGCACTGCGTTCGAGAAGATGATCGTGGCAGCAGGCAACGATGAATCCATTGCGAAGGTGGCGATGATGGTGGCGAAAAAGAAGTAGGTCCAGTAAATCGAGTGTACGGGTCGCAAGGCCATGAGAAGGGAAGTGAGGAAGTAGCAAAGCATTGCAAACAACATGATGAACGGGGCTGGAACCTTGGTGATTATTTTGCCAACAATTAATGCTGTTGATATGCCGGTGACGAGGATAGGAGATAACCATGCAGCCAGTTGAATAGGAGTTTGGCCACCGATGTTAAGGCATATTCGGATGACGTAGAAAAGCTAGATATGTATGTCGTTAGGTTGAAATATGATCGGGGCAAGGGTCAGTACTTACCCAGATACCAAACGTGGACCAGCCCGCTGCTGTACAACCAAAGACGAAGGCGATGTCGGAAGTGAGAACGGCGACCGGTAGGATTGGATAGCGAGCTAGGCGGATCTCGATGTAAAGGAATGCCGCCAGAAATACAAAACTTAAGATCAGGCACACGTACACGTAAGGTTCGTCCCACGTAGTAACCAGGCTCTGATTCCAGGCGAAGTTGAACAGGACCAGAGCTGTCACACCGCTGGCACCTCCCGGGATATCAAGGCGGTCCAAGGTTTCGCGAATCGTTCGTCGCTGTTTATGCTCATCCTCAATAGGCATGTTTGGAATTGCAAACATAGCGAGGACGAAGAGAAAGGCAACTCCAAAAGCCTGACTCCAGTAGATCCATGGCCACCACGCCATGGCGAAGAGGGCCCCAAAGAGGAGACCCGCCATTGCACCGACTGGGGCTGATGCAGCAAACCATGCGAACCCCATGTTTCGAGGACCCTGGGAGAAGGATTTGCCGAAGATGGCGAGTGCATTAGGCACAGTCAAGGCGGGACCAAGGCCTTGCAAGACACGAGCAAGGACGAAGACGGGCCAGCTGGAATAGACAGAGACTCCTGCCATCATGCTAGTTAAAGCAAGCCAGCCCATACCGATGATGAAGATTGCCTTGTTGCCAAACTCGTCCCCCAATCGTCCTCCGATCAAGACGAATGTGCCTAGAGTCAAGCCATAGCCAGATACTGTCCACGACAGTTGACCAGGCGCGGTGACACCGAATGAGTCTCCGATTATCTCGAGCGTCGAGAGGCTGTTGCATAGGCCCAACTGATTGGTAAACATGGATGAGCACACCGTCATAATGAAGATGATGCGCCGAATCAAGTTGTAGCCATCCGCAACGTAGACGTATTCATCTTGCGCAGCCGGTTCAGAAACCACACCTGAGTCTGTCTGAGTTAGTTCAACGTGTTCAAATGCGTCTAGCTTTTGGAAGATATCTTCAAGGCCTACTTACCATTACCATTCCTCGATGGATTCTCGGAATGATGTGACGCAGTTTCCTGCGCTCCTGGAGACGAGGTACTCATTGTGAATAGAGTTGACTGTTATTTGACGGTAGTGATGGGCGAAGAGGTTTGCAGCGAAGTGAAGAAGTACATTATTGAAATGCGAAGAGAGTGACCTAAAGAGGTCAATGTTAACCTACTCCGTCCAAAAACACAATGCAGTTTCATTTGATGCTGTTCAGACGTCGATTTGTCAGTTCATACTCGGAGTAATAACACGGTCTATAGTTCCAGGGCAAAAGTCTCCGGGTAAGTCTCCGTTGCTCCGCTGCCCGACTGCCTTACATAAACCACCACAAACAGGTCGCCTCGGGGACATTCCGAGCGACCGCAACTTCAACAGTTCGAGGCGCCTTATCAGCCCATATCAATGGTAAGATAGCTTTCCGCCAATGGTGTCAACATATAACTACCTAACAGCCTAGGATCTCGATAATGATGAAACACAACTTTCTGGTCGTCATTTCCGATGATATCGGCCCGCAAGAATAGCGTTGGTCATGCACCTTGCCAGTATCAATGGGTGACTAAACGCTGGCCGTTGCCTATCCTTGGTGGCAAATAGATCCCAGGGATCTTCAAGAAGATGCCTTCTAGGGGTGATACGGGAAGCAAAGTAACGGTACAATAAGCACTCATCCGATTACTTATCTCATCTTCAATTTAATCTGGACGTAGAGCGACTAATGCTCGCTTATCAGGAAGGGGACATTAGGATTCTGAAACGGTTTGAACACAACATCCTCGATAGGCGTCAAGGTCTATGTCAGAATCTCGGGGCTCATCCGGATGGGGATTTCCTTGCAGTGCACCGGGGTCAGAAATAATATATGTGTAAAAATTTGAAGCCCTAGAGCCGTTTATCGGGTCACGTCAACCAAAAGTGACTTCAGCAAAGTTAACCTAAGGCTGGTGGATATTGGAGATTCCCAATGCAATCTTTGAAAATGTGCTGCTCTAATCCCGCATTCGACAGGCGATGATTGCAATAAGTAATCGTAATGATCAGTCGCTCCGACCATAACAACAAAGTCTAGGCTAAGATGACCGCAATAGCTGTGTATGAACCTGGAGGAGCAGTAATCTGCAGCGACGATAAAGCAACCTACCACAAGTGTTCGGTTTTCGTCTTTGCCGTGTGGGCGCATAAAGACGGTATCATGAATGTGAATGTGGCAAATGTGATATAGACATAAGCCCTCGAAAAGTGTCCCAGCGACGGTTGGATAGCAAGCCAAAAATTGTTCCAGTCTCGTTTGGACTGCCGAGTAGTTATCATTCGGATATTATGTAGCGTTACAGCTGATAAAATGAAATTGCCCACTCGAGAGTTTGGCCACCTGAGGGAGTTGAATGGCCTTGACTAAAAAGTGCGGAAACCAGCTAGACCAGAGATCCGCAAATGGGTGCAATGCCGCCGATCGCAACTCTAGGTGTATGTATGGACAACGTTTCATTCATGCATCCATCTACTTGGGATATTGGTCAGAGATGGCTGCATTTAATCTCATCTTCATGGACCACCCGCAGATAAAGAGGGCGCTTTTTTGCAATTCATAAACAGAGGAGCGTCTGCTCATCGGGCTCTCAGCTCTGGACGGGCTACCACGCACTCGCAATTTGTGCCCCCTTGATTGATCGCGACTGGAGATGAAGCGACCAGAAAAGAATTCCTGATGATGGTCACAATTCAGTCAAGGCTCTGGACGAGGACTGATGTGTAGTTTTGGTCAAAAAGCCTAGCAGAAAATGGGTTACCTTGAGATATATCGGGTTCCTGAGCCCCAGTATTTCTGTCTGCCGGGTACCCGCTCGTGAATAAGCTCTGTTGCTCTCGACATACCGGAGGATAGCACGCTCAATGTACGGCATGTATTCGTGCTGTATAAACAAATGGGCTTCTGCGATTAAACCTTGGTCATGGGGTGCACCAAGAGGATGTCCTTATGGCCCCTACCTATGACGTTGCAATTGTCCCGGGAGCAAGTAGTAAGGTAAGAAAGATTGTTAGTTGTCGAGTGTCAACAGACAGGGTGGAAATGTTCCGTGTTATTGATTTTGACAGGCCAGCGCACTGACAGCATGAAGAGTCACCGTGCGTCACGGGAAGTCTGCACCTCGGCAAATGTTGAAGGGCTGCCACTCGTATCCAAGGGACCAGAGAGTCGGTCCGCGTCATGGAGAAGCTTGAATGCGGGGAAGTTCACATGAGGGTCAGTGTAACCCTAGTGAAGAGCAAAACTCAATTTGTTCTCATCTTCAACCCCCCCCTTCAAGACCCTGCAGTTGATGATTTCAACTAACTATTATTCAGACTGCTTACATAGGTCTATCTTGCAGGAAGGGAGCGGTGACACGCAGCCAAGACCCTTAATCTGAGCTATCTCGAGCCAGTGACAGGGGTGCTGATAGCTGGCATCGCAGCCGATATCGCGATCGCTATCTCTCCGGCTGATAAGAGCAACCGCGATGCAACCTTGCCGCATCCGTCGTCGCATCGCCAGATCTGCGGAGAAGCCGTGGGGGGTCCCAGTTATCCTCCTCACGGCCGGCTGATAAGCCTGTTCCTGTCCATTCTCGTTTATGCATAAAGCAGACCGTCTTTCTCCCTTCCCTCCTTGCGTCGTCACCTCTTGAAAACACCCCTCCCTCCACCCTCCCCTTCCTATCCTCCTAGCTCTAACATACATCTGCCGTCGGGAGGAACCATGATCGCCCAAGCCTCGGATCCGCCCCCGAAAGCCCCAAAGTCGGTTACACGCGACTCGATCACCGACGATGCTTCCCACATCAACCGCTACGGCTCTGTCCCGGGGGTCGTCGAGGATGTCGTCCAGGTCATTGACCACAAGGCCGAACGGGCTCTCTGTCGTCGCTTCGACTTTCGTATACTTCCGGTGCTCGCGTTAATGTGTGCGTGTTGTCCATCACCATCCATCTCACCACCTGCTAATGGTTATAGATCTCTTCAATGCCCTGGACAAAGGCAACCTCAGTAATGCTGAAACTGCCGGCATGAGCGACGGTAACCTATCCCTCTCTCTCTGTGTATCGTCCATTGCTAACATCACCAGATCTCAATTTCAAACCCGGGCAATACAACCTTCTCCTCTCCATCTTTTACGTCCCATATGTCATCTTCGCGCCTCCCTTCGCTATGCTCGGCAAACGTTGGAGTCCCGCCCGCGTACTCCCCGTCCTCATGTTCTCCTTTGGTTCCTTCACACTGCTGTCGTCCGCGACCAAGAACTTCGGTGGCATGTTCGCTCTGCGCTGGTTCCTCGGCATGTCCGAAGCGGCCTTCTTCCCACTAGTGATCTACTACCTCACAACCTTCTACCGGCGTGCCGAGCTCGCCCGTCGGCTTGCCATCTTCTACGCAGCCAGCAACATTGCCAATGCCTTCTCCGGCCTACTCGCCTTTGGTGTCTTCCAAATCAAAGACTCCTCGCTCCCGGACTGGCGGTACCTCTTCATCCTTGAAGGTGGTGTCACCGTCCTCTTCTCCTGCTTCGCGTTCTGGTACCTCCCGCGGTCCGCTTCGACAGCGTCCTTCCTCAGCGAAGACGAGAAGCTCCTCGCCCACCACCGCATCCAAGTCGACAGTTCCGCCATCGTCGACGAGCCGTTCCGCCTCCGCTCCGCTCTCGGTATCTTTTCCCACCCCTCCACATATGCCTTCCTCGCCATCGAAATCTGTCTCGGTGTGCCCCTGCAAGGCGTCTCCCTCTTCATGCCCCAGATCATCCAACGTCTGGGCTTCTCCACCGTCAAAACAAACCTCTACACAGTGGCCCCTAACGTTACCGGAGCAGCCATGCTCATTATTCTCGCCTTCGCATCCGACGCCGTCCGCCTTCGTGCCCCATTCATCGTCCTAGGCTTCCTCCTCACCTTCACGGGCTTCATGATCTATGCCGCTATCAATGACGTCGATCGCCAGATCCACTTAGCGTACTTTGCCACCTTCATGATGACCTGGGGGACCTCCGCACCGTCCGTGCTGCTCTCCACCTGGTACAACAACAACATTGCAGACGAGAACAAGCGTGTACTGCTGACGAGTATCGGCGTGCCGTTGGCGAACTTGATGGGCTTGGTGTCGAGCAATGTCTTCCGGGAGAAGGATAAGCCAAAGTATCTGCCTGCCCTCGTAACGGTGGGTGCATTCGGAGGTACGGGTGCTATTCTGGCCTCGCTATTGGGCGTCTATATGCTTTTGGATAATCGAAGGAGAGATCGTAAAGAGGGGGTCAGGATGCGCGCACAGGATGTCCCGACTGAAAGGTTGCGCGATGGGCCGGGGGCTGTTGGGTTCCGGTGGTTCTTATGATATGTTTATATGAGATTATGAGCAATGAAACCCGTAATTGGGTCTTTCTTACAAGTGATCTTACAGGCCAGTAGTCGGGGTATTGTAGATCATCGCTTGAAGGAGCCATTAACTGCCGACAATCCTGGCGGCGCTGAAGGAATGAAAAACATAGTATAGGCACAAGCCTTATTGGCTGCATTAGATGGTGCCGACGGGCACGTGATGGCCACATCCGGACAAAAACTCATGCACGACCAATTCTGGATCTGCTATTATGGTTGCATCCTGCTTGTACAAGATCCATTTAATTCTTCCTCTCTTGACTGTCCTTTACAGAAACCACCCGCAGCTCTTCTACACAGAGACCGCGCTGGACTAGAGCAATGCCGACTACCGTAGACCGAAATACCTGGGACTTTGATCTGCTGCAGTTTGAGCATCCTGGGGTACAACTCTCACAGACCCAATATGCTGTACTGAAAATTGCTCAATCAGCTACTGCATTTAAAGTCAATAACGCTTGCCCTGGAATTCATTAGAAGCGCGACGATCAAGCCGTACAATCCTACCATACCAACTATGTTAGCATTCACTCCGTTTGTCGGACAGATAGACGTTAAAGAGACATACCCAAGACCTCAGCAAAGATTAAAATAAGGATCATTCCCACATAAAGTCTTGACTGCTGCGCGGTTCCTCTCACCCCTGCATCGCCGACAATCCCAATCGCGAACCTGACATCAATCAGCCAGTTGCCAACCGCTAATTCCGACAGACAGTAAGATAAGCTTCACCTACCCAGCAGCCAGCCCGCAAAGCCCAACCGCCAGACCGGCGCCCAGCTGAAGCAGACTCGTATATAGAGTCATCTCCTGCGCGAGGTTGTTGGCAATCAGCACCGAAACCACTAGGCCGTAGATGCCTAGGATGCCGGCCATAACAATGGGCACAATGTCTTTAACTTGTCAGCTCGTAGAACGCTAGCCGCAGGGTCCTACTATGGATATGGAATAGTACTTCTGACGATCAAGTCCGGCCGCAAGACACCGGATGAACAAACGCCCACCCCGGCCTTTGCAGTCCCGTAGGCTGCCCCAAAGCTCGTGAATACAATGGCGCTCGTACATCCCAGGACTCCGAAGAAGGGCTTGACAGGTTAACGTCCATCTTTGTCTGCTTCAGCTACAACTAGGAAGTACTCACTCCATAGCTCGGACTGAAGATTAGCGGCGTTAGCCACTGTCGTATTTCCTAGACACACGAGACATATTTTGGGGTGCTGACCAGAATTCGGATACCATCGCGTCTTCTCTTTGTTTCTTTCTCTGTCCTTGACACTAAGCTGGCGTAGATGGAGGGATAGTCTGAGGCTAGGAAAAAATTGACCACAGGAGATTAGGCAGCTTTATACCCCTCACCAACTCAAGACGGACTTGTGTCCGAAGACCCTTTGCCTAGACCGATTGGATATGCTCCGTTATTATCTATGGTTGGTTCATCGGCCGATGGAGCGAATTCCCTGTTCCTCAATAGGCAGCACCCATTGGGCGTCTACGGCTCCCGACAGAATCTTTAGCCATCTATACAAGAAACTCCGATATTGGCAACCCTCCAGGGGAAGCAAATAGACTACTGGTTTGATTTTATCTCGACATACTAAAATGCTTTATTCCTGGATACTGGGAAATTACTTTATTGTTAACCCCTTCACATACAAAATGGCTTGTGTTGATAAATGTTGGCTTATGTAGCGAAATATATATTGAAGTGATAAATCAAATATATTTATTATATATCCCCTTCCATCTTTCCTCACATAGATATACAATACCTCCTTGGATAGAAAGGTTAAATAAATCAAGTCTATGTGACGTCTAGCCAACCGGTCAATCTTCGGCTATTTTCTACATATCTCAGCATAGAGAGTATGCCGCAATAAGCAATAGAAAATATTTGGCTAAACTAGCGCTTATAGAATTGCTTCACCGTAGCTGAGGCGACTCGCTTTTCCTTCTTATCTTAATATTATCCTGGGCTGTTGTATGTTACAACGATGAGGTGGCAGGCAACCACAATTCTCATCGAGCGGATAATCCCGCTCGAGGTGGGGATTGTCTCACTTGTGCTGACCAGTGACCACTTAGAAAAGCAGACCCTTTCGTACATTGCAGCCTAGGTCGTTTTCTGGCCTCGACTCATCAAGTGATGCCTCCCCGCTAGGGCTGAGACGGTTCGTGCACCCGGTCAGTGCTTTTCTTCCTGGAATATGGTATACGGATAAGCTTCTTGGCATAGACGGGATGTAAGTACTGGAAGGTCAACAAATAGGGCTCCGAAGCAGCGTTCGTGCAATCTTGAAGCCATGAAGCTTGTTCAAAACTCTACAGCTCAGAACTTCCACCTACTTACCCCGGCAGTTCAAGCACACTGACTGGCCTGAAATTCTTGGGGCAGAGCCAGAAGTGGGCCCACTTATGCGTCTTTCATCTGCCCAAAGAAGACAAATTTTCCAGGTGTTGTTTGAGAAGGACAGGCTTAGGCGTGCACAAGCGTAAACCCAAGAGCTAAGCAACTACCGAGCGCTATGCTGACCATAGTGCTGGTGTATCCTAGATGAAGATGCGGCTGCGCTGGTCTTTCTATTGTTTGGTCATTGTTGTCTGATCCCATAATCCTGGCCTTAAATTTTCTCAACTTCTCCATAAATTACCCTCTGAGTGCTCTGTAACGGAAGCCCTTTAGACAATAACAAGTCCCGCTCTATGTCACTGAATACGTATTTTATATCCCACAAACAGTCTGAAACGGCATGCTTCATAATGAGTCTGCGGACGTGTTGTGCCCTTCTAGGATACTGCTAAACTTCCAAGCCTATCACTCCTGATTCACTCAAACCCAGTTCCCGCCGCCTTAATTGCCTGCTCATCCCAAGAGCATCCAGGTTCTTTATTATCTTGTTACACTAGATTATCAAATAAGGGGGCTACCAATACCCGGTGCAGGATGATGTGGTCCCCTAGAGGCTTATAACGCAGGAAAGACTAATTGAAGCTGACTATTATTAGAAGTGTGTTCAATAATTAGTTATCTACTTTCTTGTGACTGGATTGCTGACCATAGATTAGATGAGCGAGTTCAAACGTTTTAGTAAACTATAACCGCGGCAATTAAGCGTCACCGTGCATTAACCAGTTAGTTATCTACTTATCAATGACTCACATCAAATGTCATCCTTTTACCCCGCAGTTCATAATTATATACTGACTAAATCAAGTGAGTCATTTACCACGCTCCGCTTGATTTCTCTGACCCTGCCTTTCCCTATACCTGCACTTGTCGAAGATGAATAACAGTGGTGTGGGTTTATCTGACCCAACATTCCGATACTACACTACTGGTCAAGCAACCCGGTATGCTGAAAATCGTCTGGGTTATCCAGCTGAGCTATATGATTTGGTTCTCCGCTATCATGCAGAGTCTAATGGTAATTTCAAAACTCTCCTGGATGTTGGATGCGGCCCAGGAAATGCAACCCGTGACTTGGCTCCCCATTTTGAATGCGCGGTGGGGATTGATCCTGGGCTCGAGATGATCCAAACTGCGCAACGTCTAGGCGGTGTTACCAAATCAAATAGCCCCATCGAGTTCCAGGTCGCGACTGCGGAGGATTGTGCTAGAATAGAGAATGTCGAATATGGCGTGGATTTATTGGTTTCGGCAATGGCAGTAAGTCCAACCTGCCCCATCATCCCGCCCGAGGACTGGTGTAGAGAGCTGAAACGACGTCTCTTCTAAACAAAAGGCACATTGGTTTTCGATGGGGGAATTCTGGGAATCTGCTGCAAAGATTGTGAATCCAGGAGGCACTGTAGCTCTCTGGACATGCGCTTCGTTGTACTGCCGTAAGTATTGTTCGACTTCCTTGTGTAGTCCATGCTAACAAGCTCAACTTACAGACCCATCAACACCTCACGCGGCTGAAGTGCAAAACGCACTTTTCCATCTTGAACGAGATATATTGAAACCCTATGAGCTTCCTCCAAATCGGCTCTCAAGCGATCTGTACGATAGTTTGGTACTTCCGTGGCATCTGAATCCTCCTATTACGGCATTCCCAGTGAGTGAATATCGGCGTCTTGAATGGGACCGCGGTGGGATACTATCCGATGGAAAAGACTTTTTCGTTCGTGCAAAAGAAACATCACTCGAAGGATTAGGAACTAGCTTAGGCACTGCAAGTATGGTCACAAGATGGAGAGCAGCTCATCCAGAGGAGGCGGGCACAGATAAGGACTGCGTGAATCTTACTCTCGCTGAGATTAAGAAAGCTTTGGGAGATAACTGGTGTGGAGAACTCAAACTGGGTCATTCAACTGTCATTCTACTCTTTAAAAGGAGGTAGATCTGTCTAGACCTGGTGGAACAGGCTGTCATTTTATAGATCCAAAAGTATTATGGCCTTTGTTATCGGTGCCTAATTATAAATATCTACCTGACCTATTTTGACAGCTAACCTCGCGCAAAAGATGCTTTCAATCAATGCTAACGCACAAATACAAATTATGACGCATATGTTATGCAAATGGGACAGAGTTGCCTATAATGCCTTCGCACCCACAGGGCATGTTCCAGGGATCGCAATTTCGCTGCCGAATGGCCGCGTGGAAAAAGCGACCACACGAAATTGGGAGGATAATCCTGGAACAATTTCAATATCAAGTCCCAGTCGTCGGCGACTACGGTTTTTCTATATCCCACAGACAGTCTGACATTCAATAATTAGTCTCTTTAGGTAATAGGAAAGGAAAGAATAGAAATAAAGAAATAAAGAAATAAATTTCTTTGGTGATAAAAACCCATGCTAGTACTAAAAACGCCAAATCCCAACCACATATACAATGCAAAATATCCAGCAAAGCAATATATCTCCACTACCTATTTTCGTGGGCAAAACTCCAGATATGGCCCCACCTTCGCAGCCGTCAAATGGTCATAGAGCTGGTACTCATCAAGACGATGCCTGCCATACTCAGCTCCTACTTTTCCCTCACCAGTCTTCCCCAAATCCCCCTCCGGCAGGCGGATATCAAACTCCCAAAGCACCCTCGCCAACACAAGATGAAGCTCCACATAGGCGAGACTCTTGCCAATGCAACTTCGGGGCCCAATAGAAAAAGGATTGAAGGCCGATCGCGCGCGTCCGACATCCCCTTGCACCGAGCGACACTCATCCGCGATCCAGCGCTCGGGCTGGAAGCAGAACGGCTCAGGGTAGTATGCTGGGTTATGGTGAATGCTGTAGATGCAGGTTCCTACATCCACACCTGGGGGAATATACTGTCCGTCCACAGTAGCTCCTGCTTCCTCTGCCTCGCGCCACAGCGATCCCGCCGCCGACGGGGACATACGCATGCTTTCGTCAATGCAGGCACGCAGGAATACGCATTGACTCATTTGCTGACCCATGCGGATTTCCTCGGGGGATGAGAAGACGCTGCGAACTTCATTCACTGCGCGCTCATAGGCCGCCCTGTTGTGCGATAGGTAGAAGAAGCAGGCCGCCATCGCGGTGGAGGAGGTATCAGTCCCCGCGACAATCAGCGTCGCGCTCTCGCCACCTAGTTCTCGGTTTCGTAGTGGAAGACCAGTCTCCGGGTCTTTGGCCTTCGCGAGGAGTGCGAAGACACCCTTGCCTGTCTTGGAGGCGGCTTCGATACCTTGGGTGAGCATCACATCGACAAACCCGATGAACATGTCCCTAGCCTTTATGGCCTCGGGGAAAAGGTATTTGTCCAGTCGGAATATGCTGAGCTCGGGCGACTGGGCCAGTGTCCCGACTCGAACGTTGGACTTCTCAATCACTTCCGGGACAAAGCGGAAGGTGGGGAAGCGCAGGGTTGACCAGGGGCAATCAAAGATGATGTTGCTCATGACGTCGAAGGCGAGGTAGTCGGCTGGAAAAACATGGTTTTGCGTTAGTTTGGTTGACATCGGTGGTATAATAATGTGGAGCACATACTCATTCGGCCCATATTCTTGGGGGTAGACCAGGTGTCTGCCGGCACCGGCTTACCTCCCTCCCCTGCCTTCAGCTGGGTACACAGGTGTTTTATTTGTTCCAGGATGACAACCTCATGGTTTTTGAGTGCGGAATCGGAGAAGCCCTGGCTGATGACTCTCCTCTTCTTGCCATGCTTCTTCTTGTCAATCACGGTTAATGTGTTCGGGGCCCGATGCACCATGGCGGCATAGCGTTGAGCCTTCTTGAAGTTCTTCCCGTGGCTGTATATATCATGCAGTCCGTCGGCGGTATTGACGAGAAGGCTATTCGGTCCATATCGGACATAGTCACCTAATAAGAGAGGAAAACTGACGTCAGTCATCCAGTATACATATGCCATGAATAGCCAAGAGATACTTACCGTATTTCTCGTGGCATCTCCACATATCCAGATGCAGGTCCCCACGCCATGCATGATAACCAGCATACAACTTGGTGGTCTTTGCCAGCCAGGGACCGGGATATTTAGCCAACGGGTGAAAGAAGAGTCGATAAATGCAGAGTCCAGCTACCTGTTAATCGCCAATGTTAGCAAAGGTATCCATAGCATCAGGGGTGTGCTGGAGACAGACGGTGCAGCTCAACACGATGAGACCCAGTAGGAGTCCCTTGAGGGCGAAAGCTGACAAGACTTGAGAGTCGATCATATTGTTCCTGTTCCCTTTTCTCTCAGTGACAATTTTAAGGATTCAGAAGGACTTTGATGAAAAGAAGGAACTACACCGGTCCCCCTCTGCAACTTATGCTGGCGATTGACGACGCCATGGCAAGCAGGAAGGCCTCTAAGATTGAACCGTTGATCCAACACGAGGTCAGGCAATCTAACTTCGCCATCCGCAGTTTCATCCTGGCTGAAACCTCGCTAGTTATTCCACGTGTTGATGCTATCTGGTTGGGACTCGAAACCAGATAGTTGGTGTGGCATAGCCATGTTACGGAGCCCGTGACATATTGAGTGATAATACATAGTGCCCAATCGTAGTAATACTTCAAACAGTATCATTGTTATTTACAAAACACAGCCCTACTGAGCCGTAAATGCGAAGCATAATCGTCAGCCAACTCAGGATTCCTGCTTGCCTTCCCCGTCTCGGAGATGCCACGGCGGACTATGGCGACTTACTGTGCTTACTATGTAAATGCTTACGATGTAAGGCAATCTCCACTTAGCCAACTAACCTATGAACCGCCGCAGAAAGTCATGAGTGATCTGAGCCCCCGGCCTCCAAAACCCATTGGGGATGCCCCACTGATCCACAAAGACGTGGCACAAAGGGGGGTGATCTAATCTAGGATCATATATGCTGACAGCATCAGATCAGGATATGGGAGGGTAAAGCCACATGGAGTGACTACTGCAGATCCTCCGGAAGCGATGGAAATAGAGCAATGAGGGGGTCCGTTCTTCGTGATGACTCCACTCACACCGACAAATGCCAGGTCTTACTACTGCCATTTCTCGAGCTAGATTGGAGGTTGTAATCGCTTAACGTCGGAAAGCCCCCAGTAGAGCAGAATCGAACGGCGAGGATCGACCCGGTATTTAGCTCACGTTACATTGGCAGAAACAAGGTTCACAACGTGGCAGTGTGCTTGCATTAGTTTGTCTCAGGTATTCCTGATTGTAAGCAAACGAATATGCAGTGTGAATCAGTAAGCGTTAAATAGTCATTTTGTTCTACTCGTTTCGGAGGCCAAGGACACAGACATTGAAGGATTTATCTCCGTATTTCTCGCCTCGAAGGTGGGGGCCGAGCATATAGTAATAAATAGTAATGCCCATGATGATGCTTTGAGGATGGTCTACGGTGTGTTAAAGTATCTCTTTACAAGCCCTGTCTTCAAACAGAGGGACGGTGAGATCTACCGCCCTCACACCCGATCTCCTCGATCGTATCGGGCACGCTCGATGAAGGATTTCCTCTCTCGCAGATGGGGACAGACCATCCTGCGTAACAGTTACCCCCGTCATCTAAGTGCAAGGCCATGAAGCAGGAAGGAAACCTCACAACCCAAGGCGTCTTGAGAAATATAGAGGTAGGTAATAGTAGATCTCACTCGCATGAATCATTCCCTTGCAGGACACTCTCGTGACAGGGACAGAAAACCTGTCGTAGATATCGAGATACTTACCAATTATAAGGCCTCGAAGACTTATTTCGGCCAATCAATGCCCTATGTTCTATTATCGGATTTAATATTTGTCGATGATTAGCTTGAATGGCAGACTATCATCAAATAACATTCTCTATACCCTAATGCTATACAAAGCTCCAAGTCAATATATCCCCCGAACCCACACCATACCAACGCCTTAGAAAATAACAAGTAATTGTCAACATGCAAGTAAAATCACTAGTGACTCTGTACCTCTCCTCATAATAGCGGCCACTGAAAAGTCATTCATTAGATATAGTCCACAAGGAGCTACCATTCCACACTCACCTTCTGAAGAACTCCTTCCAAAACAGGACTCTTAGTTAACTGCATGATACCCTGGACATACTCCTTCGAGAGCTCGAAGGGCTTGGCGACCAGATTCGGGATGTACCTTCCAATGAGTCGATCCGGTTCGACCATTGCCTCGGATATATGTTTATGGAGGAGATAGCGGAAGGAATCCACTCCAGGGCGGAGCAGACTACTATGGAAGGGCACATTGACATTCAGCGGAATTGTTGCTCGCCCGCGTTGCAAAACTATCCGCTTCTTTGTTGCCGTGACTGAGGACTCAAGTCGTGTCAGAGTCTTCTGGATGAAGGTCTTCACGTCGTCCACATTAGTGAGATGCAAGGCGCCAGATGCGAGTGCATCCAGGAGCTCTGAGAGAGTAGCCAGTGCACGAAGCTGTAAATCACAGGTTAGTGGCTATTTGACTTGCGAAATCCCAGGGGCTGAGGCCCGTAAAGAGAGATAAGGAACATGAACTCACATCTCCTGCACAAACGTATTGCATATTAGCAACGTTGTAGTTCACTATCTCAAGCAGTCCTCCTGATCCCCTGATGCGGGCAATTTCCGCCACACACCAGTGTAGATTCTCCTCGCTGAACTTTGGCGAGACACGGGTCGGGTTGACGGCACACATGGAGTAGTCGGTAGCACCTTCGGCGTCTCGTTTGACCGCATTCTGCATCGTCAAGCCCCGGTAGAAGACAAGGGCCGACACCTCCTCAATGGAGAAAATCCTGCCCATTGCAGCCAGCGCCACGTACTCGCCCAGCGAATGACCGGCAAACAGACTGTCTTCTCTCACAACCCCCTTCGCCCGCATGTCTTCGAATCGTGCCATCTCCATCAAAGCTAGAGCAGGCTGTGTGAATTGCGTCTGATGCAGCAGGCCATTGGTGGAGCGGAACGTATAGGACCGGGAGGATGTGGTGATCTCAGGAAAGACGCGCTTGGAAATTAACGTGCCGTCATCTCCGACAGTGTCGAACTTAAGAGAAGTGTAGTTCGCGCGAACGGCACGGCCCTTGACGCCCCCAAAGTATACAGTCAGTGTCTTTGGGTTATCCCGTACAATTTTGGATATGGAAAATCCTAGGGTAGATTGTGTCAGTTCTGAATGCCAGTAGGCGCACGAGAATAAGAGGATCTCTCCGCCTCACCATAAGTTTTGCTGAAATATTCGTCTGCAGTTTGCCATACCATCCGGGCACTCGCACTCTGCCTCTCGAGCTCCATGCCCATTCCCGGCTGCTGGCTGCCTTGACCGGTGAAAACATAGGCTACTGGAGGTTGCTCGACCGTGGCTTGAGCGGAAAGAACCTTGACTCCCGAAGATTTATTGTGGACTTGGATGGAAAGCAAGAGGTTGCCGTGCGACAGGCCTACGTGGTCGACCTTGATGCCCAGCCTATCTCCCGGAGAAACCTTGCCGTCAAAAGTGCACGACCAGGAGCGCATTCGCGAGGGATCGCCCTGCGCAATATGCGCTTCCACAAGTGCTCGAATACATCCACTGGTGAACATTCCATGGGTTACTCGGGTCTCATGTCCGGCGTAGCTCGCAAACAGCTCAGAGAGATGAATAGGATTGCAGTCGCCCGAAGCTTGCCCATATTGGGCCGCATAGTCCGGAACGGTAATTTCAAGATCGTCAAGCAGAGATTGAGGCTGCAGAAGTGCTTGAGAATCGTTCCCCGATTGACTACCGTGTCTGCGCAGATAGTCCGTCACTGGGTTTTTCACGTAGGTGTCACCGGAGAGGTTAATTGATCCTATAACTTGGGACTCCCCGGTCACCGGCTGATAAATGACCTGTCCCTCCACGGACAGGTCTGCGTACTTGTCCGGGTCTTGGAAAGTGTATCGGCTCCGGGTCTTAACCTCGATTGTCTTGTGGAGATAGTCCAGCAGATCGATACCATGGTTCAAAAAGAGCCAACCCCGGGATTTCAGCAGAGCAATATCCTTTTGCGAAGAAATAGTGAGGAGAAACCTCTCTTCTTCTACCGCAAACGTACTTTCGTAGTCTTGGTATTCGCCAAGAAGGATAAAGGTGCTCTTGACCCGAATTGCAGGCCTGCTGTTTCGGCGGAGTGTACCCTCTGCTTCCACGACCTTTCCTAGTCCCTTCTTGATCTTGATGGAGGTCAGTCGACCCTCTGGAGACAGAGAATCCCCTTCCTTCAATGGTTCAACCCCCTCACAGTACTCGAAGGAATTCTTCAAATGCAAAAGCCGAAGAAGATCTCCAGACACAAGCGGATGAAAGAGGCAACTCATGAGCGGTCTCCATCCGACCGCTATAGCCAGGTCCAAGGGTGCATACAACGGCAGTTGCAAAGAATCCGATGTGTACTTGGAGTTGTGATTGCAAATACTCTGTGCAAACTGTCGAATCATCTCTCGCGTCAGGACAACTGCCTCGCCGCGAAAGACCTGTTCTGAGGGAGAGAGTAAAGTCTTTGTAGAAGGATTCCTCCCGATCCAGATAGTCTGATAGTATTGTTTGATCCGTGAGTTGCGGTCAATTTTGACTTCGGTAATGCTGGGAGCCCCGAGTTGAGGCTTGTACTGAAATCGAAACTCCAAGGGCACGGACTCGGAATCCCTCAGAGTCATAAGAATATCGCTAATAGGCTCGGGGGAAGCTCTTCTAAGAGAGGCACTTGCGATCAAGTGCGGTCGTACTTTTCTCCCCGTCGTTCTCTGATAGTCTACCTCCCTGATGAGGATTTCCGGCATCTCTGACGATTGCGGATTCCGCACTTCGACGACTCGCCCTCTGCCCGTTGCGGCAAATAGTCGATGAAGGGGGTTACTGGACCGCTTTCCACCCTGGACAATTATCGGCTCTGTAAACATGGCACGGCACCATGGGGCGAGCGTTGCTTGGCTGAGGGTTTTCAGCCACTGTTCACAAGAAGGCTGGCGATCTAGATCCGAGGCTCGGTAGGTGACGGCGTTGCTCCCTTGCTCAATTGCAAAACTTTCGCACACCAAGGGAAACGACTCGATATCCTCCGCTTTTTGCGCAAATGAAACCTCAGAGACCTCACCAGCGTATCGCTCTTGCAGTGTCAGAGTTATGTAGTAATTATGAAAGCTCTCGAGTATGCTGCGGACCGGCTCATTGGGTGTCCTGGTATACTGTGCAGCCACGGGTCCATGGAGGATACAAACTCGCCCAACATCCTGTCCGAAGACAGCTTCGAGGCGCTCTGATTGCCACAGAGAGTCCTTCTTGAACCAGTACTCTAGATCCTCATCTAAGGCCACAATGTAGGGCACAGGCTTCTGTCCGCGGCGACGGGAAAGCAAAACCACGTAGTCGGCATCGGCTGCAGTGATGACTTCCTTTTTAGCTTGCGGATATACGGCGAAAAGATCCTTCTGAAACTGGTCAGGATGGTCGAGTTGTGACGAGTCTCGGAGGACAGCTCGGATCGTTTTGCCATTCGCTACTGCACCGGAACCAAGTCTCTCCTCCATGCGCCGGGTCCAGTCAAAGACCAAGGTCCGGAATGAAGGGTCAATCCACGCCTGTAAATGTGACGGATATAGCAACTCCACCATCCGCTGCCAAACCTCCGCATAGGTCATCTCTTGCAAGTCGACCACGGCTCCAGTAACATCCCGTCCGAACCACACTTTCTGGAAATCTTCGTTCAACCTGCGGATGTAATACTCCTTGCGAGCTAGCAGCGCGCCTTTCTGTTTCTCGCGGGGGAGGCTGAAGATATCCCGGTCCAATTCTGCCCAGAGCTTCACACCTCGTGTGGCCACCTTGTGTATGGGTTCTCCCATCTCGGAGCGAACGGTCAGGATGCCACCCGTAGGCTTCTTATAGGTGCCTTCCCACTCCGAGTCCCCAACACCAGGGATATCGCAAATGGCTTGTTTGGCAGCGATGCTGGTCTGTGCTTCCTGCGCGGCCATCACCCTACTACCCAGCAGAATGGCATCAAATGGCATTCTAGGCCGACCAAACAAGGTCTCAGACCACGTGCCACTCAAATAAGGGTAGGACCCCTCTCCGTCGCCAAAGCCGCTGCCTGCCACCAAAATGACATTGGAGCAGGCCCGGATCTGCGCGTACCGGTCAAGGATGGGCTCATGGAAATCCTCGTAGGAATGATGGCCTCCACCGCGGCCGCCAGTCCATTGAAGGATAATTGGGAAATCAGGACGAACACGTGCAATTTCCAGCACTGCATCAATTGCGCCCTTGGACCCCGGCTTAAGAGAAATGTGCTCCAACTCCAGCTCGTCGATATAGCCTTGCACAGTCTCAGCAGATGGTACCCCAGCCCCGATTGTCAATCCTGTGATCGGGACTCCTGATCGCCGCAATTCCGCCAGCAAGGGGATCTGCCACGCCATTGCGCGCGGGTTCGCGTAGATCACATTGCAGGTGATCCCTCGACCCGGAGCGATGGCTGCAGCGAGAGACATGAGACCCTCACGCATCTTGTCAGCGTCGGGGAAGCCGCCACAGGCTATCTCGGCGTGGTATCCGGCATTGAGTATTGCCGCTACAAAGTCGGGCGACGTTGTGGTCGGGGTCATCCCGGCCACCATGACCGGAGGAAGGCCGATGAGGCGAGTGAACTTGGTGTCGACTAGGATTTGAGGATCGGTGATGGGTGAGCGAACAAGGGATGGGGCGTAATCCGTAGACCAGGTTGGGCTGTATCGGACCGCAGCATACCGGGCGTAAAAGTCACCCGCGTAGCTCAAATTTGGATTCGTTCCCCGGTGAGCGGAGACAATCATAGTCCGCAGGCCTGTGCCCTCGCGTTGCTGGCCGACAAGACTGCCGATCCCGGCGTCTGCTCCAGGTCCAAAATCCAGGAGATGGGTGAAACCAGGCAGGACTTTCTGCTGGAGCATCTCCCACTGGACCCGACCAGTGCAAATCATCTGTGTGATCTGGGGAATGAGGTTCTCACTGCTCTGAAGATTCTCGGCAGTTTCCGTGTGATAGACCGGGAAGGCTAAGTCAACTCCGCGGAGAGTGAAGGGCGCCAGGTCTTGGAGAAGCAAACTCTCCGTCCTCTCCAGGTGTGGGGAATGGAAAGGGGCGCCGATGGGTAAGAAGCGGGTGCTTATTGTGGGAGCGCGTTGGCGAAAGGGAATCCGAGACGAGTTAGTGTTGGCCGATGATGTACCATTCTTTGGCAGCTGGAGGATTCTTTCTAAGGCCTGCAAAGACGATTGCAGCCCGGCGACGACAAATTGTTGCGGGCCGTTTACCAGAGCGAGATGCACAGACTGCTGTGCGGGGAGTTGGGCATTGATTTGCTCGATCTGTCTCTGCAACGCAGTCTGTGGAATCCCCTTGATGCTGAGCATGTACGACGGGGGTGATGACTCCAGGCCGGACGTAGGACTCGTGGTACCTATGGTCCGTTGACAACGGGCACCGATCCAAAAGAGCACCTCAATCACCTGTCGGGCGGCAGTATAAAAGCCGTCCCACGATGCAGCAGCCGCAATGAAGGCGGCTACGACGACTCCCTGGGAATGGCCGCTTGCCCCAGACAGGAATTGTCGCATCTCTCCCGGTGTAACACCCAGGTTGATGCATGCAACGGCATATTGCACCATTTGGGAGACAGCAATGAGCGGCAGACTAACCGCCGCTGTGGTGAGGTAATCGATAGGAGGACAAGTTTCCGGAGTGCTGAGCCAGGCTTGAACATCAAGTCCATGCAGGAAGATGTCCTTGAACTGGTCATCCGCAGCCAGGCGGACGAGCCTCTCGGACATCAGATGCACAAGGGGTATAAGATGTTCTTCATAGATGCTATAAGTCTCCACAAGCTCCTCGAAGTAGCTCTCTACCCCTTGGCCATTGAATAGCGCAAACAGCTTTGCCTCGCCTCTTTGTGCGCTGGCGAGGAGCTCACTGGTCCCCATGGTGCATCGGTGGTTGGTCAGGGCACAAGCCTGGAAGTATGTGCGCAGAATCGAGCGATCCACGGCGGGGTCGCCATTCGTAGAGGTCAAAACGGTGTTGATGTTCTCATTCCGAAGCAAGCTGGTTTGAACGAAGCTCAGAATATCTCGGAGAATTGCAACATCTACCGACGTACTCGATAGTTCATCGTGTGCATAGTCAAGGATGAATCGTATAAAGGAGGAGCACAGCTCGAGGGGACTGGAGAATTGCTGTAAAGATGTCGCTATCGAATTGGCGAATTTATCTTTCAGTAGCCGGCATCTTGGTGCAAGTTGGCTGGAAATAGGAATTGAGCATTGAACCGCCCCAAATTCGAATGAAATCTCGTCCGCAAAAAGTGATTGTTGCTGTCGCATTTCCTCCCATGGTGCCTCAAAGATTGAAGAAGAATCTTGCGATCCTACCGATGACCACGGGCTCTCCATGATTTGTGTTGTATGTAGCGGCAGAATGAAGCTCTGCTGTTATCCACGCCACGAGCCGCGTAGTCGGATGTCTGCGTAATATAGCTTAATGAAGAAACTTTTCAATGCCAGCAATCTTACTCCATTCGATACCACAGCCTACCAGGAACACCTCCGCCACCCTGGGCATGTCCCGTATCCTTTGCACCTTTCGCATATGGAGTGGATACTCCATCGCAGCCATCCACGTGTCGGACCCTCAATCTAAGATCCTGCCGGCGGTCACCTTACTCGACCATCTCTGCTGCGTAATAATTACTATTGAGCTTCTATGCGACTGCACCTGTTGTGTTGGTTGATGTTGCTGTTTCAGGTTTGAAACCAGCGATGTTCCTGCAGCTACGTGAGATTTTAGATTGGCTGAAATTAATATCGGTTCTCGTTGCTAATTACTTCGTACACATGACAATACGTGTGTATCAGTATTGTGATACTGTTACATGTCGTACATTGTAAGTTACATATGTATATTACGAGGGTCAATGTGGCGGTGATCGCAAATTTCCAAGATAGATTCCCTGCACTAGCGTGTGGATAAATATAAGTGATCGGCACACAAAATACTATCAATATGGATCTGGTGAGCTGCAAGGCTCTCGTCAACTTGTCTCACCCACAGCCACCCGAAATATACTGTGTAGTAAGCCACCGTATCATTTTGGCCCGACAGGAAGGAATTGAATCCTTGGCACCGTTCTCCACTTCAGTTACAAGGTGTATTCATCGACTTTCTTCGGTTCTTAGTATAATTACATGATATTTTCAAAAACACAAATTATAGTGCGTTCGTCGTGTAGGCGCCATCAGCTGCGGATAAGGGTCTGCTGGGTGATGGTTTTGTGGAATCTACGGCTGGTGCCGCACTGGCACCCACGTCCGATGTCAGCGGGGAACGGCTGCAACAAGTTCGGAAATCAATATTAAAGTGTTCGATTAAGAGCCGGTAAACTAAATTAGCTAAGTTCTGGGAACATTCTGATCATAGTAAGCTTATTTATGTACTCATCTGACATTATAAGTAACCTCAAACATGTGACTATGTTTAAAGTTGAATTAGTAATAATATTAATATTATAGTTATATGATTCTCCGCTACTGAATCAGCTTAGCATGTGATAGAAGACACTATCCTCGAAATGATTCGGAAAAAGGAAAAAAAAAAAAAAAAAAAAAAAAAAAAAACAAAAAAAAAAAAAAAAAAAAAAAAAAAAAAAAAAAAAAAAAAAAAAAATTCCCGAAGATTATGAAATCCTGATTATCATAAGACAAGGATAGCTGATCCACACGAAGACTAAGTTAAATTAAGAACAGCTGGTTTAGTGTCAGGCTGATACTGATCAATTAAGTCACATGGGAGACATCATTCAGCATCAGGATCTCCTAAACCCGTCGCAGATCGTACTATGGACCATGACGTGATCGCTTTGGGGATTAGATCAAGTAATAATATCTATTATGAGGACTATACATGGGAGAGGTAGCGGAAGAGGATCTCTATGTCGATATCTCTTGTGCTTCTACAACCGGGATAGGTAAATGGAATAGACGGAGAAAGTGTGGGGAAAAGTAGGAAGAACAATGAGCGAGCTACGAAGCTTGATTTGAATGTCAAAGTAGATCAAATAAAATAGATCAATTCACAGGAACTATCTAAAAATAACAAAAACTTATAGGGATATCGTTAACACGTAAATCGGACAGTTGGGTCAAGGTACGTCTTCGTCTCCTCAGACGGGGCAAATGGCGGCGCAGATTTGGCACGGAAGAGTGAATTTCCATTCATTCCCTGGTAGAAGAACATATCTGCCTTGCTTTTGCGCTTAGTGCAGCGGTCGAGATAAGCATGGTACTCTTCCGGGCCTAGAGTGGCGAAGAGATACCGGGGATGGACACAGAGAGCTTGCGCTCCCTTCTGACCAAAACCAAAGGAGGTGACGGAGACGGCCTTGATATCAGGAACGCGGATCGGCCGCTGCACATAGGCGATCAGATCAGCAAACTCCTCGAGCTTTGGATCGATATTATCAGCGTTGCGGTTACCCGGGACCAATCCCGAGTCGAGCATTTGGAGGGCTCCATTGAGCATCCAGGCACCCGCAGCGCCCTTGGAGTGACCGGTCAGGGACTTTTGAAAGACACTGAGAATGAGGTTGCCTTTTCGTCGACCCATTGAGCTCAGCTGTTGGTGAATGACACTGGATTCATTCTTGTCGTTCATCACGGTCGACGTGCCATGGAAGGATGCCACATCTAGATCATCGATGGTGAGCCCCCACGTAGCTAGAGCGCCGGCAAGTGGTGCGATATTAGGCTCGTTGCGCCAGAAGTCGTTGCCGAGATTGAAGCGGGCATCCTTTTGCTCGCGAGCAAAGTCAGCCGCTATCTGCTGCCGACGCTCATTGACGTAGGCCTCAACATCCACAGTCGAGCTCTGGGCTACCACCGCAGCCACTTCGAAGTCAAGATCTTGCAAGGCCACGTCCCGCGCTTCTGCAATCTGGCGGAGGCGGAAGTCCAACCGCTTCCGGCGATTGCGGATGTTCATAAGAGGCGATGGTACCCTTGAGGGAATGTGCCTGGCGTTGGTAAGTACCCCCTTTCCAGGAGCTGGCACCGAGCGGCCAGCCTTATCGCTAGATGTGCTGGTAAAAGCAATGATGCCTCGAATCGGCAAGCCCATTTTCAGCGCCAGTGCCGCCGTTGTGAGCACCTGGAGTCCGGAACCCTGAGATTCCACAAAGCCGCTGCGGGTGCTGGTGGTCGGTCGGGACATTTCGTGAGGAGCTCGACCTTTGGCGATTTCTTCCTCGACGTTGCTAGTCGCCTTCATGTTGGCAAACTCCTGAGAGGTCTCTGTCGTAAAATCATCACAGCCGCCGACCAAGCAGAACTGAGCTTTACCGGTAACGATAGTATCATACCCTAATTCTAGGGACTCGATAGCAGTGGCACACGCCCCGACTGGCGTGCGAAGGGGTCCACTTGCCGACAGTAGAAGCATATTGACCCAAGCTCCTGTGGTATTGATGAAAGTCTCTTGTAGGATATCTTTCGGAACGTCGTGAGTGCTTTGGCGCCCATTGAACATTTTGTTTAGAGAAGTGGCACCTCCAAGCCCTGAGCCGATACATGTTCCTACTTCGGACACATGGATGTATTGATAAAGCTCATACGGATCAGTAATCCCGGAGGACAGCAGCGCTTCAACCGTACACACCAGTGTGAAGAGCGTAACCCGGTCGACCTGAGAAACAATTTCCTCGGGGATTCCATAAACACGTGGATCCCAGCCATCCGGTATGAGTCCGGCGACGATTCGAGTTGATTGCATTGCGCGAGGGATATAGAGTCTAGCGCCCTTGCGAAGCTGTACTGTGAATAGATCTGGTGTTGTCGATTGTTGAACTGCAGCGAACTCTCCATGTTCCAATTTCATCTGCTCGGCGAGCGACTCAGGCATATCCAGGGGTTCCAAATCTTGTTGCAATGTAATCTCGTGCAGGAAAGGCTTTCGTTCTGACTCGATTAGCCGAATCCCTGTATGAGTCAAGATCCTTTCCTCGTAGATTGATTTCACATCGATATCGGCAACGGGCTTTTTCGTCGTAGTATCCACCCACCCGGAGTAGGGAGCTCCATCGATGGTTCCGGCAAAGTGGCTGATGTACCCCATGAGCCAGGCTAGTTCAATGGCGCCCTCGAGGGAGAATTGGCCATATGCCTCCATCTCCCATCGTGTGCGAGCATTTCCTACGGGCCCTAACTCCGAGAACCCTGTCACCACTACGGTTCGATCCAAGTCCACCATTCCATGGAGGTCTGAGCCAAGAGTGCGGATATCCTGATCGTAGTCAAGCGGCTTGGGGAAGTCCAGGCGCACATGGGCTCTCTGCTCGAGTCGGTCCGAGCCGGTGCTCGGTCGGGAAGATTGGCCGGTAGTCGAGCATTGCTGCTCTAGTATCGATTCTGCGAGAAGCGCAGCTTGTATTTCACTTCTTTCCTTGAGCTCCTGACGCAACGCTTGCAGCTTTTCTCCGAGTCCCTGCACCTCTGCCATTCGGCCCGTTAGGTCAGCGTAAAGGGGCCTCTCCTGGCATAGCTCAGTCATTTCCTGCACACATAGGCAGACCAGAGCATAAGCCATCTCCTCCTGAGAAAAGGTCCGCATGCCAGCCGCCTCGATGCCCTCTGCGATGAGATCATTTTGGTTCATTAGACCTGTTCCTCTTGTCCAACCAATGACGGCACCGCAGATGGACAGGTAGTCCTGCCAATCTTCTGAATGCCACCGATTGAACAGCGTCTCTAGCCCCAATTTTGACTCACCGTATAGGCCATCCCCACCAATAGTTCCATGGTTGGGAGACAAAGGCAAGATGACATGGGTGGGATTGGTATGACAATGGTACTTTTCCTTGCAGGTCTTGATGGTGCCCAGCAAACGTAGCACGTTTGTGAGCATCAAACGGTGGGCGAGCTCTGATTTAGAGTCAATGGAGTCGAGTCGTCGCCCAGCCTCACTAATTGCAGCAAAAGGGATAAAGTAATCTATGTCGCAGCCGAGACCACCTTGTGAATAAATGTACTCAATCAACGAATTGATGTCCTTCACACTAGCTTGGTTGAATGGGACAACAATGAGTTGAGAGCCCTTGGCACCGTGGTCCATGTAGATACTCTGATATATCTTGGCCGCCTCAGGGGACAGAGAGGATGTTGTGACAACGACTCTGGCTCCCCCCTGTAGGAAGTGCCGAATCATCGCAGCTCCGATTGAACTAATTCCCGCTCCCGTCATCAGCACAGTTTGCCCATTGAAGGACGAACCCCGGTCGTGCACCAAACTGAGCGCATCCTGAAATTTCGCGGTCAATGTTCGACTGTAGTACCATGCATCTCCCCTTTTTTCCCTGAGGTGAATAAAGGGAAGAGCATCGGCCTCGGATGTCGGCGATGCCAGCTGGGCAAAAGAGATTCTATCTTCACGTTCCTTCTCAAAATATCGCATCGTCCCGTCTGTGTCGATAGTTGTGAATGGCGCCATCTGCTTGGGGGATCCTTTGAATAGTGGCCCGAACTCCAGCACATGCTTGCACAGAGCCTTTAGATCAGTAAAGATGGGGCGCGGAACTGCAGAATTTCCTAGCTTGGCCAGCATCTCATTGATTACATGGAGAAGTGTCTCATCTGCCGCGTTGGCAATTGCGTAGCAGGCTTCAAGGACATTCCCTTGGTCGAGTGTGACTTCGTCCCCACGCTGCACTGGAGTCACTAGATCGAACAACTCGAGAAGCCTCTGACGGGCCCAATTCCATGCCGAATCATACATGCGGACCTTGCGGGAATCAAAACGTGGCTTAATACCGTTGGCGTAGTCTTCCCCATGCTCCTCCGTCCAGAGACCCAACTCTGATTGCATCCCGGTCTTGATGTCGTGTTGGAGAGCGTCTAATGCACGTCGATCCGCGCCTAGGTCCAGGCCGAGCTGAGATGCATAAATATTAAGGAGCTGTCTTGACACCGCTTTCTGGGCCTCAGACATCGCTCTAAGCGCTTCAGGGTCGACCATGATATTAGAAGCCGAGGCTCCGTCCGCAGACGGATGAGATGTGCGTAAAGGAATACTATTTTTCGAAGCATAGCTCTCCACGACGCCATCAATAAAGGTCTTTGCGTCGGATATAGATGAAATTCGTGTTGGAGGCGCCTCTGTCGTCGCAAGGAGTAAACAGGAATCCTGTCTTCCTTGTTTGAGACCCCACTGGGATTTGAGTCGATCTCGCGCGGCGGCGGTGGTGAAGCCACTGGGTAATTCGGAAGTGAAAAGCGAATTAATCATGCCTGTGGAAACCTTCCCAAGCATTCCGCTATGGCTTGCCTGGATCGCCTGCCACAATTCAGCCAGAGGTGTGTCTTCGACGCGTTCTGGGAGCGAGCCGAATTCTGCATGGAGATCTCCAACAACCTCATTTTCCAACGTTGAGCGCCCTTGATAGTTTGTCAGCATTCAGGGAAAATAATTAACAAGTCACTCCACTCTTAACTTACCACCAGCAAGAACTTTGATAGTCTTAGTCCAGTCAACATCGGACGGCGACTTCTTAAGCGCTCGTGACACTATCGCGGTCACAATCAGCTGTGCCTTTACCCCTTCGTCCTCAATTTCTATTGTTGTCGGCTTCGGTTTCGGAGCCGATACAGTCTCTGGTTGCGCTACCGGAGCCACTTCTGTTTTGGCAGGTGATGGTATGGTAGCTGTATTTGCTGCGTCCTTTGTCCTTTCCTTGGATTTAACATCAGGGGCACCAGGGCGGTCTTCGAAATAGACTTCTTGGGTGTCCTTCTCTGAATTCAAGAGTCGTCGAGGTGTAGATCTAGTGCACTCCTGACTCTGATACTTGCTGTTGAGGGTTCGCTGAAACATGCCCGCGAGTGTCGGAGTGGGCCCGATTTCGACGATCTTGTCGCACTCCCTGCGAGAGAGGATTACGTCCTGCGTTTCAATCCATTGTACTGGGGAGGCAAATTGGTATCTAGGTCAAACAAAGCCCAGCTGTCAGTCAGTGCTATTGTCCCATGCTTCGCCCTTCATCATATTCTACTCACGCCATGAGCTCAATGAGCAGTATGCGAGCCAGCTTGCGCTGGGTATCCATATCGGCAGCCATGGGTACCTCTTGCACGCTGACCCAGGTTAATCGTTAGAGTCAACTCAGTGTAGCGGCATGGAGATCTGAAAGTTCTTCAACTCAAATGGATTTAAATGGGGACAGATGACATGTGACGGGGCTTCACACCCACTTAACTACGCTAGGCCCCCAGTGCACACAAGGCTATGCTTAGTTTCATGAAACCCGAATCCTCTCGAGAAACCGCCCCTTCGACACGAAGTTCAGCCCTAGCCAACCCACCCCAAACACTATCTAGTAAGACCTCCTGTCAGCATTTGAGGCTTGAGCATGCCACCTGACTTGTTTGCCATGTGCGGCGCTAGTAGCTAGCTCATCTCAACATTCTGCCTCGTGGCCGGAGCCGTTGACGGTGCGTTTGGACCCACGTGGAGTACGGAGCAGACTTGCTCTATTCGCAGCGGAAGCTGACGCGAGAAAGTAGAGGCATCCATGGCGCAGTTCATGGCGCAGTTCATGGCCGATCTTATCAAAAGTTGATGATGCGGGGTCTGACAACGACACCGATTACACAAAATTACGGTATTCTTCAAGTTGGCGTTACGTATCCATACTGGTGTAACCATACATGTAATGAATGTAATATATGATAGCATATACATCAGCCTCATCTGGTAAGATATGATATCATTGTTTGTTTGAGGCTGTCTTCAACGGGCAACTGACTGATTTAGTAATCAAAGAAGGCCCAACTAGAAGCCACGTAAGGCGGTTCAACAAGGGCTTCGCTGAGGTCTTATGTAGAGGCTTCCTGAGGCCGATGGTCTAGCACGAGCGGATAGTATCCGGTGTGACGGTAACGCTTCCGGTTATCTTCGGCTACCAGCGTCGATAGGGAAATTGCATAGAATGAACGACTGACAAGTGGGTTACCTCTCATCGGTGTCACTAGCATTTTCTTCCCCTTATTGCGGTGGATATGTACGAGGCCAATTCAATATGTGGAAGGACCTCATGCCATGATTTTCAGGCAGTAGGATGCGAGCTTTTATGCCTCAGGTACGAATATTGCTGCCCGCGATAGACTTGGAAGCCTTGCGGGACCGCACGGGCGATAGCATACAACTTCTTGGCGCGTCTCTCGATGGATGGTGCCGAATTGAGTGAGTTATACAAATGAAGAAAATCCTCAGGGGCCACTGTCATTGTGTACATGATTCACAAATGAAATATTCCGAGCGTCTCATCATGATCAACTGATTAATATATACTGTGCAAGATCTAGTAAAGGACGGCAAATGATCTATTCCGTCTATGTAGCCATAATAAGTGTAAGGGGAATTCATAAAATATATAGCTAGTTGCCACGCTTTCGTTTCTACAGTCATGCATTTTCATCACCACTTGGCTGCTCAACAGGCGAAACCTGCCATAGCCAGTCCTCATTGGACTTGACTCTTCCTTTCTGAATGTCCAGAAGAGCCTGTTGCAGCTGCTTACAACCATTGCCTGAGCCGTCAGTGCTATATGCAAAAATCTCCTCAGTAGACCTCCGGGTGATCGACTTGATGGAGACCAGCATTGCCGCAGTGCCGACCGCGATGACCTCACTGAAATATTGGAGTTCGGAATATGGAATCTGCATTCGGGGTCAGCCTATGTAACCACAAGTCCCAAGGCAAGGGACCGAATGTATTCAATTGTGGAGTCATACCGGGCGGACCTCAACATTCCAACCTAGGGACCTGGCCAGATCCAGGCATGTGGTGCTGGTCACACTTTTCAGGATTGAGCGACTACTGGGTACCACCACTGTGAAGGAATCTCCGGTTTTCTTCAGACCGATAAACCCGGAGGTGCTGAACTCGTCAATTTCAGAATTGGTTCGGCTGTCGAGATGTAGAGTAATGAAGTAACCCTCAGCACGGGCTTGATCACTCCATTTCAGAACGGGACCATAATTTCCACCGACTTTGACATGGCCCACGCCTTTAGGAGCAGCCCTGTCCAAGTCTTCCAGGATCAGGGCTGGTATAGGCTGACTTCCATGGTAGGCCCTGTAGGGCTGGACATAAATGCAAAACTTGTACCCCGTCCCCGCGGAGACTGCAAAGAACGGATCCGATCCGAACACCAGAGGTCGAATGTAGAGGGCAGCGTCTGTATCGTGTGGTGGCACATACTCCGCATTGCTGGCAATGACGAGATTAACGCTACGCAGGAAGAGGTCCTCTGGAATGGTGGGAATAGCAACTGCGGAACACGACAAGGCCAGCCGGGCTGCATGGTCCTTGGGACGAAACACATTAATGTTGCCTTGAGGGTCACGATAGGCTGATTTAAAGTCAGTTCCATGTTTTGCTAGGAACTATCACCAGTCGGTATCATATCACAATACCTTTCATGCCCTCAAATGCTTGTTGGCCTATCGCGTTGTTAGTTATTGATTTGGGGCCATCGGCACGCATGCATACCATAATTGAGCCCTGGCGCGAGACCATGAATGCGCAGCAGAGGATCCTCAACCAGTCGAGGTTCTGACCAATGGCCAGTAGATACCGAATACTCACACTCGATATGAGCGTTTACTAGAAACGCAGAAGCTGTCAGCCAAGATACTCGCTCTCCTGTCTAAGAACATATACTGACCATCCATAGGTGCAATCCCGAGCTTTTCCCATTCTGGAATAACCACTTGTCAGATTACGTACTTGCAGCTGCGAGAAGTCTACCCACCTAGGGACTGAGTAGGAGGAGGTGGAAAGGAACTCATTGTGAGGTTCTATTGCAGCGCAATTGATAACACTATCGAAATTTGTGACCAAAAGGGAATATGGGATAAGACGCACTTTACAGTTATTGAAGAGTCATACAATAAATATTCTCCTCGTTCTTCCTCTACTACCTCGTCCTCGTATTCCAGAAAGCCTTATGGGGGCCGAATCCCATTGAGCAGTAACTGAAACACCTATACGCAGCCGATGAAATACACTTGTTAGATACCACATAAGTATCGAATGTGTACCGATCACGTGATGAGCATGGTCTCACGTAATATGGTAGTAAGCGATACAATACACATTGTAGTAAGCACTATAACCAATACATAACCATTATAGTAAGCAATAAACTACTAATCACTTAGAAGGTAAGAAGTCTCCATTTGGGCCTGCTTTGGAGAATATCAAGTGACATCATGGCGCTGATTGAATGATCTACGTATCTAAGTTAAGACACCACTCCGCAGCTTACTAGTGCTGCCCCCAATGTTACCCCAGTCATAGGACGAAATTTCTAGAACATCTTCCTTTCAGACTGGACATGCAGCTAGATTATCTCACTTCAGCATTAAACCCCGAAGCAAGCTAAGCAACCTGTAAGAATTGACGAACACTATCATCGCTTAGAAAAGCCGAGGATATTTCCGGGGTACTTTTGAGTCAATCTTGGCTTTCCATTACGTTACCACTATCCTTGTAGATGCATAAAGGGGGAAATAAGTAAAACCTCTCTGTATTAGTGCTGAACCAGTAGAATGAACTCGATTAACTGGGCTATAGTGTAGGATTCGTTCTGGAAGATACCGAATACATCAATACGCCAACCCAATACACCAGCTGCGGCGTGTCTCACACAAAGAAACATGTGGTAAGATACCTGTCCCTGATTACATAGTTGATACACAGTAACATTGCCCAACACAACAATACCCTTTGGATGACACCGTTTTAGGCTAGTGGCCAGTGATAGTGAATAGAACAAATAACAATAATTAGATGCGAGAAGAGATCTTGTGTATAGTAATTTCTAAACATAGGTTCGCTGAAGGATGTGGCATTTCTTTTCTTTGATGAGGTCAGTGAGGCGTTCGCAGCAATGCAATGATCAGATTTTCTCTTTCATCCTATTCGCTTTGAGGCTCTCGAGGACTAGCACTCGCGCAGAAACAAGAAGGGTATAGTGCATGAAACCCTCACATAATCCAATCTCAGGACAAAATACGGGGGCTGACTCGGTCGTATGTGTATATAATTGAATTAGATTTCAGATGGCGTTTTAGTGGTTGGAAGACCCCGTAGGCAGACGTGACGAAGGATCAGGTGATGCCCGGCTACAGTGAATGTTTCGACATTACATTATCACGATCGAGTTAAGGTCAAAGCCTATGGATGCTTCATCAGTCGCTTGACCCGGCGGGTCTAGCAATAGGTGGAGAGACTCCGGCAGCAGGCCGAGGGAACCCGATCTCTCACGATGCAAGGCTACCATTACCATAACTGGTGAGGCTTGTACTGCGAGTACATCGCTTGCGTTAGGCTTATTATTTATCTTCTAAACCGCCATTATCAAGGCTTCTTTCAACCAAGGGTCAGGGATACCAGGAAGAGATAGATGCATAGTTCTACACGGGAAACCTACATACAAACGCCTTTTCCAAAAGCGCAGGCCAGGTACAGCGGGCGAAGAAAGGGGTGTAGTATAGTAATCACTAGTAGCCTGGTCTAGATAGAAACAGGTGCAACTATAGTACGTTATATGAGTATAAGAGTTCCGGTTTGTCCAGTTGAAGTGTTGTCCACCGCGCCGTTATCCTCTTCTACAGACGGCTAAACTACATCATCTAACCCTTGAAGCATTATGACCTTCCAAGATTGCAGTAAAGTGAATATCTCTCTTAACTTGAAACTATTTGCCAGAAACTTGGCAATTTCTTGTCATGTTTGCGGCAGTAGGCCGTAGCCCACAGCTGTATATTTAGTAATTCAGAAGGTCGAGGTCCCTGATGAGAGGATGTGATTCAGGATTTGTAGTGCTAATCGTTACCGCTGCTGACAGGAGGTGTGGAAAGTAATCTGTGTTACTATTAAGCCCGAATTGGTCTTCATAGCATATTAGCTTGCCTGGCAATCTAGAGCCATATACATCCGATTGTCCACTGCTTGGACACTTACACAAAAGTATCTGTGCTTGCTGGTGAAAGGACGTTGATTGCATTGCAAGTAGTCTATCTTTGACTACCTTGTGCACTTTGGAGATTGTGATAAGGAAATCGATAACCTAGTGGTTGTTTGTCAACCCTGCTATAACATTACAAAGCGGCTCCCAGTGGGGATGCCAACCTCGGTAGTTTAAATTTTGGTAGATGTCTCCAGAGGTTTAGGCCTCCTATAATCACTAACTTTACAGAGGTCCCTTTACCAACTACCTTGAGGGATGTGATGTGCTAGCATAAACATAGTGGTGATTCTGCTGAGCCTAACCTCAAATCATTACACCCTCCCCAGAAGCGCAAGCGTGAGACAGCGGAAAGAGAAAACCTAGTACTCTAAGCATGGCGGATTAGCTTCTAGGTATGCATAGTTGTAGCGTCTGGCTCCAAATATTGCGGGCGAAAAGAGGAAATAAATGTATAATAATACCTAATATTTGTGCAGTAGAAAGTTATTCCAAGTATTCCAACTTCCCATAGAGGACACTCGTCTAACCTAAACTATAGTTCTAGGCCTTCACCATCCAAGCATAATAGTAGCGGGGCAGGTATTACCGTGGGGAATGATTTATTCTCAAGGACAAACTCTATTCCAATTCGTATTCTCAAAAAAAGTTGGCTCTAAAAGTTCATAGTTAAGGTTTTGATCACAATTTGCCGCGATGTCGACGTTCTTAGCTCTCCACTCTTTTGGCGACCAAGTCTTGGCCGTTGGCAGTAAGCTCTTGCAACAGTAGTTTCAAGGTTGGATTCCTATGTGGGCGCAACGTTCCTGGTTCTCCGCGAGTGGAGCGATCGAGCCTTGGCCGTTTGCAGTAACTCCTCGCAACAGTTCCAAGGTTGGACCCTCTGAGGACGGAGGATCGACACCTAAAAACATCTAAGGGTTATTAAAGTTTAAGCTTAGAACAATCACCGCTGGGTCTCCCTTGGTCCACAGCATTTGTCTCCTCTGGCTGTTATTACAGCAACTTAATAGAATCCCATATAATGTCAGATTTCAAGTCTGTCTATGTTTTGAAGGACAATATTTGGCTGTGAAATCAGCAATGTCTTATTCATCTAATGGGGACGCGGGTAGGTGTCAAGTCTAGGAAAGAATACCCGCTGATGATGTATGAGCCGAGAAAGCTATATCGCAGGCATATTTGATAAAATAGAGCCTGGAACAGATCTCTATTAGAGTTCTTTGTTGAACAAAGAAACTGCAGCATCTTTTAAAGTAGGGCCATATGATCTGACATTACTACCATTCGAGTCTCTACCAAAATGTCTGCAGTACATTGGCTTCCCCCACTTAGCCGCTGATAGAATGTTCGTGTAGACACTTCCCATCCAAGGATAATTGTTGGAAGAGTATCTAGAACAGACTCATTAGAAATTCTAAATTGCATATGCTCTCTGTGTCCTGCACTATATAAGCTGCAAGGAACTCGAGCTATGGATTGAGCTCTATAGTCATATATCTGTCTGTCTCAACATCTCTGTTTTGAAACATTAGTTCCTGGACATACCTTCTGTGTATTACCCCAGTCTGCCCATCATAATTATTTTTAATAAGGAACAGCTATGGACAGCACCAGAATCTGTGTGGAGCGTATACCCAGTTCAGAAAAGTCGAAGCTCCCTCCCCGCAATCTGGTGCCGCCCACTTTAGGATCCGGTCCAGCAGAGCTTGCGATGCCCAAGAATGCTTACTGGCGACCAGGAACAAAGCTCCTCGTTAGGTTCCTTTCTGGGAGCGAGTTCGTGAAAAACAAGGTTAAATATTATGCTCAGACATGGGAGAACTACGCCAATATCGACTTCGTATTCAATAACTCACCGAAGGCACAGATCAGGGTCAGTTTTGTAAGAGGTGGAGGCTCATGGTCCTATCTCGGAACTCATAATTTGGAGATTTCTGATGACCAGGCAACAATGAACTTTGGATGGTTTGACGATAACACCCCCGATGAAGAATTCAGCAGGACAACCATCCATGAGTTTGGCCACGCTCTAGGATGCATTCACGAGCATATGAGCCCTTCGGCATCTATCCCGTGGGACAAAGACAAGGTTTACCAATATTATATGGGACCCCCAAATGTCTGGTCCAAGGAAGAAGTTGACCGAAATCTTTTCCATCAATATGCGCCTTCAGAAACTTTTTACACTAGATTCGATCCACGTTCCATAATGCTTTATCGAATCTCGAACGACCTAACGATCGGGGACTACGAAACGCCTAACAACACTGTACTGTCAGCCACAGATAAAATGTTCATTCACTCATTATATCCGGAGCAGGCGCGTAGCCAGGCTCGATTTACCACCCAAGACTTCCGTCCTCCGTCAAGATCAAACCTGTTAAACGCACTGCAGGTCAATTTCGATCCTGAGTACAAGGAAGCTCCAAGCATTGCTGTTGGTTTGACGGAGCTGAATCTAAGCAAAGACTTCAACGTCAGAATAAAAGCATACGCGGATCGCATCACAGAAAGTGGATTCGTTATCCACGCTGATTCATGGGCCGATACTATTCTTTTCTCCGCTGGAGCTGCCTGGTTCGAAGTTTCCAGCACCGACACCGAGTTCCAGACTGGTAACTTTGATACTCTTGAGCTTCACCCGTGGAACGAGGCCAAACCCCAAAATAGAAAACGTGTGGTTTTTGAACGGTCTTTTGCTGAGCCTCCTAAAGTTCTGGTTTGGCTTCAAGGGTTTGATATGGATAAACGAAAGGACTGGAGAATTGCAGTTCATGCATCCAATATATCCAGTGAGGGATTCGATATCCATATCGACACTTGGGGAGATAGCATTTTGTATAGCGCCTCCGCATCATGGATTGCATACCCTGCGGACAAAGAAGGCATATTCAGCGGGGTGGTGGATTCAAGTATTCGACAAAACACCACATCCCCCAGTCAAGTTAAAGGGGGGAGAGTGGACTTTCCGAGAGGAGTATTCGACAGAAAACATCGGGTGTATGCGGCTATAAAATCATTCAATGTTAGTTGCAAACATGATTTGAGGCTCAATATCCAAACAGAGAAGATTACGAAAGATGGGTTCGATTGGAAGGTTGAAGCAGGTGGAGACAGCATGCTAAATGGCGCAGGCATTTCGTATGTGGTGATTTGAACTATTTACCGGTTTATTATTCACAGTCATTTTGCTTTGTGAACAAAAGTTCGTCTTCAAAAAGCAGGAACATGAAAAAATGAGGGGAAATCAAAGAAACAAAAACGGAAACGGAAAGGAATGGAATGAACTGAAATGAAATGGTGGTGATGGAGCTAAACTGCTGATTGCTTTTTCTGAGACTTATGCTCAGGCAAATTTCCATTGCTAGGTGCTGAATAGCTAATACTCCATGAGTCAGAAACGGTAGTTTGAATCGAAGTTAATTTACTGAAGAGAAGACGGCCATTCGTAAAATCTGTTTAACGAATATCTGTAGACATGGTAGACGAGCGAAGCTTTACGAGTTGTGGGGCCCCGCCTGGTCACCCGAGGCAGAGAGTTTTGTATAATTACCTACAAAAAGCTTATTATAAAGCCAGATAGATACAGGCTCACCAAACCAAGGATTTAGCTAGAGATATGAGGAATTTATTCTGTCATGGTAGAGAACCCTTAAAGATGTAAGATGTAAGCAATGATATATTAAAGCTAATAGGATGCTAATTGATAGATACAGTATCCTATATTTACATAGGAAACTATCCTACAAGGATCAGAAGTAGTAACTAGAATCACCATAATATAGGGTAAGAGATACCATGATATATAGTATTGATGACTCCATGAATTAGTTAACATTTGATCCTCTTTTCTGCAGCTTCCGTGACTAATACAGGCCATAGGAAGACACTAAGCCGCTTGGTAGAACAACAGCAATCCTCTAAGCCCTGAGAACCTCACCAGCAGCCACACGTTCTCCTATGCGAGTGGATCCGCAGGGATGATACCACTGACATCCATCTAAGGCGTTCTGGCAAAGAAAAGGTATTTGTTATTACTTGAGGATATGTTCCCGCAAATCGGCAGGGATCATTAACCCAACTTAACTGACCACAAAATAAGAAAGCCAAGATTGAGACCCAAAGGTCTTCTCTACCCAAGTACCAACACACATGGCTAGGCCTCTTACAAATATTTTCAACGCCCGGTATAGAAGGTTTCAAAAGGCTTGGTGAACTGTGTATATGATAGTTATTTTCACGGTTTCTTGATCAATAACGCTAATCCAAACAGGCTTTAGCTACCCCTCAGTATGAATGTCTCCGGGTCGATATGGAGTAATAGAATGTTCGACTTGAGGCTAGACTTAAGCTCGGCTGACCGATATCTAAATGCGTAAATTCTTTGTGTGGTTATATGTTACTTATAACAGGCTAGTGTGGGGCAAAGTTTAATCGAAGCAAACATGGCAGCTTCGGATCTGAGGCCATAATTAGGCCACAGGGAATCCCTACCCCAGTTCAACTTACGAGATTCCATCATTCAGACCGAATAGCCTTCCCGAGTCTCTTAATTGACGGTCGTTACTGCGGGGTTTCGTGTAGAGGACATGCAGAATTGCTCGGCTGCCACAGATCCTAGGTTCTTCTGTCTACAACACCAAGGGGAATACTCTAACCATCACGGCCAAACAGACATCGACAAAAAATCCTCGAAGATTACGAAGTAGCGCCACCATCCATGCGTGCCAGGAAACATTACATCTGCTGAACGTCACAGGAAGTGCCCAGAATCTACCATACTCCGTGGTCATACATATAAAGGGACAAGTTATCTCTAGCTTAGCAGAAACAAATCTTTGGTGATTGGGCAACCCTGTCTTGAGACACATCAAAGGCTCTTTAAACAAGGATTGGTTGTTTATCTAGAATACAAGATGCCGCCGGGTGATGGTATCCGACGCGATATTGCCCACATAAGTGCTGAAGAGCGCGGCAGACTACGGGATGCTATAATTAAACTGCACAAGAACAAATTTTATCCTGGCGACCGAAATGACAATCCCACTGGCGGTGTCAGTTATTGGTTCAAGCAAGATGAGATTCACGCTCATACTCATGTATGTTTGAGAGCCACTCCAGCTGTATGAGATTGATTTACTAACTCCGAGTAGCACGGATCTCCAGCCTTTCTTCCTTGGCACCGTGAGCTCGTCAATCGATTCGAAGCACTGATAAGAGAAATCGATCCAACTCTATCTTTGCACTACTGGGACTGGACAAAGGACCCACAAAATCTAGATGACGGACATGGAGGGAACTTCAGCCTCTTTACAGCAGATTTCATGGGAAGCGCATCTGGTGAGGCGGGAGAACCGTGGAGATCGAACGGGTTTTACGATCCGAACGCGTCGAGTACGCGTTCAGATAACCCATTTGATCCTAATAACAACCCAGTTGACCCCCCAAGGCTCATTACACGAAATGTATCACCAGGCTCCCCGGTGACGGGAAACGATGACCAAGCAACAGTTAACCTTTCCTCATATCCGGCGTTTAGAAACCAGATAGAAGGGTATCACGGTTTAGCGCATGGTCACATAGGCGGAAGCCTGAGCAACCCACACACATCATTCCGTGATCCGTTTGTATTCCTCCTTCACTCCGGTCTAGATCGCCTCTTTGCATTATGGCAACTCAGCAGTGACGTTGATGTACGTCTGGACCCAGAGCAAGTGTACAGTTTTGAGGGTAATTCCACCGGTTCTGGGGATGTGCATACCCTGAGACCCTTCTGGGGTATCCTGAGCCCTGTCGAACCGTGGGCTGGACCTGCCGCTCAAAATACATCTACAGGAGTCATCTCTAATGTGCGTGCGACCCGCCCTTGGGCTCCTCCAGAGAATCAGCAGAATCTTCCCGAAAGCCAAAAGAATCACAAGCACTGGACTATTGTGAAGCCACCCCGTTATGATACCAATCCGACGGTTGTGGAAGTCCTGAACCCAGGAAATATTATCTCCTTCAACCAAGTGCCCGCTAGGGAAACAACCGTCCGCGCAGCAACTTTCAGGTTTATATCTAGCTATCCAGTTAATTTCTCCGTTACATCTGGTCCGGGGCCGCCTTTCTCTGTATTCACCAGAGGCGGAACTGTGTCCATCTTTGGAAGTAACGATAGTATCTGGTCAGAAGCAAAAGTGTGGTTCTCATTCACCGCGGGGCCAGCCAATGAAACAGCCCCGTCTTCCCCGGTGACAATTCATTGCGAAACAACAAACTACAGCCAAGACTTTACGTTTACCTTGACTGGAATGAGCATTCCGCGTCCAACCGCCGCAGTAGTGCTGGCGTTAGACCAGTCTGGGAGCATGAATGAACCTGCAGGAACTACGGGCCTTCGTCGGATTGATGCCCTCAAATATGCAGCAAAACAGTTCGTTGAAGTAATCCAGCCTGGCAACGCTATAGGGTTGATACGGTTTGACCACATTGCTTATGCTCCGAATGATTCAATATATCCTGGTCTTCCCCTCTCAACCGTTGGTGAAGGAATATTTGATCAGGAGCGCACCAACGCCAGGAATGCAGTCAATGCACATGCCACCAATATAAGGGGCTCCACGTCCATTGGAGCTGGCATCCTCCAAGCCCATCAAGTACTTAACACGTCTACCAGTTGGGACGTAAAATCAATCGTTGTCTTCACCGATGGGCTCGAGAACACACCTCCAACTATCCAATCAGCCATGAACAGTATCAACTCGCGTACGTTTGCCATTGGCCTTGGAAACCCCCAACAGATCGATACAGTCGCGTTAAACGCGATCACGAATGCCACTGGTGGATACGTATATATCACCGGTGCTCTAGGTCCTACAGATGAAGACTTTTTCAAGTTGACAAAATATTTCCTGCAAATACTCGCCGGGGTCACAAATACTGATATCGTCGTAGACCCCGTTGGATTCCTACCTCACAACTCTGAGATTCATATACCCTTTGCAGTTGCAGACGTTGATATCGAAGTGACAGTGGTTCTCTCTGTCGATGTGCCTGCGGTGGACATTTATCTTATCACACCCTTAGGAAAGAAGATAACTCCTTCCAATGCAAACGGGTTGAATGTCTCCTTCTCAACCGCAGACAACACCTCACTTTACCGTTTTACGCTTCCAGTTACGATCGACTCTGAACAAGAAAGCACTGGTAATTGGGAAGCAGTGCTCCAGATCAATGAGAAACAATTTAAGAAGTACTGCGAGCCTCAGGTGACGCATGGTGAGACTACTCCTACGCCTTGCCGGCGTGGTGGTGCCCGCTACAATGCCAGCGTGTACGCGTGGTCCAACCTGCATTTACGCGCAAATGTCTACCAAGATACCTCACAGCCAGGCACTAGTATAACTATCCGCACGCTTCTTGACGAATACGGTGTCCCTTTTGGAGGCAGTGCGAATGTTGTCACCCACGTAGCTTGCCCCGATGGAACACATTTCGAAATTTCTCTTGGAAAGATCGATAACGGTATCTATGAAGGGGAATTCAAGGCTGTGATGCATGGGTTGTACACTCTCCATATTGCAGCACACGGAGCAACAACTAATGGCCTCCCTTTCACTCGAGAAGCATTGCTGACAGCCGTCGTGCTCTCTGATGGGGAAGGTCGAAGCCAGGACCAACTTGTTGGTGGAGAGCTTTGTTGTATGGTGCAATGTTTGTTACGAGATCAAGGGCTAGGTAAAATCCTGCGGGAGAATAATATTGACGTGGATAGGTTGACGCGGTGTATCGAAGAATGTTGTACTGCCAGATTACAGTCTCATGGATAGGGCAAAGCACTTTCTTTTCGGTTATCTTTACTTAACTCACTCCGCCAATTACAGCTTAACGGAGTATGGACTCCACAGTATAGTGGAATTCGGATATCCGTCGTCAAAATCTCCTATCTACAGTTCTCTGCTGCTTTTCTAAGTTGCTAACGTTCTGGACACTACCTCAATGACATGATAGTTCACATATGAACGTCTGTGATGTTATATCAGGCTCCTTCAAAAGTGACTTTCAATTTCCTGTGTTACTATGATAATTGAATTGATCAAAGTGCAGATTACTGAAGTTTCAGGCTCTTATGCAGATCGACGAATCCAAGAAACTCAAATCTACTAGTCGGATTTAGTTGGCCTTGAAACAGGCCAATCAATTCCCCAGTGCGTTGTGCACCATGTGTTACATATCCCATCTTTGACAGGATCTACTTGTCAGTGTAGATAGCCTAAATCGAATTAGGGAGGCCGATCCTTGGGAGTTATTACTAGTAGTCGACCAGGTCAGGAATTAGAATGGCTACTTTCCTTTTGGTTTTTTACCTTTCTCCACTGATTATGTCCAGGGGCTTTCCATTAACCCTACCATAATATGCTATTTCTTACTATCCTACTTTAAATCCTACTAGTACTTGGCCTAGCGTTGTGTAGACAGTGTTGTATAAATATATCCTAGCTAAGCCAGTGTAATACAAATCATCCTACTCTGTAAGATCACCAACCCAAAAGAAACCGACCCCTAGACCACCCTCCCCAACTCCCCAAACCAGTCGGGAAATGCAACCACAACCACAACCACAATGAAGGTTCTCCACTCTTCCTCACGCATTCGGCAAACCCTTTCCGTGAAGAAATCCATAGTTACCCACACTCTGTCCTTGATTGATAATCAAACTCCCATTTACCCTCCCCGCAGTGGGGCATCGTGACATCAACATTATTTCTCCAAAATTCCCTTCTTTTTTTCCTCCTTTTTATCTTCCCCTCATCCTTCACATTCCCCTAATTGCACATATCTCAATAAACCACTACCAGTACAACTACAACCAAACAGAGGAAGAGAAACAAAAGACAAAATGTCCCTTGCCCAATGGACCACAACCCTGACGGGCCTCTCCTCCCTCACCAAATCCACCACCAACATCCCGATCCCAACCCCAGGAGATCATGAAGTCCTCGTTGAGATCCACGCCGTATCTCTAAATTACCGCGATGTAGAGGGTACTCCCATTCCTATTCCCCACCCCATCCTCATCACTATAACCCCATGCTAACGATGAAATACAATAAATAGTAACAAAAGGCGAATACACCCACCACAAAGCCACCTCCAGCACCCACCCCCTCGAACAAAAGGTCCCCTGCTCCGACATGTGCGGCACCGTCACGCACATCGGTCCCAACGTCACCCGCTTCCAGCCCGGTGATCGCGTGCTCTCGACCTTCCTTCCGGATCACATCACCGGTCAGGTTACGGATAAAGAATTGGCGACGGGATTAGGACACCCCCAGCCGGGCGTGTTGGCGACGCATAGGGTGTTTCCGGAGCATGGGCTTGTCAAGGCACCCAAGCACCTTGGGGATGTGGAGGCAAGTACGTTGCCGATTGCGAGTGTGACGGCATGGATGAGTTTGGAGGAGAGGATTAAGTTGAGGAGTGGACGCGGGGCTGGGGAGGGTGGTGAGGTGGTGGTGCTGTTGCAGGGGACTGGAGGGGTTGCGGTTGCCGGGTTGCAGATTGCGAAGGCGTTGGGGGCTATTGGTATGTCCATTGCGGTTCCCTTCGGGGGTGAAGATTGGTTTGGGGTGATGTTGCTAATGTATTGTGGGTATAGTGATCATCACGTCGTCGTCGGATGAGAAGCTCGAGAAAGCGAAGGCGCTGGGTGCGGACTACACTATTAATTATCGGACTACGCCAGACTGGGATCAGGAGGTCCTGCGCATTACGAACGGGAAGGGGGTGGATGTTATTCTTGAGACTGGGGGTGCGAGGACGCTGAGGAAGAGTTTCGAGTGTATTGCCTTTGGGGGCTTGATTAACTGCATTGGGTATTTGTCGGGCAAGGTGGATGATCCGGAGGATCGGATTAATGTGAATCTGCTGGCGCTACGACGGACGGTTACTCTGCAGGGTATTATAAATGGTCCGAGGGATCGGTTTGAGGAGATGGTGGGATTCTATGAGGAGAAGGGGATCAAGCCGGTGGTGTCGAAGGTTTTTGGGTTTGAGGAGGCCGATCAGGCGTTTAGGTTCTTGGAAAGTGGAGGGCATTTTGGGAAGGTTGTTATTGAAGTTCCTTGAGCGTGTCATTCATTCTCGGTTTGTGTATGGAGAATCGGTGTATAGATAGAAGCTATTGATTAGCTCCGTCGGAGGGAGGCAAATCCGACGAATGTCCCAGATCTTCACCCAGCTGCTTGCCTCCCTCTGCAGTGATGGGTTTACAGTCTTGCAGCACGAACAGCATTCGCGTCCAGTTCTCCTTGCTTGGGTTGCGCCATCCGTGCATCGTCCCCCGCTGCACGGCTATGTCGCCCTTCTTCATCGTCACTTTCTCCCCCGAGTCCAGCTCCATGATGATTTCGCCCTCCAGGACAACTCCGTAGTCTAAACTCCGCGTGCGGTGCATGAATGGGTCTGTGTTTGGCGCAAAGTCCACCACGCGGCAGACGGTGCCGTTGGGGCTGACGAGCCCGAGGTTCTTGGATTCCATTTTGGCAGTGTGGGTAGAAATATCGGCGTCATTGTTGAGGTCGGGCGGGAAGGACGAGGTCGTGTAGGCGACGCTGAAGCCGAATCTGTCGTCCCCGATGCTTGACCAGTCGCCTGCTGTGGAGGAGTGTATTATTGCCTCGCCAGAGGAGTTGTGGGAGGTTATGTGGCGAGTGTAGTTGGGGAGGCCGGAGGGGACAGCCATGGTGTATAGCTGTTTCAAGGTAGGTATTTGGTTGAGCAGAAGAGAAATGGGTTGGAATGGGAGAAAGCTGGAGGGAGGGGGAGGGGTATAAGTGCTGTTGACTGCATCAGGAATGCTGCAGATCCCCCGCCCGCTTGTGGCTGGCTGCTGATATGCAAGATGCGCTGGCACGATCTGGTTTGTTCGGAGGAAGGATAGACCGAGGCTGAAGATGTGTTTTGCATGTTTACTTCTTCGGGCCTCCTTTACTCCTTGTGTTCCCGGTGAAGTTGGTCGTAACACGAGCTAAGTGTTGTGGTTGGTCCGCATTATAGTTCCAGGCAAGCTTGTGAAGCTGCTCGCACGGACAACCCATTTAGAGCTCTGGAATGACGAACATTTACGAGTCTTGACGTAGCAACAATGGGATTGAACCATCAAACAGGAACTCCCTTGTCGTTGACCATGGTTCAAGTCTATCTCCCGAGGTACCACCCATAGATGATGTGGCAGCCTGGACAAGCCACAGACTCCCAACGTCATTGTCCTTCTTCAACTCATTTGTTGCTCGATCAGCGCCACCGATCATCCATCTCCATCTAATGCTGCATACACTTGCTGATCATCCGATGTTTCCACCAGTAGAAGCGTCGATACAGAAGCTGCAAGAAAAGACCAAGGCACACCCAGACACCCTGCCAGAAGAGGGTCCTGTCCGATCTGAGCTGAAACAGCGCACCGAGATGAACGGGGTAGAAGTCCTAGCAGCATGCCGGCAAGAAAGAGAAGGAGAGACCCAGAGACGACGGTCAATCCTGGCCATGTTGACGGGGAAGCATCACCAGAAAATAGCTCGTCATGAAGAACACCAGGGCGAATCTCAAACCGACCAATCCAAGGGAAAACAGCCGCAAAGGGAAGTGCCTGGAGAGCAAGTTCCAGATACCCCTCGCAGCGGCGTGCATGTCCCCACCGCTATCCCAACTCTAGGAACAACGCGCGCTGGCTCCCATCAGAACCCAACCCTAGGGTTAGTTGAAGATGCCATCATCCAGGTCGACCATCTCCAAGTGAAAATAGTCAAGTCATGGCAGAGCATCGACACCGTCCTAAAGGCTAAGACTGCTGGTATGCCCATGATCAAATCCCAAGTATACGCCCTCGAGTGCAGAGACATGGCCGAAACGCTATATGAGTACATGAGCAAGGGCCTCAAGGAGTTGACATCGACACGAGATCAAATATGCGAAGCCTTCGAGCGTGATCCTGATCTGCAGCATCACCACCAAATCTTATGGATATCAGCCGTAAAGGCAGAAACAAAGGCTCAAGACATAATGCGCTTATACAAGGCCTTGGCAGCGGACATAAATCAAACCCTGGGTGCATATCACATGGCCCGTTCCACAGCTATGATGAACAGAGAGACCTTTACGCACACGAAATTGAAACACATCGAGAGCGCCGCGAGGGAACGCCGTCCAAGCCGAGTGCCCCAAACCCAGTCTCAGGAAAGTCAATACATCGCTCGGACTGTAGTGCCACTCACAGGACCAGCGACTCCTGGATACTCGGGATATCCCAATCCCATAGCCATGGATGTTCAGGAGGGCGAAGAGCAGTCCCCCGATATCCCACTTGTTATGGAAGTGCCTCGCTTTCCACTGAATCTTCCTCCGCAAAAGACAGTCCCAAAGACATCAGACAATATCCCCACTAGTGCACCTAATATCGATCGTCCCGTTTGCAACGAACAGAAGGCGGAAGAGGACACGAAGCAAGGCCGGCCAGGTGTATTGGCCACGAAAAAGATGCATATCTTCAGAACGGCGAGTCAACCCTTCTTTCTTCTATTATCGTCTGTTGAGGAGGCTCTTTAATAACTATCTTCATAGCTCTTGCGCGCCGGCTGAATTAGCATAACTGTGTCGAATTGTTTTGTCCGAAGCAGGTTCCGGACCAGATTGAGTACCTTTGACGTTAAGCAGAGACGCCTCGTTATGTGCCACCTCCGGTTCAAGTGGTTCAACGAACGCCAAACACCAGAGCTGATAGCCAAGCCATCCGCGCTGTAAAGGAAAGGATAAGGAAATGCAAGCATCATGGTCCTGCCGACCATCCATGCAGTTCATCTCAATCGGACTTGGAGCATGGATCTCGATGACAGTGGGACTGGATCTCTAAATACTGGGCCAGAATTCCGGATGCTTCGACGGAAAGGGACTAAACGGGGTGGTGGCCGAGAGAATCCGCGAAGCTGTGGCACATATATATTTCCAGATCAGGTGGTCGCATCCCGCGGCCTCAGGCACACCAACACAACTTTTTGTTTGGAGAGAATCTACGGGTGACATTTACATACTGCACCAAGAATGTTGCTAATGTGAAATTAATCAATTCATACATTAACGCTATAACATGCCGTTAAGAGGAGGGTATCCAGCCACCCAACCACGTAGAAGAACCCAGCCTGGAAACACCAAGATGACACCAGACGTTATGCAGGGTAAACATAAATTGTTGATGACCACCAACAGACAAGAAGAGAAAGCGACCCCAGTTCAAACCTCGCCAGCCAGGGGAGAAAGAAATCAACGATGAGGAACCAATTTCTGGAGATGCAAAAGAAGGGTATATGGCGAAAGGTCTAGGTCATGGCAAAGGAAATGTGAAGGGCAGAAAATAAAAAGGGGGGTGCCCAGTAACTTGGAGTAAATGGCAAATGGAAAATATAGCTGTCCGCAGCTTAAAACCAGATCAGAATAGCCATTAGGGATATCATATCATCATCAACCTGGTAGTCCGGCGCTCCGGGAAACGTCGCGCGGGAGGAAGGGGTCCCGTCGCTGCGTACGGCCCATCGACCGGGCCGGGTGGTCGCAGTCCACGACCCCGTCCGCGACCCGGTCCAAAGCCAGGACCCGGGCCAGGAGGGCCCATGTACCCTGGGGGCGGTGGTGGATATCCACGGCCGGACGGGGCTAACGGAGACGAGGGCATGGTTGGACGGCGAGGACGAGGCGGTGGTGGCGTAGCAGCTGCCGCCCGTCGTGCGTCACGTTCGCAGTATACCTGACCATACCATTCAAAGTAATCCCCCTTCAGAGGAATCTGGCAGGTGCGGCATTTCAGGCAGTCCGGGTGGAATTTCTGACGATCCGCGGGCCCACGGCCGCGGCGTTCAACAGTCTCTAGGTACTGGCCCTCAATGCCAGTATGGCAGGTCTGGCAAAGGGAGCCATTTCGTTCATGATAGTGCTGGGCACAATAGGGACGATCTTCCAGGACGTAAAAGTCGGCCGTCTGGAAGGGAGTCCGGCACTGGAAGCACACGAAACAGGCGCGGTGGTATCGGCCCGTCAGACGGCCGTCGGCCGACGACACGGACTTGCCCATGATCATTTCACCGCAACCACGACAGGGGCCCTTGGGCCGAGGTGAGGGTCGCGGCGGCGGTGCTGTCGCAGAACGCACCATCCCTGGTCGGGGTGGGTTCTCCTCCTCCCCCTCAGGACGCCGGGGTTTCTTTTCAGAAACAAGCGACAGGCTACCCTGACTAATGGCAGGGTCAGTTGGCGAGTCAGGGCTGAATAAGGCTTCTGGAATCCGCGGTGGCTCGAGGGCGGTCGGACTTTCGAGGACCGGTTCGTCCAGCACAGGCTGCTGGGGCTTCTTCTCTTCCTCCACAACAGGACCCAGACGACCCTGATCTGAGGGTTTCCGTCGGGACATGCTGGCTTCCGATGGCAGACTGGATAGAGACGTTCCACTGCGGGTGGTGTCTGACGGTGAGGAGTCCGACGAGGTTATTGAACTATTCGCAGTGTGGTCGACCTCTAGTCCCAGTGCTCGTGCGAAGTTGGAAACAGAGTTGTTCCCGTCACTAGCCGAATCAGAATCCTTCCTTTGATTGGTATCTCGCTCATTCGAGCGACCGGATTCCGCGTCTGCTGGCTGGAGAAAATCGGAGCTTTGTGGCTTGAAGGCCTTGTACTCCCCGTTGGCCGGGGTCGCAGGCGAAGCCAGTGGCTCATTTGGTAGCTCAAAGTCGAGCGGGGGTCCATAGGAACTCTGGGCCGGGCTTTGGAAGAACAACTCTGCGGATCCACGGTTGCTGCTAAGACGATCGGAGTTGCTATTGGTATGCGATGAGACTCGGAGCGCACTTGCATTGACATGGTCAATCTCAGCCTTGGCACTCGTCGGCCGTTCCGACACCCCGAAATCGAAGCCACTGTATATTTCACCCCTGCCTTCACGCTTGTCCGCGACTTCGGCGACGGAGGAATCCGAAATCCTGGAGGGGCGCAGGAGTTGCTGCGGTGCAGTAGACGGAACCGGGGGAGCATCATCCACAAACTTGTACGGATCGCGCGCGACGCTCCCAAACGAAGGCCGACGGCTCGACATGGCAGTCGACCGCTTGGAATTCCTATTGTCTCCATACCGCGTGCTTGCCAGCGATGTCCGGTAGCTGCTTTTGCTGTCTATCGAAGCGCCATGTTTATGGCCCACGCCCATGGCCGTCGCGGGAGGGTCATCTTTCGGGAGCGGTGGCGGAGGTACATCGTCTGAAAGCGCATTTCGGTCCAACGCAGGTGCTAATCGAGCTGATAGCATTGGAGGTGCTGACCTGGGGTCCTTTGCGCTCGGCATACCACCCGGGCGTCTGTCCGACATGGAACGGGGTAGGGGGAAGGTAGCAAATGCGGTTTCCAGGTTGATCGAATCCGGGGATTGCGGTTCGTCGGGCAAAGGAGAGGTCTGGCTGCGCTGGAGAGCTCTAAACGGCGACCGTTGACCTGAAGACGTCGAAAGAGGGGAAGGGACCAACGGGTCGTGGTTGGCTATCGGACTTGCGGGGTTCAAGAAAGGACGATCTGGAAGGTCGGTGTTAATTGCATGAGACGCATAACTCTAATATATGGATGGCGCAGGCTCGCGTGGTGTCCAAAATAAACATACTGGCCATTGCAGGGTCAATGCGAGGCGGAGGGCCGGACCTTCCGGGCTTGGAGGTCCAGGCATCGCTGGGAGTTCTGGACGTTAACCCATTGTCTGATTTGGGCGGGGGCGGCGGAGGGGATTGGGAGGGCGAAGGAGTTGCTGCAAGGGACCGGTCAACACATTGCATTCCAACGGTGAACAGCATAGCTGGGGTAGAGAAAGATTGGGGGAGAATCTTTACCTGGCATTGGTTTGGCACACACATGATCGCCCATGGAGGAGATTTCCACGCTCATTCCACAATTGGAGCACTTGATCATGGGCAGTAGGCCCCCCTCCATGATGGATGCCATGCTGGGCAACGGCGAAAGTCTACAATAGCGAACAGATATCCACCAGTCACTGGCTCATTGGAATGAGCGGGCGGAGGGGGGTGAGGGGGGGGGAAGTGGCTCGTCCAGGCCACGCCGGGCGCGTGCTTTAAGGGTCGTGTGAATCTATGCAGTGCAGGACTCCTCGCATGAGGGGAACAGTCTCATCCCCAGATGTCAAGGGCACGACACGACGCGACAGGACGATCTGGATGGAGCCAGAAGGAGCTGGGTTAGAGACGCATGGATGTCGGAGCTGGAAAGAGGAGAGAGAGATGAAAGCACAAGCACCAACCATTGTTGACTGGGGGGGCGTGTGGGAAGGGCCCATCCAAAATACTAATAGTAGTAAACTCTTGGCTGGGGGGGAAGAGAGCACTAACCATTAGACTAGACTAGCCTGGTTGCCAGTGTAGTGAGTGTCCAGTGGGTGGATAGTTAGCCCGTCTGGGATGCAGAAAAGCCCGATTCTAGTTGGGTGGGACTGAGAGAACTTCCTCGTGTGTTCGCCGTGGGAAGTTGGAAGTTTGGGGCGATCCACGAACCCTTCCAGCAATGTTTCCCCCTGATTGGCCCTGCGGCAGTCCAGCCAACACGCGTTGTTGCTTTTAGCACCACATCATGTCTCTCTCCTTGACAACACTAGAAGGTCCGGCTGCAGCTCGCCGCGGGTCGGAACACATTCTTCTTCGGTGTCAGCGCAGCGATTGGCATGGATTCTTACTAACAGGAGAAACCTGTAGTTAACTAGTGAGGCTGATTTCTTCTCCGAATATGTGTCTTCAGTAGAATTATTTCATGACTATCGAACGGGCGATTGATTCCTATGGATGAGCATACACTGTGTACACCCACTGACCGAGAGTTACTCCGGTCGCATCCCATACTCACTCACTTTACTTTCGCTCCGAACCCCCCGGTCAAGCCTCTTAATTTTCGTGTTCACACTCAATATCGGTCTTGAACTCTCATTTATTTTTATCTACCCCTTTCCCACATCCCCAATCAGTTTGCAACAATAGCTGATTTCGTGACGTTCAGACGATAGTGTTGCCTCCCAGGCATTTTAGCCCCTGAACCATCCATCATCCACCGCAGATCATCCTTCAGGGGCAACCCGCCCCGTGACTAACAACGATTCTCCCGTCCTCCCCCAGCCTAACTTGGCAAATGGCAACTAGCTCACTATGTTTTTTCCACGGTGTCGTCCGTCTGTCACCCCCCAGGACGGAGGAGTATCCTTCTGTGACTTAACTTGCAGGTCTCCAAGTGGGAATGGGAACGCACAAGCCTCGTCTCTCGGTTGGAGGTTTACGCCAATAACCTTCCCCTATTCCATCCCCCCCTATACCGTGCCTCTTACTTCTTCTTCCATTTCAAGCATCTTCAATAGTCCTTTACACTTCGAGGCATACCAGCACAGGCCTCCAGAGGTGACATCTCATGCCGTGATCCCAATCTTAACGCTCAAGATGGCGATGGACAATCACCCCAACCAGTAACCCCGCAACCAGATGTGATTTGCATCTACCCCATCTCCCAGCTACAAAGTATATTCCGGAAGCTTAAGCAGGAAGCAAGGGGCCCGGTTTAGCAGAGCGTATACGCTGTCATTCCTTGGTTAGACCCGACGATCTGGGAAACCGATGGCCTGTCACAGCTGGCAGATATATGTTTAGAAACTGTCCGAATTTCGAGAACAGACGGCCGGTCACACAGAGACGTCGTAACCCCTCGACTGCCCTCACGCATCCTGGTGGACCGATTGTGCGGGTGACGCAGATCGAAACCTTCTGCTGATTCTTAGCTGTGTAGCGTCCAGGAACCGGTGACCTCCGTACCATGGCTCGGTCCCAATAGTACCCGGCAGTCGGCGACGCGCATTGCTCTCAAGATTGAGTAGGATACGATACCTAAGGATTGTGAACCATGATGACATTCTTTGTGCGTAGTCAAGGTTCAATCTCAAGATCTGGCGGACGACAGGCCATGGGTACCTGCCTACGGATTATGCACGACTGCTGTCTTGTGTCCGATTGGCGGACAATATCCCTCCCCTAGCAGTACTCTGTAGTGCCGCAGTGTGCAGTAATGTACTGGTGTAATGCTCCACGCAAGCTCTGGATACATACCACTATATCCTAAACGCAAAACCTTTGAATAGAACCACTTCTTTTGGATGATGGATCCCACATGGTCTGACTATATATTCTGCTGCGCGTCAAGCGGCTATCTCACTGTCTGACACTGAGTCGCTCGTCGTCAGCCCATGGCGTCTGAGTCGGTTAGTTTTGCTTGCCGAAGGTCTAGCCGAGTCTCTGCCCGAATGTTTCCCGCCCTCCGCCAATCCCACGGCCGATGGACAGCCTCAGGCTGCCTTCCAGCCCATGGATGCCGTGTTGCCTGAGGACCTTGCAGCGGGCGCTATCACATGATTGTGTCAACAGCAAGCAATGAGGAGCAGATCATGATTGGTGTGCTTAGCTTGAACCCTACTACTAAATTGCACACAGTCATTGGAACACCACACACAGTGCAATGGTGGGGACAAGCGCCAAATAGACTCGTCTCCTTTTCACAATCCAGGCAGCAGTCCTGTTGGGCCGTTGTGCACGCATTACCGATGGAATAGTCCAGGGGTCGTGATCCTACCACGGCTCGTCTGCCGAGCTCTCCGCTGCTCCCCTGCCCACACACCACGAGCTTCCTGTCGAGCTTGCTTGCCCGTGGCAATTCTGACTCGTTCTGATGCATTGTATCTCGTGACTATTCTTCTCCTATGAAGCAGCCTCCTGGCATATATTCTGCAATATTAACTGGCACAAGTCTCGCTTCAGTCTGGTGTCAGCGTCGGCAATCAACTCCTCATTATCGCGATTCGCGGGCGGAGCCCCGCGACTCCGACTGCCTACTAGTAACCGACCCACCATCGATGATGGATGGAGCCCAGGCCACATTCCGTCCCGGGCCTGGGGAGTCCGGTGCCAGTCCTTGAGTTCAACTGTCTTCGTCCCATCTTTGGGACACCGCTGCTGGGCTTTTTCCTGGGGATAATCATGGCACCCATGATTCTATCTCGCCGTTCGTGGGCTAGCGGCAGGCCAATGCCGGGAACGGCACAGCGGGCCTTTATCGAGACACTGCCAGGCTATGGCAGAGTTGTATAGCGGAATGGCCATTTTGAGCTGGAAGGAATAGATTCAAGGTACTCGAGAGTCACAATTCGTAAGCCACATTCACTCCATATCATTATCTAGCCTCTCATTCACCAGTCAAACTCATAAGTGTCCGGTAGACATAGACACGATCTGCTCACCGCAATTGTCATTTGTGGGATGTGCTGGACATAGTTGGCCTTTTACGCTTTTACGCGGGCGCTCGGAAGTCAACACCTCGCTAGACAATCCCTGAAGCCTGTCATTTGCCAGGAAGGTGGACTAGTGCACTGTTGAGCTGGTTGGGGGTGCGGAGCAGTTTGGATCCGGATACGGTCAGCAACGTGACCCGCCGTATAAGTACCGCTCCCTCCTCGCTTTCCCTCGACCCTTCCTCCTTCTACCACCCATCAATACCTTCAGTTCGTTAGCAATCGTCTTCCCGTCGTTCAATTCAACTTCTGATCACACTCTCTGAGGCGTGGTCTAATAAAAACCGTCAAAATTTTCGCCACACTTCTTAACTCGTAAGTTCCCCACCATTCTCCGCGGTCTCCCGACGATGGCTGCCCCTATCCCAATGCTCCAAGAACAGCAATTGGACCTTCCTCCAAGCAATCCCACTTTCCAGGGTCTTCTTATGGCTAATCTGTCTCCTTTCCTTTAGGCGGCACCACCCGTTCAACGGCCGGCGCTCATCCAACCGTGGTGGGGCACCGGACTACGCATTATACGTCCAGTAAACAACTCGCAGTCTGAACACTCGCATTATCTGTCTCGCACGCCAATCTGTCAACTGTGAACAATGGCTCCCCACGCAAGCTCGGATGTTGCTGCCAATGGCGCCGTGAACGGGTCCGCTCGTGCCAACGCTCCTCTGTTTACCGTCAACTCGCCCAACGTCGTGTACACCGACAATGAAATCAGAAGCCAGTATGCTTACCATACCACTGATATCACCCGCACTGCCGACAACAAGCTCGTTGCCACTCCCAAGGCCACCAACTACCACTTCAAGGTCGACCGCAAGGTGGGCAAGGTGGGCGTCATGATGGTCGGCTGGGGTGGTAACAATGGTTCCACCGTGACCGCAGGTATCCTTGCCAACCGCCGTGGTCTCGAATGGGAGACCCGCGAGGGCATGCGCGCCTCCAACTACTACGGCTCTGTAGTCATGGGTTCCACCATCAAGCTCGGTACTGACGCCAAGACCGGTGAGGAGATTAACATTCCTTTCCACGACATGCTGCCCATGGTCCACCCCAATGATCTCGCTATTGGTGGTTGGGACATTAGCAGCCTGAACCTTGCCGATTCCATGGACCGTGCCCAGGTTCTGGAGCCTACCCTCAAGCAGCAGGTTCGTAAGGAGATGGCCGAGATGAAGCCCCTGCCTAGTATCTACTACCCGGACTTTATCGCTGCCAACCAGGAGGACCGGGCCGACAATGTGCTCGAGGGCTCCAAGGCATGCTGGGCTCATGTTGAGAAGATCCAGCAGGACATTCGGTGAGTCTCCTTTCGAGTAATTATTGCTTCCTCACTGACCCAAACAGCGACTTCAAGGCTCAGAACGGCCTCGACAAGGTCATCGTGATGTGGACTGCCAACACCGAGCGTTACGCCGATATCCTGCCTGGCGTCAATGACACGGCCGACAACCTCCTCAACGCTATCAAGACCGGCCACCTGGAGGTGTCCCCGTCCACTGTCTTTGCTGTGGCCTGTATCCTGGACAACGTTCCCTTCATCAACGGCTCTCCCCAGAACACCTTTGTTCCCGGTGCTATCCAGTTGGCTGAGCAGCACAAGGCCTTCATTGGCGGAGACGACTTCAAGTCTGGCCAGACCAAAATGAAGTCGGCTCTGGTTGACTTCTTGATCAACGCCGGTATCAAGCTCACCTCGATTGCCAGCTACAACCACCTGGGCAACAACGACGGCAAGAACTTGAGCTCCCAGAAGCAGTTCCGGTCCAAGGAGATCTCCAAGTCCAACGTGGTGGACGACATGGTCGCGGCTAACAAGATCCTCTACGCCGAGGACGAGCACCCCGACCACACCGTGGTGATCAAGTACATGCCTGCGGTGGGCGACAACAAGCGCGCGCTCGACGAGTACTACGCGGAGATCTTCATGGGTGGCCACCAGACCATCAGTCTGTTCAACATCTGCGAGGACTCCCTGCTGGCGTCTCCCTTGATCATTGATCTGGTGCTGATTGCGGAGATGATGACCCGCATCAGCTGGAAGTCGGACGAGGCGGCCGAGTACAAGGGCTTCCACAGCGTGCTCAGCGTGCTCAGCTACATGCTCAAGGCGCCTCTGACTCCTCCGGGCACCCCTGTGGTCAACTCGCTGACCAAGCAGCGCAGTGCCTTGACCAACATCTTCCGGGCGTGCGTTGGACTGCAGCCTGAATCCGAGATGACTCTGGAGCACAAGCTGTTCTAGACACCCACCTAGTAATGCTTAGCCATCATGCTAGGCGTTGATCACACTTTACCCATTGTTAGCCAACTACAGCCACTCTTTGAATATCAATGACTACCATTCGTACCACCATTCTTCTCATATCGCTCTCATTGTATATCACTATCACTTCGTATACCACACATCCGTAGATATCTACTGCGTCTTCCCCAAATCCGAATAAGCATTCAACGCCAACTGCCCTCCCAAATGCGCAAACAGAATATTCCCCTGAATCTCCCCCCTCTTGACCAAATCCATCATCCCCGCAAAACTCTTCCCCTCATACACCGGATCCGTAATAAACGCCTCCGTCTTCGCCGCAAACTCAATCGCCTCCCACGTCCTCTTATCCGGCACTCCATACACACCCCCATGCCACTCCTCCCACAACTCCACATCCTCCTCCGATACCTCCTCCCTCCCCAACCCAATCCTCTCCGCCGTCTCCTTCGCAATCCGCAACACCTGCTCCCTCGTCTCCTTCGGCTTCGCACTCGCATCAATCCCCACCACCCTCGTCTTCCCCCTCCCATTTCCAGCCTCTCGATCCAACTTCTCCAACAACTTAAACCCCGCCACCATCCCCGCCATCGTACTCCCCGTCACCGCACAAACCACCACCGTCCCAAACTCCACCCCCAACTCCTTCTCCTGAGCCCGCACCTCAAACGCCCACCGCGCGAACCCCAACCCACCCAACGGATGATCCGACGCGCCCGCAGGGATATAATACGGTTTCTCGCCTGCCGCGATACACTCCTCTTCCAGCTTCTTCAATGTACTCTTATGCTCGATCCCAAATCCCGATGGATCAAGCCGTACATCCGCCCCCATGAGTCTCGATAGCTGGATGTTCCCCACCTTGCTGTAGTGCGCGTCGTTCCAGGGAACCCAGTCTTCTTGGATCACCCGACATTTCAAGCCCGTCACTGTGGCGGCCGCGGCGACCTGCCGGGTATGGTTTGATTGGATCCCCCCGATGGAGATTAGGGTTGTCGAACCGCTGGAGAGGGCGTCCGGGATGAGGTATTCTAGTTTGCGGGTCTTGTTGCCGCCTCCGGAGGCGAGAGGGGAGGATAGGTCGTCGCGTTTGGCGTAGATGGTTGTTGATGGGTTTGGGGGGGAGAGGGCGGAGGTGATGAGCGGGAGGGCGTGGATAGGGGAGGGGCCGAAGGTTAGGACGTGTCGGGGGATGGTGCTGAAGGGGGGTGGGAGGGGGAGGGGGTCTTGGTTGTTGGTAGTAGTTGAGATGGTCATTTTGGTAATAATGGTGATAGTAGTTGTAGTAGGAGGTTTGGTTATTTGGGTGTGTGTAGATGATTGGGGTAGATGTGTGTGGTGGTGGTGATGGTTGGAGTATATATAGACGGTACTTACTAGTAGTAGGTGTAGGTACTGATAGTAAGGAGATGTTAAGGCACCGATCCCGGAGCCGGGCTGCTCATTTACCCCTCTTCTGATGCATTATTACCGAGTTTAAGCGTTGCCCTTTCGGAGGTTGCCCGTAAGTGCCGTGTAGGTACTACAATTCACTACTGTTTTTGGATGAGGTGATTATCGGGCTGACGATAAGATTATCTTAGTAGTAGGTGTTGACTAGCGGATGGTGGTCCGATATCGTGATAGGGATAGCATTGCTGATTAGATAGGGGGATACTATCAGTTAGTGGATCTGTTGATACTACTACCAGAAGTATTTAAGTACAGTAGTTGGGTTAGACTAGGTGGCTGGTAGTTGAGGTGAGGGGTTATGACCAGTGTAGTCTTCTTCCCGAGTACTACTTGGTGAACTTGCTGCAGACATAGTTATGTAAACCACAAGGTCCTACGACTTTACAGTTGCTGAGGACCTTGGAGACAACTACACATATATATAGACATCGTTTCTAACAGCTAACTCGTAATTTTATTCATTCAATTTATTCATCAGTGTACATTATGGCAGGTTTATGACAGGTCAACAACGCAGCGAACGCAGTCGCCCGCCTTCATCTGCTCAAACGCCTTGTTGATGTCCGACAGCTTCTCGCGGTGCGTAATGAACTCATCAACCTTCAGCTGTCCGTTCAGGTAGTCATCAACCAATCCCGGCAGCTGCGTACGGCCCTTGATACCGCCAAAGGCGCAACCCTTCCACACACGGCCAGTGACCAGCTGGAATGCTGCAACCAGTTAGCATTGCGCGCTTTTTTACACATTCAAAGAATACTTACGGCGAGTGGAAATCTCCTGGCCAGCAGCAGCAACACCGATGATAATACTCTCACCCCATCCCTTGTGGCACGCCTCCAGGGCAGCCCGCATCACACCAACGTTACCAGTGCAGTCGAAAGTGTAGTCGCAACCACCGTCCGTCATCTCAATCAGCTGCTCCTGGATGGTCTTGCCACCGAGCTTGGTGGGGTTGACAAAGTCCGTGGCGCCGAACTTACGGGCCCACGCCTCCTTGCCGTCGTTGACATCGACCACGATGATGCGGCCAGCCTTGTTCTTCACAGCACCCTGGATGACTGAGAGACCGACACAGCCGGCACCGAAGACGGCAATGTTGGAGCCCTCCTCCACCTTGGCGGTGACGACGGCCGCACCGTAACCGGTGGTGATACCGCAGCCAAGCAGGCAGGACCGGTCCGTGGGGATCTTGGGGGTCACAGCGACAACGGAGATGTCGGCCACGACGGTGTACTGGGAGAAGGTGGAGGTACCCATGAAGTGCAGCAGGTCCTTGCCGCGGGCCTTGAAACGGGAGGTGCCGTCGGGCATCACACCCTTGCCCTGAGTGGCACGAATCTTACCGCAGAGGTTGGTCTTGCCGGACTTGCAGAACTTGCACTCACGGCATTCGGGGGTGCTAGAAACGTTAGCAGCGGAGTGCGCAATTGCACCAGGTGTCGCTTACTAGAGAGCAACGACATAGTCACCGGGCTTCACGGAGGTGACGCCCTCGCCGACGGACTCGACGATACCGGCACCCTCGTGTCCCAGAACAACGGGGAAAGCACCTTCGGGGTCCTTTCCGGAGAGAGTGTAGGCATCTGTCTCGGTCAGCCTGGCTTTCAATCCCAGCTGTCTCACAATCACCGACCTGTGTGGCAGACACCAGTGTGAAGGACCTGAATGCGGACCTCGTGGGCCTTGGGAGGAGCAACTTCGACGTCCTCAACGGAGAGAGGCTCTCCGGCGCCCCAGGCAACCGCAGCCTACAAAAGTTCATTGGTATACTCGATGGTGGAGGTCATTGTTCGAGTGGCTTTCTTACCTTGCAGGTGATGGTCTAGATGAGTTAGTCAACGCACGCGTCAATGCTGGTCTTTGCTTCGAGCTGGAACCAACAAACTCACCTGTCCGACAGTGCTGGCCATGATGAATCAGGCAAAGATAGTGGCAATCACTGAACCGGAAGGAACCGGAAGAGGGAATCAAGGGAAGAAAAGGGATGATAAAAGGGAAGAAAAGGATGAAAGAAGAGGAAGAATGAAGCTCGAGGTTGAGCCAGCAATAAATTGGCAGCAGAGTGGTCGGGTCGGCAAAGACGGTGGAGTTGGCCGATGAGGGGAGCACGAGGGGGGAAGAAGAGGGGCGCCGTGAGGGGCACCCATTTTGTACTGTTTTGCTCTGTTTGCTGGGCAAATTCTAGATGTACCGGGTTTCGGGTACACATCCCGATACCATCAATTCCTCCGTCTTTCATCATCTATCTCGCATACACTAACCATTGATCCCCTCATGCCTCCGCATGAGTGTGTATGAGGGTGGCGGGCAGGGTGCGGTCCCGGTATCGTTGTTTTGCAGTGGGCCATGACTGGGGCTACAGGATACGTTATCTATAATGGAGGGTCAATCTCCGCCAAAGTAGTCTCAATGCATTCAAGTGCACGTAAGGAGCTCCATTCTTCTGATATCCCACGACTGGTAGATAGATAACTAGTACTCGTCCTGCGTACTGAATGACTCCATTGGGACAGATGATGCGATGACTCAGGCATAACCCGGTTAGGTAATGTTTTCCGGCTCTCTTGGCCCGTGCACGCCAAGAGGCCCCGACGGGTGACTGTCGGCGTCCCGATCGGGTAAGTTCGATTCTCGTTGTATCAACACAGTTTATCCAGTCATCACTCTACACGGCAATGGCTCGTAAGTAGACCTATCTGTAAAAGTATTCTTAGGGACTCATCCCCTCACGTCTTTTGGAGAAGAAAGAAGCAAAATTGGAGAAAGTCAAATGTCGATGACTTCATCATGGTTATACCACATTTATGCCTGCAAATGAAATATCCATTATGCCTGATACATGCTACAACTGACCATCTGTATCCTAACCAGCATAGTTTACTTCAAATGCTATTTCCATTCCATATATTACAATCACGGCAGCAACAGTATACCTCCATACTGTGAGCTCGGCAACCAAAACTTGCTCCTCAAGAGCGAGCGGGTGCCCATCGCCGGCCATTAGGGGATGTCATCATTGCAAAAATTCTAATATTTTATACAGAAACCGCCAAAGTCAAGGCAAAGCAAAGCAACCGAACCCCATGCTAAATTTCCCATTTACCGCTGTTGTCCCTGCATCATCATGGCCTGGTTCTGTTCCTGGAACCGCTCGTTCAGGCGAGCCGATCCCTTCATGAACTTGTCAACGCAGCGCAGGACACAGCCCTCTTCCCGGTTGATCAGGGACTTGGTGGTGAAGTCGTTGACGCAGTCATCGAAGCAGCGCTGGACGAGCTTGGAGTACATCTACAATGATCAGATTAGAATCCGGAAGGCCGAGCTAGGGATGATAAATGGACGAATGGGCAGATGGACGGGCGGATGGACGGAAGGACAGATGAACTGTTGAAAGTGTAGATAGATTGTGCAAGGCAGGAGCCGGATTCGGTGCGAAAGGGTATCACTGTTTATTTTGGGTCTCACGTACGGTCATGAATTCCTTCATCTGGCGTCTCTCCATGCGAGAGGCGAGCTCACGCTGCTCAGAGGCGTTGAGGCTGGGACTGGTCAGTACACATCCGGGGAACTTTTGATAAAAAGGTATGAAAAGGGGAACTGCTTACGATTCCATTGTGATGTGATTGGGTCTGAAGCTAGGTAAATCAAAAAGGGTAGCGTTTGATAACAAGAGGCCTGGGTCGTGATGACGACCGTAGCTCCGGAGCTGCTCTACGGACCGCAGGCTCTGATGTGATCACGTGCCTTATCCAGCTCCGATCAGGTGACCGGAACCGGACCGCTTGTTGATCGTGCTGACTCATCCATTGCCGAAACCGAGGTCATTCCCAAACCGGCAAACAGCAGGACAATCCAGCTGGCGCTGTTCCATTCTTTGGGCAAGTTAAAAAAAGCACAACGGCCAAGGTGGCCCCAGACTTCCATTCGCCAGAACCATGGTTCGCCCGTCCACAACCGGAGGTCCATCAAGTCGAGAAGCAACCCAGAAGGACAAAGATCTTCTTTGAATTCCCACCGCAATGACTCGGGCTGGAGCCACCCTTGGTGCTTGTTGGATGATTCTTCCTAAAAAATCGACAGGTCTTAGGGCCAGCTTCGATCGAAGGATCTAGGAACGTTTGGCTTTGGGTAGAACAATCCCACATTCCAATCCGGAGCTTAGCGAGATCGTGCTCGGGGTGATTTCATTGCTTTTGCGGTGTATCATGCTCATGAGCTTGCGCGGGTGGGTTGCTGGAATGGAGCTGGTCAAATTATTAGCTGATTCCTAGCGGATCCAGTATACAGAACTATATTGCTGTCCCCGTAGGCGATTGCGTGGAAGATGTGCCACCGAGATCAGCAGACCAGTAAGCCACCTATGGCGAGAAATTATGTTTTACCAGCCACTCGGATAGGGGCATGTTGTCTTCCAATGATAGGCGTGAACATATAGCAGTCTCTCCGGTTGGTTGTTGGTCCTATGCCTAGTACGCAAGTTGACCCATTCTCCTAACACAACGCTTGGGCTGTATATCTATGTCTTGGGACTTACGTGCACTCCAACAGGAGACATTCCCTGTGTTATGCGTGCATGGAGTAAGCTTAGTCTTAAATTGTTTGAGATTGAATGTGATGATCCAATCAATGGCATAAGCTTCCTTCACACTTCACAGCTAAACCGTACGTTTTATGTATTCGTATGTAGAAAAGCAGAGGAGCTGAAGAGTCGGCCCTACGATCAACCTGGCGAGGGATCCAGCCCAACAGCCTGGTGGGTAAGCTGTTGTAGATAGATGAGTGGCCACCTGGAACTGCACTCCTGAGATCGGCAGCTGACGGACTAGTTCGGGCAAGCGAATCTCGCACCACGACCGAACTAAACCACTAGACGCGGGGTCAGCATTCTCTCGGGCCGTTTGGGATGACAGCCACATCAGTTGATGGTTGGAGAACCGCGGTAGGACCCTGATGGTGCGGCATCGTTGCTCAAGGGGAAGCGCCCTGAGGGTTGCATCAGGGGATCCATAGTCATATTTTTGGCTAGAACCACGAGCAGCCGATGGGTCGACAGCCTGCCGATACTGTGTATAGTGTATACCTTGTTGTAAACGTAGCAGCTTGGCAGACTGGAGAGTATCATTCCTCTTCCCAATTTATAGTTTTCTGATCGTCCGTGAGGAGGCGATAGTGAGTCAACAGGAACAGGATCTACTCCCTCACTCACTCACACACACTCACTGAGAAGTTCCCCGGTCGGAGAAGAGGGGGGAGGGGGGAAGAGGGTATTCTGCATTCGAGAATCCTTATCCGGATAGAGCGAAAGAAGGAGTCCCATTCGACTGCGGTCTCCGGATAGCCTCATGTCTCAGAGGGGCCTTGACGCAATTGGCTAGAACTGGGGCCATATAACCGGCGTAGCGGAATGATTGAAGAATGGTCCAGTTAGTGTCCCATGCTAGTGTGCCGGAGGGACGACTAGAACCAGGGCCAGAACCGACGGACCTGGAAAAATAATAAGCAGAGGAGGAACCGCACCCAAAAGAACAAAACAAGAATAGGAAATGGCGGTTAAAAATAAGCAAAATTAGTAGATAATACTCCGTAATAAGGGTTAAATAAATAACAACGGAAAATGGAAAAAGGAAAAAAGGGCACCCAAAAAAAAAGGGCCCTGGTTGGAGCCAGTCAACCCTGGAACCCTGGGGTCTGGTCCCAAGCAGGGCCACTTGCCAGAACTTCAATTCCCAGGAGGACAAATCCATCTCCATGCTTGGCGGGGGGTGTTTTCAATTTCCCAAAATTTCCCCCCCTCTCTCTTTCCCATCTCTGACACATCCTATTTCTATTCTATCTTGAATTCATTTACTCCATCCTGATCTCTGATATGATTCTGGTTCTAGTTGTGGTTCCGGTAGGAATAGATACATAGTTTGCCTGGGGGGTGAACTGGTGACTGAACTGGTCATTCCTCTTGTCTTTTACCTCTCCGTCTTCCCCTTTGGGTCCCGCCTACAGCAGCACGCCTCCAGCCTGTTCGTCCGGTTGTCACGCAGTTTGGCTGGTTGGCTGTCCGTCGGTTGATGCTCCATCCTTTCCATCCTTTCCCTCCTGTCTCTTTCTCCTGTCTCCTCCACAATCATCTCCTTTCATCCTCCATCACGCCTAGCAACCACCACATCTTCACCATCTACAACGACACGACAAGCACTCCGGGGTATCTATTGATCTGACTGCAGCTCTCAAGTTTCGTTGGTTCAGATGATGGTCATTGGTTTCACCCCCAGACCAGCCAAGAAGCACCTCTGCTGCTGCTCACCCACGCAACCAGAGTCCCATCCACCCTGTCGGAGGGCCCCAAATCAGCCTCTCAGCCTGAAGTTCATTCCTGATTGCTAGACTCCCTTATTGTTGCTCACCACTACCACCACCACCACCACCTCCTCCTCCTCCTCCCCCCGAACCGTTCAACGTTGACGGACATCCCGGCATTCGTTGATTTGCTCGTGTTTTGTCTGCTTCGTCTCGTTCTTGCCAGCGCTGCCCCCATCCATTCACCCCTCTCCTACATCTACTCCGGCTTCCTGCGTTCCCTTGTTAACCTCCTTTCATTTCTCACTCCATCCCTCCCTATCTCCCCTGTCTCTCTCCTTCGTGCGTTGTCTACCCTTCGCTGTCTCCATTCTTCTCCCTGCCCCGTTGGAAAAAAAATTCCCAGTGTTCGTTTTACCGGTTCCCTGCTACTGTACGTGTTTCGGACGGCGCGGCACTTAAAATCCGCAGCCTGACTAGTCCTCGTGCTATTTTGGGATCACGCCTCCCAGCCCCGGAATTTCTCGCGCCAACAACAAGGGCGGTGACGGAGGCCTCGGATTAGCAGGGTCTGGTTCGGTCGCTGTATTTCTATACCTTCGCAGTCACGTCGCATCTCGTCTGGAACCCTCGTTCCCATCGCGCACTGCCCACCATGGTTACTACCGGCAAGTCGCACCCGGGTGTCGATCCCCTGCACCGGCTTCCACCCACCGCTGCCCCCCCTGAGGCTATCGCGACCTCGCCGCCGTCGAAACGTGACTTGGCTTCGTGGTGGAGACAATTCAAGAGAAATACCAGAAAGGAGGAACCGAAAGGTATGTGTGGTGGTATAATAGGATCTTTTGGTTGGGTTTGCTGCGCTGCGGGGAAGCTCGGCGGCGATGCGATCGTGGGGCGTCCGTGGAATCCCATCGCATCGAAGCCTGTCGCCCTGTTAGCATTCTGCGGCTCCCTTAGCTACCTAGGATTCGCTTCTGATGGGCTCTGCTTTTAACATGTGCTAATGGATTGCAGAAAAACCCCAGGGTATCTTCGGCATCCCCCTCAACGTCAGCATCAAGTACGCCAACGTCGCTATCTCCCTTACGAACGACAACGGCGAGAGCTTTATCTACGGATACGTGCCCATCGTGGTCGCAAAATGTGGAGTCTATTTGAAAGAGAAAGGTATCCCGACCACGCTGGCCCTGCGATAAGATCGCTGCTAACGTAAATCTCGCTAGCGACCGACGTTGAGGGCATCTTCCGTCTGAGCGGCTCTGCAAAGCGCATTAAAGATCTTCAGGAAATCTTCGACTCCCCCGAGCGTTATGGAAAAGGTTTGGATTGGACTGGCTATACTGTGCATGATGCGGCGAACGTTCTTCGGCGCTACCTGAACCAGCTGCCGGAACCGATCGTCCCGCTAGACTTTTACGAACGGTTTCGCGAACCCCTACGGACGTATCAACGACAGGTCCAGGAACAGATTCAGAACAACGCCCCGCCCGCGGACACCGAGGCCTTCGACCATGCCAAAGCGGTCGCGGCCTACCAGCAGTTGATCCGCGAGCTACCCCCGTTGAACAAACAGCTTTTGCTCTATATCCTCGACCTGCTGGCTGTCTTCGCGTCCAAGTCTGATCAGAATCGCATGACTTCGGCCAATCTGTCCGCCATCTTCCAGCCAGGATTGTTGTCGCATCCGCAGCACGACATGTCTCCAGACGAATACAAGCTAAGCCAGGATGTCCTGATCTTCCTGATCGAAAACCAAGACCACTTCTTGTTTGGAATGAACGGCACCGCCGCTGACGAGCAGACGGTCAAGGAGGTCGAAGGGGGTCTGGCCCGCCGGCCCACCACTCATTCCAACATTCGACGCTCGGTGTCGAGTGCCAGTGGCGGTGCGGAGAGCTTCCGAAAGTATGGAAGTCTGCGCCGGAATGTGTCTGTCTCGTCGAAGAATTCCCGCAACTCCAATGCTGCAACCCCTGCTACGCCGACCTCACTGGGTGGTGTGGGGGTACATCGCAGCAACACATTGCCGTCTAAGATGACGCCCGTGATTCCTCCATCACGGTATGGACGACCGGTGGATAACACAGGGGTCAACTCATCGGCACATACTTCTGCGCAACACTCGCGATCGTCCAGCCGTGCGCCTGCACCTGCTGAGGACACCCCTCAACCTCTACCCCAGCCTCAACCTCAGCCTGCTCCTCAACCCCAGGTTGCTCCTCAAGCTCAGGCTCAGCCTCCTCAACCCGAGCTTGCACCCCCAACCCAGATTGCACCGCAACCTCAGCATGCGCCCGAACCACAACCTGAGTTGCCCCAGACCAATGCTCGGATGAGCCCTGCACCTAACCAGGTTGCCCAGGGCACTCCCCCGCCGACAAATGGTCAGGGATCCATAACCGAGGTGGTAGAGCCAGGGACAGGGATCGTCTACGTTCACTCGTCCACACACGGACCCGTACCAAAGACTGCGCTTGAGAATGGAAATGGACTTGGCGATACGAAACCTGCCACCGCAAATCCCAGTGTGGAGAAGCCCGCTGTTGAACAGACCATTGCAGAAAAGCCAGTTGTGCAGCAGCCCATCGCCCAAAAGCCCGCTCAGACTCCCATTGCTGAGAGGCTGATGGCAGAGAGGCCTATCCCACACCCTGAACAGACAAGTACGGAGAAGCTTGGTGACAGACCTACCAGTGAACGGCCCATCCTGCGGGAAGGATTGCCACCCATAGCTGCTTCACCCCCGCCGGCGGTGGTGACGCCGACGCGGGAACGCAAGCTCTCTAGTCTCTTCTCCAAGTCACCGCCACCAAGTGGTGAGCATAAAGAGCCGCGACAGCCAAATCGCTTGAAGAAGAAGCGAATCCCTGGCAGCGCGAGTGAAAGTGCGCAAAGCTCGTCTTAGTCGCTGCAGGCCGCAACATCGGATACTGGGTTGGCAGCGATCTTGCATACTTCCCGACACGCGGAGGTCAACAATGATGCTGGAGGAGCGACACCACGAGCCCCCAACACTACGAGTTCTGATGATCTGAGCCCGCCACGAGAAGGCAGGCCAGAGAAGCAGCTGTTGCCGCACGAAGGTGGACAGCAGGCAGGCGACACATCGCTGCGGCCTTATGGCTCACGGACCCCATCGATGAACTCTCGGTCATCGTTCACCGATTACTCGGATGCTGACCCTACCGATGATGCGTCGCGAGCGGAGCGTAAGGAGCATCGCCGCAGCTGGCGGTTCCCGCGCTCATCTAAACGCAGCAACGAGCATATTGGCTTGGGACTTGCCTCACCACCGCTCATCGCCACGACACCTGGTGCCGACCGGAGCACTAGCTCGATCGGCAGTTGGCACCACTCTAGCAGAAGCTCACCCTCGGATTTGCAGCAATTTGCAAACGATCCGTCCTACCAACCTCTGAGCTTGGACGCGGAAGTCAGCAACAACGGGGCCGCTAAGGACGCATCTCTGGCTGAACCCGAGAAGCGCAGCCTGTTTGGCAAGTTCAAAGCCAAGGTTGCGCAAGTGCGAGATGGTGTTAAGGAGTCCACGGAACGGGACCGGACGAGAAGTCCTGTAAACTCAGAGGCCGACCTGTCCGTGTCGAGCCACACCCTATCACCATCTGGGAAGGATAGTCTGCGAAACCGGCCTGCTCCGATCGATGTGACTAGCTATCCTAAAGAGGGACAACTAAGTTCACCGGTCTCTCCGCTGCCGGGTTCGGGACTGCCGCCGGCGATCCCTGAGGAACCACGGACACCGGAGAGTCCAGTTGCGGTGCCTGGCTTAGAGCAGAAACAGGAGCCTGCTGTGGCCGCGCCTGTTGCCTCTCCGCCAGTAGAGACGGAAGGCACGGATGCCGGACCGGGGCCCGCTGTACCCTCATAGATGAAGAATTTTGCTTTCTTTCCTTTGTTAAGTGGTTTAAGGATATGGACTGATGGACGGCACGATTCACGTACCGGTGGCTTGAGGCTGCCATGATGACTGTCGTTGATGCACTTATGGATCACGAATGATGTATGTATTGCTTGTTGGATGGCGTGCCATGTATTTCAAATAGTTGTAGATTTATGTACGGATACATTGACACCATTTGCAGAATTGTAGTTGCTCACTTGTCTGGACTATATTGCAGTAAATCTGCGTAATATCCCCTGACACCTCAGGCACCCGCAACCCCATACTTAAGTAAAAAGCCCCATGCAAACAAACCAAACAAAACCAATCCTCTTCTTCCTCTTCCGTCACCTCCGAAGCATCTCTTCGTTCCACAGCTCCTAATCTCCTCACCACCTCCCCAATTCCTCCTCCCCTTCCCTCTCTTACTCTCCCTACTCCCCCAGGCCCATCGCCACACCCTCAAAATGGCCTCCCCACCCCCCTCCCCCCTCACCACCACCAGCGCCGCCTCCGCGCCGCCCGACAACTCCAACAAACCCGCCGCACCCCCCGTGCACGTCCTCCCAACCCAACTCGCAACCATCTACTCCTACATCCACCCAGCGGCGCTACTCTCCGCCTTCGCCGCGCGATTCCCCGCGCTGGTCAACGACCCCGTCGCAGAAATGGCCCAGCAATTGCCCCTCCTCGCCCTCGCGCACGTCGCCTACGTGATGATTTGTCTCCCGGCCGCGGGCTCCTCGGATTCTACTACTTCCACCACCACCACCACTCCCGCTTCGCCGTCTACTCCCACCGCCTCCAGCGCCTCCTCCACAGGAACAACCACCGGTACCAACGAAAAAGGAGGAAATGTGATCCTCCGTCCCGGCCGCGTCGGCCGGCGGCGCACGAAGGACTCGTCTTCGTCGTCGGCGACGGCCTCGGCGATTAGTGGGCGGGTTGTTGTATGTCCTTTCCCCATTACCCTTAATATCCTCTCAATATATTTATCCTTACTAATGATTGATGTGTGATAATATCAGGCTTCGCTATTATCCTTGACATTGACAACCCTCCTCGCCACCCCCGTCCTCAGCATCCTTCTTGTTCTCTTTGGCGCCCCGTTCACGACTCATCATGCTCAGACGGTTCTGTGTGCGGCGCATATGGCTATTCTGTCGTCGACGGCGCTGGTGTATGTTCATGGCGTGGATGGGAATGTGTGGAAGGAGGTGTGGGGGGCTAAGAGGCCGGGGGATATCGTTTGGGGTGGTGCGTTGGGGACTTGTGTGGGGGCTTGGTTGGGGGCGGTGCCGGTGCCGCTTGATTGGTATGTTCATCCTCTTTATTTCTTGTTTGGAGGGGATAGGGGGTGATAAAGGGATTGGGTGTGCTAATGTTGTGCAGGGACCGTCCGTGGCAGGCGTATCCGATTACCTTGTTGACGGGGGCGTATATCGGGTTTGTGGTCGGGTCGGTGCTGGGGAGGTCGGTGTTGTTTGGGAAGAGGATTCGGTTTGAGGAGGGGGAGGATGTGAAGAAGGTTGAGTAGATTGTCTCCTTTGCATGGTTTTGGGTGTGGGGGGTGGAAGATATCCAGGCGTGTTGCTGTCGCTTCGTGTATAGCTGTTTTAGTATATTTTAATTGATTTAATTGTTTCATGGTTCTTGCTGAACTTTCTAATTGTTTGTGGTTCAATTGATCTATAAGTCTATGGCTGCAGCCGGGCAGCCAGTGCGTAATGAAGGCAATTGGTGTATGTACAGTATCACTCATGCACGCAAATCTCATGCAGGATATCATAACCACGCAGAAGCAGAACATTTCCAAAGAAAAGAGATAACCAATGAGGGTATGGAGCAATGTTGGTCGTTAAGAGGGAAGAGGGTGGATGGAAAAGGAAGAATAGAAGAATCAGAATGAGTGTTATCGGCATCATATCATCCCGCCAACTTCGACCCGGCGCGCCGACGGCCACCGCGGATGGTACAGGTCTCCCTTTGGAGGAAGCTCCGGGCGCTCCTCCGAATCACTATCTGGGGAGATCTTTTCCGTCGGTGGCCCTGAGTTGGTCGGGGATGGCCCCAGGGCCTGCCGCATACGCATAATATCATGCGCGTCAATCGGAATAGGATAGATAGGCCCCATGCCCATGGATTCGCGTGCCACGCGCGTCAGTTGCTCGACATCGCTCCGCAGGTTGGATACCTGTTCCTCGAGGTTGCGTCGCGCAGACTGCTCCCGACGCAGCAGCATCACCAGTGCGCTGTACTGTTCGACGGAGATGGTATTGCATTCGTGCAGCGACGTGGAGGACGGTGCCTGCAAAGTGCGCGAGCGGTGGAGATGGTTCGGGCGCAGCGTGCTCGTGCTAGACGGGCGATCGGCGCCGCCGGGCGACTTGGCACCCGGGGCCTCGTCACTTCCCGACGGCGACTGGGCCGACGATGGCTTGCGCTTGTGCCGGGTCGTCGGCGGTGACGGTTTCCTCTGTCCCGACGGCTCGGCCGGCGTCTCGCTGCGTCCAGACTGTATGCGTGCAATTGCACACTCGAGGTCGATCAATTTTACCTCCAAGGTGGTCAGTCGCTGTTCCAGCGTCACGTTCTCATCGTGTTGCAATGAGTTGACTAGCGTCCCAACCATTGGGGGCATGGGCTCCTCTGGTGGTGCATCTTCCTCCTCGTCCTCATCCGGCCCATCCAGGAAGGACGGCTCGGTCGTGGGTTTCGGGGCACTGGCGACCGTTGTCCGGGTCGGGGGTCGTTCCGATGCATCGGCCTCGGAGACCGCTCCAAAGGTCGTCGATCCTGCGTACGACTCCAAACTGCGGCGTCGCCATTGAATGGGAGACATTAGGTGATCTTTGGCCATGCCGCGCAGGGCGGTCGCGCTGCGCGAGCGGCGCTTGATCTGCCGCATCTCTCGCCGGCGGACCTCATCCGGATCACTGTTGGCGTGCGGACTGTTGTCCCGCTTACTGGTTGGTCGGCCCGAATGCACGACCGCCTCCAGGGCACCGCGAGATTCGTCGTCCGAAAAGATCAAGCTCGGCAGAGTGGCACGTCGGCGGCGTGGGTGCGGTTCAAGCTTGCGGAGGGCCTCTTCCCACGAGGTGACGGGCCCGTGTTCCTGTTGCAACGGACTCGTGGATTTGGCGTTCCATGAACCGGAGAGCGGCTGCGGCTTGTCGAGCGATTGATTCGATCGCGGACTGTGGTTGCCGAACCGACATTCAGCGGACTCGTCGTCCTCCTGTCCCCGACTTTTGCGAGTGAAGATCTTCCGCATGACGGTTTTCAGGGTGCTGCCGGTACGACGATGTGTGCTGGGCCCGCGAGCAATGGAGGTGGTTCCCGGAGTGTATGGCAGGGCCGCGACGGCGCGATTGGTGTTGCGGAGGTTGGTAGCGATAAGGGAAGATTCGGAAGCACGGGGTGGACGTCGCGTGGTGACAACCATCTGTTTGGAACTCATGGGCGGTAATGCAGTATCAAAGCAAGCGTCTGCAGCTGCAGGGTCTGAAGTGGGAGGGCCGGCTATGCGACTCTGGGCGGAGTCACTTCGCGTGGTACTTGTACTGGCAGCAGACATGTCGGGATTCGGGCTTTAGAGGGAACGACAACACATGAAACATGCACGCTGCAGACCTGTCCAATGGCATACAAGGGCGCAAGGGAGGAAAGGAGGTCGAAGCGATCGGTAAGGACAGATACGAAGACAGGGACAAGGAACGATTGGATATACGCCAAGGCGCAGAGCCACCAGCTGAAAAGCGGAGGAGGGGAGGGGGAAATCTTAAGGAGTGAGGCTGCGGGCACCAGCATCAGCAAAGAATCCACTTTTGAAGGATGTCAGAGGGGGAAGCTGACCTTGGCAAAAGGGCTCAGATCATGATCGGTAGGCTGGAAGAAGAAAATAAAATAAAGTGTCGGAAGGAAGAAGCCAAGGGAGTCAGCAGGAGGGAGAGAGAGAGAGAGAGAGAGGGTAAGTAGAAAGTGGGAGGAGAAGGAGGAGGTGGTGTGATGGGATGGACCGGAGGATTGGGATAGGTTGGAGTAATAATAGCAGGGAGTAAATAATAGTCGAGTAGATAGTCGGGGAGGAACTACAGAGCCATGAATGGGGGGAGGAAACCCAAGAGTTTGGGGGCACTGGAGACCAAAATTCACTAGTCCCCGACACGAGCAGCAGGAAAACAGTCTCAGAAGAGCGGGCAGGATCGGCGAGGATGGAGCAGAATACGGGAAATCGTCAAGCTTATCAAACACCAACCAGGAGAACCTAGGAAGAATATCCCGGGATTGGCGATGGAGAGAAAGAGAGTGAGAGAGAGAGTGTGTGTGTGGGAGTGTGAAGAGGAAGAAGAAGACAAAGAAAGAGAGGAAGAGGTGAAGAAGGGGCAGAGAAGGAATGGACACTTCGCCCTGGCAATGTCGGAAGAATCACCAAAGAAGTATAGAGTTGGACCCCAACCAGCAATCAATCAAGTGGCATTAGACGAAGGAATGGAAGGAAGCTGCAAGAGAAGTGGAAAAGAAGACCGGGGGAAAAGCAGCAGCAGCAGCAGCAGAGACCAGCAGGCAGAGACGAAGAACGAGAGAAAGAGAAGCCATTCCAAGTGGAGCCTCTGACGATGGAGAAGCGGAGTTTCGAAACACTCGCGGCGCGTGTCAGGGGGAGTATTTTTAGTTATCACCATTAACTAACTAATGGTGATGGATGATTCATGGCTGAGGAAGATACCATTATTCATACCATTCACTATTCTTTTTGTCTTCATTCATAAATAATTCTTATTCGACTTTGCTGGCTGGATCATCCCAGTATAATGCCATCCACAAAAGTGGTAAATTCCATCTTCAACCGGGTATTTCCCTACTACTCCTGCAGAATACTTAGTTAGTATGCAGAGTTAATTTCACTTTTTCTCTTCTCTGCCGCGCCAACTCATCACCATCCATGCACACACACTGACGGTCTCTACTCCTCCCTCACTCCTTCGGCCCCATTTCCAACTCCCTCCTCCTCCTCCACTCACTCATTGCTTGGATCCCCTCGCGACTCATTCAACTCCTCTTGATTCCTTCCCATCATTGGACCACGATGGCAATCCTCCGCGCTGAAACACACCAAGTGGCCTCCCCCCTCCGCTCCCGTCCAGAACCGATTAAGTTGGCCCATCAGACGCTCGGAACCGTTCGCTCGCTGACGGGCCCTCCCCTCTCACTCGCCTCGGTCGGGCACAATCAATCCTCATTCATTCATTAATCAAATCAAATCACTGTCTATCTATCTATGCTGTAGACAGAAGCAAGGCTGACTGTCCCGCTCGTGGGATTCTAGATCCTGCATACTTCACAACGCCATGACGCACGATCTTCCTTTCCCCTCTTCGTTGGCGTCTCCAATGGAGGGGCTCTCGGAATTCCATCGAGCAGCCACATGGATAATAATCTAGATTTCTAGCTATGGAATGTGGATGGTTGACGTGACAGGGGAATGCGCCCATGTCATTTTGTCCTCTCTGGGCAATCCTTTCATCGCGTGTCTGAATCGCCTCCTTCAATTCTATCCCTTGCGCCTGTGCTCGGTTGAGTCTGTTTGTTTTCTATTCGCGGTTTGTTGTTCGGCTGCAAGGGACCGTCTGGTGCAGACGTTGCACAACGCTGCACTGCATCTGATTGCAGGACCTCCCATCGGTGACACTCATGGCCCAAGCAACGTCCCAAAAATACACGGTAGCTAGATTAAACGTGATCACAACAGATCGCCGGCATCCGGATACCGCAAATCGGCATGTTCCTCCAGGAATGCCATCCATCGCTTAAGGAAGCCACTGCCCCTGTGGAGAAAAAAAGTCGACGTCAACTATTTGCCTACAAAGTAAATGCTGACCACGATAGAGGGGCACTCACTTGCTAATCGTCTCCGAATCACCGCAGATGCACAGATGCCGTTTCGGCCGCGTCATGGCCACTAATGCTGTCAGTCCATGCAGGCTCGCCACTTGGCAGGGATCTTACCGTTGAGACGACGCCGTTCCCCCAAGAATCCCACTTCGTGCTCGCTATTGCTGCGCACCAGACTCACCACCACCGCTTCCTTCTCCCGCCCTTGGAACCCGTCGACGCTGCCCAGCTCAATGCTAGGGTATTTCTCCCGCAGCATCTGCGACAGTACGGCCAGCTGACCGTTGTACGGCGTAATCACCGCAATGTCTTCGGGGTGTATCCCTGCGTCCACCAGAGCATCGACGTGCCTGCTCACTACCAGCGCCTCCATGTCATTGCTCTTACTTTCGCCCAGGTGGGCTTTCTTGCCCAGATCCGCATCCTCGGTCTTTTCGGGGAAGTCACCACCTTGCGTATCCCAGAACACCAGCGGCTCCTTGGTGTCATCGGTCTCCTCGACTTCGTAGGGTAGGTCCTTCAGCAGTCGATCCTTGACAGAGTCTGCAGCCATTAATTTCGAGTCATACAACTCGTCCGACGGAAATTGCATAATCTTTTCGTGCATCCGGTACTGCGTCGTGAGCATCCGTTTGATTCCAGGCCCGTGCATGGATAGCAGTCGATCGAACAGGGTCGTCTCCAGCGACACATTCTCCAGCAACTCTCCGTTTTCTTTCTTATCCTCCTTCTCTTTGGCCGCTTTTTTCGCATTCTCTTTAGTCGACTTCACGGTCGGCGGCAGCTGCAAATGATCACCAGCAAGGACCACCTTGGATGCCGACAACAGCGGGATCCAGCACTGCGCCTCTAGTGCCTGACTCGCCTCATCGATGATGACCACATCGAACTTTTGGTTCTTTAGCTGATGACCGCCCGCTCCATGCAGCGTCGCCAGCACCACACTGCTCTCACGGACCAGATTCTCTACGCATTTGTTCTCGCGCTCGCGGAACTCGCGCCGCAGTTCTCGCAGATCATCGTAGATGGCCCGTCGCTCCCGTGCGGCTCGGGTCTTCCGGATACTCGCCTGCTTCTGATCGATCTCCTTGCGGACGTCGCGAACAATCGCCGCCGCCTCCGACGTGTGCGTGAGCACTTCCAGTGAATGATCCAGGACTGACGGTAGCAATCGCGCCGGATGTCCGATGCGCACCACGGGGACCTTCTTCGGCGCCAGTCTCTCCACAATGTTGTCCACGGAGATGTTCGACGGGCCGCAGACCAGCACCCGCTGCTTGCGCTGCACCATCTGCACGATCAACTCGATCAGCGTGTGCGTTTTGCCTGTACCGGGCGGGCCGTGAATGAGGGCAATTTCACGTGCTGCCAGGGCAAACCGAATGGCCTCCTTCTGGGAGTCGTTCAACGTAGGATCCGTAAACTCTAGAGCCCCTATAGAATCGTAGTCGGGCAGCATAGGCGAGGTATGACCGAAGGCAACACGCATGAAATGCGTATGTTCGGACTCGGCCATTTTGACCATTTTCTCCATGGTCTGATTCATACTAGATACATCAGCATACGTTGTCGAAATAACGGAAATAGAGACATACCGTCTATACGTGACATCATTGGCAAGTTTGATCCTATACATAGTCAATATCATCAAACACCACCAACCCTACATAACCAAAAAGAAGAATTGGAACAAAAAAACTCACATCCAAACCTTCCTCCCCCACAACTCCTCCACCCCGTCCTCAGCATCCTTCCCTTTACCACCATCCTTCCCCCCAAACGCAACCCAAACCGCACTCTCCCCGACCCTCGTAACAACCCCCTCTACTCCACCCCCCTTTCCATCCTTCTCCTTCCCTTCTTTCCCCTTCTTCCCTCCACCACCTCCCGAACCCCCCGAACTAATCTCAACAACCTTAACCACATCCCCAACCCTAACCCCATGCGCACCTAACCTCAACTTCCCATCACCGCTGCTCCCATTTCCCCCAGACTTGGAACTAGAAGTAGAAGTAACAGCCGCATCAGGTACAAACTCCCCGACCACCCGACCGCCTACTCCCGTTCTACACTGCGAGAGGACAATACCCGTCAGGGCGTGTCCTGTTGCTTGTAACGTGCGACGGGTAGATGGGGATGCGGTGGTGATGGCGCTGCTGGTGAAGAGAGTACTGCTTGTTATTTCGGCGGTTTGTTCGGCTTGCAGGAGGGTGAGTTGGGTTGTTGCGAAGGAGGTGGGGTTTATGGAGGGGGGCATTTTGTGTGTGTGTATGGGATATGCAGGGGAGGGGGAATTGTGTGTGTATGTGTATGTGTATGTGTAGGTGTAGAATTGGAGAGTATACAATAAAAGTACGTAGTAGTAAATAATGTATGTTATGTGATGCCCGCGGGGAAAATATTCTCTCGTGAGGGGGTGGGTGACTTCATGGTGGGGAGGGTTTGCTGTGTGCTGTGCTTAGTCATATCTATAAAAAGCATCCTTGTCAGTGAGAGAGAGGGAGAAGGGCCACTGCGTGATGATGAACCCTACTAAGCTACTACTACTAGTAGTTCATGAGCATGATCGTATCTGGAGCACTGGTGATGGAGGGTGAAAATACGATGCATCCCCGTATCATCGTATGCACGCAGTTAATCTGCAATGCCCCCCGTTTGTTGTGTCGATTAGGTGAGCGAGGAATATCTACAGTTGAACAACACGGCGGGATCCCTTTCCTTCTCTTCACTGACTTTAGTACTGACCTTGTTAGCTTGGAGGATCGGTGGGTGCGTCGTCTTCTGGTGCTTACTGTTCATTACACGTGCATCCTTTCTTCTACTGTCTACTACTTAAGATGATGAGAGACAGAGAGTAGTATCTATCTGCATACTATTTCTGCTAACTAATCGCTGATGTTAACTAGGTCACGTCGCTGGATGCTGGATATCATGCATATGTGATAGGCAGACACGTCAACACTCAGGCTTGCTCAGGCTGATCTTGAATCATCATCATGATGAAGGCAGACTCGACCGTCCATATGTCAGGCCGAGTCAACAACCATGAGAGGTAAGTGTTCCGTGTTCTGTCAAAGAAAAGACAAGAGAAGAAGATGAAAAGAAAAGAAAAGAAAAAAAGAAAAACAACACAACATGCATCTATGTGCATCAACATCGCTATCTGCATCAAGCATCATGGCCATGGAGATGAGTGTTTGTGTTCCATCAAAGGACAACATAAGAAAGAAAAGACTAAGGAAACGACAGGTTTCTATCTATATCAGCATCAGCAACTATCGCCCCATGACAGCCATCACGGCCTGTCTCTCGAATCCGCGGTCATCTCGCAAATGCACCCGGTAACCTCGCACGCCTCTCAAGTCGGCAAACGACATAAGCAGCCGGCGCAGATATCTCTTGCGGTTATCCATCGAGTACATCGCCGTGGCCCGGCCCTGGTCGATGATCGTCAGGTTCAGGCGCGCAAGATCAAAGTGCTCCCGAATGAAACGGCGCAGAACTGCCCAGTATCGCAGGCTAGAGTCCATAGAGCGGGTTCCCGTCAGCGGTGCGCTCCTATAGCACAGGGGAAAGTGAAACGTCAAGTTCTGCACCAGCAGCGTCGACGCCGTGGGAATGCCATTCAGGAAGCCCATGGTGTAGGTCGGTTCCTCCTCCACGAACAGAAACTTGTTGCGACCCCAGAAAACCTGACGAGCGAGCTCATGAAACTCCCGATTAACCAGGAAATAGCGCAGGGGCGATGCGAAGCAGGTGCAGCTCGTCGAGTATACCGTCTCGGTGCTATCACAGAAGCACATGCCTCCAACCGGCGAGCAGGTGCCACAGCAAGTCTTGAATCGCAGACGGTCGCGGTAATCCAGGACGATAACGCCCCGAGCAGGATCGGTCATGCATGGATCAGAACGATTGACGAGCAGTTCCTCGAGCGCCATCAGCTGAAGTTCCTTGGGTAGGTACATGAACGGAAACGGTGGAACATGAAGATTGTCCGTCAGGCGGCGCGCCGTGCGCTTCATGACAGGCAGGAAACTACAGATCTTATCCTGACTACTGCTGAAATGAAAGGCACACTTAAACAGGGTGGGAAACGGATCCATGTCACGCATCACACGAAAAACCACTTCCTGCTCACGGGCCTTGCATTTGAGACTGAAGTATCTGAGATTCGGCATCTCCCTTGCCGCGAGCTTGCAGAACTCCTCCCAGTATTTCAACAAGGATTGATGGGCACCAGAAGCCAGCTTGAGCGATCGGTTGTCCTTATGGCCAAGATCCACATGCAAGTACCGAATATAGTCCAAGCCCCATTTCATCGACCTTTCGAAGAGCACAAAGTCCCCCCGGCCGCGAAGAAACGTGCTGAAGCGGTTTTGGGAGAAGAAATAGACACCGGCCTCCCGGCGCAAGGTGCGACACGATAGGAACACCTCTGTCGGCAGCTTTGGATGGTAGCAGCGGCTAAGCGGAAGCCAGGGGCCGCGATGCGCTCGCAATTCAGTTTTCGGACACAGAGGCGGGTCTCGCTTGGTGCGAGTTTGCTCCAGGGAAAAGTCGATAATACAATAGCGACGCAGGCCAGCGAACTCCATGATTCTATCTTTGATATTTTCTGGCATATCGAACAAGGTGGGGCCCCTCCTTGAGACCTCCATCTTGACAAATTTGAGGACCAGACCTTCAGCAATTCCCAGATCGGGGTATGGCCAATTGGACGGAGTGTCGAAAGCGGAAACCCAACTGTCGTCCTCGATGACACTAATTTGCATACAACCTGCACGCCATGAGATATAGTTAGCAAGTGCCAGTGTCAGACAGTTCACTCTGACGGATGGAACATACGCGTGACAGCACGAATGTGAGCGTCACTCGGAGGCCGAGTTAGCTGTTTAGCGGAGCGTTGAATGTATCGACAACTCTATCGAAGACCAACATGAGATACAACTTGATGCATTGACGGAAGAAATGTCTGACCAACGAGAGCATAAGACACAGTCAACAGAGGAAGAAAGCTGGACTGGCAAAACAGAGCGGTTGTGTTTCCCCCGCAATCAATCGAAACAAAACACTGAGAGTGACTGAAGGTTGGCCTGGGGCATTCAATCCCATGACTGAGTGGGTTCAACATCTACTCCTGCTCGACCTTCACCTTCGGCTCCTCCTGCTTCACAGCAGCGTCTCGCTTCGGTGTTACCAGACCTCTGATTTCGCTCTTACAGAGCTTCGTTCCTGCAAGATCGCATTCTCCGCATCTCCGGGCTACAGGTAAGCAGACCGTCTGTCCTAAGCCGACCAAGAGTTTGTTGATCTCGTGCCACTTGTCTTTTGGTAGCCACGACTCCAGCGCCATGCGAGTTTCCTCGGGATTCTTCGTCTTGTGCCAGCCCCAGAGGTTGGTAATCCGGTGAACGTGAACATCAACGCCAATGCCTTCGTGCTTGCCCCACGCCGCGCTCATGCAGAGAAACGCCATCTTCGGACCGACGCCCGGGAGCTTCATCAGTTCAGGAGCAGTCGACGGGATATCGGAGTCATATTGATCGCGGAGGATAATGGCCGCGGCCTTGATATATTTGGTCTTGTTGTTGTGGAAGCCCACCTTGGCAATAAGCTCGTTGAGGCGCTCAGGGGTGACGGCTAGGATGTTCTCCAGGTTCAACGTGCTGTCCTTGACCTGGTCCGTGGGCTTCCAGTCATATTCTTCGGGCTCCTTCTTCACAATGGTTGTCGATTGGTCCCCAAGCTCTGTGTGCAACCGCTGCATGGCCACTGCCGTGACTGTGTCCTTGGTCTGAGACGACAGCATCAGCGCGATGAGAGTCTGGAAACGGCGATCGCGCGGAGAGGATGCACGCCAGTAGAGTTCGGCACAGCCCATGGTGTCAACGGGTGCAGTGGGATTTGCCTCTCGCATCTTCTTGACCATGTCATACATAGTCTCCCAGTTCGACGGGGGTTCCATCGAATAACCACCATTCTCGATTTTGATCTTGCGCGCGGGCATCCGTCGTGCCTTTTGCGGCTTCTCAACCGGCTCTTCTTTGATAGTTGCTTCCTCTTTGGCAGAAGTCTCTGCTTTTACAGAAGTCTCTGCTTTGACAGCCCTCCGAGTAGAGCGCGCACTCGTCCTCGTGGACGAACTGCTCAAAGCACTCTTGCGACGCTTGGCCGGCGGCTCTACGATATCCTCGATATCAACCGTCGGCACCGAAGAGAGCGAAGAAGTATCATCATCACTGATAGATGCATCCGGGGCAGTACCGCCACCCCCAAAAGCAAAGCCCTGAAGGAGACTGGCAGCCTGAGCCGAACTGCGAGTTTGTCGACGAGCAGGAGGCGACAAAGCCTGCAAAACCTTCGCAGTCTCTTTAGAAGCTCGAGAAGTGCGCATGATGATACTAGCTTTAGCTTCAATAAATTGAACTCCGTGCCGAGTTAGAAAAGTCTTCACATGAAAAAACCAGTAGCAACCGTAACCTCCGCAGATCAACAAGAAATTAGGCTTTAGTTTTCCAACAAGGGGCGACTCAGTGATGGCGGATTACACATGGGGAATTCGGGAGCCGAGACCGACCCGAAAACCAATCAATCGACCAGTGGCCGAGACCCACGGCAGTTCGTTGAGCCTCGGCGCGACACACACCACCAGCCACCGCGACTCATCGCATCCGCCTTATCTGCTTGCTTCCTATCCGACTAGCAGCTGTTAGTCTGCTGCATGGATCGTCTTAGGGCCATTTCCCAAGATTCCCATTCATATTCATCCAACAATTGTTCCTATCAATTCACCCCTCTTCCCACATACCCCATCTCCACACAGACACACACACAACCTAATTATCTCCCAAAGGGAAAAAGAAAAAAAGAAATATGGCCTCCTCGCAAACAACCCACCGTCTCCTCCGCGAATTAAAAGACTACACCAACTCGCCCAACGAAGCCCTTCTGCACCTCGGCCCCGTCGACGAAGATGACCTCCTCCACTGGGAAGCAGTGCTGAAGGGTGTCCCGGGGACGCCTTACGAGAGTATACCACCCCCCTTCCTCCCCACATACATACATACATACCATTCCTTCCCCCCACTAACTTCTTCTCCCCCCGCCTCTCGGGGGGAAATAAATAGATGGTCTATGGACCCTCTCCATCCAAATCCCACCAACCTACCCCCTCACTCCGCCGAAAATCACCTTCAAGACGAAGATCAGCCATCCGAATATCAGCTTCACAACGGGGGAGATTTGTCTAACGTTGTTGACTACCGAGCATTGGAGCCCGGTGTATACGTTGAGCAGTACACTGAGTGCGATTCATCAGCTGTTGACGGATCCGAGGCCGGATTCGCCGCTTAATGTTGATGTCGCGGCGTTGTTGAGGGATGGGGATGTGGCGGCGTGGGAGAGTTTGGTCAGGTTTTGGACGGAGGAGGAGAGGGCTACGCTATAATCGATCTTCCTTGCGGTTGTGGGATGGGATGGGGATCGTGATTAGTGGGTTGTGATGGAGAAATATACTATATATATGGTGCGAGGTTGTTGTGGGGATGCTATGAGTATGTGTTGTGTGTTGATAATACCCAGGAGTACGATACGATACGATGTTATTCATGTTCAGTTTGGTTCAATCCAGTTGGTTGGTTTTGTAAATACAGCTAGTCACAGTGACAAGTCTAATATGCACAACGCTGGAAACATATGTATGTTTGTGGTTCAAAGTTTGGACAGACAGGATCATAAAGAGAGACATGTCACTTCATCATAAAAACACCATTTCAACACCATTTGTAAATTGCAACCCCATTTATGCCGCGCTTCAAGGAGAGACTGGTATTTGGACGCCGGAAAAATATGCACATGCTGGCTTCTTTGCTTGCTCAAGGATCGTGAGGTATCATAAAAAACATTTTCGAGAAGTGGAGTAAAATATAACGCCGAATATGCACTTGAATGGTAGAGTAATGTTGTCACATAGGCCGAGAAAGGCTACAACGCCATGGCCACCACGGCGGCTCCTCCCATCATGAGAGCGAACTCGCGCGCGAACCCGTTGGCAGACGCAGCAGAGTCGGTCTGGAGCCCGGGGGATGCCTTGGTGCCGGTAGCCACCTCGCGGGCGGTTTCCGTAGGGTGCACGACCGTCACGGCGGTTACGGTGCTCTGCTGGCCATCGGGCAGAGTGGTGGTGATCTTGTAGGTGGAGGTGTACGGGGTGGTGACCTGGCTAGTCGAGCTGGTCGTGCTGGTAGTATCCTGCGTCGTGGAGCTCGTGGTGTGCATGGTGGTTGACTGCGCGGTCGACGAGGTCGAGCTGGAAGTGCACGAAGTCGAAGAGGTGGTGGTGGCAGGCACAGTGGTGGTAGAAGAAGCTGTCCGAGTGTGAGAGGAGGACGAAGAAGAAGACGTGGGTGAAGATGTAGAGGCAGAGGTAGTAGAAGACGTAGAGGCAGAGGTAGTAGAAGACGTAGAGGCAGAGGTAGTAGAAGACGAGGTGGAAGAAGAGGAAGAAGACGCACTGGACGAAGTCGATGAAGTCGAAGAGGTCGACGTCGACGACGACGAAGAAGAAGAAGTAGAAGAGGAAGTGGTGGAGGTGGAGGAGGTGGTGGTGACAGGAGACGTGGACGAGGAGCTAGACTCACTGCTACTAGAGCTCGACTCACTGCTGCTAGAGCTGGATTCACTGCTGCTAGAGCTAGATGTAGTCTGCACGGCGGTTGTATGCGCGGTGGTGGCGGCGGCGGTGGTCGCAGCGGAGGTGGGTTCGGCCGAGGTCGAGTCAGCACTGCTGGCAGAGCTCTCAGCTTGGGTAGTGGCAGTCGCCGACGTCGCGGCAGGTTCTGTCGCCTGGCTAGTTTCTGCAGCACTCGTCGAATTGCTCACAGCCTGTCTCTTGGCGAGGTTGGCGCGGCTGGACAGTGCAGCATCTTCCTCCTCAGTCTGGGCGGCGTCATCTTCGGAATGAAAAACTCCGTGACGGAACTTTTCATACAGATGCAGGGCCTTGTCCTCGAAGCTACTGAGATACCCGTGGGAAGTCGAGTCGCCGACAACCGAGTTGGTGGCATCAGACTGATCGGCAGTCGGGGCCGCGAGAGCAGCGCAGGCGATCAGCGACAGCAGCAGAAATTGGAGCAAGCGAGTGAGGAACGCCATGACGCTTGATAGGAAGTGATTGAGTTGAACGGTGGAAGATTCAGGGAAGATGAGGAAAACTCGACGATGGATGGAAACGGAGTTGCCTATAGATCGAATCCAAGCCGAATTGGGTAACGGTGGACTGAGTCGAGATGATGGCAGCGAAAGAGGAAGAGGAAGATGAGCGATGGCGGATTGGCAGATAATAAAGCTGGGCGCTAGCGAAGGGAAGGCTGTGAGGTGTCTCACCCAGACTTTTCAGATGACAGTGAATTGGGGTTGAAGACAAGCCACACCGGAAGGATGGGAATCGATTTGGGAGGAAGAGGACTTGGTTGCCTGGCAGTCGCAGGACTGATAAATACTGGGACGACTTGACTGGGCAGAAAAAAACAAGGCAGGCCTGGTTCGGCTTGGCAGGTCCGAAGTGGAGCTTCGAGAAAATCCAGTCGGTCGAGATGGACAGGAATAGCATCGGCGAGACGTTAGTTCACGATGCTACTAGTCTAGTCTGAGGGACGGAGTATCCCTCGCACAACAAAGTGTGGTACTGCACTGCCCATCCTACCACCACTTGGTACTAGTACGACTTGAGACTACAATCCGACTACCACTGGTTATCTACTCATGTCTCTACACAGGTACGGATCACCGGAACTTTTATTGTCTTGGATGGATGGCCCTGAACCTTGGGGACCACTTCTTTGGGTCATCCCAGATGGGGAGGGCAGAAAGCGACGCGGGTTACCAACTAAAGTGTGTCAACGTCAGCATCAGAGTCCAGCCCTGCACGCCATTTCTATTCTAGCATAGCGCTGGATGAATCCGGCACCAATAAGTTGCCTCTTAAGTCTGCAGTCGACACATACTTGAGGTAGATAACTGAGTATGGAAAAGTGAAGGAGTGAGGGGTATCTTCCCATACCCGCGACCGGAAATGTCAATGTTTCACTTTTTCCCCCCGAGAAAATTTGATGAAAATAACGGCGGGAACTTCCCGACTAAAAACCCCGAATCAGGAAGGCCATCTGAATCAATGACGACACCATGAAATCAGTGACTTTTTTCTTTCTCTCTCTTTTTGATGTTGTCGAAATTGTGATAGGCGCAGCTACTGTGAGTTTATACGGAGCACATGGAACTTACCGATGATCTATGTATAGCTTGATCTCAAGTGAGCTACTCTGTACCCAGTTGGTTAGTTACCCAGTGCGACGTGGTCTGTTCCTCCCTCCGTCACCTTGACTATTGGCAACCATTGATCGAGTGGACTCTTCCTCTCCTTTTCGTCAGGGGAATATAATATGGTTCCTGGATATCCCCTCTCATTCCTTGCCTCTACCTCTGACAATTCAACAAATAATTCCTCCCTTTATCAGCAGCTAAAACCATGATACATACTTAACATAACCCCATTACCGATCGCAGCCGACCTGACCACCATCGGTATGTGTCCTGTCAAAAACAACCATTCCGGACTCCCGAGTAAAACAAACCTCTCCGCATCCGGTCAAGTGTCGAAGAGGGGGGCTTAGCTCCGATTAGGTCCCGCGCTAGACTATATAGGGGCTAGTGCCCACCGGTTCGGGGATCTGCTAGGCTATTCTTGGCTCTTTGGCTGAAGTGGTGCCACTATCAAGGCATCCTATTGGCTCTTGACTCAGTAATGAGGCTTACACTAGACTATCCCTGGATTAGTGGCTTTATCCTGGCTGCTCATCCTGTCCTCTTCTTCTCTTCAGGCGGCGTTCAGGCAGAGAGATGGTTTACTCTGCCTCGTTGTACCGTGGGTGGCCTGAAACAAAGCTTATTATAATACTTTCTCTGCAGAAGAAATCATCATCACGGATAATGAATACGAGTGAGAGTCGCTCCAACGCAGTCAGCCATCCTCCTCTCGTATGCGACGTGGCATCAGCACAGTTTTATTTACCATTCGCTATCTATTGGCTACTATATTTATCTACGCCTTGCAGCCGGCAGCACAGCGGGCAGCCAAATATATCTTCCGTCCGGGTTAGACTGTCTCACTTTTACAGCATTGTTAGCAAATCGTCTATCTAGTAGTGGACTGTACATGAACTTTATCACATGTGATAAGACTTGCTAAATAGCATGTGCACGACCCTCAACACCCATGTCCCATTATTATGTGAAGAATATTATTTGTATCCGTAGTAGGTTTTCATACTACCCCGGCATCTAATTCATCGAGAGGTACACTGCAATCCACAAAGCTTATTCCACACTGTGCAAACAAGATATGTATCCGGACGTACTATCATCTCCCCCGCACCTGAATCCACTCATACACCGCATCAGACAATGCCAGCGGCCATAGGCGTTTCAGAATAGCCCCCAGGCTCGAAGTGCACTCCACTTCTTATTTTCTGACACCACTGTTCCACTATGGGTAGATTCGTATTTACATTATCCGCTCCACGAACGCGACGCTCCTGTCCCTAGCTCCTAGAGAACATGCCCATTCTGTCTGATCAGTACTATATGGTGAGCAATGACTTCACATTAGATCTAGTCTAGGGCAGCAGGTTCTCTGTGTAGTTATCGGGATAAAAGTCCCGACGAACATCAATGGCCACCTTGGGAGGTAGGTCAGGATCTAAGCGGCACATTTCATGTGAACTGTCCAGACAGGTTGCTTCCAATACCTTGCAATTCTTGTACATGTTGTATTGATGGTCTTTACAGATTGAGTAATGATGAAATGCCCTGTGGATATAGATGAGCTTGACAGACGCCGCATGTCGCTCTTCCGCGATAGTCACCGTCAGGGAGGGCGAAGTTATGAGTGATGGCGATCTCTTCTGTGGCTCCGCAGCAACAGCTCAGCAATATGCGGATATTCGGTTCGACTAGCTTCTGTGAATGCGTTTCGTCCAAAATCATCCATCGCATCTCGATCAGTCTTTGGCCACTTCAGCAATGCCGCTACCACCCTGCCCTTCCACGTGCTGTAGCGTTCTGCAGAGAGGTGTGCGACCATATCTGTCAATTCACGTTTGGATCACAGCCTGCCCTCGGCAGATATTCTACCAATGCCTCTGACTCAGAATTCACAGCTAAGGACAACGGCATTTGGCCATCCTGACCCTGGATATGTGGGTTTGCACCATACCGTAAGAGCAATTTCACCACTGCCTCTCTATCTCCTACCTCATCCTCAGTAGTTGAGGGGCAACATCTTGTTACCTTCTTATGGAGACCACAGATACAGGTTCTCATTGCCCAAAGAAGTGGGGATTCACCGGACTGATCAACCTTATCTGCATTGACGCCTCGGACCAGAAGCATCTTCACGATGGTCTCACACCCTTTCGCAGCAGCCCACATTATAGGCCTCTCGCCGTAATCATCCTCGTCATCGGGGTCTGCCCCGTGATCAAGCAAGAGTTTGGTTGTGTCGTCTCCGATTCCTGCCGCAAGAACAGCGGTGTTTGGGCAGCAATTTTACCCAACTGATTTCAGCGTCCGAGGGTCCCTGTTGCATCATAATGTATTGGCACTCGAGCCCCACGCTCCGTGATGTTGGGATCTGCATCTGCTTCGAGGAAGAGCTTTGCAACTTCATAACAACTCATCTGCACGACATTAAACAGAGTTCGACCATGTCCATCCTTGACGTCGGATGGAATCTGCTCTCGCCGTATTCATCCTCATCGTCGGGGTAGCGTGCCCTTCCACAGCCGCGAAGAAAAGAGGTGTCTCCCGTAGCGCATTTCTATGATGAACATTAGCCTCTCTTTCTGGAAGCAAGCGAACATACCCTCATCACCTTCCATGCTGCAAATAAAAGCACAGTATTGCCAAAGAGTCTTGAGAATCTATATCCAGTCCTGCATCGAGGAAGAGTTGGACAACTGTAAAATATCCCATACTTGTCGCACAAAACAGCGCAGTCACGGAGCTTCTGCTGTAAATTACTGGATCAGCTCCATATTCTAGCAGAGTTCTTGCAACTCTCTCATACCCTAGAAATGACGCACGAAAAAGTGCGGTCAATTGCAACTCGCACTGGATGTTCGGGTCCACTCCACTTTCAAGCAGAACCCTCACAACCTCGTCGTTTCCACAGACTGATGCTTGAATAAGAGTGGTTCCGTGATCAGCTCCCGCCCTTAATAAGGTCATTGCCATGTCTTCATGTTGTCCCTGCAGGGCGCTTATAAGAGGTGTGCTCTGGTACCGGTCTTGAGTGTTGGGATCCGCTTTATGCTGGAGTAGAAGATCAACGAACTCTCCAAACCCCGAGCTGGATGCCATTTCCAGTAGCGTCCTGTTATCGACTCGCTGATTTGAACTTGCACCAATACTCAGCAGTTCTCTCACTGCCCTCGTAAATCCACTTCTACAGCAACTGAGAGTGCGGTATATTTGAAGCTTTGGCAATCCAACCGAGCACCCTTCGTCAGGAGGTTGAATATCTCTTCGCCATTACTCTGTGAGGCAGCCGATAGAAGCCTTTCACGGTCATTATTAAGGTAGTCTGGGTCAATTCCATTGTGAAGGAGAAATTGCACGGCATCCTTTTTGTCCGAGAGCACAGCAAACATCAGAGGCGTTGCAGTTCCATGATTCTTAGTCGCACAGCAAAAATTAATGTGAGCACCGTGGCCTAGAAAATCTTGCATCATCTCCATATCTCCGGCCTTTGCCACTAAACACAATGATGTGTACCCACAAATATATCGGTCGTCAATTTTGGCACGGTGTCGGATGAGAAGAGTTGCAATTTATTCGTTCCCATGAAGGGCTGCGTGAAGAAGTGGCGCATTTCCATCAGGGAATTTTAGATCAGGATTAACTTGGGATTTCAGGAGAGCTTTTACTATTTCCAGACGCCCTTTGTGGACGGCATATATAAGAGGTGTTATCCCATTTGAGTCTTCGATGTCCATATCTTCACCTTCCCTAATGTATCTTTCAATAACGTGCACAATCCCATTGTAGGCTGCTAAATGTACTTTCGTCAATCTGCGTGGAATAGAACGCATCCAATTCCATTGCTGAGGGGTTCGCCCAGACGTCTGTCGAAAAGCTTCAAGCCTTACAGACCTAGGACTGCTGAGTGGCTGTTTTTGTAGCCGTGTATATCAGGGAAGAAGCCACAGTGCTCACCAGTGCGTCGGTGTTAGATCACAAAGCAACCAACAGTGCGACGTTGTCTTCCCTCATGGTCTATCGTAGATGTATAATTCACAGACATAGTAGCTAGGGCTAGAGGATGTGTCCACTTACGGCGCTAGAGCAAGCCGACGTTTAACCGCCAGCCTCCATCTACCAGGGTGTCAACTGTCAAGAGACCACACGATGTAGTGGATAATGACGCTAGGGCTATACTAGTATCTTGGTAGCTCAACAGTGTCTCAGATACCATGAGAAAGAAGTGTTGGCCAAGTTTCTTTTGTCCAGAATCTCGATTTTCTCATGCTGGCAGAGTCCCTAGCAGTGTGTGAAAGTTGTAATTGCATTTGAGTCAGTATAGTTGAGCGAGGAGCGGACCCCATTGGACTCGAAAATAATATACAAATAAACAGTGAACATTCAAGAATGCATTTTCTCTTCGGGGAAACCCCGGGTGGTCAAAGGAACAACAACCTTGTCAATCTAATCAGTTCGGACCCTGGTTGAAGTGGGAATGTCAATGCCCTGCACTAAATCGCTTAGTAGTTACTAGATGAGTTAGTTGGCTCTTTAGTGGCTTGGTGGGTTGGATCGGATAAAATGCTTGCATGAACTACGGGAAAGTTGTCCGTGTCATTAGAAAACTCCATTAGTGAAAACTATCTCGTGGATGAGTACAGTTAATATTACGAGCCAACCATTCAGCGCAATCCACGTCACGTTTCCCCCCTCTCCTCCCCTACTAGTATTTAGTCCATTTAGTTTACAGTAGTATCGTAGCAGGCGCGTCTCCACTTGAGCCTACAAAGTTCTTATGACCCTTTCTCGGGTACTTACAGGGAGATTGTGGTGGTCCGGGAACTGTTACTGTGGAGAATAGGCCAGCTATGATACTATGGAATTTAGGCAATGTCCATTGACCAACATGTAATCAAGGGTCCATGTCGGTTTTATATTGAGGTTACATCGCGTTAGGTAGTCTCCACACGAACAGGAAATGTGACCAGGACCCTGTCTATCTATCCTCCTTACGAGTGGGAGGCTCCTGCGAGACTTCTGGCACGTTATGCCCAGATAAAAAATAATGTAGGGTACAGGGACTGGTTCAGCTACCACTGTACAGATGGTCTCTCCCAGTTGCAAGCACCGACGCTCCAGCTCATGCAATTCATCCTCGATTGTTTCCGCACCGCACAACTGTTGACTGCATCCTGTCACGATCTCTTGTCAGGCACGCCCCAAATGGTTCTTCCAAGGAGGTTCTCTAGACCTTGTACCCTTATTCTATCCAACTCGCATACATGTTATCTAGTGCTTGTCTTCGTGTTCCTCTACGGACTTGCGATAAATCTAGCTCGCCTAACATGTTGGCGTGATCCAACATCGGCCTTCTTCGCCGAGGACCAAGCGTACAAGCCTATGTACTCAGTCCTCCGTACAGAGCAAGCGAATGCACTCGTTCAGCACGCCAATAGCAATACCCCTCCCATTCAGTTTCAAACTAAGGCATCCACTCACCCAAAGGTGTGTGTAGGTATTGCCTCCGTGGCACGGAAGGGTGCAGATTATCTGCAGGGCGCGGTCGGGTCAGTGCTAGAGGGCCTTACTGCGGCAGAAAGGGAAGAACTATACCTCATCATCTTGATCGCACACTCAAATCCAGCGGAGCATCCAGCATATGTGGAGCCGTGGCTTCAAACCCTTGCCGATAAGGTGCTTGTCTACGATCCGGATTTGGTGGATATAGAGTATATCCGGACTTTGGAGACGCCAGAAGCGAAGAGGTTTGCCCGCGAAAAGGGCCTCTTGGACTATACCTATCTTCTCAAAACATGCGGGTCTCTAAATACCTCATACACCGTTATGCTTGAGGATGATGCTATTGCTCTGGATGGCTGGTATCATCGTACTAAACATGCACTAGATGTTGCTGAGCGGAAGTCAGAGGCGGAAGGGGTTGAGCAGTGTAAGGACATGATTCTACCGTTTCCTGAATGGGTTTACTGTGAGGTAGAAAAACTGACAGAGAGGTTATTTTCACAGGGCTATACCTTCGACTCTTCTACACTGAGATATTCCTGGGATGGAACTCGGAAGAGTGGCCCATCTACCTGTTCTTTTCTCTCCTTGCTGTATCTGTGGTCACGGCCATAACAGCAGTTATACGGTACCTTTGTCCAGCTACGGCTAGATACCTTTCGAACGAGACAATTGCCCTTCTCTCCTTTGGGGTTACTCCCCTTCTGATCGTCCTCTTTTTTGCTGCCGGACGGAACACCATGCTTCCTATACATGAGGGTGTCCACGCGATGCCCAAATTCGGCTGCTGCTCTCAGGGCTTCGTTTTCCCACAAGACCGCATCGACGATTTAGTGTCTTGGTACGAAACTCAAAAGGTTGGGTACGTCGACATGCTCACAGAGAAGTATGCCAATCAAAACAAGGAGGTACGCTGGGCGTTAACTCCCAGTGTACTGCAGCATGTTGGGAGCAGGAGCTCGAAGACAAACTTGCTGAAAGAATCTGGAATTTCAGGTTTGAGGAGAATGATCCCGGAGAATTACGTCTAGAGCATAGGCTGCAAGATGAAGGAGTGTAAAGGGGCGCCTGTGGCCTACTATATACTGCATTGTGAAAAATCTACATAGAGCAACTAGTATACAGAGTTCAACCAGAACCAGACCCAAACACGCTATCAGAGGCGATGATAGCAATCGCTACAATCTACTCCAAGTTAGCAACAGGTCTCAATGCTATCTCCCATAGGACATAGGAAACATACCAAAGCCATATCCACCCCCGAAGTAATCACAATATCCAAGGCAGGCCGATGTCCCCTCCGAGCACCAGCGGTTAGCGCCAGTTTGTCATTGTGCCGAACACTCTCACACACCTCCGCAACCCTTCTATCGCCATCAATCACATCGAAACTCTGCAAAACACGCCCATGCCGCTCGACAATCAAAGTGACCTCCTTTTCCGCTTCATCCTTCGCATCTGTTGCCGCGGCATTTTTTAGCTTAAGGCTAAAATTCCCAAACGCCGGCGCGAATCGCGGGCTGCCCGTCGCTAGTGTAGTGACTCCTCCGCCTTGAGCTTCCCCGGGCAGAGTAATGTACCAAGTGCTCTTCAAGGAGATCTTCCGATGAAGCTCGAAGAGAGGCAAGCCCGAGGCATCTCGAAACTCACGACAGGCACCGTCGTTGTATTTCCATCCACTTGCAGTGAAGAGGGTTTGCCCATCGTCCGGACTCTTAACTTTGTATGCTGCCACGGAGTGGGCGTCGCCTTGGGTAGGGGTGAGCACGAGGGTGGTCTTTGAATTGGTGATAGAGCCTTGTCGGAGGGCGATGGGACGATCTGGGGATTTTAAAGGTTTGCGGGGGTTGGCGAAGAACTGGTGCTGCATTCGGGCCTGGGAGTAGGCAGTGGACATTTTGGGCGGGCCTTTGGGGTTTGTCCTTAGGAAGGTAGGATGGGAAAAGTTTACCTGTTATAGTATTCTGATCTAGTCTAGTCCAAGAGTATCATGAGGGGTTTTTTGTAGAGCATATCACTCATACTGGAAGAGGCGGGCCCACCAAGGGCCTTGTAACGTGCGTTGTTTTTCCATAGCATTAACTAGATAACGCCCGGCGGCAGCGCCCGAACACCACCGTTCTTTTTCTCCGAGACCGCGTGGAGCAAGACCCTGGAAGGCTAAGCAGCAGCGCAAGCTCCGGTGGGTGAAATCAATTTACTAGTACAGCTGCCCTAGTATCTTGAAAGGGCACCTACGAACTGCTTGTAATAGACTAGTCTCGGAAACTTACTCCATCCGCTAGACAAAAGTACATAGTCGGTGTTCTGTCATATATTAATTCGCGAGCAGACTGAGCAACATTCAACAAAGGACACGGTATGATCTCTCTGGCCAGCTCCCGACGGTTCGGTCCCGCCGCCGACATTCCAATCGGTTAACTCCTCATTACATGGAAGATCTCATCCGATACTTCGCGCGGCATACTGGCCGTTGTAGATGCCTGGCTAACCTCTTGTTCCGACCGGTGCTGCTGCTGCGGTGGTACATTGCGGGTAGGGGAGACGCCGTAATGATGGCCCACGAGGTACAAAACCCGATAGCGTGTCAATGCCCGACAGCGACGGATTTCGTAACTGCAAAGGGTAGAGGTGATGCTCCAGCATGCCTGGGTAAGGTGACCAGACGACCCTGCACAGCCGCAACGGTCCCTATCATTTGCCATGAAGGGTTTCCCAACGATCGGCCTAAATTGCAAGAGCGACCGCAGAATCACATATTGAACGACATCATTGCTTGTTCTCCCAATTCCCATTAGTGGGCGGGGGCATTTAGAATACCATAGTTCACCATAATGGCATGACAATGAACGCTCAATTAGTAGAAGGCTCCGTGAAGTGTAATGTACTGGCGGTATGCAATTCGGGAGAAGACTGGTGTTTGAGGCAACGTAGACAAAGATAACAATGGCGGCGATGTGTAGGTTGTTTTAGCCATCGAACCGAATGATTGCAAGATAAATGGAGTTTTTGATTCATTGGCAGAGCTCCTATAAGCTCGGCCCAAGTTGTAAATGTGGGAGGTGATCTGCACGTCCGTCCGAGAGTCTGGGAACTTCCGCCTCGTACAGGCGGGATACGTAGTTAGAACTCCAGCGGTAAGCTCCCACTTCTCGGCCTGAGGGAAATACCCATGTCTAGATCCAGATACCTGCCAGTTCCTTCGACAATTGGTGGAACTCGGTCCGTCGATCAGGTTTTGGCGCGATAGTTGCATCTCTGCAGGAGGCTCCCTAGGTCACCTTTCCTCCAGTCATCAGTACCAAGCCCCATCAATATATCAAAGGAAAACAACCACGGATCCACGAGTCCCAAAAGGGATTCGGAATGCCAGTCCAACATCTCCATCTGCTGCTTTCCCTCCTTCAAAGCCAGTACCATATTTCTCACCATCGCACCCCAGAATAGCTGGTTCTCTGGATCTCCCTGGTATCCAGCACGCAAATGCAGTTCTTCCCACTGAAAGACCCCGCATTGACGCGCAGCTCCTTTAAATACCATTACTACATCTGCGTGCTCACAGAATCTCTTTCTGCCCATTCGCGACCACCTCGTCATTGAAGATATTCAGATGTTATTTGTACGGGGTGATCGGTAAGATTCTTCATTTCGGCGATTATGGAGAACTTAGGGCGTAGTAGAGCGGAATGTTTGCAGATTCTGGGACTCGAAGCAGACCTTGGTCGGTATTGTCAAGCGTGTTGGTGGGATTCTGCGCTGATGAATCAGTGTCCGCCATTGATCACTGTCACAAACAGTTATCGGTTAGCACGAGGGAGGGGGGAAGGAATGTTTTCATACGGCGGCAATCATTTACCTCTGGTAAATGTACACAGTAACAACACTGTAGATGAGAGTACTTACCCTCTGGTTGTGTGACCGTAAAGCGGCCACACCTGCTTGTTATGTAGTTACCCGCATGGCTTTCACTGTTGAGTGGGCAGGTAACGGATACATATCAGTGTTAGGCATTAAGCACTTAAATTAAAGGCTATTGATGAGTGACTTATAGCTGAGAATGGGTTGCGAGATACATGAGTGCGCTGAGCCATGGTGCAGCTTCATCGTTTCGGCATACTAGTTGCAAAACAGGAATATATATAACTACTGAGTAAGAAGTACTAGTGGCACATGTCATCAGCCACTAGCCATTTCACAACGTCTGTCCACTTCACTACTAATAAGCAGCAGTATTATTCACTCGTGTGTTAGCGTGAAACTTCTTGCGGAGCGATATTATATATTTATATATCTGGTGTAGTATAGCCTCTAGTCACCCTTAACGAAGCAAAATAACATAGCAGTATCCTAGTACTAGTCTGAGAGTAGGATACAAAGGACATGGCTAGTGTTATGTCTAGTAGTAGCTATGAGTAGAAATCACTCTTGTGGACTGCTCTACGAAGCTGTAGAGTTTGTGACGTGTAGATAAAAGTCAGAAACGGATTGTGGTGTTACCCTCGGTCTTTGGCAACTAATCATAGTATGTCTAATGTGTAGATTCGGTCGGAGTAGATACTACTAATATATAATTTCTGTAGCGATAGCTGTAGTGTGGATGATAGTATGCTACTATGAAACCATAACTCAGTTGGACATAACCAACAGTAGAGTAAGGCTGATTCATACCCCCCTGTACGAATCGCGCATTAAATGCCATCCATGTATTGGCCTGGTCAAAGAATCTGCGAATTGTTGCCTAATTTTGGCGAGTCTCGTTATTTGTGGTGGGTGGATCTCTGATGATCTAGACTCTTCATCTCGGTTGCAGAGGGTTAGACGTGGAGTCTGGTGGATTTCTTGGCCACCGATTGACACTTGACACAACTTCGACGGGCTAATCAGTGGTGGTAAGTAGGACATTTTCAGATTCTCCGGACCTGAAAAAAAGAGGATTGCATTCCGTAACTTGCAGTGAAACACAGTCGACAGTGACCGCGTCTCGAGAATATATGCCTCAGGCATCAATACGCAGTTGTGTGAATGCCAAGAGTCTCGGCCCGGTCGGACTAAGACCAGCCAAGTCTCAGTTGTTTACAGGCAGCCAGATATTTACAGTATGGCTACAGTAATACTTACAGTAGGTACTATGGGAGTGGACTCACCCCGAATCCCATGGCCAACGGTTTCCTGAGTCAAAAGTGGAAATGTGCCAGATGATGCTGAAACATGCCTCTGAGTTTGGGTTGCCGTTGGAGGAAAAGCAGGCCTGGTTTAGGAAGGTCAGCAGGAAGAGAGCGGCGCTAATCGGCTCCGGCGGGGCCCCCGAATCCGTGCGTTGACGTCAGCTCCCTATTTTTGGTGAGACATGGGCTGTCGAATAGTAGGCGCGCCATGTTCTTTGATCGATTGCCTTTGCGATAATGCAGGGACTGGAGCAAGGTTGGGCCTTCTTTTCTTTGACGCTGTTTGGTGTGCGAGGGTTGATGCTTTAAAAGCCCCTCAAAAACACTCGTTGGTCAAATGTCATGGAAGTGATAGGAGTGGATGGCAGTTGCTATAAAAGGAAGATAGCACGAAAGTGAATTCGTGAAGTCAGTATTCCCTCGGTGGTTAAGGGAGCCCAAGTCGGTTGCACAAAGTCCATGCGACCAGTCTGTCGAAGCCATGTATTCATCTCAACTAATTATAGAACCCGACAAGATCTCTGGAAGGTAGAAAGCATCTGCATATACAGTAGATGCATCTGCTGTGATTTGGCGCTGGCAGGAGTGTCTCAGGAGATGGAGAAGACGAAAAGGCGGCACTGCCGTCTGGTCGCTGAAGGTCAACCCATCCACACAGCATCTGAGAAATGCCCAGTCGCCCAGAGGCAATAGTTCCTGGCAAAGAGTCATGGCCTATCGTAATACCACTTGCCATGGCCGCCCCAAGAAGAGTTCATCTTGGCACTTTACCGCCCGTACCTGAGTACTAGTATTGCTCTGATGTGAGAACGCCGCTCTAGTTCCCTATCCAGTGGCGAGACAAAAGCAGGAGCCACGTTCAGTGCAGTACGTACAGTAGAACTGAAACAATTAGTCAGTAAATATAATCTTTCTGGGAAACCTTGATGGGACTGATCTTCCAGGCACGGCAGGGAGCGGGAAGCCTGGGTTTGGACCCCAGAATAAGGACGAGACTCCTTTTCCGCTGGAAGGTGCCTTGCTTTTGCTACTAGCGTGCGGCGGCGGGAGAGAATTTATACCCAGCCCTTGAGGTTGGGTAATTCTTTGAGGCTGGAGAATCAGATGGCTGGCTACTCAGATATCTGACTAGAATGACCGCCTCATTTCTCTTATCTGTTGCCTGTGTGGAAGATGTGAATGGCCCGTTGTGAGGGAAAGAATGTCAACCCTTGTAACGAATAACCGAGCTGGTACGGGCCATCAGGGTTCCAAGGGACTTGCCAGGGACCATCCAGGGACTTTTCAGGGACTGGCCCCACCGGGCGCTCTTGGCAGGCCGGGGGCCCCACCCACACGGTCGAAAAGACGAGCAGCTTTCTTTGTGCGCCTCTCTTGGCCTGCATTCTCATTTGTTCCGGCCAGACAATCGGACGGGGCCAGTCCCTGTTCAGTGGCCACGGCAGCCTTTCATCGGCGCCTTGGCCCAGTGCGAGACCCTTTTTCGCCCACAGCGATCTGACGATCGGGATGGCCAACAATACCGTCCCCTGGGATTTCCGCTGACCCTCCATTTGGGGGACCTGGAGTGTTGACTGGCTTGGTTGGATCTCCCCATGGAAAAAAAGGGAAAGAATCCGTCGCCTGGACGTCTTCCTCATTGGCCCGTAGGATCTAGTTTGGGCGGACCAACAATTTCCCACACATGCCGTGGCTGCTTGCAGGCGTAATGTTTGTTTGCTTGGCGAGACCCTGACGGATTCACAAAGGCGCGAGCAAATTCACCCCAGTGGATGTCAATACTAATGCAATGCAGAAGGGATGGTCGGCCTGCCTGCCTGCTTTAAGGCGTGTGCCACCCACTCCCCCCCTTCCCTTCCGCTTCCATCTGCTGGTTGTTTTTACTCTTTCCTCCTTCTTCACCCTTTCGGTCGTTCAACCTCGTCGCCGCTTTTCTTCCGGCATTCTTCAAATTCCCCTTCAGTCACTCGTTCAGACCTTTTTCTCGTCTCTCGCTTCTGCTGTTCTTTTGAACCATCCTATATCCGGCGCCGTCTGCATATTTCATTCTCATACCTTCTCAGTCATCTCGCTGACGGGCCTTGACACTCATTCTTTGTCTTAATACCATCTGCCTTCGATCTTCTCACCTACATCTTCTTCCACAATGAAGGGCACCGCTGTCGCGACTGCCCTCGCTCTTGGTGCCTCCACGGCCCTCGCTGCGCCTTCGTCGACCATCAAGGCCCGTGATGATGTGACCCCTATCACCGTCAAGGGCAATGCCTTCTTCAAGGGCGATGACCGCTTCTACATCCGTGGTGTCGACTACCAGCCGGGTGGTTCCTCCAAACTCGCGGACCCCATTGCCGATGCCGATGGCTGCAAGCGTGATATCGAGAAGTTCAAGGAGCTCGGCCTGAACACCATCCGTGTCTACTCGGTGGACAACTCCAAGGACCATGACGAGTGCATGAACGCTCTGGCGGATGCTGGCATCTACCTGGTGCTGGATGTCAACACCCCCAAGTACTCGCTCAACCGTGCCGACCCCGCCCCGTCGTACAACGATGTGTACCTGCAGTACATCTTCGCCACGGTCGACAAGTTCGCCAGCTACAAGAACACCCTGGCTTTCTTCTCGGGTAACGAGGTCATCAACGATGGTCCCTCCTCCAAGGCTGCTCCTTATGTCAAGGCGGTGACGCGTGATCTCCGCCAGTACATCCGCAGCCGCAACTACCGTGAGATCCCGGTCGGATACTCTGCCGTAAGTGGACAAGCCAGCCCTATCAGTCTTTTTCAGCTTGGATAGATACTAATGAGGACCGTTGATGCAGGCCGATATTGATACCAACCGTCTTCAGATGGCCGAGTACATGAACTGCGGTACTGACGATGAGCGCAGCGACTTCTTCGCCTTCAACGACTACTCCTGGTGCGACCCCTCCTCTTTCACCACCTCCGGCTGGGACCAGAAGGTGAAGAACTTCACCGGATACGGCTTGCCCCTGTTCCTGTCCGAGTATGGCTGCAACACCAACAAGCGTGAGTTCGAGGAGGTCAGCGCTCTGTACGACACCAAGATGACCGGCGTGTACTCTGGCGGCTTGGTCTACGAGTACTCCCAGGAATCCAGCAACTATGGTCTGGTGGAGATCAACGGTGACAGCGTGAAGACCCTGTCCGACTACGATGCGTTGAAGTCGGCCTACTCCAAGACCAGCAACCCCGAGGGTGACGGCGGCTACAACAAGACCGGTGGTGCCAACCCCTGCCCGGCCAAGGACTCCCCCAACTGGGACGTTGATGGAGACTCGCTGCCCGCCATCCCCGAACCCGCGAAGAAGTACATGACCGAGGGCGCTGGCAAGGGCGCCGGATTCTCCGGCTCTGGTAGCATGAACGCCGGCACTGCGTCCACCAGCACCGCGACCCCCGGCTCGGGCTCGGCCAGCTCGTCGAGCTCCAGCTCCGGCTCCAGCGGCACCTCGACGAGCTCCACGGGCGCTGCTGCTGGCCTGCAGGTTCCCGGCTTCGCCATGGCCCCTGTGATGGTGGGACTGGTGACGGTGCTGTCCACCGTGTTTGGTGCCGGACTCGTCCTGTTGTAAGGAAGAAGAGTCGTGTGGATGATATTTTGTATCTTTCCGTGCGTTGGTTCTTTGCGTTGCGTCACTTTTCCTCTTTTCCTCTTCTTTTCTTTCTCTTCTTTTTGTTTGCTGCCGGAAGGGGGTTTTAAGTAGTGCCGGGTGGGTCTCGGCGCGAAGCAGCATTCTGACATGTGTACAGTTGGGTTGGACCATCCTTAGCCGGTGCCAGTCGATGTGTAGAGTATCTAGTAATGAACGGAACCCAGGTAGCATCCCTGCTTTTTTCATGCTTTCATGCTTTCCTACTTTCCCACTTGGTGACTGGCTGGACAGTGTACGGAAGAAAACCGAATAATCATCCTATTCCTGTAGGCTGGCCAGGTGGGCCCACCCTTGGAGGGCGGACCAGAGTTTTGCAGGGAAAATAGATTGCAGCGCCGCTGGTCTGACACTTTGCCCGTTTCAGGTTTGGCCGCCCGAGGATCTGGCCGAGTTGCTGTCTCCATCTCCCCCCCCTCGCAGCACTCGTGCTCCTGGCCAACTCCCTCTCTCAGTCTATCTTCACTATCCATCCCATCTAGCTACCCCTCATCATGTCACGGTCAGTCTTGCTAGCAGACCCATTGGGGTTCCTGGCCGGTAAGTCACTCCTGGTCCCTGAACCTGGCCCAAGACCCCCCTTGGCTCATCTTTTAATAGATCCATAGCCAGTCTCCTTCCTCGACGGGTGGATTCCCGGATATTGTCCTGCATCTTGGCGGCCCTTCCAGTCTTTCCCCTACAATAGCTAGAGAGAAAGAGAGACAGAGGCCATCCTAGTGGCACTCGGTCAATTCCGGTGGGACCCCGTTCACGGAGAGAGACAGTGGAAATGTCGAGACCAATAGTACCCCCCCGACTCCGTGAGAATGAAGCCAATGAGGAGGACGGGTTTAGTGAGCAATCCACCAGCGCGCGAACTTCACGGAGGAGGGGTGTTTTGTTTAAATGGGCTTGGCTGAGAACGAGCACCTGGGCGCCATCATGCTCAAACCACGGCGGCCGTTGTGTGAAACTCGCGCCGTTTAGTGAGGCTTGGCATGTCCCACTGCTGAAGATAAACCTCCCAGCTAGAAGCGCTCTAGCAGTCCCGCCGGAAATTGCTTATCTTGCCTCGAACCACTGACAGCCGCCATTCCCCTGTCAAAATGGAGGCCGATGACCGAGAATGCCCTCATCCATGCTTCCTTCGGGCGTCTGAAGAGTGGGCGTCTGCCCAGCCAGTGTCCACTCTCTCAATTTCTTCAATGCGTTAGCCTTGCCCTCCGCCCTCCCCCTTCAATATGATTATCATATCACCACCGTTTAATGGCTCCGCTCTCCATGTCAAGGCTGTCGGACCATCCCCACGCACCCTTCCCTCGATTCCTATATATCAATGGCTCTCGCCGCGGCCAGCATGGATTCCTCTCTTCCTGTTCTCTTCCCCATCTTCACTTCACTCTTGCTTGAGAGTTTCCATTCTTTTTTTTTTGGCAACTTCTTTTTTGCCGCCATTCTTTCTTTCTTGGGTTGCTGCTGGGCCAGCTTGACATACCCAATTCCTTGACACTCTTTTTTCAATCTTCGTCTTCTTCCTTCGTGGCCTATCCTTTCAAATTTGCGCTTTTCTGCATTTCGGGTAAATCCAGGAAAAGATGCGTTCTGTTCTGCTTAGTGGCGTGGCCGCCCTGAGCTACGCTTTGGGCGTCTCGGCCAATGCCTACAACACCTCCGCCTACACCGATTCGGCCTCTGGCATCGACTTCCAGAGATGGTGTGATACCGACGACACCGGTTTCTGTTTCGGTATCGCCCTGCCCGAGGATGTCAGCACCGACTTCATCGGTCAGCTGACCGTCCCCCTGTCCAGCTCCAAGGGTTGGGGTGGTGTCAGTATGTCGGGTTCCATGACCAACGTCCTCCTGATTGCCGCCTGGCCCGATGGTGATTCGGCCGTGGGTACTCTGCGTGAGGCCACGTCCTATGTCTCCCCGTCTGTCTACAGCGGTGATGCTTCGATCGAGGAGATCCCCGACGGCACCTCCGTCAACAGCACCTACTTGACCTACACCTTCCTGTGCAAGGGCTGCATCATCGGTCAGCCCACCACCTTCGACGCCAACTCGACCCAGTACTACTTCGGCTGGGCTCTCAGTGCCTCCAACCCCACGACTCCCTCCTCCGCCTCCTCCAAGATGCCCTACCACGCTGCCGGCTATGGTGGTTTCGAGGTGCAGCTGGCCAACGCCAAGTCGTCCAAGTACTCCACCTGGGCTTCCAAGGCTGTCTCGACCCAGTCCACTGCTACTTCTGCTTCCGCCTCCTCCAGTGCCTCCGCATCCGCCTCTCCCTCCGCCAGCGTTGCCGCCACCGTCTCAAACACGACCTACGATTACATTGTTGTCGGTGGTGGTGCTGCTGGTCTGGTTGCCGCTGAGCGCCTGGCCGAGACCAAGAAGAGCGTCCTGCTCATCGAGCGTGGTGTGGCCCCGACCGTCGAGCTGGGTGCTACCGACTCCCTGTCATGGAACTCTTCCCTCACCGCGTACGACCTGCCGGCTCTGGGCACCTACATCCAGAGCTCCGACTACGTCAGCCAGTACCTCTGTGATGACACTGCCGGTATGGCTGGTTGTGTTCTCGGTGGTGGTACCGTCATCAACGCCATGTCTTTCATCTACCCCCAGGATGCTGATTTCGACGACAAGTGGCCCACCGGCTGGAAGTGGAAGGACGTCAAGGCTGCTGCCGAGCGCCTCTACGCCCGCAACCCTGGTAGCACCCTCCCTTCGGCTGATGGCAAGCGTTACGACCAGGGCATGTACACCGTTCTCTCCTCTTTCCTGAAGGGTCTCGGCTGGAAGTCTGTCGACTCTCAGGAGCAGCCCAACGAGAAGCACATGGTCTACAGCTACCCCTCCTGGGATGTCGGCAATGGTATCCGTGCCGGTCCTGTCCGTTCCTACCTGCCCCTGGTCGAGGACGCTGACAACTTCCACATGAGCCTGAACACCAAGGTCCGCCGCGTCGTCCGCCGCGGGGGTCGCATCACTGGTGTTGAGGTCGAGACCTCCTCTGGCAGCGTCGAAATCATCAATGTCCGCGCCGGTGGTAAGGTTGTTCTTGCTGCTGGTTCCATGTCCACTCCCCGCATCCTGTTCAACTCCGGTATCGGTCCCTCTGAACAGATCAAGACCGTCCAGAGCGGCAGCACTGGCATCACCGTGCCTCCCTCCGCTGAATGGATCAACCTGCCCGTCGGCGAGAACCTCCGTGACCACCCCATGTTCACGGTCACCGTCAACACCAACAGCAACTTCACCCACTTCAACACCTCCAGTGCCGTCTCCGACCCCGCTGCTCCCATCCGCAACCTCTACGCCGAGGGCTCCGGTGTCCTGACTCAGGGTGGCCACCGTCTCCAGTTCTGGACCTCCAACGTCGGCACCGACGGCGTCACTCGCTTCTACCAGGCCTCCTGCAGTACCACCGAGGATGGTGTCATCACCATGAAGCTGTACCTCACCCACGGTGCCACCTCCACCGGTGTTCTCGGCATTGACTCGACCGGCTCCACCACCATCGAGACTTCCCCTTACCTGAACACCGCCGCCGACAAGGAAGCCCTTACCCGCTTCCTCAACGGCCTGATCGCCGACATGAAGAACTCGACCGCTGGCTTCTCCATCCAGGGTAGTGCGACCGCGTCGAGCATCATGGACAAGCTGACTGCCGGTGACCACTACGTTGGTACTGCCAAGATGGGTGTCGACGATGGCCGTGAGAGCAATGGCACCTCCGTTGTTGACCTCAACACCAAGGTCTACGGTACTGAGAACTTGGTACGTTAACCCCTCCCCTATTTCCTTCTGTCTGAGACCATCTCTTCTAACCTCATATCTGCAATAGTACATCGTCGACGGCAGTATCCACCCCGACCTTCCCACCGGTAACTCCCAGGCCATCATCCAGATCGCCGCCGAGGCCGCCGTTGCCCGCATTATCGCCCAGGGCACCAGCGCCACCTCTGCCTCCGCCTCTGCCTCCGTCTCCGTTGCTGCTTCCACCCAGGCCGCCTACGCCTCGACTACTTCCGAGGCCGCTGTCGCCACGGAGACCGAGGCCGCGGCCGTCACCTCCACTGAGGCTGTCACCGCCTCCGCCGTCCCCACCACCGGTACCATCTCGTCTACCACCGGCTCTTCTTCCTCTTCTTCCTCCGCTGGTTCCTCCAGCGAGTCGGAGAGCAGCACCGGCGCTGATGACAACGAGGGTGATGACGATGATGACGAGGAGTACGACTGCGACGACGAGGATGATGAGGATGACAGCAGCAGCGGAGTCGAGACCTCCGAGTCCGTGACCGCCAAGGTCGCCGTGGCTACCTCTGCCGCTGCTGACTCGGGTGCCTCTACCACCACCGTGTGGGTGACCTCGACTGCCTGGACCACTACCACTGATATGGTGGTGGCTACCAGCACTTCGACCGTGACTGTCTGGCCCACCTATGCTTAGATGGGTTGATCGATTCAAGGGCGTGACGGGGAATGGAAAAAGGGCGCAAACCTTGACTGAAGTTCTAGGCCCGTTCCGTTCTCTGTTTGTGTATCTATCTATCTATTTTTTATATATAGAATTTACTTTTATCTACTCTTTCATAAGTTCTACGCGTAATATGAAAGCAGATTGTAGTAGTGGAGTGTGGGCGTTGACCTTGTATATGGTAAGATAGAAACTTGCGGCATGTAGACATGTATAGTAGTACTACTTACTAAGTTACGTAGTCCTCATTAATTTAGGCGAACTCTGGGGCTATTTACTAGTAATCTAACAACAGGCATATAATAACAACCTAGGATATATACCACTACAATGGTGTTTAGCTTAGCTATCTGTACCGCATTGATGAGTTTGTGCTCGATGTCCACTCGCTAACCTACTAGTAAGTAGTATGTGCCATAGACCAAGTCAATAAATAGTAGTTGGAGAGCTTGAATTGTGGACTAAATGCTACTACTACGGACAAAGACACTTCCGCACCATAGTAACAACCTGGTTAGGCCACCCCCCACCAAATCCGACATGTTTAGTTTCTGTTCCTGCACATGACTAAGTTCAGATGTCATTTTACTTATCTAGACATGTTTTGGAGTGTCTGATACCACTCTGTCTCAAGTTAGTATTTCAGATATCGAAATCATCTTCTCATCAATTGTTATCGCATTTTGACACAGTAGGTAATGAACCTTATGCAGTAAAATCAATTCAGCCTGCCCCATGCTATATACATGCTCATGCTCATGCACATGTAATGCAATGCAATGCTCTCTACTAGCGGAACCAGTTCAAGTAAGTAGATAGATAGATAGGTGCTGTTGATCCCGACTGGGTCCATGTGGCCAACTTCAACCGTCACAGTTCGTGTTTCTCATAACTTCATATATACAACCCTTCCCCGCCGGATCATTTTTTCGGACTTGATCCCTCCCACCACCGCCCCTATCCGAACGACCCTCTCGTATCTCCACAGAATAAGATTCGATCTGCAAGACACAAGAGGATCCACAAATGTTAGAGCACACCACCATCGTGGTGATCGTCGTGTAACCAATCCCAGTCATTGCCCTGGAAGACAGGATCTGCCGCGAGCATTGTCGCGCTGACGTCATCTAATCCCATTTCATCGAGCGCGTAGATGGCATTGCTATCTGCAAAGGATACGGCCAGGTCGCTGTACATGCGATGCGTGTCCACCAGCAATGGATTCGCCATGGACATGGCCATGCTGTCATGGGTGGCGGCCATGGAGCAGAATGATGGCGGGAGGGATGCGATTGGTGGTGGGGAGAGATATCCTGCTGCTGTTGCCGTAGTACACCCTGGGAGAGTCGTCGCAGCGGAAACAGAGGCGTATGCGCCAGCCGCCGCCGCCGCCGCAGCAGCAGGAAGGGGGGAATTCGCATTCGCGGCGGCACTAGTACTCGGCGAAATTGACGGCCGCGGCGCAATGGGTAAAAACGTCGTCGGAGACGCCGAGAGTCGCGGAGAACGGCCAGCAGCTCGCTAGAAGCCACTATATCAGCCTGAACTGCACCAAAAGCCATTGCCCCATGGGTGGAAATCATGTGATGTGGAAAGTATGGTGAACGTGTACTTTTGAGGATGAAGAAGGATGATGATGTTCGGTCTCACGTTTGAGCTTGGCGTGCTCTTCGGGGCTTTCGCAGGGAGTGCAGTTGCAGATGGAGCAGGTCGCAAAGGGACGACCTTTGCGGTTGATGCGGATTAGGGGTCGATCTTGATGTGTGTATCACGGTTAGCATGGACGGAGGGAGACCAGAATTACGATGGAGGAGAAGAGAATAATTACCATTGTGTTTGCAGGTGGTCACACGATGGCCGCGGACACAAGCTTCACATGCCCACTTTTCGCCGTCGATGAGCATTCCTTCGGATTAACGATTGATGGGTGAGGGGAGTAAGAAGAAGGAGGAGGGAGGAAGAGGAGCGGATGGGCATGATGGTGGTGGTAAGTCAATGGGAGGGAAGGGAGGATTTATACGTAGAAAGTGGGTGGAGGTGGTGATAGCGAAGGGAAGGGAAAAGAAAAAATAATTAGTTGAATATGACCAAAAAAAATCCAGGTGAGAGGAAAAAGAGGGTAAACAGCTACGTAGGGGAGGAGCTTAGACCAGCTAGACACTAGATGGGGGGAAGAAAAGAAGGGGAAGAGCTGGCACAGCCACGGATCGACTGCATGGATGGGGATGTCATTTCATCTCGGTTGGGAGATTAGTAGGTAGCAGAGAGGGTAGTTGTGGGTGATAGAATGAGGTATAGCCATGAGGGATTTTAGAATATTCGGGAGGGCAAAAGGATGAGGATCCCCGGGTTTCGATTAGCAAGAGAATGAGCAAAGGACCCAAGTGGAGAGGAAGTAAGAGTGGTAGTAAGTAGTTAGTAGTAAGTAGTAGTGAGTAGTGAGTCGGGAGGGAAGGATGATGAAGCAGTGGTACTTTTCACTCCGACGGGCCTCCACCGTGATATCAGCAGAATCCTACTATAGTCACGGCTTCTCTCCTAACTAACCTGCACACAGTAAGTAGTATAGTATAGTATGATGGCAATGAAGGACAGAATGCGGCATTTTCCCAGCCAGCTTCCCGACGAGCTGCCCCATCGGTGCTAGTCTTCTGCTTCCAATGGATGGCCCAGCAAATTCCCGCATACAATCACCTCGCCAGTGCCACGTTCTGGCTCCGTCTCATTTTTCTGCCTTTTTTTCTCGCTCGGCTAGACTCACAATTTTTTTCTTGTCTATCGCCAAATTGCTGTTGCCTGAAAGTTCAGGGTCTGACTGAACAGAAGGACTAATCAGTTGCCTCAAAACTGCAGGGCAATTGGACCCCAGAGTCAGAACAACAGTACCTCCAGACTACCTACTTAGTACTACTTACTAGTTAGTTACTAGCTAAAAAAGTTACCTCGGGATCACAGCATATGACAACTCTCTTATCCTCCGACACCACACACACTCACACACTCTCACTCTCACACACACAACTCAACCCACCAGCCACCTGGTCGTTAACTAATCTGGAGGTGGCTGAGCAACACCTGAGCTTACTTCCATCAAGATTAGTCGCAACTCGCTAATCCTCGCACGAGCCAACTGCGTGATTATTCGCTCGACTTCATTGGCTGCGCGGATCACGGTTTGGCTGCAGGATCCTTCCAAGCTGGCTGCAGCTGCAGCTGTCTCTCTTTCCCTCTTCCTCTCTTGTCGTCCGAGCTTTTTTGTTTTCCCTTTCTACCACTGCAGGTCTGTCACTCGGTCATCCATCCATCCATCCCCGGGTAAATCACGAAAATTTTTTTTCCACCCGCGGCTGGCTGGAGGGACGTAAATTAGTTACTAGTCTAGCACGGTAAAGTAGCTTTTGGTTGTAGATCATCTTTCCGATCGGAAACTCGGAATCCCTTTTTTGGTGTTTCCTGATTTCGCTATCAGAAAAATCTTATCAGAAATAGAGCCTTATTCCCTCCCTCCCTCTTTTCTTTCTTTCCCTCTCCAATTTCGAATTTCTTTCAATCTGCCCACTATACCTTGTCTTAGGAGCGTATCTATGACTCCGCTGCCATATTTTACGGCTTGTCTTACGTCTGCCTACACATGGGATGTTGAAATGATACCAGCGCGACACACCTCGTGGAGTAATAAAAAGAAACCGAATAGATGACCATGTCATGCCATATACACAACGCGCAGTTCAACCCTATGTACAGATAGTTCCATTCACCCACATCCACTACCTCTGCTGCACTGTGCACGGTGCACTTCTCACCACACATCTACCTGCCACTTAGGAATATGCCTGAGGATATAGACAGTAGCCAAAAAACAACAACGGCCAAAACCAAAGCAAGCCAAGATACAAACAGACCAGCTCCCAGGCTTCCCGATGCAATGTAACAATAACAAAAAAAATCCACAAATAACCTATGTGAAAGGTGCAGCATGCCCATGCAATACTTCCACCTAGCCCTCAACTGGAGGCAGGTAGTGGGAAATATCATCACACCTCCTGAATATAGTTCGCCGGTACGCTCTTCGTCACGCCACCCCGCTCAACATCCGCCCATCCATCTCCGCCATCCCGATTCACCAGCACAAACCGGTCGCCCTCCACCATGCTCCATTCCATATCGCTGCGCGCCTCGTAGTCATACAGCGCTTCCACATACTGGAGTTTCTTGGCGCCCCGCCGCGGTGCCACGGCTGGTCCGACCCGTTTGTTGCCCCCGGCGCCACCGCCGCCCGTCAACGAGGCCGACGAGTTCGAGTACGTCGAGCCCGGCCGGTCAGCCGTGAAGCCGGGGCTGGCGGACGGCACTGGAGAAGGTGCGGGACCAGCTTCCACATAGGAAGCAGGCACGAGCCCTTCCTCGCTGCCGAACCGGACACGCATCCAGCCAGATCCATCTATAATGTATCGGTTAGTTTGTTACCGGTAAAGAGTCGGGGGAAAAGGCATACCGTCTGGCTCTAGAATGACTACATCGTCTCCCTCTTGAACAGTGACCTCGTCAGCCCCACCAGCTTGGTATGCGTAGAGCATCTTGCCGTGCTGCTCGTTGGCCTTGGAGCTTAGCGCCGGCGTCGAGTCGTTGGCCGGCGGACCGCTGATGTACTGTGCCGGCGGCGGTGCAAGAATTCGGTTCTTCCGTGCTGGGGCGGGTTTGGTCTCCGCCACGGGGGTGGGAAGCTCGGCGGCGGTCGTGGTAGGAGACTGTGTGGCATTCGACATAGATCGGTTGGCGCTAACCGCGTAGCCTGAGCTCAACGAGTTCATCGTGTCTTTGCGGGTAAGCGATGGCGCCGTGGATGAGCTCGTAGTTGGCTCTAGGTCAAGTGGCGCTGGGGCGGTGTTGGCTTGTTCTTGTCGCTCCGCCTTCAGCTTCTTCTTTTCTTCCTTGGTCTGCTCGCCCGGGCACTCGGCTGGGACCTTCATTTCACATTTACTGTGACAGGTGTATCCGCAGTCGCGGCAGTCGAAGCCCTTGGCAGACAATCCCCATATCCTTTCTCCGCACAGGTCGCAGTTGGTCGGGATCTTGAACGTCTGCGACTTGAAATTGTGGTTGCGCGCTCCGAGCGAAAGATCGCCCACCGCCGCCATGATGGTAGAGGTTTCCACCTCGGCCGTCAGGCGCCTGCGGTCAACTTCATGCAGGGATTCCTGTTGGAAGAATATAGCTCGGACAACTTCCACCTCGTTGCGTTTGTCTGTGCCCTGCCGGATGTTCTCCCGGACCCGCCTGGCGTTTTCCACCTCGCGTCGCTTGGAATCGGCCTCGACCCTCAGTTCCCGCACCTGTGTCTTGCTCTTGCTGAGGAGGTTGCGCAAAAAGACCTTGGCCGCCTCGTCAGTGATGAGCGCGTCGTCGTCGTGCCAGATCGGGCTCGGCTCGAAGGCCAGGTTGGCCGGCTCCTGTGATTGTGTGACATTGTGGCGCAGGAACATCAGCGAGTCCAGGTGTGGAACGTTGCGCGGAATCTCGTTGATGAGGTTTGCCATGTGGTCCATACTCTTGGAGAGGTAATTCTTCTCGAGTTGTGCGGCCATGGTCCAGAGTGAGTTCAGCTTCGTTACACGCGTTTCGTTGAGGTCTTGCAGGCCCTACACGGAAGGTTAGCAAATTGTATCCAACCAGTCAAAGCAAACCTACATCAAGTAGCTCCGGCACATATTCGTGGTAAAAGCGCTCTTTCATCTTGTTCGTCACGTTGATGCTGATGAGATATGTGTTCTGCAATGCCGTCAGCGATAGTCGTTGGCATCATCGTAGTAACCTACCTTAACGTTGTTCATCTCCAATATCTGCTGCTGATACGCCGCCTGGGCCTTGGGCTTGCTGTGGTCGAACGAGGATTCCATCTTCTTCCGTCTTGCCTCAACTTCCTGGCACGCGCCATCATATTTACCCTTGGCCTTCTTCAGGTCACTATACGAGGAGTCCCTCTCCTTTTCCAGTTTGGCGTGGAAATCCACATGACACTTCCTGAGCTCCTCGTACTGGTTCGCAGCTTGTTTGAGCGGCTCTGCGACGTGGACGAGCAGGTCGTTACCGAAGTGATCCCGTTCAGTGGCATGCGCTTCCACGGCGCTCAATTGCGTCGACCACGTGGTGAGGGAGGCACTTTCAAGGGAGCCCGGGGTCATGCTAGGGGTGTCTCCGACACTCAAACTGCTGATTTTCTTGGCTTTGCGGTCGTAGTACTTCTTGCATAGTGCCGTTAACTTTGCCGCATACTCCTTCTCGATTGCGCTGCGCTCGCGGTAAAACTGTTGTATCTCGTCTAGCCATCCGATACCATTCGACACCTAGCAGGCGACATCTTAGTTCTCGATCCATAGGGTTTCGGCGATCATCCGAGGTGTTCAGCTTGAAGGGGTGAGGAGGCGGGAAGAGGGAAGTAAGTGCCTACCCAATTGTTGACCGGTTTAAACGAATCCTGCCAAGGTCCTCGATTAGCTGGAATCTGGGGTTGATGCGACAGAGTTATGTCATACCTTCAATTCCGCCCCAAAGTGAGGGGCGACATCCGGGGTAGCCATTCTGTTAGATGGTCAGCTTGTCGGAGGTCACGCCGCAGGGAGACAAGGCGGAGATGGGACATGGAAGACTCAAAAATGCGTCGGCCTAGCGAGTCGCAAGTCCAACCACAAGAGCGAATGGAGCAGCCTAACTTACCTTCCACGTGCGGAACAGCCGTTGGCGACCGTGTGTGCTCCGTAGTCCGTACAACCGGATGGTGGGTAGGGGGGGATCGGGGAACCAGGAATCGTTGCCAGGCGCGGCTGGAATGGCTGGAGAGCGATGGGAAGCGGGGAAAGATGACCATACCTGACAGCCTCAGGCTGCCTGTCAGGCCACGTTGAGCCTCCCATGCTCGGCCTGAGCTTCCCTACGTCATCCCCTCCCCGGCAAGTATCCGTATGGTATCGTAAGCGGTATGCTTTCGGTCTCACCGCCTCCTGATCCCGTTAGACTGCAGCTACTCGGCTGCTCGCCCAAACAGGCCTAGCGTCGATCCAAGGCGGTCGGCCGTGTTGGTTTTTCGACCGTCATCGTGATGGGAGCTTCCTTTTAGCCATTGCTGCTTTGCCCGGGTGTTGAACAATCAATCGCCGTTCCTCTTCCATCGTCTAATTCGGCACCGTGGTGAACGTGTCATTCTTTTCTCGTGTGCGCCTGATTTGCTGTGTTGAGCGGTTGATTCCTGTTTCAGCGCGCTGTTGATTACCCCGCCATCTCTCCCCTCCGACTGGGAAACACGACCAACGACTTGCATCCGAAACATCATCTTCGACCCCTTACCTCTACTTCCTTTACGGTTTTTCTATACATCATCAGAATGGCGTCTGAACAACCTGAGGCCGGTTCTCTTGCGGACCGCATCACCAAGCCGGAGGAATCTGCCCCTGCTGGTACGATATTTGTCTACTTCTATGCCACCGCTCGTTTCACTTCCATGTCACTTTCTTACCAATCCCTATCGGACCCTGACTTATGCGATCATCTTGTGCAGAAGCTCCCGAACAGACCGAAGACATCCCTCAGACCGATGGTGCCGCCGCTCAGCAGGGTGGCTCCGATCTCCATGAGCCTGACTACACCGTTGAAGTCAAGCTCAGCGATCTCCAGGCCGACCCGAATAACCCCCTTTTCTCCGTAAAGAACTTTGAAGATCTCGGCCTGTGCGTGGATCCGTCAATCTCGGTTGTTGTGCTGCTACACTAGGGTGCTAACCCATCGTGAAATCAGGGACCCCCGTATCCTCCAGGGATTGTCGGCAATGAACTTCCGGAAACCCTCCAAGATCCAAGAGAGAGCCCTCCCGCTGCTACTTGGCAACCCCGCCAAGAATCTGGTCGGTCAGTCTCAGTCCGGTACTGGAAAGACTGCGGCCTTCGTCCTGAACATCCTCAGTCGATTGGACCTCTCGTCGGAGCAGTTGCAAAAGACCCCCCAGGCGTTGATCCTGGCCCCCACACGAGAGCTGGCTCGTCAGATTGTTGGTGTCATTCAAGTTATGGGCCAGTTCCTTGATGGGCTCGTTATTGGTACCGCTGTGCCGGCAGATACCGGCGCACGCCCGGCCAAGATGGAGTGCTCCGTCGTTGTGGGTACTCCTGGTACTGTTATGGACATGATTAAGAGGCGCATCATGATTGCGAACAAGCTCCGCGTGCTTGTTCTCGACGAAGCCGACAACATGCTGGACCAGCAAGGTCTGGGTGACCAGTGTATCCGTGTGAAGGCGTCAGTATCTCTACTTCTACGCTTTGCGCCACTCGTACTAAAGTCCATCCAGTTTGTTGCCTAGGGATATCCAGGTCGTCCTCTTTTCCGCTACCTTCCCTGCTCACGTCCACGAATATGCGTCCAAGTTCGCTCCTCAGGCCAACGAGATTACCCTCCAGCACGAGGAGTTGACCGTCGAGGGTATCAAGCAGCTGTACCTGGACTGCTCGAATGACGAGGACAAGTACCAGACCCTTGTCAACCTCTACGGTCTGCTCACCGTCGGCTCGTCCATCATCTTCGTTAAGGTTTGTTCACGTCCTCTACAACATTGCAATGTCTCTAACGGAGGATTAGACCCGTGCTTCGGCCCAGGAGATCGAAAAGCGCATGGTTGCCGAGGGTCACACCGTGGCATCTCTTACCGGTGGCATTGAGGGTTCGCAGCGTGATGCAGTCATTGACCAATTCCGTGCCGGACACGCGAAGGTCTTGATTACGACCAACGTGCTTGCCCGAGGTATTGATGTCTCGACTGTGTCCATGGTTATCAACTACGTAAGCAATGCCCTTTCGATGATCGTTGCGGGTTGAAATGCTAATGACGCATCCTAATAAATAGGATATCCCTGAGATCCACCAACCCGGCGCCCGTCAACGACAGGCCGACTTCCAGACCTACCTGCACCGTATTGGCCGTACGGGACGTTTCGGCCGCGTGGGTGTATCCATATCCTTTGTGTCCAACCGGGAAGAGTGGGAGATGCTCAACCAGATTCAGAGATACTTCAACACCAACATCCAGCGGATTGACACCAAGGACTGGGACGAGGTGGAGGAGATTATCAAGAAGACGATCAAGAGCTCGCGTGCTCAGCTCGGCTTCCGGTAGAGCGAGTCCGACACATCCTCGATGCGACGCTGCTGTCCGATGGCGGTCGCTCAATCGTGTCGATTGGAAGCGATTGGATTAAGATATGACTATGGTTGAAATGTGGATTGCTTATGAAGAGTTATGAGGATTTCTTTGTGTTCAAATGAAAGTCAGATTAATAGATACCAGTCGAATGCTCATTCCATGGGTGTTTTTGTGGCTTTGGGTCATCATTCCCAGCCAACCATTACTAGTTCCCTACCAGAAGACCGACAGGGGAGGGCCATGTGACCCAGGCGGGTCCCGTGATTCGGTGTCCCAAAGATGCCGCCATTCGGTTAATCGTGGAAGGGGGGATCCGTAGCCATGGAATCGGTCGCTCATTCATTGGCGATGATGGCCGTAATAGCTCCCTTGTAGCATTGTCGCCGCGCTTCCCCGCGGAACTCCAAGCGGACCGGAATGAGGGGTCGATCATCCGCATCGCCCTCGGCGTCATCGTGCATCCGCAACTTGACCGTGAGTAGGACTGCAAAACAACCGCCGGATCGGGCCTCTGTCCATCCTGATCTCGTTTTACCCAGCAAGAGAGAACCGGGTATGATAGACCAGACAACCAGGGTTCTGCATACTCCGGACCCAACCGGGGACAGATAAGGCCAGGGGGCGTGAACGATAAGGAGTCAAGTGCGGAGAATGAGGGAGAGATGAGGCAGTAAGATTGAGAATCGGGCCCAAGTCACATGCAGCAGGCATGCAGCGACACCCATCGTCGCCCTGTTTTTCTTGCCCCCTCCTCTCTTCATTCTTAATTCTCTCTTTTCTCTTCCCTTCTTCCATCCTCTTCTTCTCATCTCCCCTGACTCCCTACAGCCTATTCCTTCCCCGCATCGTCGTCCAGCATCATGTTGGTGACCGATACCTCTATCAAGCCCGCTTCCGACGAGGCGACGGCCCAGTCACCGACAACACCAAGCTCACCGACTCACTCCAACTCCCGTTACAGTACGCATATTGTGGTAAGTTTGTGGTGATGTCTTCGACTGATGTGGGCAAGAATCCTTACCGTGTGAGCTAGTTGACTACATACCCCGGCCAAAGTGGCATCGACCCCATCCCGCTCGAATGGGGCGCCCCAGATGCCAAATCCCGCGGCCCCGTCGTTGTCTCCCGCAGCTCCGCACTGCTTAAGCGACGGAATGCCATGGGCGCTCATGGTGGCAGTTACAGCATCTACAACGCCCTCGCCATCGCCGCCGGTGACCTGGAACCGAACTTCCGCCCCGACCTCAGCAACAGCCAGCCCACATTCAACTTCCCATGGCAGCCGGCCTGGGCCGATAAGACCAAGATTGTGTCCATGGACCCGTGGGGACATGACATTGTTAACCAGTTCCGGGACGAGCTAAGCAAGGGCTGGGATATCCGCCCCACAATGGCGGTGACTCGCGCGAACATGAACTTCGCGGAGATCGCCGAGGCGGTGAAGGAGGGGAAACTCGAAGTAGACGGGTCGATTGTGGTTGATTCCTCCGGTGAGGTGCGCGTCACTAAAGTCGCCGTCGAACCGGTCTGGTATCTCCCTGGTGTCGCAGAGCGCTTCGGAGTTGATGAGGGCACGCTGCGGCGGACGCTATTCGAACACACGGGCGGGAGTTATCCCGAATTGATCACCCGGCCCGATCTGAAGATCTTCCTCCCTCCCATCGGAGGCCTGACGGTCTATATCTTTGGGCCACCGGAGCGGGTATCCGATGAGAATGTGAAATTGGCATTGCGTATTCACGACGAATGTAATGGCAGTGATGTCTTCCAATCGGACATCTGCACCTGCCGACCGTACCTTGCGTTTGGTATCCGGGAGGCGATTCGCGAAGCGCAGAGTGGAGGCAGCGGAGTGGTCATCTACTTCCGAAAGGAAGGTCGAGCCCTGGGTGAGGTGATCAAGTACTTGGTCTACAATGCTCGCAAGCGAGGCGGTGATACCGCCGACAAGTACTTTACGCGGACGGAGAACATTGCCGGCGTTAGAGACGTAAGCTGTGGACATCTTGTAGATGGAACTATCAGACTGACCTTAAACTCTAGATGCGCTTCCAAGCTCTGATGCCCGATATCCTACACTGGCTCGGCATCAAAAAGATCGACCGCATGCTGTCCATGTCCAACATGAAGCACGACGCCATCGTCGAGTCGGGGATAAAGATCCTGGAGCGTATTCCGATCCCGGACGAGATGATTCCGACAGATTCGCGTGTCGAAATCGATGCGAAGATCAATGCTGGTTACTTCACAACCGGGAAGAATGTCACAGCGGAAGACTTGGCTGCTGTGCGCGGACGAGGATGGGAGAAGTGGGAGGATATCACGGTACGTTCTGTCATTAGAGTGGACCTTGGATGAGGACCTTGCTGACAAGTCTAGCACTGATTGCGGTTTCAACCTACACTTACGACAAACCTACGAGTCTTCGGGTACATGATATTAATTTGGTTGGCGACGACGCATGGCTTGCGCAGCATTTCGGGTCATGAAGCGACATTTGTTTGCATGATTTGCATGAGCTATATAAGATGTATAGAAAATCAAAAAAAGGTTAAAATGGGCAGCTATCTTCTGTTGCCGGTGTACTTCTGCAATGGGTATATAGTAGTATCGAGCATGCCACATCTAGAAAGTCTCGGCCTTCATGACTGTAGTGTACATCTTCATATCCAACAGGCCAAGTCATTACATAGTACCATCCCTTTCCCCACTCCCATCCAAGAACCTCGTCCCTCCTTCATTGGCCACACCATCATGGTCCCCCTTGAACGCAGCCCCGGACAACATATGAAACTTCTTCTCTCGTTTATCTAGTCACGATTAGCCACATCCTCAAATCACACAGATTCGAGTTTCAAACTCACCAGCAAATACTTTCCTTACCCCCTTCTTGACAACCGTAATACATGCAGCCAGGATCCCCACATTCACCTCAACCATAGCCCACAGAGCCAGTAAGCTAAAATTATGCATAAAGAATGACCTGCTCTCCTCCTCGTTGTTGTACGAGACAACAATCGTGAAATATGTCCTGGCGATAGAAATGGCGGTTACACTATCCATCAATCCCATTAGTACCTCGTCACCGCGTGATAGTAGTATGAGAGGAGCAGGGACAGGACATACTAAATCCCCACAATATAAAGCCCTATCGTGCCTATTTTCCTCCCTATCCACATTTTCAACCCCGCAATAACGGGGATGGGAATGATAGTGATTAGTATGTTTGTAATTAGATCCGTGATTGTATATACGGTCAGTAGAGTACCCCTGTTTGTGCTTGCGCAGGTGTTACTGTCATTGGCAGCCTCTGACAACCATATACTGGAAACATGGCTACCGCACTGGAGAATCGTTGCTAGGATGAAGGCGATGACCCATAGTGTCACGGCAGCAATGAGGAAAGTACATAGTCGATGAATAGGGTGGGTACTGAAGACGCGTTTCCATAGAGTAAGGAAGCTGAGTTTTATCAGTCCCAGGGCGAGGATCTCGATGATCTGCAGGGCGAGTTGGTATTTCTTTGCTTGGACTTCAGTCTGAGCTGTGGGTTGGGTGTAGTTTGCGATGACGTCGCGGGATGTTCCCGCTAGTAGAGTACCATTGTATACCAGGGTGAATAGCTGTTTCGATGTTAGACAACTTGTTTCCAACATAGCTAGTTAGCTATTGGTAGTGTCACGCTTACCAGCGCAGCAAGCGCCAGCCAGTCATCCGCAAGTAGATCTAGCCGCGCTAGTCGTCGCGCGTAGAACCGAAGCGTCACGGACAATATAGATGTCACTGTGAAGACGGAAGTTACTGCCAGGAGCGCTGAGGGACTCGGGGCGCTGGGGGTGGTCCAGTCGTGAGCCATGGCCGGCTGATGTCTCGTGTTCTGGCTCCCGCCAGGAATGGTGCGCTGGCGTCTGATGTCTCTCGCGACAGATGGAACGTATCTAGGGGATCATGATAGCGATAGGGGTTTGGGGCTACTAGCTTGCTGGGTTTGACTTGTCTATCGCGTGTTTGTGTTTGGAAAGTGAGGTAGTCAAAGAAGACATGTTCGGAGAGCTGCGGTGCAGGATGACGGCGCTAAGACTAGGCTGAGGTTCTGCCGTGGCTGATGCTGGACCCTTGCAGTTGGGGGCCATTTCTGCCTCATTTCTTTCTATTTCGACCATACGGTGTCTTAGTTACGATTGGAGATTGGATCACCCTACCGAGGATTGTAGTTCCATCATATCAACGCACTCGTATTGTGTACTATGCTCTAGTGTGAAGTGAAGATAGTTGATGGGGTTGATGCAAGCAACACTGCTCACAGGCTATATATTTAACCTTGCCCACCGCAGCTGCAGTCACTGCAATGCGACTCAGTGGAGTCCGGCGCATATACTAACCATCTTTAAAGGCAGTTAACTGCATCCTCCACCCCTCAGCCTGATCCCCGCACCGACTCCGATATCGTTCAGTGCAAAACAGCATTCGGAGTGGCTGCCCGCTGATAAGCGTTCGGGAAGCCATCCCGACCGGATTCTTTTCCATCCCCGCAGCCTCCAAGTATATAATCAGCTCCCCTCCAGCACGTCATTGACCGAAGATTCACTCAATTGATACCCCTATCTCCTACACATAATCCCTATAGAATTCATAGACCTCACCATCACCATGGGCTCCTCCGTCGCCGTCACCCCCCAGCCTCATATCCCCAAAGCCGGCGTTTGGTGCCCCGCCGTGACCTTCTTCGATCACAGCACCGACACCATCGACCTTGATGCCCAAAAGAAATACTACCAGTACCTCTCCACCACCGGCCTCGCTGGCCTCGTCATTCTCGGCACCAACTCCGAAGCCTTCCTCCTCACCCGCGAAGAACGCGCCCAACTCATCGCCACGGCCCGTGCCGCCGTCGGCCCTGACTACCCCCTCATGGCCGGCTGCGGTGCCCACTCCACCAAGCAAGTGCTGGAACTCGCCGAGGACGCCGCCGCCGCGGGCGCAAACTACATCCTTGTCCTGCCCCCGGCATACTTCGGCAAAGCCACAACCCCGGCCGTCGTGAAGCGCTTCTTCGCGGACGTCGCGCGCAAGAGTCCCCTGCCTGTCGTGGTGTACAACTTCCCGGGTGTCTGTAACGGCGTGGATCTGGATTCGGAGACCATCACCACCATTGTGCGCGAGTCGGCGGCGTCTAGCGCCAATGGAGTCTCGAATGTGGTGGGTGTCAAGCTGACGTGTGGGTCGGTGGGCAAGATTACGAGGCTGGCGGCCACTTTTTCCAAGGAGGAGTTTGCAATCTATGGTGGCCAGTCGGATTTCTTGATCGGTGGCTTGGCTGCGGGCTCTGCTGGGTGCATTGCTGCTTTTGCCAATGTGTTCCCAAAGACGGCATCGAAGATCTATGACCTTTATGTCGCTGGTAAGATCCAGGAGGCAGTGGAGTTGCAACGCCAGGCAGCGCTCGCGGAGAGTCCTTGCAAGAGTGGAATTGCTGCCACCAAGTACGCGGCTGCGATCTTCTCGGCTCGCGCGGCGGGCATTGAGGGGGCTGAGGAGAAGCTGAAGCCCCGAACGCCGTATGAGGAACCGGCGGAGGGTGCGAAGAAGGGGGTGCAAGACCTGATGAGCGCCGTGGCCAAGGTCGAAGGAAGTATATAAAATTTCTAATTAGACTATGAAGATATGAGATATGCGTGCGAATCTAAAATAGCTTGTCTTTCCTAAAATAATAAAGGACAGAACACCTGATGGTTTTGGTTTCGCTGTCGACCCATAGGCAGGTTCTACTCGCCTTTGCCTTCTCAAGTGCATCTTAGTATCGATAGAGTCCGAACTGAGCTTCCAGAGTCCCGAATAGCTTTCAGTCACATGAATGACTCGAGGTGAGTGTCGGTGGTGATTATTGTGATGCTCTAGCAGATCGCAGCTCAGCCACCCCCTGCACTGCCACTCTTGCTAACTCTCACGCATCCCCGCCCGAGTTTCCACCAATATTCTTCTGCTTATCTACCCACGGTTCAATCTAATCTAGAATTCTACAGCACTATATTGACCCTCTAAGCAACTCCAGTTGCTCGACTTATGGCCCTCATGATACAATTATGCCTCGAAAAGCCTATCCCCTGCTCAAATCTGTTCCCGGGATACTCCCAAAGTTAACTGGGCGAAAAGAAAAGTATAAGGAGTCCTCCACATCGACTGATTGCCAAAACAACTCTAGTTCAAGAAATATTTTTGTCCTTGAAGATCCAGCCGATTTCCCGCGCTGGGAAGGCATAAACGAGCGAGTACTTCCCGTTAATGAGCTCGGTCACTATAAAGAGAATCCGTCAACACATTTGGAGAAGAGCTACAATTTCTTATATAGATATGTGCCGCGTCAATTCCATCATCACTTCCCTCATCCGAGAATGTTGAGTGGCTTTTCGGAAGCTGAGATGCAGTTTTCGACGCTTTGGGAAGCAGTCCGCAGATGGGCCATCGACTGCGATACTTGCGGGCTTGTCAGACGCAAGGTTCTCTCAGATCCACTAGATCCTGTCAAGGCCAGAGAACATCCTACGAGCCGCTTCCTTGTAGAAGCTGATGGTGGCAAGTATTGCCCACATTGCAAGTTGATTTATCGGTGCCTACAAGCGTACTACCCGTCATTTGAGACGGATAAAGACACTCTGGTGGTAGGAGTCTACCCAACTGCTGGAGGCTTTTCCCTCCTTATCAGGAATACTCGGACAACCTCCTGGATTGAGTCCACGTTATGGGCTGAAGTTTTTCCTGGTAAGTAAGTTTATTTCCCAATAGTGGAACCCCCAAATAGTGACGGCTTCTGAAAGAAAGCAAGAAAAGGGAGATAGACAATCACCAAGCCTCATCAGTGTTTGACTCTTCATGCGAAAGCTCGTTTCAGTGGATTCTAAACAGGATACCTCAGGCTGATGGTGACCTGACACTGTCTAACTTTATGCCAAGGCGTCTGATATATCTGGGGGATGGGGCCTCTAAGCCAGTCCTCGTGGACAGGCCAGAGGAGATATACCCGTATTGTGCTTTGAGCTATTGCTGGGGCCCTACCCAAGCAAACTTGAAAACTACTAAAGAAACCCTGATAAACCACTGTCATCATATAGATAAGGATCATATGCCGAAAGTAAGATCTAATTAATTCCACGACTCGAATTATCAAGACTAAGAGATTGACATTTTCTACATAGACAGTGCAGGATGCTGTTGAAGTCTGTCGGCGTCTTGGAATAAAGTATCTTTGGGTTGATGCGCTTTGTATCATTCAAGATGACGCACTAGGAGTTGACTGGTACGAGCAAAGCTCTGAAATGGACCAAATCTACTCCAGCGCATATGTCGTGATTGCAGCAGATACTGCTGAGGATTGCTCTGAAGGGTTCCTGGGAACTTCCAGCGTTCAACAGCTTCGAGAAGTCACAGTTGACTGGATCAAGGCTAATTTCATCTGTCGAGACAAACCGAATGGTCAGAGTGATGATCCTAGTTTTCTCTTAAAAAGAACACCACTCTCGCGGCGCGCTTGGACACTACAAGAAACTCTTCTTCCTAGTCGAGTTCTCCATTACACTGGCACGGAGATCGTCTTGAGGCTTGGAGAGACCTTCCATTGCCAATGTGGCAAGTGCAGCTTTCACCATGTCGGCACCAGCCATTCAGACTGGCATCAAATTGTCTCCCACTATTCCTTCCGCCAAATGACCAAGCCTTCGGACAAGCTGAGTGCCTTGTCTGGACTAGCAGCCCGTACGTCAGATGGCGATAGAAAATATCTTGCTGGGCTGTGGTCGGACACATTGGTCATAGATCTTCTCTGGTATGTAACCGGAAGTGGGCTTCATATGCGACCTGAGCCCTGGAGGGCACCAACGTGGTCCTGGGCCTCGATGGATGGAGGCATCAGTTACTTCAATCGCTTCTCATACTACGACTTTCTCCCCGCATTGGATATCATTGAAGCCGAGTGCAAATGCTTAAGTGTGAATAGCTTCGGCCCGGTTTCCTCAGGTTTTATTGAATTGAGGGGTAAGCTTGTTCCCGTCGAGATGGCCATTTTGAATAAACCCTTTACCAAGCATCAAGGCGAGTACACTGGCGAATGGGGACGAGCAACCCGTGTACATCAAGGCCAGACATCACTTGTACGAGGGTGGGGTACAGAAATCTATGAAGTTTTGTGTGACGAGCGGATGGATCAGACAGACGAAATAGGTGAAGAAGAAAGCGAATCATGGGCCCAAGGTAGAGTGGATCGACAAGACCTAGGCAGAATAGTGGCAAGTAACATCTACTGTCTGGAAATTGGCACAGTTATAGATCGTGTGATAGACGTGGATGGCTTCACCGCCTTGGGTCGGAGTTCCAGGGTCTGGTGGCTTGTTTTGAAGAAAGCAGAGAAGGTGAATGAGTTCAAAAGAGTGGGGATAGGTTATAAAAGTAGCAAGGACTTTAAACGTGACTGTGACCTTTTTGTTTCTGCGGAATGGAGTACAGTGCGATTAGTATAGAAGGCAAAGAAGAACCATATTTCAGAAATGAGAGATATAAGTTTGCACGAAATATCGTTTCAGAGATGAGATGAGTTCAACATTGGAGGTCTGCACTGTTGTACTTAGCACGTCCTGATTTAGAACTTGAAGAATTCTAACAAAAACCCAGTCTTCTATATACATAGCAAAATATAATATGTGATAACCAGATTGGTTCATCTTGGATTATCTTATTAATCGATTAAATAAAACACAGACATACAGTCTAGTCCCCCCAACGACGATAAAATTACAACATAGAATGGTTATCGTTATATGATAATATATGTCTATAATCATATATATTGGAGATTTATTAATCTTATCTAGACAAAGATTAGTTATCTGCAGGAATATCATCTGGGGTGGATGCCACTACACTAACCTGCCACCACGCGACTTTTGATCTCAATTATATCGCCGTGGTCGATCTATCACCATGCTCTATTGCTGTACAGATCTCGATCGCTTCAATGCCTCTCGCACATCCTGGAGCCCCTTCTTCTGATGACCATCTTGGTCAAAGTTCCCCTCCTCCAGCCACTGTTCCAGCGCTTCCTTGGCCCCTTCCTCCCAGTCCTCGCGAACCATCGCGAACCAAGCGGTATCCCGATTTCGACCCTTGACCACCATGTGCTGCCGGAAGGTACCCTCATAGACGAACCCCAGTCGCTGGGCCGCCTTCATTGAAGGCGCATTGAGGGAGTTGCATTTCCATTCCACGCGGCGATAGTGTAGCTGCTCGAAGGCGTACCGCGCCAGCAGATAGATCGCCTCGGTCGCAGCCGGGGTGCGTTGCAGCACTGAGGAGAACATGACATGTCCAAGCTCCACCGTCCATTGTGCAGGGGTTATCCGCAACAGCGAGATGTATCCAATGGCTTTGCCGCAGCTGGGGCTGGAGGCACGCTTGTCAATTACCGCGAAGAAGAACGGGTCGGGAGAAACCGATCGGGAGGCGATGACTTCCTCGAACGCCTCGCGCTGGGAATAGGGCCCATCGGGCATGTAGTCCCATAACCACGCTCGCGTAGAGTCATCGCCGCCGATTAGGTCGAAGAGGTCGTTGGCATGTTTCGGTTCAAGCTTCTCGAGCTGGATGAATCTCCCGTGCAAGGTGGTTGCCGATGGCCACTGGGCGGGGGTCAGATCGACCGGCGGTCCAAGCGGTCGCACAGTTGTCATGTTGCAGGACCGTACTTTTCACTGCGTCTGAATGGATGAGAACAGTGCCTTGTTTATGATGGCAGAGGATTTAAATCGTCGTCAATTATCCTGAGAGAACAGTCATCCCACATCCTCATTCCTCCCTCCTCAGCCGGTCCCTGACCCTGATTCGTTGATACCTCCGACCCTCCGGAGATGACCTGAAAGATGATTGGGTAGGAGCCATAATATGGGTCTGCCTTAGCGGCTTGGCGTCTACGTGCTATTCCTCAGGCATGACTCATGCCTTATGACGCCTGAAATCAAAGGCATCGATTTCAAGAAGGGGGATCCATGCCCTGAGACTCGAAGACTTGGGGGTATCCCCCCGGGGTTCGAGCATTATCATTGGATTCAGAACAGCCTGGATGTCTCAATAACCCGAAGCCTAGGAAATCGAAAGCTGCGAGGTGCGTGTGGCTTGATTTATTATCAGTATTTTCCAGACTGCAGCTAGACTGTTGGCCAGCTCGTTTGCTTCGATGGGTGCTATGCTCATCTCGCTCCAGGTCTTGCTTAGGGCCTTGGAAATCCCGCCATGAACATCCAAGTATATGCGGTGGGTGACTACAAGTGTATGGGCAGGACCTCTACCACCCAGTACAGCCATGTCAGCGATCGTGGTAGTACATGGCATTGCTTGGTGGTTCCATCCAGCGAGGCATCTGTGACTTTTCATGTCTCAGGAGAACATTCCTGGCTTCCAGAGAAGCCAACAGTAGCCATAACATTGTCAAGGGTAATGTTCAGATGAGCACCAACGGAGGAAAATGCGTTTTCGCAAGCAATAAGGCAAGAGGGACACATCATGTCGTTGTCATCCCAACACCCACATGCAGGATCCTGGTGAAGACATGTCTCACGAGTACCAGCAACTTCTATTGACTAAACCCGTTCAAGCAGCATTGCTCACGCAACCAGTCCGCGGTATGCTGTTGGCTTCTTAGCAGTCATATCTTGTTGAATCTGTCGCAGTAACAGAACACTCGCCGACGTGAAATGGGTCGCGATGGCGCCTCCTGTAACGTGCACCTCAGCTTAGAGCCAGGTCATGGGACCAATCCGATGGACTGTTGCCCCATATTGGCCCCTGCAGCCAACCAACTTTTTCGCACGTTTTGCATTCAATATACCGTCGTCCTAAGCACCTATGATGTCGCTGCCGGGCCTCCCCCCCTGTGAGACTCAGGGGATGGACTTTCTCATCACAATCACGTTTGCCTGTTGCTAAGACAAGTAGACGGGAAGAACCAAACAGTATCCACCAAAAATTGTTGGATTCAGCTCACCATGAGTTTAGTAAGACAAAAGATTCTCCAACGCGTGGGGAATGTGGTTCTCAACGGGGTCAATTTCTCACGGTCGGGCGACAGGCGTTATCTTTGGGCCCCATCACGCCTTATGAGACGCTTTTCTTAGCAACGAGCGGTCGGATGAACGGTCCACGATGAGCAAGCAAAAAGAGGTTCCATTGTAAATTGAAGGGTGGGAACCCATCTATATGGCGTGGTGGCTGTCAGGGGCAGTGGGTGATGGGCCAGTGGGACAGTCTCCTGCCGGGATCCACCCACGGCTTCACTGGCAGACAAGCATTCCTGGTGGTTTCAGCACTCAAAGACATTTGGATTCCATTGCCGCCCTGGGTTTCGCCAAGCTGTCAGCAGGCTATAGTTATAGCCGCCGAGTTGAGAGGGGGATTGTGTTTCGAAGATGAGAAGAGAGAGGGATGCAGAAGTCGTCAAGTGTGGTTTAAGTTGGCGCTGACTGGGATCGCCGATTAACTCATCCCTGTTGTGACCCTACCAGCTAATTAGCTTGACAAGCTGATTAGCGCGCATCTCTCTTCCGTGCAGGCAGCCATTGCATTATTACTTAGAACCCTACGAGTATTAACTCCGAGTCCCTGTCTTATTTTTGATCCTCTCGGCTCCTCTGCATTGCAGAGATTACGAGATTGTTAGTCAAGAAGACCAAGAATAGAGAGGCAACCAGCCCTACCCGTGACCCACGCTCACCCCCAGCCAATTTGATCGTGAAACTAAGACCGTTGGGCCAGGCGCCGGTCGCTTTCTTCGTCCCATTGATTGGATGAGGGATCACCGGCTGGCTTGGGCTATCAGTGGCCACCATTCTTGCGCGTCTCGGGTTGATGAGCCACCAGAGCTGTCGACTGCCTGCCACTGACTCGTCTCGGCACTGCTCTCCACCCCTTGCATGCCCTTCCCCCCCAGCCTATCATGAATTTCCAGCATCCAGAAAACAACAACCCCCGCTGACAGGGTCGGTCATCTGCTTTATCTGGCGCTCTGATGGCATCCCGACCACCCTGTCATCTCCGCCGATCCGTTTGCGCCTCCATGTAGTTCTTTACTTAGTATTTGACTGGCGAGATCTGCTCGTTCTCCATCCCGGCTGTCCTTGCGTCCATTCTTTCTCTTCTCCATTCTTTCGATCGTTAACTTTATTTTTATCTCTCTGCTTAGTCCTTCATTTGATTTTCTTCTCTTCTTGCCCCCAGCCAGGGTGACTGCTTTTTTGCCATTGTGGCTGGTCCACTTAGTTGACTTTTTACTCTGCATCTTTTCGTTCTCTACACGCTGGGAATCGTCCTTTCATTTCTCCCCATCCAAGCGTGACGCCAGTAACTCTGATTCACCATGGATTCCAACTTATGGTACGCTATGCTCAATGACACCCTCTGCTATGCCAATCTCTGGGTGCTGGCCTGTATGATTGTGGTCGTCTTCGCCTGGCAGTCCTCCGGCCGTCTCTCTGCCCACCTCCGTCGCCTCGCTAGCTTTACCGACCACCGCCAGACCTACCATCGCATTCCCAATTTCCATGTGGCCTGGTTGAAGCGACACCTTCTGGATGCGCCGCTGCTGCGCTCTCGACATAACCAGGAATGGCAGCTCTCCCGCGCCGTCAACATGGGCACCCTGCCCAGCCGCTTCCATACCCTGCTCCTGACCGTCATCGTCGTCATGAATGTCGTCTTGTGCACCAACACTGTGCCCTATGGATCGAAGGAATCAACTGTCGCGGAGCTGATTCGCAACCGAACCGGTTACATGGCCACCGCCAATCTGTTCCCCCTTCTGGTCATGGCTGGCCGGAACAACCCCTTGATCCCGCTTCTGCGCGTTTCGTTCGACACCTGGAATCTGCTGCACCGGTGGTTAGGCCGCATTGTCGTACTGGAAGGGCTAGCTCATGTCATTGCCTGGGGTGTGCCCAAGGTGCAAACCTGTAGGTCTTTTTCTGCTTTTCGGGTTATGGGGGCTAATGTTGAGCAGATGGCTGGTCGACCGCACTCGGCACCTTGAAGAAACCCTTCATGTTCAATGGTCTCATGGTACGACCCCCACACATCGAACACGGATGTCAGCGGCTAATGTTCGAACTACAGGGAATAGTGGCGATGCTCTTCATCCTTGTTCAATCACCTTCCCCCATCCGACATGCTTTCTATGAGACTTTCCTCCACCTTCACATTGGGCTGGCCTGTGTGTCTGTGGGATTTCTCTGGCATCATGTTTACCGGTACTCCTGCCGTTACTATCTTTATGCCGCCGTCGCCTTCTGGGCGTTTGAAGTAAGTCCCCCTTGCTGCGGATGTTCGTCCGAAAATAGAAACAAGGAGCTAACCTCCCGGTTCAGCGACTTGCGCGGCTGCTGATCCTGATCTACCGCAACTATGGGTTTGGTCGCCGTACAACCGCCTATCTCGAGGCACTGCCTGGCGACGCCGTCCGCGTCACTCTGCAACTCGCTCGTCCATGGACCTTCTCGCCGGGCCAATACTGTTTCGTCTACATCCCGAAGCTCGGGGCCTGGACCTCGCACCCCTTCTCCATCGCCTGGGGTGAGACCGGTCAGACCTTGCTGGGGTCGTACAGCGAAAAGATGGCCGAAGTGGAGTTGGGCAATGACCACGGCCAACCTGGGCTGGAGTCTCGCAAGGTCAATACTGTTTCTCTGCTCGTGCGACGTAGGACCGGATTCACCGACAAGTTGTTTACGGAAGCATTTGCCTACGCGCGCACCCGCTTACCCCCGGACACGATCAGCACTTCGCCGCGATCGACCACGACGGATATCTCCACGGCAGCCATGCCGGTCACTGCATTCGTGGAGGGACCCTATGGCAACCTCCACTCGCTCGACTCCTACGGCACTGTTCTCCTGTTTGCCGGTGGAGTGGGCATCACCCACTGCCTGCCCTTCATCCGCCATCTGGTCCAGGGCTACAGCGATGGCACGGTAGCCGCCCGACGCGTCACTCTCGTATGGGTCATCCAATCACCTGAACATCTGGACTGGATTCGACCGTGGATGACTACAATCCTGGGCATGGAAGGCCGCCGCGACGTGCTACGGATCCAGCTGTTCGTGACGCGCCCGAGAAACCCCCGGGAGATCAGGAGCCCCAGCGCAACCGTGCAGATGTTCCCGGGCCGCCCGGATGTGGGCACTCTCGTCCATATGGAGATCGAGAATCAGGTCGGGGCGATGGGCGTGATGGTCTGCGGCAATGGCGGTTTGAGCGATGATGTCCGTCGGGCCTGTCGACAGCGACAGGGCCGTACCCAGCTGGATTATATCGAGGAGAGCTTTACGTGGTGATATGATTGCCCAATGCGCCTGTACCTATATAAAATTGTTTTCCTGTCCGTGACATGCCAAGTAGACAAGAAGAATAGACCATTGGCCGGATTGCTTGCCTCACCCGCTGCGATGAAGTCAAGCAACTGAATGATATACTGCTTGACCGTTAAACTGACAAGCGCCAGCGATTCTCTGTACCATTTGTACAGACTAACAAGCCACAGGGTCATTCATCTCCGGGGGCCACGAGGACTGCAATTTCCCAGCTCAGCGTCAACTGTAGGGACGTCGACATATGCAGCCAATGATCGAGTGACCAAGCCTACCAAACATATACCAGCAAGGACAACACAACATATTAATTGCACTTATTTCTGCCAATACATCAAGACTAATCCTCCGCATCATGCACCATCTTCCCCCCATACCCCTGCCCCACCTCACACTGATACCGCTGAAACTGCCTCGTCGGCACCCTCGCTGTAAACATCTCATCCAGCTCCTCGAAGCTCCTCCCCTTAGTTTCAGGAAGTTCAAAGAACAGAATCAACAGCGTGACAGCCCCCATGCCCGCA